ATAATCATAAATTAAAAGAAAGGAATCTTTTGAATGTTCAAAAGGGCAAATCTGAAATCCCCAAACATGAAAAAAAAACAGGGCATAGATTTTATATCACTTCGGTGGATTTTCCGGTCATTACGAGGTCAACAATCTACGTGGCTTATTGGACCAATTATTTGGGAGATCCCGGTGCCCAACGCCAAAATGCATGGTGTGATTCTGTCTGGCGCTGGGATCCGGGAGCTCCCAAAATCATCAACTACATGCTACTTGCCTACTTCTAGTAACAAGAAAGAGGTTGTACACATTGTGTACACATAATGTACGTATATATGTGCATAGTGTAATGTTGTGCACATGCACTGTTACTAGAATACAATTTTGTATAATTTTATTGGGATAATAGTTACTCCCTCTATCCCACATAATTTGTCCCTATTTTCTATTTTCGTCCGTCCCATATAAATTGTCATTTCTATTTTTGGAAATATAATTATACACTTTAATCGCATTTTAAATTTTATAATTTTCTTAATTTTAATTAAACTGTTTACTTATCTTAATCTTAATCTATAATTATTTTTACTAAATAATAATTATTTTTACTAATACACTTCTTAATTACTTACTAATTATATTTTACCTAAATTTATGTGTCTACAGTAATACGCCAATGTTATATGAGATGGAAGGAGTATTAGTCTCATTTATTTTTTACATCTTGATATTTAAATATTAATTATTATATAAAAATATAGTATAAATTAAAAAAAAAATGACAAAAATACTTCTATTAGTGTCTTATAATACTATAATAATAATATTTGTGCAAAAATTTATACAAATATAAAGATACTTTTAGGGTGTGTTTGTTTGGGGGTTTGGATTTTGGATTGGGAATTGAATAGTAAAAATTTTGAATTTGAATAGTTGTATGATGTGATATAAATAGGGTTTGATGTGATGTTTTGAATGTAAAATTGATTTTTAGTATAATATAAAAAATAAAAAATAGGGGTTTGATTTGATGTTTTTGGGGGAAAAAAATTGGATGAATAGTGAAAATCCTCCAAAATCCTTCAAAAAAACACACCCTTAATGTTAAATATAATTATGTAAAAAATAAATAAAATCTTTAGAACCGAACCGAGGGAATAGTAATTATGAATTAAGCACCTTAAAATAGCTTTGTTTAAACAATTTTTAAACTTTGGAATTATTTTAATATTTTACAAAATATGACATCAAATATTTTTTTTCTCTGAAATATCAAATCAAATATTAATTTTCTACTATTATAGTTAGTATGATTTGAACCAGTCTAAAGGCTTAAACACCTTCAAGTTTGGTCTTTATAAAAGTCTACAATGATGGCTCTTACTTGAGCTTTCTTCCTCTAATCATGATTCATCTTGGAATCTAAAAGGTCTTAGGAACCATGCATGTAGGACCTACGTAAGTGTAAGAATTTGAGGGTATTCCTTATATAATTGGTTTTATATTATGTTATTTAATTAAATAATACTCCCTCCGTCCAAGCAAAAAGTATACAATTACTTTTGACGCGGACATTAAGGAATAATAATAATTTAATTACAGTGGGTAGGTAAAAGGAGGAAAAATGATATTTTTGCCCTTACTTTTTTGGTATAAAAGTAATGATGCGATGTAAAGTAGGGATATTTGTGAAAAAAATAGGATATTTAATGAAATGATTACTTTGTAATTGGACGTCCAAAATAGAAATATGTATACTTTCTGACTGGACGAAGGGAGTATATCAACACAATATTAAATTAAAACATAGAATAAAAATAGTGAATCATAAAACATCACATTATCATTTTCTTTAACAATTCAATCCTCAAACATCATATTGTAATCATTATTCAAAAAAAAAATTAAATTAAAAAAAAAATCACAGAAAACACACATTTATATATTATTGAAAAAATTGTTGACCTATTATATATATATATATATACATATATATATTAAACCACAAAAAAGAAATGCTATTAAATATGTTGAATAGTTAGTTATATGTTAAAATATTTATAAAAATTACTGAATTATATACAAACAAAATATACTTGCTGAATAAGACACTTCAATTCAATTTTATAATAGAAAGATGAATATAAATGTAGCCCGACAAACATAATTATAGCCCCGACAAACGGATGAAGATAAATAGAATGAAATATGGTGCCGCTGACAGCTGCACCAAAGATCAAAATAAAACTAATACTTAGTCGACCTGTGATCATGAGGTCATGAGTTCAAACCCTGATGCCTCAGGTTATCTGCTACACATAGTTCGCCTAATGTGATTGGTCTGTCGAGCCTAATTTGCACAGTATTAAATTCGGCCGGAAATTTATCTAACGCATACTTTGCGGTTATGCATTTCCATATTATTAAAAAAAAAAACTAATATTTACTTCGTTCTAAAATTGATGATCCATCTCTTTTGAACACGATTATTTGTTGATATTTTTTTTTAAAAAAATAATATAAAATAAAAAAATTTAAATATATGTTTATAAATATTTTTAGCATTATTTTTTGATAAAATATTATTTTATTTATTATAAAATTTTATATAATATAAATAAATAAATAAAAAATATATTTATTTATAATTAATTTTAATTAGTTTATAAAAAACAAAGAATTTAAAATATAAATAAAAATGTTTATTTATTGAAAAGAAATATAAAAATAAATTTTGTTTGAATAAATTATAAAAAATTAGAAATTTAATTTAATTAATTTATATTTATTAAATATGCAACATAAGAAAAAAAAAAAAAAAAAAAAGGGGAAAAAAGTGGGAGTATTTCTTTTGTTTGGTAATGTTATTATACTCCCTCAGTCCAGCCGAAGTAATGCATTATCATATTTAACATTAAAAATATCTATATATAGTTTATTTTATAAATATCATTGTATTTTTAAACTAATATATGTATTTTTGTAAATTTTTCTTTATTTGTACTATGTTTTTTAATATAATAATTAACATTTTAAAAATCAACTAAAAAAATCACATATGACTCGTTGGATTCATTCGAAACTTTATCAATATCCTCAACAAATAAATATTTTTTTATCTGTATTATATAAAATTTTATTATTTACAAAATTATATTCATATTATATATTTTTTATTGATGTATAATATTTAAAATATGTAAACACATATATTAAGTTTTCTTAATCATATATTAATTCTAAGTTTAAAAATAACATCATTTATACAAAAATATAATATAATAATTACTATTAACTTATTAAATTACATTACCTTAAATACCGATAACGAACTTATTAAATTATACTATTACCTTAACTAGTATCCATAAATAGAGGGATCATTTTTCATAGAAAGAAAAGAGTAATGTTCTAATAAAATAAATAAAAAGTAAGTGAAAATATTACAAAAGCTTATAAAAAAAATAATAAAAAAATAGTAAAATAGAAAAATAATAAAAAATTAATTATTATTGATTAATATAAATAATAAAATTATAAATGAAATATTTATTATAAATGAATTACATGTAAATTTAACAAGAAAAAATTACATAATTTTAACGGAATAAATATATTATCATTATCATTATTATTATTATATTTCTATTGATACATAAATTAATACTTATAAATTTTAAAATATTTATAATATGTAATAAAATTCATACTTAAACATTGAAATTTATTATATTTGAATAAAAAATGATAAAATGAATATTATTAAAATAAACAAAGAAAATATATAATACATATAAATAAATGAAAACATTTATATTTATATACAATTAACATAAATTCATAAATAAAACAATACATTTAGATATTATTTTATTTATTTATTTATGAAAGAAACGAAAATTACAAATAGATCCCCACATTATAACAAATTTTAAAATAAACAATTGAGATTTAAAAAAAATAAAAATTGAATTTGCAATTTAATTAATTGACCCCACTTTTGGTGCAACTGCTACCTCAGAGTATTCAAGTAAGTTCATAACATTAAAGGACAAAGCATGACATAGTACTATATTAAAGTAACAAAATTTATTGCCGCTGCTAAGCTAAGCTAAGCATGCATGTAAATAAATGCATTGCATGATAAATAAAAAAACAAAAATAAATAAGAAAAGTCAAAACTCACAAGCACCATCAATGCATTGCCATGTGTGGGTGGGTGTCCGTTCTCATCCATTCCAAACCACAAACCCAACCTAGGGGCTGTCTTTTGCTTGTATTTTATTGGATTTTAAATTAATTTTAATAATTTTAATGTGATATAAATAAATATTTATATAATATTTTAAAAATAATATAATAAAAGAATTAAGAATAAATATTTAATTTAATATCTTTTAAACAAAAAAAAATTTCCAACCAAACATATCCTAAATATAAATATAAACTGTAATGTGTAAATAAAAACCATAAAAAATTGAAGCTCTATTCTCTCTTTTTTTTTTTTTTTTTCTTTTAATTTTTCCCATCAAAACAGAATATATATGTATATTTTTATTTACAGAAAATCACACATCCACTACTTTTTAAATACAAATACAGATACAAATACAAACAAAATATGTGATACTTCAGAGTTTATAAAGATGAGTGAAAGAGGATGTTATACACCATTGTTTAATAGGAAATTAAAATAATTAAATAGATTATCTATAGCTGGTAAAAATAGACACAGCTTGAAAATTCGACCCAAATTCGGCACAAAAAAATCATACTTAGCTCAAAAATTTTTGGGCCATGCCGACCCGTCATAAATATGAACCAGGCCATGCCTAACTGGCCCAATTATAAAATTAAATATAATTTTTAAAAATAATTTTATAAATATATTAATAAACAAATTTTGATTAAAAATGAAAGTATAGTCTAATTGTTTAGTTTGTGTGCCGTAGATAAAGTTTTAAGTTCAATTTTCACACTTAACATATATCAGAAACTCATGGAATTAGACATACAATTTCAGGGTGAGTAACAATGTCAATTTTTTTAATAATTGTGATTTCAAATCACAAAATATCACATCAAAATATTATTTAAATCAAATTGAAATAATTTCGTTTTAAATTAATTTCAAACACAAACTACAATATTTTATAGGCCACTTCACATTCAAATCATATTTTTTTCTTATCACCCCAAAAACCTTATTTGATAGTATTATAATAAAAGAAACTTATAGAATATATAAATAAATATTGTAACTCAGCACAAAGGCATTATATATATGAATTCAAAAGGTTAAGACAATTCTGGAATATAATTCTCACTTACCATATATAGTGCTTCCTCAAACTCGAAGCTTTCAAAGTATGCCATAGATGGTAACGTGGGGTCAGCGGCCACACATGTGACTCTTGAACATGTGCCTCTAGACGCTGCTACATTTAAAATTTCAACAATATATAAGTACGCGGATATATTATTTATATTAATATAAATACAATATATGAATTTACAATCATCACAATGAAATAATGGATTCAAATCCTGATAGATCTTGCCTAACACATGTGATTTGCCTTGGACCTAATATATAGGTTAGTCCGAAAATTTACCTAAAACGCACCTTAAAAGTAACCACTGCGGATTCGTTATAAAAATTATATGTATATTAATAGTGACGAACTAGCATCTAAATCCTGAGTCGACAAAAATTATAAAATTTAATTAATAAATTTAAATAAAAAATAATGACAAAATTATATATGAATTTAGATAGTTTAAGAGGGGCAAATTGTACATAAATATATAAAAATTAATATTTTTAACACTAAAAAATTCATAAAAATTTGAGCCCCCAAGCCCTAGTGGAGTTTTGTCCCGTGTATATATAATACAATCGTATGGTCCCATAAGCGATGACCGGTGGTGTGGAGAAGACTCGTAACCACGAGATCATGGATTCAAACCACCAGGTTTAAACCCCCGGCATCTCAGCTGGTGATTTACCCTTAGCGCACCCATGCCTGGTGATGTGGAGGTGGACTTAAGTGGATTTGTGACCGTAAGGTAACGAGTCTAAACTCCCAACTTTTATATTAGCATATTATTATTTCTTATGAAAAGAGGAATATATAATTGTCAATCAAGGGTTTATCAAGGCACTTGAATACCTGATGCTGTTAAAAATAACTCATCTCATTGATGCATTCAAACAAATGGTTCAAGATCTTCTCAGATACCCGTCATGTTTGCCAGGTTGCCGATGGTTGTCCCGGCAATGAAGCCACCCGACCAGGCATTCTGGCATGTATGAAAAATTATACGTAAGGGAAAGGGAAGATTTTTGCATAAATAGCCATCATCAGCCTGAATATAAGAAGGCTATACAGCTGTTGCAAGACAACAATGATATGTAAAAGGTAGAACCAAAACCATCTCCAAATAAATAAAATCTCATCTATTGTAAGAGGAAATAACTTTAAGAAGCTTAATATGCCAAGTTACCTGGAAATTGAACCCTCCAGTTAAGCCATCGACATTCAATATCTGCATATAGTTCATAAATGAAATAATATCCAAAATCTAAATTTACAGTCAGCAATTTCCTTTAAAAACCACAAAATAAAAGCAATAGCATTTGAAGCACCTCCCCAGCAAAGAATAGATGTGACTGGATCCGACTCTGCATTGTGTTCAGTGATATCTGGATTGAATCAAACATAAGATGCATACATATATATATAGAAATATACATACAGAGAGTGCGAGAGAACACCTCAGACAATGGGACACCTCCAGCAGTGACAAATTCTTCCTTGAATTGGCCCTTCATTTTAGTTTAAGCAACAATTCATTATGAAAAAAATAGTTAGTGGAGGATTAATGATGCAGGTGATATGTGTGGTCGTACCTTTCCTTTCAATCGGAAGGAACAATTTTTGAGATGAGAAGCAACTGATATTAAAGAGGCATTAGATACAGACGCCCACAAAGGGTCCCCAACTACACCCTGCATCAGCAATAAATATCAACGGTAAATCAGTTACATGCAGATCGATAGAAATGCAGGTATTGTGCTTTTGAGGAACAGCCATTTAACCTTTTGTTCTAAAATGTATCTCCAGAATCTCTTCATAAGGCCAAGCTCTGAAGGAAGTGAATTCATAACTTTTTGCTTCTGGGATGGACAAGAGGATTAGACACAGGAAATTGTCACAATAGCTGCAGGACTAAACAAGGATGCAATATTTCCCACATCAGGGTCTCATATTAATAGCACATCTGATCAGGTAGGGTGATTACATTACTTTCTCAAATAACACAATGTCATACTATTGAATTGAAATTTTAGTCCATACAATTACCGGAAACTTATTCTTGTGTTGAATAAGAAGTGACTTCACATCTTCTATATGAATATCAGGAATAAAATCCACAAGAAGTAAGCCTGAACGCAATTGTTTTAACAGCTAAGATATCACAAGATGCAGAAACCAGATGCACGAAGAAATATGAAGCGTTTCCGACCTTTGTACTCAGAATCTGAGAGTTCCCGTGCTCCCCAAGCAGATAAACGAAGAATCACTGGACCACTAAATCCCCAGTGTGTAACCAACATTGGCCCAACCTTTCATCCAACAAAGATTAGTACCCAATGTCCACATAGAATGTTAAATGTTGAAATGATAATCTTGCCTGAGTATGCTCGGATATGCTCTGGCGAACAGTTTCCAGCTTCAGCTTTGCTCTAACCTTAGGAAATGTAACCTGTGCCGCAGATAATATGACAAGAATAACAGTATCGGCATTACGAAGAACAAAATGAAAGTATAACAAGAATTATTATTATTAACAGATGTAATGTGAGAAGAATTTAGTATGCATAAACACTTAGTTTTTCTTGAAATTGACAAAGGATGCATTGCACGGAGAAATTCCCATTCAGAATTGAAAGGTGGCATGTTTACGTGGCATGTTAAACATATCCCATTCTCACTCTCTTTCTTCTTTTGTTTGTCTTTGCTAGCTCATCGATACCCTTCAGTATTGTAATCTATGTCTTCGGATCTCATATAAAATTATCATTTCTCTCCAAGAAAACAAGCATATCAGGATGTTGACATTGAAGGATTCTGTAATGAGTTTTTTATCCTCTGATAATGCAAAAGATGGAAATATAAAGAAAGAAAGAAAGGTTTCTGAAGCAATGATTAATCATTAAAGTTCCTTCTATCCAGAAGCAGATACTTTGTGAATGTAAAAGGAAACGAATATGTGTTCTTCAGACAATTGACAGCAGCCTTAACCATTTATCAAAAAGCAATGTAGCTTTCATCAACAGATCACATACTAGAAAGCACATTGGTTTCATTAAGAACTTATACAGCGTATCATATGAGAGGAAACAGATGAAGAGAAAAATAGTAAAAATATTGATGATAACGCAATTACCCCGCTCAGTTCTACTAACTGGCAATCATCAATCTTGAAAGTGAACAAACTGGGCACTGGCTTAATTATAGAATGACCAAGTTGAGTTGCAAGCTTATATCCCTGCCACAATAAAAACAACCAGTTAGGCAAAATTGCATAAACATAACATCACAAAAAGAATGAAAGAAACACGTTCTTTGAAAATAATACACTACAGCTAATAGTAAATGTTTGTCCTCAAAATGGTAAAACTACATTAATTCTAGTTTGTCAGCCACAATTAATATTAGAAATTATATCTTCAAAAAGTCTAGAGAGCATGTCAGCAATACCAATTCCAGTTCACCTCAGACATAAGGTAGTAGGTGAATTGTCGAAAATTGGAAATACTCTTTCAAAGTGAAATTCATCTCACAAAACAAGTGGTAGGAATGGCAAAGACTTAGCCAAACCTGCTCACTGCTACCGCTAGCAATCAACAAGTAATTGGCTTTCACATATTCAACATAGTCGATGGTGCGCTTTTCAATTTTCACAGAGAATTTGCCATCATCAGTAGTTGACACACCTGTAACAGCTTTTCCTGTCTGCAGTAGAACTGATTGAAACATGCAATCAACAGAAGGAACCTCAAAAACCATGGAGATGCTAAGAACACACTACACTACAAGAAGTTCATATGATAGGCTGTTAAAAAAATGTTTGTCCTGAGTTTGAAACATCTATTAATGCCAAATGGTAAAACTACATTAAGCAATAGTTTGTCAATCAAACAAGGCATTAGAGGCATGTAAATCAACGCATAAAAGTATCTTCAGAATGCCTAGTGAATATATTAACAATACTTACCACCTCTCTTCTTCACCTCAGACATAAGGCAGTCGATAATAGTAGATGAACTGTTGCTGATCGGAAATACTCTCCCATCAAGTTCAACCTGAGAAACAGAATGAAATACAGCTCATAAATCAAGTGGTAGGACAATATAGAGATGAACTTAAAAGGATGAGTTAAGAGAATCAAATCACTTTCAGTTCAACACCATGATCGGAAAACCATGACATAGTATCAGCTGGGCCATGCATCTTGAAAAATGCTCCACGAAGTTCTTTATTACCTCTTGGGTAGTTTCCTGCCAGAATCTATGCAAGCTGTCAGCATGAGAGCATCCAAAAAGATGATTAATCCCTGCAGTCAAATTATAGCCAAACACTAATATAGCAGCTATGCTTTTGCCATCAAAGTTACAGATCTAAATGTTTATTTCCGGAAAGCATCTCCACCTAATTAAAACTCAAATAAACTAAATATAGTGTGTTATTTATCACAGCATCAAATATTATTCTTGATGATAATAATAAAGAACATAACTTGTGAAATTCTATTTAAAGTGTTTCATTCATCATAAATCTCTATCCCTTTAAATGTGAAACTAATTGTAGGTTGGCCGGACTTTCATTTCAGTGTATTCCTGAAATCTGAAGTTTCAACTCAGTTTTCAATCCGTAGACACAATAATACCTGTAGCATTGACGCGCGTATGAATGAATAAACCCAGTCATCAAATTCTCTATGCCAGAAAGAATTAACATAGAAATATAAATAAAAATTGGGGCACTGACTACATGTTCAGAATTTTAGCTGTAAATCTACTTGAGAGACATAACCACCACAGAATCTGTTGAAATATCTTAAACATATTATTGTTTAGATTATATTTCTATTATCTTAAATTAAATTGTTATTATTTGAATTCATTAGAGGTACACGCCAGTGGCATGAGAGAGCATATCCGGATTCTGTTGACGGTTTTTCAACACATCTGTCAAATATGTTTTGGTTCCAATGAAGTTTAGGTTCAGTATTACATCATTTTTCCTGATTTTGCTCTGCTCTCTCGGAGAACTTTAAGAGGATGTTGAGATATGTTGAACATACTGTGGTTCATTCATAGTATAAATTAGGTTTCTATTATCTTAGATTAATATGTTATTATTTGAATCTATCCTATAACACCTACAATCTGATTTCTTTATATGTATACAATTCTAAAGTTCCGTCAACCCTAACACAATCACTGCAGCGCTGTGCATTCACGAATTAATATAGCAAAGAAAATAAAATAGGGCCAGCTGAAAACAGAGGATTGCACTGAGTTCATCCTTCAACACAAACGATAAATCACTTACCAAATTGTCAAAGCAATGGCCGTTAGTCACATTGCATCGACCACCGCCAGAAATCTTCACCTACCGAAACACAAAAATATCCATTCAACAAACCGAACAGGAAAACAGCGTTAACGCAGGTCCATGAACTTCTGTAAAATAGGCTATGGAGCATACAGACCTTAGATAGAGGCTTCCCTTTCTCAATAACAACAACGTTCAGATCAGGCGCAACAGTTTTCGCCCTAATTGCACCATAAATTCCGGCAGCTCCACCTCCTACAGCTACTAGAGTCTGTTCATCTGACTGCTCAAGGAACCAATAATTTTAGCAATTTTTAAACAAAAGCCATTCATGCGTGCGCAGTGTTCTGATAAGTAGAAAACTGTTTACCTTCGAAGACAAGGTGACCGCAGTCCCAAAACATGCTCGCCTGTGATTCGAGTACAGAAAACAAGCATAATTTCTCGATGTAGTGAAGATTTTCGGAAGGGTTTCTGCGTCGAAGGCGAACCGTTGGAAGGTGTTCATTCTGTATCCAGCGTTTTGCGGCAGCGGGAGAACTAAGAACAGAGATAAATGGCGGGTGGATTTTGGGGTTTCTCCGGTGTGTGTTGGTGCGGTTTCCTCCAATTTGACTTTATTTTGTAGTTTCGAATTTCGCGGTCTATGCTCGGAACGGACATGACAACTTATTTTCAGTCCATGCGGCATAAAAAACTATAGAAGTTTGGACATCTACACAGTAAATATTTATTTTTGACACGGTATTTAATAAATAATAATAATATTTTAATTATAATTGATAGTTAAAAATAATGTAATATTTTATTTTTATTTTTAGTATAAAAATAGTTATATGATGTAAAATAAAAATATTTATGAAAAAAATAATAATAAGGTATTTAAACAAAAATTAAAGTATTTGTGTTAATATATAATTATTATATAAATTAAAAAGTATGGTAAAAAAAAGTATTATAAATTATAACAAAGAGTGTGTAATATGTATCCTATCTACTAATACATAAATATATTATTTTTGAATTATTAACATTTTTATTTATACTTAGTATAAAAAAGAATTTAAACTAAGATCTAAAAATTTTGATTAAAAAATTGTCTAAAATTTTACAATTACTAATTGTTTTAAAAAACAAAAATAAAGAAATTCAAATTAAACACTTATTTTTTTTTAATTATCTTATTATAAATACATAATATCCACGCACACTCCACACCACACGGATGAAAACTCCAATTTCTAGCATACTAAAGGAAATTTCAACTGTTTAAACTACGTACCCTCAATTAGTTGTATATGGTCGTTTGTTATTTATAGTTATCTAATTATTTTAAAAAAAAAAATGACATGAGACGGATATAAACGACAATGTGAACATGATAGGTGGAACGAAATATTATATTAAAAACATTTATGATTAATATGAAATATTGACACAAAGATACAAATGGTTAAATTTGGTGGTACAAATATATACTAAAATTTGATCAATACAATTGTTAGAAATGATCCTTTTTCTTACACTTTCATTCTTCCGCGCATTTGGCGATGGCAATGCGAGTAAAAAGAACTTTGAATAGCCAAATATCAACCAAGCATGCCGTGGAAAGCAAGCATGATGCACACAAAAGTAGAACTCACTGCACTATAATCCACACGCAGCTGTCAAAACAAAGCACCGAGAGCGAACAATGTTAAGTCATAAACAGGATGCGCAGAAGGCGAGCAAACATAGGGAATTAAATATAAGAGCATCTAATAAAGCATTGACATCGAGAGAAAAATCGACTAAATTCACTAGCACAATGTTCAAAGGTTCGACTATGGCGTAGCTTATGCTTTATAAACATTCAAACACATTTTTTTCAATGTAACTCACATGTAAGTTATCTACTAGAAACAATTGGCTTACTTCATATACAAAAGTTAGTTTACTTTATTTGCATAAAAACAATGTCCACCACAAAACAAACTACATCATAATTAAGGTTTTATTTAGTATGTTGAATCAATATTTTTATGCATTGAAGTTAATATAATACAAATGCAATACACGAACTAACAATATATAATGCTGTACTTTGATCTCAGCACGTACAGACAATATATAATTTATATTAATATAATACAATACAACATATGACAGTAGTCCACATAGCACATGTCACAATTAACGCATCACAATATATAATATATAACCAACAATAATGGAAAATAGTTTGAGAAAATTTTAGGTGGAGACGAACCTCTAGCTGTAGGTGGAACTAGAACAACGCGCATAGTCGTATTGTTGGGAGGTAGAGCCAACCGGAGAGGATAAAGCTTTGCATTCACAATGTTACGCGAACACACAATTATATCATCCAACCCTGTTTCTTCTTCCAACTTTTGAGTCAATTCTTCAACCCCATTTCCTTTGAAATGAAAAGATTGCTCCGGATTCTCAACCCCTCCATCATCGTCGGCTATTCTGTAATATATCAATCTCCCTTCGGATTTTCTTTGTGAATCATCGTGTGAATCTCCGCTCTAGCCCATGAAACAATCAAGAATCAAACCATCAATAATTAACAATAAGCATCATGTAAAAAAATACAACCGCCACTTTTTTACACCAAATCTTTGAATCTCAATCACTCGTATGTGTCACCACGCATATAATACATTCATACTCTCCCAAAAACCAAAAATACTATAAACTACAATATAATCCAATCTTACTTCGACCTTAAAATCAACCACATTATATGTATATATATATAGACACACATTACATATGATCTTTCCATTGCGGTTTACTTTACGTTAAGCATACTAACTTTCGCCCTTTTTGCTAGGAAAAAGAATTAAAACCTTCGTCTCCGAAATCTTTAGGCACAATTGATACGAAAAAATTTCGATTTCTTCAACCCATAAAATTTTCTTTTCTATTATTCCTATCAACAATTTTCATCTGCTTCAAATATAATTTCTTTCTCATATTCAGGATCCATTTTTCATTGTTAAATCATTGCATTCAAATTCTGTCTAGTAATTCATCTATGGAATCCATGAACAACAATAACAAGGGAAGCACTAACCCAATGGCTAGGGACGGTAATATGGAAATCCGAATTTAAATCATTGTCCAGCGAATCGGATCGACTATTCGGCGACTCGCTCCGAACCTCGACGACGTGAACCTCCCACAGCACCCAGTCACGGTGCCGATGAGGAATATCGTGAGTGATCGAATTTCTCCACGGTGGCAATCCTCCATTTGCGCGCAGGAAATTTCCGTATCGAGTTTTGAGCTTCACCAAATTTCCATCTTTAACGGGCTCCCATTCTACAGACGAATCGAGCTTCTTAGGTAGGCTCTGGATCACTTTCTGCCCTGATACCCCCAATTTGAGAAACTCCTCGTCCGAGGCCGTTAGGTATTTACCGTAACAGCTCTTCAATCGCACCACGCTCTCCACGCCTTCCACGAACTCCACCGTCCACCTCGCCGCCACGCCTATGCCGGACCGGACTTGCACCACCGTCTCCCTGTCCGAATCCGCCGTCAAATATTTGTCGTGGTGGCTCTTCAGCCGGACGGTTTTCGCCTTATTGAACTGCTCCATTCCCGAAACCTACAGCAAACTCCCATTCCAAACCCTGATTATTTTCCCAATCAATAATCCAATTTCGTACGGAAATTTCGAAAACATAAACAAGCTCCAAACCTGCATTTTCAACGGCCTGCAGAAATTCAAACGATAGCAATTTTTTTTTTATGGATTTTCGCGATGCTTGACCTGAAACTCAACAAAATGATAATGATTGACGATGATGATGATTGGAATGTGCAGGAGAAGATGCTTGCGGTAATTACCAATTAAGTTGGCTGGTAATTAATTATACGGTAATTACCAATTATATTATTCTTAAAACTAATTACTATACTTAGTTTTGTCTAACAATATAATGGATAATTTTCTATTTTTCAAATAAGAGTATTATCAATACTTTTCACACTAATTATATAAAATAGTAAGGATATTTTGATTTTTTAGAAATATTTTTACATTTATTCTTTAAATTCACGTGTCAATTCTAAATATTCTTATTGTTTTGAGACATAAAAAATATACATTAATTATATAAAAATAAAGAGTTTTATTGTATAGATAAAAACATTTGTTTATTAAGTATAGAGATAGAAATAAAGGATTTTAAATTGATATTATATATTAGTACAATTACAATTAATTAAATTTTACATTTGTTAAGTATTTTTTGAATTGTGTCTTTTGTTAATAATTGTGTTTATTTTGTATTTTTGAATGGATGAAAGAATGCATTTTTATGTTATATATAATAAATTGTATAGGCAATGTGTGTTTATTTTGTGTTTTAGTTTAAATTTTTTTATATTATGTAAAATATAAAAAATTGTGTAGATAATATAAAAATAATTAATGTATTTAATATATTAATTATTTTTTAAAAATGTGTAGAAATGTTTTTACAAAAAGAATAAGGGCCTGTAGATGTCAAAAGTAAAAATAGAAGCAGAACAAGAATTGAAGATCTTTTAAATTGTTAAAATTATTCAAATGGACATAGTGTTAATATAATAATATATTTTTTAAAGTTTTTATAATTATTTTTAAAATCTGATTATTTATATTTTAAAATTTTAATTTAAAGATAATATATCAATTAAGAATAAAATTATAATTTAATATTAAATTATTTGTATTTTATAATTTATTTTAAAAGTTTATAAATTATATTTAGTAATTTTAGTATAATTAAAAAATTTATATACTCTTATTTAAATTTGGTATCTCATTTTTTAATTTTAATCCAAATATAATATATAAATTATAAATAATAGTATAATAATATTTTTTTTATTAAAAGGATTATTTATATATTATATTATTAGTATATTATTATTGTATTTATATTATTATTATTATTAATATTAATATTAATACTAATGATTGCTTTTGCTTATTTTTAAAAGCTATTTGTGCTTTTGAAAAAACGGCTTTTGAACAGAGACTAATGCAAACGCGAACAAAATGTTCTTTTAGAAGTAAAAGTAAAAAATTCATACCAAAAACCAATCTAAACAAGACTCCAGGATTTTTGCAGCGACCATCAAATTGGATTTTTATTTTTATTTCATTTTTTTCGGATTTTGGCTTCGAATTTTAAAGGTCGCTGCCACACCCTTAAAATTGCTTGGGAAATTCTGAAACAATAAAAGAATATAAGCCCACATATTTTTGAAATATGCAATTTCGGATTTGGTTTCGAAAATTTCAAAGTTATTTTATAATTTTCGAGACGGTTGAAAAGACAATGAGTTTTGTTAAATAATATATTGTCCAAAAAATCTGTTATCAATAATTTTGTTAAATAGCTAGTTGAAGATACTACGGATTTCAATTTGTTGGAATTGAATATGAATTTTTTTTTTTTTTTTTTTAAAAAGACTAAATATTTAAATTCGAAAATATATGATTTGAAAAATATATACATATGATATGATCTTTTGAAATGATTTTGAGTTGTAAGTATTTGTATTCATAATTAATTAAATGAATAAATAATTAATTAAATAATTGTTTTTATCCATAATTTTGTTAAATAACTGGTCGAAGATATTACTGATTTCAATTTGTTGAAACCGAACATGAAATTTTAAAGAAAATTAAATGTTGAAATTTGAAATATATGATAAAAAAAATATAAAAGTATATTATTTTGAAATAATTTTGAGTTGTTGCGTATTTGTATAGATAAATTATTAATAAATTCTAAAATTTTAATATTATATTTAAGATAAAACTTAAGTAATTAATTTTATATTATTTTTGTAAATTAATTTGTTCTTAGAAAAGATAATAGTAACAATCGAGAAGATAAGTAACCAAAAAATTGAATGTTGTGTACAAACATAAAATTGAAACTTAAATAAACATAGTAATAATCTTTATTGATAAAATTATATTTAAATTACTATATAAATCAAGTGTTGATAACTAACTCAATATTGACTAGAAACTTTCTTTGCAAACTATCTATCTTGAATATTTTAATAATTACTTTTCTGAATAGGTCATATTGTCAAATTTTTTCTTTCGTCAGATTAAAAACTTAATAAAAATTAATCCAAATTTTTACCCACATTGTAAAATCTGAATTTTTTTTTGCCTTTTTGTCATCAATAAATTTATTGTTTTATTTTATGTAAATTTATTTATATAATATGATTTTTAAAATTTAAATAATTTAAAATTTAATTATTAGAATTTATAAATAAAATTTAATTAAGTTTTATAGTACAAATATATTTTTATAAAAATAATTAATTTATAGTATAAAATTTAAAATAAAATGATAAATTTATTATATTAAATAAAATTATTAATATTATAATATATTATATATATAATATTGAGGAACCGGACGGTTCCTCAACTTATTTATTTATTTTTATTTTTTAGTTGATGTGCAATTAAATAACAATAATAATATATAACTCTACATATATATCATATATTCTTAAGTAATATTAGGGAAATCCTTTATTTTTATTTAAAAAAACAATAATAAATCTATAAAAAAATAAAATCGACTTAGTCAACATACACTCCCAGCCAATTAGACCCAGCCACGTGTCCCTGTTTGATATTTATCCTAAAACGTACACATCCAATCTCTGGCTAGATATGATATAAATTAACTTTCAATCTAGTGCATTAACCATGAATCTATCTTCAATTCTTCATTACCTGTAAATTTGTCGATTATTTATTATGACCATTAAAGGTGCTTCTGCCCCAGCTTGTGCAGCCTGCAAATACCAGCGCCGGAGGTGTACGCCGGACTGTTTACTCGCGCCATATTTTCCGGCGGATCAGCCACAGATGTTTCAGAACGTTCACCGTCTCTTCGGCGTCGCAAACGTCGCCAAAACGCTGTCGACTTTGAAGGACAATCAAAATAAGAAAGACGATGCAGTCACATCAATTATATTCGAATCGAATATGCGCGAAAAATCTCCCATCTTTGGATGCGTTTTGGCCATCTATTCGATTTATGTTAAGTATGTCTATATGTGTCAAGAGTTTCGAGAGATCGAGTCGAAGCTCTTCGCTTTAAGAGGGCCTAAGGAGTACGTCGATCTCATTGATGGTTTCAAAAGCATTCGGCAACAGATGATGCCTAATTTTAATCAATTCACTGGGCTCGAAGCAGCTCTGGACCAATTTCATGCTAGCCCTAACCCTAATTTTCAAATAGAAAATGGTGAGGTTTCGGGAGATCTTTGGTGTTTGGTCTCTGACATGAAAGGAATGCGGATTGATGCTGCGGCAAACAATGTCGAAGATCAAAATTGCAACGCTATTTTGGATGAATTTGATTCACAATCGGGTAGTTTGAAGAACGAAGAGATCATAGAAAAAAAAATAGGAGAAGAAGAAGGACAATCATATCCTGGATCAAATCAGGATTTTGATCGGTCAAGGTTTATATTTCTAGAGCTGATTGATTTTCATTATATATATATATATTGTAGGATTACAATTTTAAACATTCGAAAAATATTGGATTTACATATTATATTTGATTAATTCTAACTAAAAGATAATTTTTTTCTTCTAAAATGAGATAAACGCTGGTGTGTATTGTTTGTTTATAGTGATTATATTGACAGTGTTGATGCAGATCCGCAAAAAACAGATGGAGATGGAGAATTCAACAATGCCGTAGATTCATGTCTCATCAATCAGTTTTTTGTAGAGAACATTCCCTAACAGCAGCTGCGGCAGCCTAAAACTTTTCAGTTTTATTGTGATTGAATTTCATTGGACTTCGAAGTTAAACGAGTTATTGCTGGGATGATAGGATTGAGCGATCTCATTGAGAGAGACCTTGACCTCCTAGAAAGTTCTCGTGTTGCATCGAAGATCGGATTGTGAATATCAGTCCAATTTTATATTTCTATCTTGTATGGTCTTAGTTTCAATAATCTTCTGTTTGTTTTATTATTTGGTGTTTTTCTAGCTTCTATTGTATACTGTGAAATCAATGCATATGCATTTTTGTAAAGGGTGTGGATCATCCTTCTCAATTTTTATGATCTATAGATTTCTTTATTTTTATTTTTAAATTGTTTGTTTCTTTTTATGACAAAGAAATCCGGCTGAATTTAATACCCTGCAACTATCTGAAGTCACATAACCATGTGTGGCAGGTAATCTGAAGAGCCAGGGACATAAATTGACTTTTGATTGAGTCGCAAATAAATCAATTTTCACTATTTGATTGTCACTTGAGGGTCGGGGACATAAATTTCGGGGACATAAATCAATTCTCAATTCTCATTATTTGATATGCAGTATATTTATTTTTATTTTTTTTAGTATTTAATTTTTATAATTTTTTTATAATTTATTATTTTAATTTTATAAAATATCACGTTTAATTTATTATTTAAGTATTTAATCTTTTAAGATTTTTAAAATAATTACACTCAAATTTAATCTTACAAAATATTGTATCTAATTTATTATTTAAATAACAAAATTCACCAAAAATATTTTATACATTTAATATTGTATCTAATTTATTATTTAAATAACAAAATTCACTAAAAATATTTTATAGATTCGATATTCTGGATCAAAATATGTAGATAAAGATAATATTTTGAAAGAAACTTGAATTTGATTTGTATAGATAAATCATTGATAATTTTTTAAAAATTTTAAATTATAACTAATTAATTACAAATTGTAATTATTTTTTTGGAGTTAAGATAAATTTTTCTAAAAGTTAATAAATGTATTTCTCAGTAAAATTTTGAAAAGACAATTATAAAAATAATGAGAAAGGTGGTGATTGAGTGATGAAAGCTTCTAAAAAATAATCTCAAATTTAAATTGAAGCAGAATTCTAATTTTATGACTTTTTATTGAGTTATTGTCGATAATTTCAATTAATTACTTTATGTAATTTTTTTTATTATTTTTACTAATTTTTTTTGTTGTTCTTATTATTATTATTATTTTAAAACTTTAATACCTTTCTTTTTATATATTGGATAACTTCTATTAATTATGTATATATTGACTATTGCATTCATACCTATCTCATATTTCTGCCTATTCTTTTAGGTGATTATTCATTTCCAATCTGAAAAGATATTCTAAGGGGAGATTTTTCAACCTGTTTGAAGTCATGGGCAAAGCTGAGGATATATATCCGAGACTGGCTAAGCAACTCCCGGGGAAGAGATATGGTCTAAAATCCGGCAATTGGCTTGGAATTTGGACTCGACAATCAAACAACTTGAAACAATATATCCCATGGTTTGCTAAAGAACTCTAAGTCCCATTTTATATAGGATACATCTCAATGGACCGATGAGATCGATTCAATCTAACGGCTATAATCAATTTAATAGAACATAGTATACACTTTTCCAAAACTAAATTTAAAAGTTGTACAAGACTCTTTCATGTTTTAAAAATTGCATAGAATCTTTTAAAAATTTTAAAAGATTCCCTTATATTTTTGAAAATATTATATAAAATTCGTTAAAGTAAATTTTGTACAATATTTTTAAAACACAAGATAGTTCATATAATTTTTAAATTATAAAGTAAAATGGTGCAAAATTTTCCAAATTAAAAATGATGTTATAAATAATTTTGCCTAAATATAATTACATATGATGACGTAGATTGTCAATAGAAGATAAAAGTTGCATAACAGTTGGCTTAACACCATAATTAGATGTTTTCTTAATTCAAGTCATTGTTTATACTAATACTTATTAGTTTTAAAAAAATTATTTATATATATCTGATAGTTGTGATTTTATGAGTAAAGCACTAATTAGGAGTGATTTAGCACAAGTGAATATAATTTATCAATGTTTCAAATTATTTTCCTAATAACATTTGTTTTTTTTCACATATTAAGAAAGCATTTACTTGTACCTTTTAAATTAAATGTGTAACACACAATATTTAACTATAGACCCTAACAACGTTAATAATTTACTTGTTATTACCGTTGTACCAAATTTTGAATTTAACCTAGATTAGATTTCCTGACCGAAGATTTCGAAGAAGACCACGATTCTTAAGATTATTGGAAAAAGAAATATTCGAAAAGCGCATATCGTTTTTGAACAATAAATATCTTTTTACTAGAACTACTTTTGAATTCAACCTAGGTTAGATTGTCTCGTCAAATATTTCAGAAAAAAATTAAAAAAAACTACGATTCTTGCGTAAGTTCGAAGATTCTGGTTCAATAGATCCAAAAGACCTTCTTTTTCTCGCCCGCGTACTAGAAGCTCTTCCAAAATTCGTAAATAGTTGTTGAAGGGGATGTTGAAGAAATGTCATCATTTGAATAATTTGACTAGATTAATTTTATTTAACCATGAAATTTAGAGTTAAATGAAGAAAATTTATTCTTACAACATTTTTTCTCTTAATTATATCATTAACAAAAATCACAATTCATAAATATAATATATATATTTTTTCAAAAGGTATAATTGTAAATGGTACAATACATAAATAATTACACCATTAATGGATATTATTATAATTCCTTCGTCCAATTTCTATTGTACTAAAGGATATTTGCACGGTTTTTTAGGTGATTGTGTTTTTGTTATGAATGGACAAATTTGCCCGTAAATGTATGGTAGAGATTAAAAGAATAAATGAATAAATAGTAAAAATATAAAATTTGTGTTTAAAAAAGAAAATAGGATAATAATTGTTGGACATCCCAAATAAAAAAGTAGGACATTTGTTTGTGGAAGGAGGGAGTAAATGCTAACCCCACAACTGATCAATTAATTAAATTGTTCTTACCAAAGTGATCATTGTTCCTAATTATAGTTTCTTTTACTTTACTCCATCTTGACATGCTACCATTATTTGTTCTCACAAAATTTCCAAATCAATTTTGGAAATAAGTATTGTTTGTATATATATTTTTTAACTTTCCTATTCCTTTTCTTCTTCTTCTTCTTATTTATTTATTTATTTATTTATTATTTTCATGTTCTTTATATGCAATTATTGTAATTTTTTATATAAAAAAATATTAGTATTTCTATCACAAAACATTTACATCTAATAATTATTTAAACTAAAATTTAAAACCAAAATAGAAACCAATCACAATAAGTGAAGCCCTGATCTTTCAAATACAAATTCATTTAAATATAATAAATTATATATAATGTGAAAATTAAATTCAAATTAAATATAATATTTGCTGGTAGTCTCAAATTAATCTGAGATTATTTATATTATCTACAAAATCATAAAAAAAAAACCATTCATAAATTTTTATACTATTCAAAAAATCTTTAGATAAAATAATTATTTTAATTTAATTTCATCCGCCCCATATTTATTTTATATAAAGTCATCACCTAACTTTCATAAATAATAATACTAATAATAATTAATAACATGATACTCACAATCCAAGTAAGACATATAATATAGCCTTAAAAGTAATCAATTAATTAAAAGGGAGAAATAGGGTTTGTTTATTTAGTGTTTTAGTTTGAGAGATTTTTGTAAAAGAAATGTATAGATAGTCGTGTCGATAATATAAAAGTAATACTTATTTAAATTTATGTTAATTTTTTTGCCGTCGTAAAAAATATTTCTGTTTTTTTTTTTTTAAAATTTTATTTTTACTTATTTTTTAAAAAAATTTGTGTCCGATCAAATAAATATAAAGATAAATAATGGAAGGAGTATTATTTGTGATTAAATTATTGATTTTTGTGAAATGATAAAATACAAATATAATATATATTAAAAATTGTGTCATAAAAAAAATTGGCTAGATGGTTATACTCTTTTTGTCCTACATATACGCAAACGGGGTGCGGTAGAACTTGAACTCGAGACCTAAATTTTGATACGATATCGAATGTTGAATGACCGTCTTACATAAAAATGTGAACTGTTAGAAAAATACAGACATTAATTATATATTTAAAAACGGGAGTTCCTGTAGAAATTTTTAGAATAATAAAAAATTTAGAATAAAAAAAATTGATGTGATGTACATAAATATTTAATATAAATATAAATATGTGATATTTTTTATATTAAAAATATTTTTAATACCACAATAAATATTTGATCTAATAACTTTTTGGGATAATAAATAATGCCATAGCGAAGGCATGTTTTTCCTTTTTTTTTTCAAATTTTATTTTGGTATAAATATATCTAAATTACTTTATATCAAGCTTATATTATTACTTTAAAATTACATAAAAAAAAAAACAGCAATAGCAAGGGTGTGTAATGTTTTTTCTTCTTTAATTTCAAATAAAAAATAATATTATTTAATTGACACGATTAAAGTATATTTTTTTCTCTAAAAAAAGACATTAAAATATTATTTAAATAAAAATTTAAATTAATTTTAAAATACAAATAAACATACGTTTAAGTTCGTATTCCTTCGGGATTTAGTTTCTTAAACTTACTATTCTTTCACTGTAGAGGAGAGTTTGGACGCAAAACTAGAGCTAAGACGACATCTTCTACACCTATTCGAATCTCCTGAGTTTGATAATCTCTCTCGACTAAACCGATGGCAACAATGAGACAATGTTCATCCATCTCTTCGCAATCGTTCAACGAAGGAGGACCATCGGCGCGACAGAGTTGAAAGGTAATGGCGAGAATCACAGACTGCGACAAAGAGTTTTTCTTAATAAAAAGATTTTAAATAAACATCACAATATATTTTTTTATTATTTTAACTCTTTTGCTTTTATCTAATTCAAACTATTATTTTTATTAAATTATATATTCACATTGTAACAATCATTACCTATCAAATTATTCATAGTTAAAATCCCTCAAATTGGAACAATATTAGGCCAAGGAAATGCAATTTTTCAAAATTTTAAATCCAAAGCAAATAAAAATTTTCCTAACCAATCTCAAAGAAAAGCAAACTTATTCTATGAATATATAATATATATGTTTGGTATTACAATGTCATTGCTTACCTCATGAATATTATTCATTTCATAATAATTTCAATATTTTTAATGAAATTTATCTATAATCTTCTAACTTTGTTTCTTTGCCAATAAAATAATACATACGTATACATTCAAATTTTGATTATTTTTTATAAATTAATATGTATATATATTACATAAAATTTTCTTTATATTAGTAGATAAATTCATTCCAAACCGATCAAAATAATAAAATATTTGTCCACTTGTAATGTATATATATATATATATATTTTTATATATCCAATGAAAAATATACATATTTAGTTTTAGCAAAATCAATTGTACTATCAATTACAAATGATCGTAGTCCCATTTATACATTTATTTATAATAGTATTACATTATTGTTACTTTTAAAATATAGATGTCTTTATACAATTAAATACTAAAAAATAAATGTATATCTTAGAACAAAAAGAAGAGTGTGTTTTAGAGATTTCAATTTTGATCGAACACCTATTTATTTATTTATTATTATTATTAATTGACTCTCACTCATAAATAAATAATTAAAAATTATGCGACGGTGATTCAAATAATTTAATATATATTTATATCATATTAAATAATTATTTTATTCAAAATTTTATTATTGAAAACCAAATCCACCTTAAATTGTTTTAGACAGGTGAGTATTTAAAATTCAAAATCAATAAAAATGAAAAAAGAAAAGAAAAGAAAAGGAAAACAAAAATCTACACGCCATCTGCAGAACAAACGCACCCCCGTTTTTATTACAACGATATCATAAATTTTTACAAAATAGAAAATTATTATTATTATTATTATTATTATTATTTTTCAGTACGTTCACTCGATAATTTCTAGATGAAACCATTTCAAATAAATATTATTAAAAAATATAAATATATACATATTAATATACTATGGGTGTGTCTCTCCAAAAATATCAAATCGAACATCTATTTTTTTTTTTATATTATACTAAAAATCAATTTTACATTCAAAACATCACGTCACTATATATTTATATCACATTATACAATTATTCAAATTCAAAAATTTTACTATTCAAATTTCAATTCAAAATTCAAATCCCAAAACAAACAGACCCTATATATTAATGGTCCTATTTATTTTTTGGGTAGTGATCTTATAAATAAAATAGTTTTAATAGTACTTTATAATACTATTACAATGATATTTGTTCAAAAAATTATATATAAAGACGGATGAAATATCATTTATAAAACATTCTCTCCATCCCATAACTAGATATCTATTTGCTTTTTGTATAATGCAGTAGGAATAAAGTAGAAATGACTAAAATGTGCGAGGTAATCACATTTGTGTAATATATTGTAAGTTACAAGGGTATTTGTAATGTTAGTACATTTCTAAAAAAAATATATTATTTCTTCTCACAAAATATTCCATCAAACATTATTTTAATAGCAAATTCAAACCAAAATTTTACCAGAAATTATCAAAAAGACACTTCATTACTGAATGAATGAAAGAGATTGATTATTATTATTATTAAAAAAATATGTATAATATATAATATATAATAGTATAATAATAATAATATATTTATTACAGTAGCAGCAAGGCAAGGCAAGGCAAGGCAAGGCAAGAGAAGAGCAGCAGCGAGCGGCGTTAGTGAAAGCAATAAACGTGGGAAGGAACTAAACAAAACTTTTTAATTAATTCTTCTCTCTCACTCTCTACGGTAGTTAGGGGAAGAACGAAGGGTAAATCCAACAACTCTCCGCCGGCCGCCGGAGAGTTTCGATTGTTGCCCAATTTCTCCGGCCATACTTTGATCTGCGGCCGCGGCTGCGGCTGGGGCGCCTTCAGCTTCCGGAGGTTTTGTCAATTTCCGATTTGCGCCAGAGATGAAGAAGCTGAAGAATTACTATTTGCATTTGAAGCATCCCCACGGAATGGAACGGAAATGGATCTTTCCGGTGGCAATCGCCTCCGTCGTGTCGCTATTTCTGCTGTTTTTAACCACCTTAACCTCCCCCGACGGCACGCCGCTTCTCCCCATCCACGGCTACTACTCGCCGTCCTCGTCGGCCTCTATTTTCGTCGAGTCGAAGCTGAAACCTCTCCCGATTTCCTCCCTGCCGCCGCCGCCGCGCTTGGCGTACTTAATTTCAGGCTCCGCCAGAGACGGCGCGATGCTCCGGCGGACACTCGAGGCTCTCTACCATCCGAACAATCAGTACGTCGTGCACCTCGATGCCGAGTCTTCCGCCGAGGAGCGCCTGGATCTGTATAATTACGTGTCTACACACACTGTTTTCCGGCGATTCCAGAATGTTCGGATGATTACAAAGGCTAATTTGGTGACCTATCGCGGGCCAACAATGGTGGCGAATACGCTTCACGCGGCGGCGATTTTGCTCAAGGAAGGCGGCGAATGGGACTGGTTCATCAATCTCAGCGCATCTGATTATCCTCTCGTTACACAAGACGGTAACGATTGCGATTTCTCTTAGCGATTTCTAACCCATTTTTGAACAAACATTTGCTTAATCTGGTGAATGGATTTGAATTTTTCTTTATTTTGGACTATTCCTTGGCCAGATCTGTTGCACGCATTCTCATACTTGCCACGGGATCTTAATTTCATTGATCATACAAGTGATATTGGGTGGAAAGAGTAAGTGTATTTTTGTTAACAAATCTGGATTCGAATCATTTGAGGTTTCTAATAATGGATTTAGGGCATTTTATGGAAATCTTCAGGTTCCAAAGAGCAAAGCCTGTAATAATTGATCCAGGGCTGTATATGACCCAAAAGGCCGATGTGTTCTGGATTACACAGAGAAGAAGTGTTCCAACTAAGTTTAAGCTCTTTACTGGTGAGTTTTGAGGATAGTTTCTGTGTTTATTTCATTGATTTCTGGAAGATTTTGCTTTACTTTGTAATCATAGTTCGATTTTGGCTATATTAGATATGAATGTCAATGGTGTTGAGTTAAAATCAAGAATTTCATGTTTGTGATTTATGGGCATGAATTATGTCTTGATGATAAGTAATTTATGAGCCGAGCTTGATTGTTTGATGGATTTTGTAGTATAGCGAACCTATTGCTGTATGTATCTTTGTGGCTGTGGTTCTAAAACTCTTATTTGTTGCGGTGTTGTAAATTCCTCAATTTGCTGTGATGATATAAATATTAAAGGTTGGTGCAGTAAAAATCGATGCTATTTTGATCGTATTTTTGTAGAATTTGTTGTTTATGTGTTACAAGAATGGTGGATATGTTAGAGAAGCATTTGCAGTATGGACATCCGATCTTTTGCTAAGGGTAAAAATGTGTTTGTTGCCTTTTTCACTACGGAATCGAAGTTATGGAAGCCTTGAGAACTGAGGAGTGCTCTGTGATTGTAATTGGAAACGGGCTCGATCAATTATCCGATTTTTCACAAAAAATTTCTAATGTTTCTGATGCCTATTGTGGTATTTGTGTTACAAACTAACCTTGCTTATTAATGTCATCCATTTGGTATATGCTCTGTTCAATTTCGATCATTTCCCATCTTGCTATAGTTAAACAAGATGATGTTTCTATTCTATTTTTTTTCGATTCTACAGCAACATGATTCGTCGTATTTTATTACAGGATCAGCTTGGATGGCGCTTTCTCGGTCGTTCATTGACTACTGCATCTGGGGTTGGGACAACCTCCCGCGGACTGTCCTTATGTACTACGCCAACTTCTTATCTTCTCCGGAAGGTTACTTCCACACGGTCCTCTGCAATGCGCCGGAATTCCAAAACACGACCGTCAACAGCGATCTCCACTACATATCATGGGACAACCCTCCGAAACAGCATCCTCACTACCTCAACCCCGACCACTTCCATAAAATGGTCGGCAGCAATGCGCCGTTCGCCAGAAAGTTCCCCCACGACAACCCCGTCCTCGACAGAATCGATTCTGAGCTCCTGTTCCGAGGCAAAGGCATGCTCGTCCCCGGCGGATGGTGCGTAGGAAGTCGGGAGAACGGGACGGACCCTTGCTCCGTTGTGGGCAACACAACCGTCCTGAGACCCACGAACGGCGCCAAACGACTGGAAATTCTCATGAACTCCCTGTTATCGAACGACAAGTTTCGCCCGCGCCAATGCAAGTAGAAAGCCCGGGAAAGTGTTCGACTGGTGAATATCTATCAATTGTTTTAGACGTAACGGGTAACGGGCTCGACGGTCGCCCCAGGGGATCAAGATTTGTAGCTGTATAAGGTGTCTACATATTCCAGGATCAAAATCAGTGTCCTGGAATTGAATTGTTAGCCAAATTTCAGTTGATATGGGCAACAGTTTCATCAATGAAGCAGTGCTCCAGCACTTCACTGAGGTGAGTTCTCTCTCTCTCTCTCTTCCTCTTTCTCTCTCTTTATTTTATTTTAATTTTTTGTATTGAAAAAAAAAAAGAAAAGAAAAAAAAAAAAAGAAAAAAATGAGGTTGGGGCTGTTTGAAAATGAGCAGCAATGTTTGTTCCACTTGTTTTGTACAACTGTTGTCTCACTCACTTAATGTATACTTACACAATCATGGGAATTTCATTTGTTCAAACTTGTCCACATCTCATTTTCTTTCACCATTTTAGGTTTGTTTTTGTTTATTTGTGTTCTTGGGAACTTCGGAAATAGTAATTTGATGTGATATTTTTCGTGAAAAATGTATAATATGTATTTGTGCTATGTTAATATGCATTTTGTGTTGATATCAATTGTATGGACAATTACTAGTTATAAATCCATAGGATGATTTGTGTTGTGTTAATTTGCACTTTTGATCTATGGATTATGGTCATATCTTTTATATACTGATTAGTTGTAATCAATATCTTAATTATTTTGATATTTTTCAGATTGTTTTGATTTTAATGACATTTGGTACATTTAAATAAAAACATACACAGTATATTACAGATGTAAAAGTGAAATTTTAGCAGTGTTGTTAATGCTAATTTCCTCTTTTGGAGATGGACAGATATGCAAATGCTCTTTTAATTCCAATCCTGGATTTGGTTTTGGTAAAATGATTGACTAATATGCCCATTTTGTCATTTTTTTAAGTATGTAAGTAGTACTATATTTTTTTATACTCCATTAGTTACATTTGTATTTATTTGGGGATTGGATTTCAAATACACTATTCATTCTATTTTTTTTCCTAAAAAATGTCAAATCAAACACTTTTTTTTTTTTTTTTTTATATTATACTAAAAATTAATTTTACATTCAAAACATCACATCAACACCTATTTATATCACATCGTACAATTATTCAAATTCAAAATTTTCCCTGTTCAAATTCCAACTCAAAATTCAAACCCCCAAACAAACACACCCTAAAATTATTCACATACGAAAATTAAGAAAAATATAATTACTATAATTAAAAAATATATTAGTAAAAAAAATTATTCTCTAGTATAAATAATTATAAAGTAAATATTAAAATAACTAAATAATTTAATTAAAATTAAAATAATTATAAAAGTTAAAATGGAATTAAAATGTACAATTATTGTTGTGTTTAGATAAATAGTAATTGATATGATATTTAATATAAATAATAATGATATTTTTATTGAAAATAATGAAATTGTATACTAAAAATACTAAAGAATATATACACTTTTTCATTCCATATTATTTGTCAATTTTATTTTAAATTTCCTTTTCTTTTTATTGGATATATCTATTAATTGATAATTTTTTATATAAAATAAAATTATATGAAAATCTAAATAAAAAAGTTACTTTATTCACTTTTTTTTTTTTTTTTCTTTAGAAAGAAAATAATGCTTTAAGCAAGGAACCAGGATGGAAAAAATGTATATTGTGCACATCTCTCATTTTATTTTTGTAGTATACTTTTCTTCTTCCCATTTTTATTGCCTTTTACTTTTTTGGGGAGGGCTTTTATAAATTGTACATTTAAAAAAATAAATAAATAAAAAAAAAGTTTTAGATGTAAATAATAAAAAATCAGTAAAAAAAACATTAAAACTTATGCAAATATATATTCTTTTCCATAAAGCATACAAAGCAATAATCAAACATAACTTATGTACTTTACTATCAAGTTATGTCTACATTTTTGTTATTATTTTATTAGTTATTATATATATATATTAAATATTAAATATTAATTAAAAAAATATCAGGGGTCGAGATAGGCACGGCACGAAAATTTTCAGCCTATTTTTGGAGGTCCAAAATTTTTTCATGTCTGGTTTGGATCGTGTCTATTTTGCCCCTATATATTTAAATTTTTGTATAAATAGTATTTTATTGTGATATTTCATAAGTGAAAATAAGACACCCTTCAACCCATCTTTATTTATTCATTTGTTTTTTTAGATAGAGTTTTAAAAATATTAGTATTATATTGAAATATAATAAAAATAAAAGTAGAAAACTGAACAAATGATATAAGCATAATCAAATTTGTATAATATATTGTAAATTGAAAAAGTATTTATAAAGTTAGTTACATAATACAGTTACTAAAAATAAATAAATACATTGTTACGAAACAAACCAAAATAAAAAAAATATATTATTAAGAGACGAATATATTTTTATTAAAAATGTACATAGAGAATAATTTTGATTTCAATTTGAAATTAGAAGAAATAATCCTATAAGTAGACTACTTAACGTATATAATTTTTTACAAACCTATAAAATAGTAGTACTACTTAACGTATATAATTTTTGACCAAACTGATAAAATAGTAGTAGTACTACTTACTACTATTATTATTAAACTAAATAAGTTTTTATGTAGGTGAAGTTTTCATATTATTTCTCTTATGCAGTTATTTGAGGTAAATGTGTTCAAAGCGAATAAATTTAAAAATTTTAATTTCAAAACGCTAAAATTACAAATATATTTATTTATTTTTAAAATACATTTCGCCTCAAAAAATAATAATTATACTAAAAGATAATAAGGATTGTTATTAGGTTTTAAGAGTCTTTTACCATTTTTTAGACTAAATATATATATAAAAGAATATATTCATAGTTTATAAATTAAAATTCTAAAATTTATTCACATGTATTTAATCAAATACAATTAAATAAAAACCGCCGAAGAAATTTATGAGATCGAGCACAATTTAGCAAAAAACAAAATAAAATAATGGCCTCATTGCATTTCTCTTGACGAGGATTTAATATAAAAATAATATTTAATAAGATATTTTGTGAAAAAAGAAAAAAGTTTAAAAAGAAATACCAAATCCAAATAGTAAAACTAAAAAAAAAATTTACCAAAGGAACTTATTTTTTCATTCCATAAATTATTTAACAAAAATTCCTTAGGTATCGCTATGAATGACCCAATATCAAATACTAATAATATTAGGAAAAGAACATTCTCCGGTGCTTCCAGCCAATCATACTCAGCTCCATCGGTGATTTGCAAAGCATCATCCAGGGAGTTCAATCAAATATACCTTCGGATCTTTAGTTTCCTATGGAACCAAAGGCAGAAGCAAAGCACATTGACAACATTAAAGAATTGGATGGGAAAGTCACAATTTTGTTTTCTTGCAGATGAAGTGATCAAAGTAAAAAATAAAATTAAATGATTCCACGGTTATAAACATTATATATCTAGATTAACACCATCTGCTCAGGATGTATGAAATTTTCTTCTCATAGATTTTGAACAAATCTCTGAAGTCTGACATGTGCATTATAATTTCATAAAATCATCACAGCAGAGGTGAGGACACAAGTTTACCAAATCCAAAAAGGCACATAATATGTTATGAATGCAGAATCCGACAATGAATTAACCGAATCCATTTATCTTCTCAAAGGAGAAGCATTCAGCAATAAGTTATGATAAAACCACAACAAAACCCAACCTTTTTCAGATTTTGAATGCAAGATGTAAAAAAAAACAAAAAGCAGCGTCCGCATATTGATGATGAACTATGACAGGAGATCAGAAATTGATTTGGATTTATCAGTCACGGTTTATTCAGAAACACGGACCAAATAAGAATTCATCACATCTCCAAGGCTCAAATGTGTCAACAATCCCCATCAAAATCGCAAAAGACAAACACAAATAATACCAATCCAAAAATTAAAATAAAAGAAAATTTGAAGATCCAACAACTGCAAATCAGAAATCATCAGAGACTTAAATACAATGAATCACCGGTAATCTACCGATCATATTGTTGCAGTTTTTTCTCCTCACCTGACCGAAAAACAGTGTAAAACACGATAAACGCCATATAATATACAAAACAGAGAGAATAATCGGAAGAGTGTTCGAGCAAGATTAGTATGTGCAGCTGTGGAGACCTCATTTTATACAGTAAGAAAACAACGGCGTTAGGGTTTCGTTTCCCATAAATCTAGGATTACAGTTGAGCCCATTTTATATATGGGCTGAAGTCTGCTTAGGCCCATTAAGAACCAAATACCAGCCCAATAGTCTTTTCACACCATAGAGAATAATATGGAGCTCCAGGGAGTTCAACTCCAGATGACTCCAGTAATCCAGTGTGGTTGAGGTTTTCCCAAAACTTTCAGGTTAATTACTTTTTTTTTTTAAAAAGTATTAACTTAAATATTTATTTTTTATATAATATTAAAAATTAATTTTATATTGAAAATATTATATCAATATAAATTTATTTATTTATATCAAATAATTAGTTAAATTCAATTTTTTATTATTTAAAATGCAAATAAAAAATTCAAGTCTCAACCACAAATGCCTTAATATATTCGGACCCAATAATATTGGAGATTTTAATATAACAAATTGAAACCTTCATTGAAAGAGAATATCTTTGGGTATTTGTTTGGGGGGTTTTGGATTTTGAATTGGAATTTAAATAGTAAAAAATTTGAATTGAAATAGTTGTATAATATGATATAAATAGGTATTGATGTGATATTTTGAATCTAAAATTGATTTTTAGTGTAATATAAAAAATAAAAAATAAATATTTAATTTGATATTTTAAAAAAATAAAAATTAAATGAATAATTTAAATTTTTACAAATTCTCCAAACAAACACACCCTTAATGTAACTCAGTTGGTTACATTTGATTACATTTGAGTTTCAACGCTTTATACGATCTTCACCCGAAAATGTAATTTTTTTTTTATGGTGCAAGAATCTGTAGTTACTATTCAAAAATACAAACTAGGTAAATTTTCGACCAAACTTAATATTCTGTAAATTATACCCAAGAGACAAGTCACGATAGGCGAACCTATAGCAAAAAATTATTCTCTAACTCAACCCCTAATTTTAGCCAATCGGCTCAATACTGCACTACCCTTGCAGCTGAGAGGGTGTTTGTTTGCTTATTTATTTTATTTTATTTTTAATATACAATTTTAATTTAAATTAATTTATGACTTATATTTTTGTTAATTTATTTAATATTTATAATTAATTAATTATGAAAAAATATTTATAAATTATCGATAAAAATATTGAATATTATTTATAAAAGGAAAAAATTAAATTAAATAATATATATAATAAAATTAAACAAGAATATTCTTTTCACATAGTAAAAATAGAATGTATAATTGATAATAAGTCACCCAAGCAAATGATATATATATAAAAAAAAAATAAAATAAAAATTAGGGTTATAAGTTTGAGATGAGTTGTAAAACCCTATAAATTCAAACCAATTTAGGAGAGAGAGACAGCATTAAACAGTGTTGTTTTCATGCACGAGACATCCATGACTGTCTCTCTAATTCAATTCAATTCAGTGATACATTCTTATCAATGGAACCTCTCTATGACCCCTTCCAAGTCCCCCACCATATACATAATTCGAATTTGAATCATAATCTCATTCAATTCAATCCCTTCCATTTAATTCTTCCATTCAATTTCTCCCATGGATCATCTCCTTCATATATATATATATATTATGATATTCACACAGAAAAGCATCCCAAATCATGACCAAATCCAATACTAAAAAACAACAATTGACTCTAAGCAATCCAGCCGAAGAAGAATGCTGCCGCAGCGAAACAGAAACCACCACCACCACCACCACTGCCGCCAGTTCAGGCGCAGTACACAGTGCCGATTGGGGTTCGGGTCCGGGTTTGGATCCGGGCGCGGTGAGAATGTCGAAGCCCCACAGAGGTGGGGAGGATCTCCGGTGGGAGGCGATTGAGCGCGTGGAGGCGACGTACGGCCGGCGGTTGGGGATCGGGGATTTGAGCCTTCTGAAGAAGCTGGGATTCGGCGACATCGGGAGCGTCTATTTGGCGGAGCTGAGGGGCGGCGGCGCCGGCGCCGGCGAAGGGTGTCTTTTTGCGGTGAAAGTGATGGAGAAAGAAATGCTGGTCCGGCGGAACAAAGTCCGGCGAGCGCAGACGGAGAGAGACATATTGGGGTTGCTGAATCACCCGTTTCTTCCCACGCTTTACTCCCATTTTGAAACCCCTAAATTTTGTTGCCTTTTGATGGAGTTTTGCTCCGGCGGCGACCTCCATTTGCTCCGCCAGCGGCAGCCCGGCAAGCGCTTCTCGGAGCATGAAGCAAGGTTAGTATTTCTTTTACAATAATTCATGTCTAAAGGTAAAAATAATTATCAAATCATAAAAAAAACTATATATATATAAATATTTATGAAATATCACAATAAATTATTATTATTATTTAAAGAAAAAATCAAATTCTGTGAACTAAAAAGAAAAAGAAAAATTCAAAATGAACAAACTCTTACTTTCTTGTTCTATTAGTTGTAATGACATTTTTTTATAAGGTGACGGTTATAGTGTTGAATTTAAAAGTCAGTACTGTGTTGTTTAACATAGTATACTGCGTATATGCTAATATAATACAAATACTATCACATAAACAAAAAAATATATACAGACAGCACACAGTATTATAACAGAAAACACACTACACATAAACTAACAATACAAGTTATAATCTCATACAATATAAAAAAATATATTGTATGTAATAATAATGGGTGTTGTTTGTATATATAATGTGTGCTGAATTGAAAAGTCAACACCCTAACTATCCCATTGTTATTAAGAACAAACAAAAAAAATATGTAACCATGAAACTACATATTTTTTATTATTTGGTAACCATGATATACCCGGTAATTTAATATGAAAATATTAAAATACATTTTCTCTGGTCGAGTTAGTAAATATATATTTTATCATTTTTATTGTTCAAATACAAAATATGTAGGATGTGTTTACTTGTAAAAACTTTTTTTTTGGTTTTACTATTTTAATAATTTTTTTCCTCAAAAAAATTTTAAATAAAATATCTATTTTTTATTTATTATATTACACTAAAATCAATTTTACATTCAAAACATTTCATCACTATATATTTATATCATATCAAACAACTATTTCAATTTAAAATTTTATAGTTTATAAATCAAAATTTCACAAATAAACAAACCCTAAACCCGAACCAATATTTCAATCTTTCAAATTTTATAGAATAAATAGTAAATAAAATAAGTATTTAATGCGATTAAAAATATATTTATAATGCAATAGTTTTTCAAATTTCAAGTATAGATAAATAGTGATAAAAGTGATTTTTTAATCGTCGTTCATTCCACAACAGGTTTTACGTATCGGAAGTCCTACTCGCGCTCGAATACCTACACATGATGGGAGTTATTTACCGCGACCTAAAACCCGAAAACATTTTGGTACGCGAAGACGGCCACATTATGCTATCCGATTTCGACTTGTCGATGAGGTGCTACGTGGATCCGACCCTTGTTGCATCCATGGACATTAATCCATCGTCGTTTTGCATCCGACCATCGTCTTGTCTACGCCCTTCTTGTCTAAAACCGACCATAAAATCACGTAAAAAAATTACATCATCAGCCTACGGTCCGGACGCATTGCCGGTTCTTGTGGCGGAGCCGACAACGGCCCGGTCGACGTCGTTCGTCGGGACCCACGAGTACTTGGCGCCGGAAATTATCTCCGGCGCCGGCCACGGCAGCGCCGTCGACTGGTGGACGCTCGGAATCTTCATGTACGAATTGTTGTACGGGAAGACGCCGTTCAAGGGCGGCGGCGGGAACCGGGAAACGCTGTTTAATGTGGTCGGAAAGCCACTGAGGTTCCCGGAGGACGGCGGAGTAAGTTTTCCGGCGAAGGATTTGATGAGAGGGTTGCTGGCGAAGGATCCGAAGAGGAGATTAGGGTTTAAAAGAGGGGCGACGGAGATCAAACAGCACCGATTTTTTGAGGGGGTGAATTGGGCGCTTGTACGGAGCGGTCCGCCGCCGAGGATACCGGCGGCGGTGGAGCCGGCGGTGGTGAAGGAGGCTATAAGGGCGTGTTTGGCGGCGAGTGTGGAGAAGGGTGGGGAGGATTTGGGATTAGGAAGGTGTTCTGATGATCGTTTTTTGGATTTTGAGTTTTTTTGAGGAGATTCTTTTATTATTTTTATTTTTATTTTTATTTTGTTGTTACTTCTGTCGTCAAATTAAAGTTTGGTTAAAGAGCAAAAAACCAATATATGTGTCGACCAATTTCATTGTTTTCATTTTTTATCTCATTCAAAAAAATTATTAAAATTAGTTCTATATAAAAAAAAATTATTATTTTATTTGTTTCATCGTAAAAATTTTAACGAGGCTGTAACTAAAGTTGAAATAACATTTTATTTGAATCGAACACGACTGTATTATATAAAATATGACTGTGTTTAAATAGTCACCAAATCTATAAAAAAAATCTAGTTTGAAAAAGATGAAAAAAAATTTCGTGTGAATGATAGTGTAGTTTAATGTAGAAAATTTCAATCCCTTCTTGTTGTGTTTCTTTTAAATATGAATTGAATTCACATATACCAACTTTAGATTTAAATAATATTTTGTAAATTAAGAAATCTTACGTTTTTTTTTTTTTTTTTTTTAAATTGTGTAAGTATTTACTTTGTATTTAAAATATGATTATGTTCTTGCGTTATTTATAAAGTTTTTTCTATTATCAAATTAAATATTAATATATTACATGAAATATAAAATTTTATTTGTAATATTACATAAAATATTTATTTCACATAGACTTTTAATTTTAGTTTATGTTATTTTCAAATCCAAACAATTATTCAAGCTTTAAAATAAATTGTTTAAATAGAGATTTTGGAAATTTTAGAATTATGGAAATAATGAAAAGTATGGTGTTATAATATTATGATAGAAAAACTATAAATGTTGTAATATTTTTTTTTAAAAAAAAAAATAAATAGTGTCAAAATTTTAAATATATTGTATAAAGGTATCTCATCTAAACATTTTTTTTAATTATTATTATTTTTAAAAAATTAAATATCATTCACTATTATGAAATTTTAAAACAAATATTTATATCTATTTTATAAAAAAACATTAATAATAAAAATTATATCTTAAATATTAAATAAATATTTTAATACAAAATTATAATTTTCAAAACCTAAAACCCAACTTTTAACCACAAACAAACACACCCATAATTTATTACGTTACCAGAAAACAATTACCAAAATTTTAATTCTTACAAGCAAAATAAATGTGTATGACTGATTTCTTTGCCAAAATCCACATTGTAATAAAGCTTCGATTTTATTCTGTGTATTTTCAGTTTATGGAAACCAGGATTTTCTCTCTGCTCTTTCTCAGTCTTCTTCTCCAATCCTCCCATGGGTTTCTGCACTTTGACAATCTTTCATGTCTTAATTTCTTCGTCAAATCATTCGTGTTGATTCATGAATTTATTGCAGGAGAAGTGGGTCATCTTCTTCGGGTAGCTTCGACCCGACCCGGGTCATTCATCTGTCGTGGAACCCTAGGTTGTCTGAACAAAAAAGATCTGTTTTTTATCTTTTGATGAATTTGTATGTTTATGATATTTTTTGAAATTAATTTTGCAGGATTTTTTTGTATAAAGGATTTCTGAGTCACAAAGAGTGTGACCATCTGATTAATCTGGTTTGTTGTAATTCTTCTTTTTGCATTTTATCGAAGAAGACGATGAAATTCGATTAGTCGGAAAACATAAACGTTGTCCCCCTCTCATTGATCGAACACGTGTCCCCCCCCAATTCGTCGTCTTCATCTTCCTCTTTTTGAATTTTTTTTGAATTGGTAATTGTTTGTTGCAGGCTAAAGATAAGATGCAGAGATCTTTGGTCGTGGACGACGAAACTGGGCAGAGTATGGAAAGCACTGTCCGGACGAGCTCCGGCATGTTTCTTAAGAAATCTCAGGTAAAGAGAAAGAGACAGAGATTTCTGTAATGTGTATGTCCGATTCAGATAATATGTGTGTAGATTTGTGTTTCTCCATTGATGACGTCAGTATTTCTCGATTGAAGGACGACGTCGTTTCTACAATCGAAAACCGAATTGGAGCGTGGACTTTCCTTCCTTCTGGTACGCTTACGCTTACTCTCACTGCGAAATGGTGTTTTTGGTATGGTGTGTTTATTTGACAGATTAGATTTTATATAAACTATTTATTTTATTTTTATTCTAAAAAATATCAAATTAAATACGTATTTTTTATTTTTTTATATTATAATAAAAATTAATTTTATATTCAAAATATTATACCAACAACTATTTATATCACATTATACAACTATTCAAATTCAAAATTTTTACTGTTTAAATCTCAACTCAAAATTCAAACCCCCAAACAAATACACCCAAAATTTTTAGAAATTTTTTTTTATATTACTGTATTTTTTTTATTTAAGAAAAGAGATTTATTTTTTATTTTTTATTTTATATATATATAATTCAATAAATAAAATTAAAAAAAATAAATTTAGATGAATGGAAAAAGAATTTATGTGGTATGCCATATAACGTTAGTTTATCTATTATATTAATGTTCATTTTGTCTCAAAATAATATATGTTAATTTGTGTTAGACACAAATTTTAATAAATATTAATATTATGTTGATAGTTAATAGAAAATACCAATAAAATATTTTATTAATTTTAATTTAAGCATAAATATAGTAATATTTGTGTATAATAATTAAAAAATAAAAAAATATAATAATATAATTATTTATGAAAATAAAATACATACAAAATAATACAATAAAATTATTGAATTAAGATAGAGGAAATATAATTCATGTAGGCTGTATATATACTATATTTATATAATTATTATAATGTATATTATGTTTCGATTTGAAACAATAATTTTTATTTGAAATACAGTAAATTATGTATATAATAAAAATATAAGTATGTATAATATATCATACTTTGTTTAAATAGAGTTTTTTGGAAATTTAGAAAAAGTAAAAAAATTAGTATTTGATTTGATATTTTACGAGAGAAAAAATATAATTTTTATGTGATATTTTTAAAAAATAAATAATATAAAATAAATAAAAATGTATTGTGTAAACAAAAACTTATTGTTCTTAATAAATAAATTTTTTTAGATAAAATAATAAAGGCTCGATAATTCAACAAAATATCAGTTGCTATATATATATATATATTGTGATACAGAGAATGGCGAGAACTTACAGATTCTGCACTACGAGTACGGCCAACAATACGAGCCTCATTTCGACGTTCTCCCCGACGAGGTCGACGCCGATTTCGGCGGCCACCGCACCGCCACTGTGCTCATGTATCTTTCCGACGTCGCCGCCGGCGGCGAGACAGTTTTTCCCGATTCACCAGTCAGTACTAACTGCTATCCATTTTTCAAGATTTTTAGGACGTTTTGGAGTGTGTTTGTTCTTTGAGATTGCTTGAAAGTAAATTCTTTTGATATAAAATATAAAAATAATAAATATATAGAGTGTATTAATTTTGTTTGAAAACATATGTTAAAAAATTATAGAAAGAACAAGCTTAAGTTCTTACACCAATCGTTCTATCCATTGCAGATGAAACACAGACAGCTTAAGGGCGACGACTGGTCGGATTGTGCTAAACAAGGCTTTGCAGGTTCTGTTATATGTAATTCTACCTTAAAAGAATCGTCGAATTGAATCGAATAGAATTTTTTACTACTAATTTGATCGATCGTTTCCGGCAGTGAAACCGAGTAAAGGCGACGCGCTGTTGTTCTTCAGTCTTCACCCGAACGGAACCACCGATCCGATGAGCTTGCACGGCAGCTGTCCCGTGATCAAAGGCGACAAATGGTCGGCGACAAAGTGGATTCACATTCGATCTTACAACCTGCGCGCAAAAACAGCCGGTGACAAGTGCGTTGACGAGAACGAATCGTGCGCCGGGTGGGCAGCCGCCGGTGAATGCGAGAAGAATCCAGTTTACATGGTCGGCAGCGAGGATTCCCTCGGCTACTGCCGGAAAAGCTGCAAAGCGTGCTCGTAATGTCGACTTTCGATATTACATAACAATGCGGTAAGAGTTTGCAAATTTTCGATGAACAACAAATATTCAAACTCTAAGCAAACAATCGTCAGTATCGCGCGCGATCTCTCAAATAGGGCTCGTCAGCCCTTGTTTGCCGAACAGCATCGGGAACTCGTCGTAGTACCGTTCAGACAAACCACGAGCCTCCGCCATGACCTTAAGCGACTCGTAGACTTGGTACATCGACCACCGATCCTTCGGACGAGGAAGGACGCAATTGCACGCGATTTTAACGACCTGAAGTATATCATCGTCGTCGCCTTTCCTCCGTAGCCTCTCATCGATCGTATCCCTAACCCGTCCCGAAACTGAGTAATGGCTAACCCAGTCGACGAGATTACCCTTAAATCGCTCGTCGGCTGCGCTCACGTCGAGCGGCTTTAAACCCGTCGTCAATTCAAGAAGCACGACGCCGAAGCCGTACACGTCTCCTTCCATCGACGCAACCATCGTGCTCGAATACTCGGGAGCGACGTATCCGATCTCGCCCAAATCGCCGCAAACAAAACTGCTCTCGTTCGACTCCGACCGCCCCGCGAGGCGCGCCAACCCAAAGTCCATTATCCGGGAGTCGAAATCTTCGTCGAGGAGAACGACATTCGAACTAATGTTTTGATGCATTATCGGTGGGGTGCACCCGTGGTGCAGCCACGCAAGCCCCCGCGCCGCACCCAATGCAATCTTGAACCTAATCGGCCAATCCAAGACGAGCGTCGCTCGGCGCAGCGCTGCGCCGAGTGGACCGTTCGGCAAATGCTTGTAAACCAAAAGCTTCTCGTCGTCGATGACACAGAATCCCAACAATGGCACCAAATTCGGGTGCCTAAGCTGTCCTAATCGATTCATGTCCATTCTGAACTCCTTTTCGCCGATTTTGCACGTTTTTAGCCGTTTGATCGCCAGCGTCGATCCGTCGGGCAAATCCGCCTTGTACGATATCCCGGTCCGGCTCGAAACGACGACATTTTCGGCGTCAAAATTGTTCGTTGCAGCCAACAGATCAGCCAATTTTAGCTTCACAATCGGCTTTTGGAATAACACCACTTGTGTTAGCCTGTGTGCTTTAAGGATCTCCGTCCAACCGCCGCCGCCGGAATCGTCTTTCGCGGCGGCGCGTTTCTTTTTCTGTTTGTTAACTCCGGCGAAGTACCACCACCACAATCCAGCTACCAACAACAACGACGCCACCGATCCGAAAACTCCGGCGACAATGATAATGGACAAGCTCTTCTTATTCACTCCACCACATTTCCCTAATGAACCGCCGCCGCAGAGACCGCCATTGCCGCCGAGAACAACCTCCGTCGTGCCGTAGTTAAACGGCGGTACTCTACCGGATAAATCGTTATTGGCGACGGAGAATTTTTTTAACCTCGCTAAATTGGAGAGCTGGAAAGGAATCGTTCCGGAGAGGTTATTGTCGTCGAGAATCAAAGTGTGGAGATACGAGCAGTTAGCGAGCTCGTCGGGGATTTTTCCGGTCAATCCATTGCCGGAGAGATCAAGCGTGACTAAGTAAGGTAGCCAGGAGCAGATTTGGGGGGGAATCGAGCCGTGGAGGGAGTTACCGGCGAGATCTAGGGTTTGGAGGCTCTGGCAGAACTGGAGAGAATCGGGAACATCTCCGGCGAGTCCGAAATCGCGAAGCTCTAATCCGATGAGGCGATTCTCGCGGTCGTTCCAGCAAGATACTCCGACGAATCTGCAGATGAATGCGACGGAGGAGTTGGAGAAGTTCCAGGAATCGAGCTTGCCGTCGGGATCGGACAAGGAGGTCCGGACCTCTTTCAGGCACCTGACGTCGTCTTCGGCGGCGGCGGAACTGTACAAGAGCAGGAAAAGGTACTGGAGAGAGAGGAGCGCTATAGATCTGGGAATGTGGATCGTCATTGGCGATGGCGGAGGTGCAAAAATGACGGATGGAGGATTGGATTGGTTAATGGGGAGGCATTTTGTGGTGGGGTTAGATTGGGAAGATTTTGTTGATTTGTTTAATGGATGTTGCGAAGTGGGACTGATGTGAGTTTGGATCTGTGTGGGTGGAGCGAAGAACAGGAGATTTGGTGATGGTGAAGAAAATTAATGGCGGGCTAGGGTTTAGTAGATTTATGATTTTGGATTTGGGACGATGAATAGGTTGAAGGTCTGAGTGAGAGTTTGCGCCATTGGAATGCGTGAAGCGGTTTACTGTGGAGGCAGCGTTTGCTTGGGAAAAATTGGCGAAATTGTGTCATTTTCTTGGCTTAGTTTACAGCCATTTTTAATCAATATCAACAATATATACTTTTCCTACGAAGGTCCTATTTGATTGTAATATTGATATTAATTATTATATCAAAATATAAGTATAAATTTAAAAAAAAAAATTACAAAAATATTTTAATTAGTATTTTTTAATACTAATAAAAAAATATTTGTATAAAAAATTATACAAATATAAAAATATTTTTAATATTAAATATAATGATCCAAGACAAATGTGATATTTAGAACCATACATAATATATAATAAACACACATAATGTTATATTTTCGCGGTTCCAAACAAAAGTTTTATTGAATTTAATGTTCTGTAGATTAGATCCAAATAAATAGTAAAAAATCAGAATAGTTTTGCTAATTAGACTTACAAAACATGTACCACCTTACACGTACTATTCCATTTAAATCTAAACAAAATGACATAATTAACCTAGAAAAAAGAAATATCTTTTATTTAAAATTTGAAATATCGTTATTAATATGTTTTATAACCTAATTAAATAATATTAATGCATTATTGTAATAATAAATAAAGTGTATGAATTTTTTAATAGATGTGAGACCATAATTAGCAAAATAGGCAAATTAATTTCTGAATAGAATGAAGATATATATTTTTTAGTTTGGGCTTAAAGAAAAATGTTTGGCGAAGATGTAGAGTAATCATTTACTTCTAATAATTATTTGAAATTAAAAAAATTACTCCGTTCGTTTCATATATCGTGTGTGCTACACTGTAGACACTGTATTTTACGAGGAATGTAATTAGTAAATAATTATAAAAATATATTATTAAAATATATAATTATATTTTTTAAAAAAATTATGAAATTAATAATAAAAAAAATTATATAGAATGGGAAAAATATAATATTAAAAAAAACAAGAAAAACCATAATCGATAAATAGTGCAAAAGTTGATGTACCCCTTCCGCCTCCCGGTATTTTATAATTATAGAGAAGACAGGCTGTGGTTACAGAAATGCGCTTTTGGTTTCACGATAAAAAAGCGGGCGCACGCTTTTTCCCACAAAGACTGGTAAAGCTAAGCAAGGAAAAAGGCTAATAATAATTAAGGTTGTCTCTGCCGGACATACATACATATCTGCGTGCCTTGTTGTCCCTCCAATTCTCATTATTACTCACTCTTTTTGCCCTTTTTATTTATTATTCTAGCATCCTCGACTCGACTCAGAACACTCATTCTATCGATGATCGATATGATCTAAAACAATGGCGAGGCCGCCGACGACGATATCGATGATGGCCGAGCACCAACAGGCGGCGCTATTTGCAGCCGGAGTTGGGGCTCTCATGGCCTGTCTGGAGCCATGGCGAGTCTCGGCGTTGACATTTCTCGCCCTCAATTTATTGCTTTTCGCCATTGCCCTAACCTCCGGATCATCGTATTCATCATCGCTGCCTTGTCTGGATGAGGTTGCCGGGAAGAAGATTCAGAATCGGAATGTGGTGAGTGAGACGTTAATTCTTTCGGTTGTTGATAAGGAGAAGTTGGAGAGTGTAATAAGTGAGGTTGTGGAAGAAGAAGACGACGATGATGATGATGATGATGATGATGATGATGATGATGATGATGAGGTTTCGAAGGAGGAATTGAATCGACGAGCCGAGGCCTTTATCGCCATGTTCAGACAACATTTTCTTTCCGGTGTATGAAAAATAGACAGATAACACATAGCTTCAATTAGAACAGAATGTAACTGTATAACTGAAACTATTGTGTGTATAATTATCATGCTATCTACTATTCGTTATGTCGTATGATATCTGTTGTTAAACCCATGCGCCACTGTGGTTAATGAATATATTTGTAATTTATAGGAGTTTAAAATTTAAAATTTTCTAAAATTTATTCGCAATTTGAACGTTAAACATCGTTAAATAAAGATAATTGAAAATTAGATGCATAATTTATGAAATAAGACAGTGAAAACAGTTTTAAAAATATAGAAATTTAAACACAATTTTGTGAAATGCCCATGTAAATTTTGTACAATTTCTTGTAAATAATATGCTGTCCATGTTTATTTCTTGCATATCCGAGTATGCAATAACTACAAATCATAGAACAATTTACAACAAATACTCCAAAAACAAACTATATATATAAAACAACCAAAGCCTCACCAGAAACACCCTGAATTCAGCTCTATTAGTCAATCGTCGTCGTGGCCTCTCGCCAGACGCTGTCGACAGCTTCGTTCCAGAGCGTTACCTGATTATCTCCAGTCGCGACAGCCAGAAGGTTTCCGGTAAGTGACCACGACACTCTCCAAACCGGCGTCTTGAAGTCCTTCAAAACCTTACCCTCCCATCGATCGCCATCATCCGCCGTAGTCCATATCACGACTTTACAGTCTTGCGAAGCACTAGCCATGGTGGACTTAAGAAGCCCCAAATTCGGCGCCCACGCAACGTCTCTCACCCAATCCGAATGCATTCGAAGCGCCGGAAAACAATCCATTTTCCAGCTCCCGTTATGCAGCTTCCACACCTTCACCGTATTATCGCAGCCTCCGGAGGCCAATTTCCGAACTGGGTCCAATAACCCGGATCCAATTAATTGCCCCGTCCCCGTCGCTGTCGCCGGAGCCCATGTGACGGAGGTCACGCCGACGGGGTGAGCTTGATAGATTCTTGCGGCGTCCCAATTCCCGTCTTGTCGGGAAGTGTAGACTAAAATGTTTCCATCGGAACATCCACAAGCTAAACATAATCCGAGCTCGTGGGGCACCCAGGAAATGGAATTTACGGAGGTTTTGTGATCGAAGACTTGAAATTGCGGCCACTGGTTCACATTCCTTTCCTTCCAGATGATGATTTTACCGTCGTAAGAACACTAAGCTAGCACCGAGCCTAGCTTTGGGTGCGCCCAAGCGACCTGCCAAACCGGGCCTTGATGACCTGCCAATGTAGCAAGATGCTGCGACGTTGAATTGTTGTTGACGCCGATGATTTTCACGGTCGCGTCCGATGATGCTGTTGCAAGACGTTTGCCATAGTAATCCATGGTTGCGTCGTGGACGACGTCGTTGTGTCCGGTTTCGATCTTCTGTGCTGGCATGGCTCTTTCTTGCTTCTAACCTCCAACTCTATTTTCCTTCGACTCAAAGTAATAATTAGGATTAATTTAAGACTGTGTTTGGTAGCGAGAAATAGAAATATTTTCATTCTTGATTTATTTGACCATTTTTTCTACTATACAGTTTTTTGCTATTATTTATAAAAATATAAGATTACATACCTATTTTTATTTTGAATAGTCCAATAATAAAATAATCATTTGAAAAATATATATATATTTCAAAAATATTTTATTGACCATCGTTATTTTTATACCAAAAAAAACAAAAGTAATTTTTCTTTATACGATGTAAACTCACAACTTATACTTTTTCAGTTGGAAGAAGGAAACATTTCTTTAAATAAAATATCACATTCAAATTATTGTAAAAAAAAAATCAAACTAAACACATCAACAATCACTTTGTTTTTCAAATTCTATTTTTCAATTGCGATCTCAAAAATATTATAAAAACACAAAAACCTTTTTACAAAAGTAAAAAAAATTAAAAAAACTTCAAATACTTGTTACAAAAAGTAAAAAAAAATCGAATATTCAATTTAAAATACCATATTTCTCCTCAGATTATATATATTTTCTTTTTCTACTCTTATTAAACACAGACACATTCTATAATTCGATTTATTCATATGGCTGTATTTTTTTTTTAATTATATAAGACCTATTCTAGTTCTCGACTGAATCCTTTTTTTCTAATCCCTCGTTCCCAAAAGTATAGTCTTATTGTGTTGGGCACAAGATTCAAGGAATATTGATATTATATCGATAGTTGGTAAAAAGTAATGATAAACGACTTTTTTGCTCTTGTGAATATATTAGTGTAAAAAGTAGTGACAATTGTGTAATAATAATGAAAAAGTAGGGATAGTTTTACTATGATATGGTTATTTATGAAAATGATATTATTGTTTTATGACATAACAAAAATGGTAAACTAAGACTGGGAGTATAATTTATTCTCTATTTCATCTATACCAAATACAACTAATGCAACAAATCTACCATCACAAATCAGCAGATCAAGCAGAGGAGAGATCAAACAGAATGTGATCATTCAACAATTTGATTTGAAACGAAAAAAGAGAAGATCAATTTCAGCAGTTTGGTTATCATCTTGTCTCAAATTACTGATTCACACCAGCGAATCTCAAGATCGAATCAGATCTACGCAATAACGTAGTCTCTCAACCACAAATATGTTTAATTGCAGTTAACATCAATGCTTATAACACGAACCAGAACAAAAATCTCAATCCAGATCAAAATTTAACCTAGAAATATCCCAAACTTCTTCCATCCAAAAATTGCAGAACAGAAGGCAATTCAGACGCTACACTGAAAGTCACTTTTCTTCAAAACGATTTGAACAACAGTGAGAAGGCAGGTATTAAACAAAACGCAAATCTATTTCACCACTACCTCCCAGATCTCATCAATTTCAGAATGAAATTATTAAAACAACGAACTTACCAAGCAGAGAAGGATTCCAGGGATCAAAACGACGGCCTTACCTGATAGAAACGGATTCGGATCGAGTTCAATTGGGGGAAACACGGAAGAACAAGAGTGAAGAGAAACCCCTTGCCTCAAAGCTGGTGGTAGGAATGTACAACTCCAAACGTACAACGTAGTTAGCAGTGGAATTGTACTTGTAGTGTTGTACATTTTGACCCGATTGAAACGAAGGACTGAATCCGGATTTCAATCTGGAGCGGATCCACAAAGGATTCGTTTGTATGGTTTGTATTTGAATAATATTTAATATAAGTATAAAAAAATATATTTTTATTATAAAATAATATAATTTTATTTATTTGTGTTTTTTTTCATGTTTAATTTAAAATAAAAAATTATAAAAATAAAAGGAATTTTTTTTTTTTTTTTTTTTTTTTTTTTAAAAGATCAATTATAATCACCTACTTTTACTCTTACCAGAGGCAATTTCAATTATTAAAATTGTATTTATATTATTTCAATTTTGTGACCCACAAAGGAAAAATATCTATCTATGATGTGATCTACTATAAGATTTGAAGTTTGTAAATAGTAAAAATATAACATGATCTAACGAAATTTTGATATGATATTTAGAATGAAATGTTTATTTAATTAATTTTTTTTTAAATATATATATTCTTTTTGTTCTAACACAATTATGTGTTTGGTTTGTAAATAATATTTTATATTTTATTTGTCCACTTAAAAAATTTAATATATTTTTATTTTTGTGTGCCTAATTCAAAGATTTATATTTATCATTTTAGTAACTACAAACTCTATTACTAATTTCAAATATTCTTATTTTTACATTTATTTACTAATCACATACATATGCGACTCTGTTTGTTTGCGGGTTTGGATTTTGAGTTGACATTTAAATAGTAAAAATATTGAATTGGAATAGTTGTATGATGTGATATAAATATATATTGACGTGATATTTTAAATGTAAAATTGAATTTTTTAGTACTCCGGGTAACTTTATCAATCTTAAATATATTTAACAAATATAAATAAATTTAATTAAATTTCTAACATGACTTATTCAAGACCCCTTTATTTCTATCTATCTCCTCAATTAACATAAATTTTTTTTTATCTATATTTAAAACTTCACATTTTTTATAAAACTAATTTATGATAATGATAATTATATTATATAAAATTTTATTATGTACAAAATGATATCCATATTGCATATATTTTTCGAGATATAATCTTAAAATTTTTTAAAATACTAATAATATTATTCATATAAAAAATAATAAACTAATATCTTATTAACAACTTACTGATTTATACTATCTAAAAAAACCGTATCTCTGATAAAAAATTTATCTTGATAATATAAAATAAAAAATAGATGTTTGATTTGATATTTTTAATTTTTTTTTTAATAAATAGTAGAATTTTTGTAAAATCCAACAAGCGAACACACGAGGGACCGCAAATCATCTTTCTCGTCGAATTTTGTAGACCAAATGGTAGAATATTTCTTAGTTGAGCGTAATATTTTGGGGCAACTTTGGGTAGGTGCATATGCTGGTCGTAATAGCTACTAACGAAAATTTGTATAAATCAATTGTTACGAACAAAATAAATAAATAAATAAAATAGATATTTAAGCTAATAAATTTGAAAAAAAAAAAGAAAAGGTTTTGATTAATAGTGCAAGAATAAATCCAAATCTTAAAGAAACATCCTTATTTATTGATATAACATTGCATTAATATAACAAACAACACATTATTATTATTTTATGACGTGGAAATTCGCAGTCGCTACCCGAAAATGCGAACTGGATAAACTTCGGTCGAACTTAATACCTGCAACCTAGATCTGACAAGACAAGTCACACTCGAACAAACAACACTTTATTTTGGATGTATAGTATGTAAATCATTGTTATAAGCATTCATAGTCTCTATCTTCCATATAAAGCCCTGATTCCGTTAATATCATCCTGATGAAGGTCTTTGGTTTGGCCGGGACCAATTGTGGGGAACATGATTGCCGCCGGAACTCGGCTATGTCCGAGCCCCAAAAGATGGCCGATCTCATGGATGGCGACAGTTTCTAAGTCCGTTCCACCTTGAACGGCTCCGATCACCCAATTCTCGTCTGCGTCGTAATGAAACCTTCCATTAGTTGGCGCAAAGGCGTGGGCTATGGTACCACCTCGGCCGTCAAATGGGGCATTGTCGCCATGGTTTCTGGAGAAAAACCCGATTGCAAGATCAGACTGCATGTTGCTGCCGACGTGCGAAAAAGTGAAGAACGTTGCGGAAGCCCATTTTTGGAAAGCACTGTTCACTGGCGCGATTATACCCCGTGGAGTATTCGGGTGGAACCTACAATTCAAATGAAAAAAAAATAAGAAAGAAGTTAATTACATTTTATGCTTTTATAGTTTATTTTAGTTAAAAATTACTCCATCCGTCCATGTGCAAAAGTTACATTGATACTTAACATTAAAAATATCTTTATATTTATAATTTTTTATATAAATATCGTATTATATTAATATTATAAGACACTAATAGAAATATTTTTGTCATTTTTACTTGATTTCTATTACGTTTTGATATAATAATTAATATTTAAATATTTACATGAAAAAAAAAGTAAATGTAAGACTTGCAGAAGGACAAATGAAGGTATTATGATTTTATGTAAAATTAATATATTAATAATATGTTTAGATGCATTTTTTTTTTTTGTTTTTTTTATTTATTTGAGATAAAAATAACAAAATGAGTAGTCGTCACGCACACATTTTTGTTAATGAAAATATAGTAATGCATAGTGCAAACATATATAAAACCAAAAATATAAGGGTGCGTTCGTTTCGAGAATGATTTTTTGTTTATGGTTTGAATAGTTCAGAAATTGCGATGATTGTATAGTAAAAAATTAAAATCAAACTCTAAATCAACAGAGCGAAAGAAATATTCGTCAAGTTTGTTTAAACCTGTATGTTAAGTGTGTCTTGGACGGTGGCCAACGAGCACGATTCGGAAAAAAGGAAAAGTTAGCGACATTGTGGATAGATTTTCCGGGCCGATGGTGGTGGTTCTTTGGCGCCATGGTGTTGATTCCCTCGACAATGTCCGCGACTCCACATCGAGGAGAGGTCATTTTCTCCACAGTGGAGGCATCCAAAGTGCCCGTGGGGGAAACATGATAATTTTTTTGGTAGGTTTTGAGGGCGGATTCGAGGGCATTGTCAAAGTCATCATCGTCAAGATGTGTTTGGTCTCGATAGTTGAGATAGCCGAATTGATGTAGGTAGTGTTTGAGGTTATGGAGGCCTTTAGTAGATCTATTGCCTTTGTGGCATCCTTGAAGGTCTTTGATGAAGCTAAATGGTGACGGGGTTTGGGTGTCGGGAAGGTCCTTTTGGGAATGCGAAATCGGGATAATTAGGACAAGGATGAAGATTAGGGTAAGGAGATGAAAGGGTTTGTTCATTGCCATGGTTGATGTTTTCTTTGTTTTTTTCGCAAAGGAAGTGAGAATGTTTTTGTTTTTGATGATGTTGTGCAAATGAATGTTACTTATTTATAGGCATTTCATGTGGAAAAATAAAGAACATGCAACTTGGGAAGATTTGGATTATTTAGTTGATGACTTACATAGGTTTTGGTCTTTTGGACTATTTAGTTGACAGACTTCGACTTTGAAAAAATGAAAAAAACAAAAAGAAAAAAAGAAAAAAGAAAAAAGAAGAACATAGGACATGAATGTCACGTATTTAATTTAGACATTTTCTTGTTTGGTTGTTGAATGGCTTTTTTTTTTTTTTTTTTTTTTTTTTTTTTTTTTATATTTTTATTTTATTATAATGTAGAAATTCGCAACCATTACTTATCGAGCAAAAGAACTAAAATTCTTGCTACATGTTCCTATATTAAACCTCCTCTAGTTGTTTGTGGTCTGTGTCGCCGTAATCTTCTTCGGCACCTTCATCTTCTTATTGGTAATTTTTATTTTGTTGATAGATTAAATTTTTTTATGCATGTAATTTTTTAATTTTACTCAAAATTTTAAAATAAAATTTAAAGTGCCTTTTTAGAGTATTTTTGTATTTTTGATCTGTTTTGTGCGAGGCTATCGAACGATCTAAAATAAAATCAGACGTGAATTTGATCTGAAAGAATACGTATTGTGTTTCAGTTTGAGGTTTTGGCTTGCAAATTGAGTTCATATCATGTTTGAGTTTGCCGACTAATTATTTGTTATACCAACATCTCAATCCAATACGATCACGTCATGAAAATACAAATTAACACCCCTAAAATCTTCATATTTTTCAAAAAGTATGTATCACATAAAGAATCACGATAAATTTAATCTTCTTCAATTCTTCCTTCTCTCTTTATTATTATTAATTTACTTTTTATTTCATTCATTTTTTAGTGGAAGAGAACTTATCATTCCTAAAATTTTCGCAAGTGGTTCATTGAAAAAAAAAAGCCCAAAAATGTGTAAAGTAGAGTACAACTAAGGGCATTGAAAAAGGATGTAAACATACCAAAATTCCTTCTTTTTTTCCTTTTTTAGCGGAAATTTGCAACTGCTACTCGACTTGACAAGTGCGTCTTAAACCTCCGGTTGAATCTAATAGTTTGCAAATTAGATCCGATTAAATATGTAACACTAAACGAATTATATGTGATAGACAAAACATGGAGACATCGGAGATAAACTTGGAATAATTCAGGTGTAAACTGGGAATACAAAATTAGATTCGATTCCAAAGCTACTTGTGTAATACATTGCCACTTAGTACATTAACCTCTCCAAAAATTAATTTACCAAAAAAAAAAAAAAAAAAAAAAATTAACATACTAATTAGTGATACATTATTATTATTTATACTGGCTAAGGCCCGGGGCATAGTTGATCAAATCGAGAAAGTTCCCAAGATACTCAAAGAAACAACTTTTATGTTAGAAAAAAAAATTAAAAAATTATAGGAATATTGAAAATGAATTTCAAATTTACATGCATGTTGGATATTTTTACAAGTGATTCCCAAGAGCTCTACGTGGCCGTCGAATCAGTCATCGTCGTCTATCAAATGTTAAGAATTTTTAGATAGTCTTTTACGTATTCCCCCAGTCTTGGGTCGGGAGACTCGTTGGAGTTTTTGTATTGTTGTGTGGAGAAAAAATAAATTATTATTATTATTATTATTATTATTATTAATGTTTGTATTCTTGTTTGCAAGTGTTTATTGAGGGAAAAAATCATTTTTTTTTTAAATTATTGAACTTTATAGAAATAGAAGTATAATGCACAAATGTTTGTTTACTTAAACATACTAAAATAATAAAATAAAATTTTTACTATTAAAAAAAATAAATTTATAAATAGTAAAAATTGTATATAAGACCAACACATAAAGTCATAAACAAAACTTTACATTTAATATTCATTTTTCATACCAAGTATCATATATATATATATATATATTATATATATAACACCAATATTTCATTTTAAAAATATCAAAACTTGAAAAAAAAACATCGAGCTAGAATATGTGCTTTTGGAGTTTAATTTTATTATTTTACTATATAATAATCGTAATTTTCAGTAAAAATACTTTATTTTTTCTGAAAAATAATCACATCTAAACTACTATTCAAGCCAAGATTCAAAATAAAATTACAAAAGTTACATTTCAAAGAAGTTTTTTTTTTCTTTTTTTTTTTTCTCTGATATTTTGGTGTGAAATATCCGTACAATTTAGGGGGTGTTTGACAAATAGCTTTTTGAAAAGCTTTTAGTTTATTGAACAACTTTTAGCTGTTTGACTAGTCAAAAAGCTAATTTAGGTGTTTGGTAAATTAGCTTTTTGGAATAGCTTTTTGGACCCAAAAAGCTAATTTCTGAAAAACTAACTTACCCGACGTTTTGAAATAGTTTTTTCTGTAAATTTTTTTTTATTCCTTATATGCCCTTAAAAATTTGTTATGCATTTTACACAAATAAATATATTTTGATTATTCATTAATTATATTAGAATATTTTATTATAATATAGTTTTACTTTTATAAATTTAAAATAATTAATTTTTATATAAAAATTATTTTAATTTTAAAATATATAAATTTATTAAAATCGACATAAAATATAAAATAAAAATATTAATAATTTATTTTTATATTAAAATTACATTATATAAATTTTATACTAAAAATAAATTAAATTAATTAAATTTATTGAAAATTATAAATATAATAAACTAATCGATAACTAACATAATAAATATATACACGAAAAATTTATTATTTTATATTTTACATCATTTTCAATAGAAAAAAACTATTTATATATTTTAATAAAAATATATTATTTTTTAAAATCTAACTGTAATAAAAATAAATACTTTTATTACACTTTTACAATTTTCAATAACTAATAACAAAAAATTTTAAACATTCTAAACTCAAAAGAACATAATTGAATATATTAGAAACAAAAATAAAATATAATTGTTTTCAATTGTCATTTTCCGTATAAACTACTAATATCAGACAGTTGTTTTACCAAACATTTTAATACAAACAACTAATCGAATAAGCTAGTCAAACCAGCTAATTGAATCACCTAACCAAACACAACACGCCCTTAATATTTGTGCATTATAAATAAATATTAGATTATAAATTAATTAGATATGATATTTTGATAAAAACATAAATATTGAATATAATATTTTAATTATTTTTAAAAAATTAAATAAACAGCAAAAATATAAAGTCTTTTTATTTTTATTTTTTCTAATACGAAGCCTCTATAATCTAAACATAAACAGATAAGTTACAATTCAAAGAAATATGCCATATACAAAACATTTCGAGAAGTACGACCATAGAAAAGTATCAAATACATATATATATATATATATCTATAAAAATTGGGACAGTGGAACATTCAAAAAATGTGTGTTAAATTGTGTTTTTGCCTATATATTTACGTCATTAATTTATAATAATTAATTAATTAGTTTTTATATTATATTTAATTATTTTAAATTTAATTTTATCTGTTAGATTATATTATTATGATTACCTATTTATGGGCATCATTTTTATTATAAATGCAATGCAATTTTTGAAGGTTCCGTAATATAAACAAAATTGCATTGTGTCGTAATAAAGATAAGAGCTTATAAATATCCATATTAAATTATCTACAGTATTAAAGTAAAAAATAGTACTTTCAATTAAACTAGAGTCGAAAATAAAATATTGCTATTACTAATTCAAAATCTACTGAGTTGTATTCTTACGAAATCAAATCAATATAGAACAAAACTTCGATTTATTACGAAAGCAACAGTTCGAACTCAGGTTATCATAATATCAAACAAACCGACACCGAACACACATTCAAGATCCAACCACAAATGACACGCCACGGAAACGCAACAAACACGCAAATCTGAACCCTAATCTAAAGAAACATTGCCGAAATTAAGCCTAAATCCACATCACAAACAAGTTACACCGCGAAGGTCTGAGCTTCAATTAGGACTGGTCGGTTGTGTGCATTCTAGGCCTCAATAATCACCGGCCAAAATATATAATAAATATGCTCACAAAATATAGTGTCAGAAACGAGATTCACAACGGAGTCGAAAACATAACTCTCAACGGAGTTAAAAATGAAAGACTCTCAACAAAAATAAAATTCTCAATAGAGTCGAAAATGGATCTCTCAACAGAGTAAAAAATGAGAGAGATTATTAACAAAAATAGGATTTTCAACAGAATCCAAAACCAAACTCTTAATGGAGTTAGAAATGAAAAAAAGACTCTCAACGAAAGTGGGAATCTAATCGCAATTAGGAGCAGGAGCAGGGTTCTTTACTGAATAATGACAAACGATCAAGGACCAAACTCTCAAAACAAGACGTAGAGGACAGTGAGATGAGGCGGCAACGAGAAGACGGCGGCGAACGGCGATGATCAAAGATGGCCAAAAGTGGAAGAAACAGTGAGTAAAGTGGAAGAAACAGTGAGTTTGTTAATTAGAGAGTTTGTTAATAGAAGAAAAATATAAATAGAAAATTTTGAATATATTTTGAATGAGTCCCATATAATGTAATAGTTTTTAGAAAAAAAAGTCTAGAGGATAGTGCCAATCGGCGGCGGAAGGGTAATTAAACAGACTTATTATTTTTTTTTATTACCGACACAATCTTCATATTTCATATTAAAAAAATACTTCAAACTAAAACACTAAACAACAATCAATGCAATCGACGAAAAATATTGAAAAAATGCAAAATGACAATGTTTAAACATCCCTTTGCGAAACATAGTTTCATTTATTGATATAACATTTCACAAATATAACAATCAATACTTTATTTTGGATGAATTTAAATCATTCTTATAATAGTTATTCATAATCTATTTTTCATATAAAGCCTTGATTCCTTCAATATCATTGGGGTGGAGGCCCTTGGTTCTTCCAGGATCAATGGTGGAGAACATGATTGCCTCCGGAATTTGGCTATGTTCGAGCCCCAGCAGATGGCCGATCTCATGGAGGGCTGTGGTTTCCAAGTCGAATGCATTTTGAACAGCGCCATTCACCCAATACTCGTCTGCGTCGTAGTGAAACCTTCCATCACTTGGTGCAAAGGCGTGGGCTATGGTTCTGCCTCGGCCATCAAATGGGGCACCATCACCGTGGTTCCCAGAGAAAAATCCGACTACAAGATCAGACTGTTCATTGTTGCCAACGCGTGAAAAAGTGAAGTGCGTGGCCGATGCCCATTTTCGGAAAGCACTATTCACTGGCTCGATTGCATCTGTACGGGTGTTCGGGATGAACCTATGAATGGAAAAAAGAAAATGAAAAAATTAGTTTCATTTGGAGCTATGTTATTTTGATTTTTAATTTATTATAAGATAGATTGTTTTTAAGCATTCAAGTGACCTCTTTTGTCATTTTAATAAGATAAGGGGAATTTTATAAAAATAATTATATAATCTATAAATTTTAGCAAAATTAATTTTCCGATATTGTGTGACACCATCATGGCCTGCCGAAGGTAATGCATTCGCACATGTGATTGTGGTGTCAATACCGCATAGCCACTTTAGATTCTAAAATGATATGTCCTCTATTTCATTTACTATGTCCTGGCACCATCATGGCCTGCCGAAGGTAATGCATTCGCACATGTGATTGTGGTGTCAATACCGCATAGCCACTTTAGGTTCTAAAATGATATGTCCTCTATTTCATTTACTATGTCCTGGCACCATCATGGCCTGCCGAAGGTAATGCATTCGCACATGTGATTGTGGTGTCAATACCGCATAGCCACTTTAGGTTCTAAAATGATATGTCCTCTATTTCATTTACTATGTCCTGGTACCATCATGGCCTGCCGAAGGTAATGCATTCGCACATGTGATTGTGGTGTCAATACCGCATAGCCACTTTAGGTTCTAAAATGATATGTCCTCTATTTCATTTACTATGTACGAGTTATTGTGGACACATGAATTTATGATAAATATAATTAGTAACTAATTAAAAATGTATGAGTAAAATATAATTATTCTATAATATAAATAATTATAAATTGAGATAACTCATTATACTAATTAAAATTTAAAAAAATATAAATTAAAAGTTTAAAATGAGATCAAAGATTGTAAATATTTTTTTTTTAAAAAAAATGATATGAGATGTAGAACGGACAGAAATAGTAATATACACAGTAGATGAGACGAAGGAAGTAAGTAATATGAGGAACTAAATAGATTATTTATTCATAAATATAATAGCACGACTATGTGCGAATAAAAATAAGTAGTTGATATAATATTTTTGAAATAAAAAATAAGTAATAGTCATGCATATATATATATTGTTTTTTTAGTAAATTACTACAATTTTATAAATTGAAGTACTCAAATTAATTCAACTTTTAAAAGGTAGGGTAAATATTGTTTAAAATGATTAGAACCTGTATGTTAAGTGTGTCTTGGACGCTGACCATCGAGGATTATTAGGAAAAAAGGCGTAGTTAGCAACAGTGTGAATAGATTTGGCAGGCCGACGGTGGTGGTTCTTTGTTGCCATGGTGTTGACGCCGTCGACAATGTCAGCGACTCCACATCGGGGCAAGGCCATTTTGGCCACAGTGGCGGCATCCAAAGTGCCGGTTGGGGAAACATGGTAGTTTTTTTGGTAGGTTTTGAGGGCGAATTCGAGGGCATTGTCAAAGTCATCATCATCGAGATGTGTTTGGTTTCGATAGTTGAGATAGCCGAATTGATGTAGGTAGTGTTTGAGGTTATGAAGGCCTTTAGTAGATTTATTGCCTTTGTGGCATCCTTCAAGGTCTTTGAGGAAGCTAAATGGCGACCGGGTTTTGGTGTTTGGAGGGAGTTTTCGGGAATGCGAAATCGGGATAATTAGGACAAGGATGAAGATTAGGGCAAGGAGAAATATGGGTTTGTTCGTTGCCATTGTTGATGATTTTTTGTTTTTGATTTTGTTTTTGAGGATGTTGTGCAAATGAATGTTGCCTATTTATATAGGAATTTCATGTGGGAAAAAGAACATGGCAAGATTTGAACGATTGAGTTGACGACTTGACATAGTTTTTGGTCTTTGGACTATTTAGTTGACGACTTGATTCACATTTGGAAAAAGGAACATGGGAGGAAATGAATCGAAGAGAAAAATGATATCATGTCCTCTGGTCATATGTTGTATCCTTTTCATTGATTGTCGTTCTCATCATTTTCATTTTCTTGGTATTTTTGTTGATAATTCATTTATGTTATTAACTTTAAGTTTTTATATAGGTTTTTGAGTTATGTTTTGGGGTCTATTTTGTATCGAGTTAGTCGGATTATCGGATTACCTGAAACAAAATAATCAAGAATAATTTGAACTTGGGCCGGAAGAATTTGTATGGCATTTGTATTTAATTTGAGATTTTAAGTTGAAAATCGAGTTTATATTCTATTAAAATTTGCTAATTTTTTTGTAATATCCATACCTCAATCTATAATGGAACACGACCTCAAGATACAAATGAACACCCCTAAAATTCATCATCACACACACATTAATGGATTTTTTTAAAAAAAATCAAAATCAAAATTGAATAGCAGTTTAAACATGATAGTATTTTGTAAGAAAAATCCATGTATTTTTATAATATCTTGTGATAATTAAATAATAAAAAATTGAAAATGAAAATCACTACAAATAAAGAAAGCCTTAGATTTTTATTTTTTATTTTATTATTTATTTATAACGTAGGAATATGGCAACACACTAAAATTATTTTGAATAATACAGGTGTAAACTTGGAAGTTGGAACACAAAATTAGTTTTGACACGAAAACTGTTGGAAGTTGTGTAAGAAAGAATAATGATATTATCGTTAGAAAACAATAACTCAACACTGAAAAACTATAATGATATGTTATTATATGATCATCGTCATCGTCATCGTCATTATTGTTATTATTAGAATAAAGAATTTGTAAATATTGACAATGAATTTCAAATTTATCAGTTCGATTTTACAACGAGTTTTTTTCCCACGAGCTTCAATAAAGAAGAGTTGTCGTGTTGGTGGAATCAGTCACCGTCGATCAAATGTCAATAATTTTAAAACCGTGTTTTTACGTATTCCCGAGTCTCTGGGAGACTCGTTGGAGTCTTTGTATTGTTGTGTTGAGAAAGTGTGATCGGTGGGGTGTTAAGGAAATTAGTAATAATTAATTTCTTATTGCAAAATTTGATGTCGACGGCCTAATCGGTTGGGCCTGTCGGTACTGATACCAAAAAAGATTTTCCGACTTCCTCTGAAAGTATTCGGGCTTGTCCGGAATTGGAAAATATTGCCATGAACAAATTAGGAACATAGTGATAAAATCAAGCAAGGCTGGTCCGATCGAATAAAAACTAATGCATAAGAAATCTGGAACTGAAATTTAATTGAAAAATTAGAAAATATTAAAAAATGAAATGCTTCAGTTTGAACATCAGAGGGTGATGATCAAATTCGACGACCACTTTTCAACAAGACTTGCTATTGGGCTGTGTTGTTATTTTCGTTTCTTTTGTTTTGATGGATGGTTGGGATTGGTTCATGTTGGGATTCCCGTTTACGAATATATGATTAATGACTGCGTTTTTCTGATAGTTCAAACTTTTAGGTGAGACGGTCATTCTAGATCCGACATAGTATCAGAACTTGGCTAGGTCTCGATCAGAATAAAAAATCTTTAAATTTTTCACTTTTGAATATTATATAGTCTTTTGATCTCATAAAAAATCAAGTTGGATTAGTTGAAAATTGACATGTCACTACTAGAAATATATAGAATTGTTTCGAAAAAATTGTCTTGAAATCAATATATATAGATACGAGATAATTTGTTGAATACTCTTGGCAATTGTCTCGAAACCGTTTCAGTGGCCATTTGATTGTGACAATTTTGAAAGTCATAGAAAACCGAGACAAATTGTCTTGTTAGATTGACCGATAAAATATCGTGACAAAATATTGTCACGAAGATACCCACAATATTATGATGTGAGAAATTATAAAAATATCCTTATAATTATAAATAAGAGTGAAGTCTCCACAAGCCGTGACACACAAAAAAATTAGAAATCCTAATATGTGGTTCAAGTTTATATCTTTTCTAATCCGTAAAAAAAAGGTTGTTTGATCCGATCACGAGCGAAGGTAACAATCCCGATCTCGAGTTACAAGGATAAATTCACTTGTTGTTCCATGTACGCTTTCACTTTAAGTTTAATCATATAATCATTGTAGGATTGATTATAGTACTTTCTCTATCCCACTTAATTTGTTCCATATTTTTATTTTCGTCCGTTCCATTTTATTTTTTGAAAATATAATTATACATCTTAATCACATTTTAAAATTCATAATTTATTCATTTTTATTTTAATTAAACTATTTAGCCATCTTAATTTATAATTATTTTTATTAAAATCATAATTATTTTTATTAATATATTTTTAATTACTTACTAATTATTAATATACTTTTTAATTACTTATTAATTATAATACAAGGACAATTTAATTGGGACGAAATAAATATTAATAATACTTTTGTGATTATTGTGCACCATGCTTTTGTTACAAGAATTAGAAATTGAGGTATAAGATGCAATTAAATGATTCAGTCAATAAGGGAACCATATATCAATATGTAGATTGACTATCACCATTGTTGGGACTTCCGTTTGCGGATATAATGATTAATGACTATGTTTTTCTAATAGTTCGAACTTTTAGATGAGATTATCATTCAACATCGGACATGGTATCAGAAGTTTTCACCTTTTAGGTGAGACTGTCATTCAACATCCGACAACCATACCTGCTACAATGTAGCAATTACCAAATTTTGTACAATATCATATCCATCAAAGATGCATATATCATATTTCCTTATATCCAACAAAGTCAACATACAAACAATAATACAAGAGCAGCAACAATCAATTTTTTGTTGCACAGCTCATTAGCATCAAATTAGAATTCTCGTATAGGAAAACTTAACAATATGCAGGAAATATTAGCGTTGTCTGAACCATAGTGGTAAATTTGAAAAAAAAGAAAAAAAAAGAAAGAAAGAAATGTATCCATCAACACGACGATAGTGTTGATTTTCAATGGGCGAATCAAAGTCTATGCCTACCTCTTTTGAAACTCTTGGCGGTACCGGAGCATGAAAAACCACTCTCCATCGTAAATTGGCTCGGAAAAATGGGATCCATCGGAGAAGGAATTAGATCCCAATTAGGGTTTTCTTAGTCGTCGGGGGAGGATCACGATTTATGGAAGTGTAGTAAATGAATTAAGTTTGGGTTTGGGACCATTTAACTTTTATTTGCGTATGTATTTTGTTTTATTCTTTAGTATTTTCAAAGTAATTTATTTTATATTGAACAATAGTTAATTATGTTGATTTGTAAATGTTTAGTATATGTTTTAGGCAGATATAATTTATTAAAAAGAAAAACATAACGATTATTGGAGAGGTACGGAAAAAAATATACCAACTATCATGAAACGGGTTTAGGGTAAACAAAACATTTTGATTAATAGTGCAAGAATACATCCAAATCTTAAAGAAACATCACGTCCATGGATACAAGATGGGATAATAGGAAGAAAAAGTAGAAATGATGAGAATCCAACTTCAGATATAAGGATTAGGGGCACTAGACTAGAGTGCACTCTCATCCTTATTTATTAATATAGCATTGCATAAATATTAAATATAACACTCAATACTTCATTTGGATGCATGTATATTATTCTCACATGTATTCATAGTCTATCTTCCATATAAAGCCCTAATACCTTGAATATCATCGTTGTGAAGGCCTTTAGTTATTCCGGAGTCAATGTTGGGGAACATGATCGCCGCCGGAACTTGGCTATGTCCGAGCCCCAATAGATGGCCGATCTCATGGATGGCGACGGTTTCTAAATCGTATCCACCTTGAATGGCTCCGATCACCCAATTCTCATCTGCGTCGTAGTGAAACCTTCCATTAGTTGGTGCAAAGGCGTGGGCTAAGATTCCACCTTGGCCGTCAAATGGGCTATTGTCGCCGTGGTTTCTACGGAAAAACGCGACTACAATATCAGTTTGGGCGTTGCTGCCAACGCGCGAAAAAGTGAAGTGCGTGGCGGAGGCCCATCTCTGGAAAGCACGGTTCACTGGCGCGATTGCACGGATTGGAGTGTCCGGCCTAAACCTACAATTCAAATGAAAGAAAAAACGATGATTGGCGCGAACTTCTTAATGCTTCTTTAGTTTATTTATTTTAAAATTATTATATGATTGTATGTAAAATTATTTTTATTATTTTTCTTCATTAAGGATGATATGCTACTATCTATTAAAAACGATGATATGCTACTATCTATTAAAAACATACCAGATAAAAACACTCTTCATTTGGTAAATATTTTTAAGGCTTCCATTGCTCTTGTTTATTATTTTATTTGTATTATTATTATTTTTTCAAAGATGATCAATTTATAACTATTTATATATTTTTACTAAAAAAAATAATATAATTCTTAATAGATTATAAGTCATAAAATAAGAAGCTACTAGAGGATAATAAGACACCATTAAAGAAGAAACTCTTGTCTTAAAAATTACTCCCAAAAATTATAAATATTTGAAAAGCTACTACTCTTATTTATTCGTACTATTATTATTTTTTAAAAGATGGTTATTTTTAATTTGTTTATATATTTTTGCTAGTAACAACAATATATTTACAAATTACAATAGATTTTTTTTTTTGGCATTTGTGATAAAAATAAGAAATGGGTATTAGTGGCGCACATATATTTTTTTTCTTTATTAATGGGAATGTAATGCATAATTGAAAAGTAAAAACAAAAATATTTACTTCGAGTTTAATTTTTTGTTTATGGTATGAATAACAATTTAGGAAATTATGATGATTGTATAGTAAAAAATTAAAATTAAATCGAACTCTAAAACAGAGCAAAGAAATACTGCTTAAATTTCTTCAAACCTGTATCTTAAGTGTGTCTTCAACAGTGGCCAACGGGGATTATTGGGAAAAAAAGAATATTTAGCACTGTCAATAGATTGGTTCTTTGTTTCCATGGTGTTGACGCCCTCGACAATGTCGGCGACTCCACATCGGGGAGAGGTCATTTTGGCCACGGTGGCGGCATCCATAGTCCCGGTCGGGGAAACATGGAAGTTCTTTTGGTAGGTTTTGATGGCGGATTCAAGGGCATTGTCAAAGTCATCATCTTCAAGATGTGTTTGGTTTCGATAGTTGAGATAGCCGAAATGATGTAGGTAGTGTTTGAGGTAATGGAGACCTTTAGTAATATTGCCTTTGTGGCATCCTTGAAGGCCTTTGATGAAGCTAAATGGCGACGGGGTTTTGGCGTTTGGAAGGTCTTTCCGGGCTTGCGAAATCGAGATAATTATGGCAAGGATGAAGATTAGGGGAAGGAGATGAAAGGGTTTTTTCATTGCCATGGTTGATGTTTTCTTTGTTTTTTGCAAAAGGAATTGAGAATTGATGATGTTGTGCAAATGAATGTTACCTATTTATAGGCATTTCATGTGGAAAAATGTACATGGCAAGTGTGTTGTATAAATATATGTGGTGGATTGAAATCAAGTATTGTTGTATAATACTCTAATATGTGTTGTTAGTTTATGTGATGTATTTATATTATATGAATACATACAATGCGCTGCTTATAATAACATCATGTACTATTTAACAACACACCGTGTGCTGCGTAAAATTCAACACCGTAGTCATCACCGTGTATATATATATAGTGTGAAAGAGGTGAGAGATATGAAAAAAAAAAAAAAAGAAGACTAAGGATCCCATTTCTTAATGAACATATTCTAATATTTTTTGAATTATTTTTATTTAATTATTTTTGCTATATGAAGTATATATATATATATATATATAAAATTATTTAAACAAGAAAGACATATAGAATAAAGGTGTAGGGGCAGGAGCAAGTAGGGATGGAGAAATTTACCGAATATATTGAAATACCGACTCATCGTATCGTATTGTGTCGAAAATATCGAAAATTTCGGTATACCAAAAATTTCAGTACGGTATGGTTATCGTACCAAAGTTTTCGATACGGTATCGATATGAATTTTCGGAGAGTTCAGTGTTTCGGTATGATACGGTACTGATATTATTTTTATAAAATAAATTAATTATTAATATAAATAATAATTATTAATTTTTTCTTAAATCATAAAAAAAAATATGTAAACTATTGAAAATTTATTGATTTTTTTATAATATTTTTATGGTGGAGAATGATGATATTTATTAATTTTTAATTATTTTGAAATTTAAAATTATATTTTCGGTATAATCGGTATATACCGGTATCTGCTGAAATCAAATTTTTTTGTATAAATGTTATATACCGGTATCGTACCAAAATTGAAAATTTCGATATAAACGGTGTATACCGGTACCGTACCGAAAATTTCGGTATAGCGAAATTCGGTATATTGAAACTTTCGGTATATTTTTGTCGTACCGAAAAATTCAGTATGGTATCAGTATCAATCGATATTTTCGGTACAGTACGGTACGTTGTCCAGGGAGAAGAGAAGCCCTTGGTTTGCCGTGCTGTCGAAAAAAAATTTAAAAAAGAGCACGTGACATGCATGTGAATAAGTTATGTATTATTTTTAATGGTAAAATATACTAGTACAATTTTAAATAATAATAACAATAATAATAATAAGTTATGTATATTTATATTTTAAATTGTTTAATTGTAAAGTAATTATTTTAAAAATATTTTATTTATTTTAATAAATATTTTTATTGTATCATTATTTTGTTATTTTTACATAAAAAAATTAAATTTATATTATTTTTAATTAATTAGTATAATTAAAATATTATTACTTTTAAACTTGATGCGAAAAATAAATATAAATTTATAAAATAGACCGAAGGAATATTATACTACACCCATGGGATTCGGTTTATCTAGGGTGTGTTTGTTTGGAGGATTGGATTTTAAATCTACTATTCATTTTATTTTTTTCTCCCAAAAATATCAAATCAAATATTTATTTTTTATTTTTTATATTAAACTAAAAATCAATTTTACATTCAAAACATCACATCAACATTTATTTATATCACATCATACAACTATTCAAATTCAAAATTTTTATTATTCAAATCCCAACTCAAAATCCAAACCCCAGACAAACACAGCCTAAAAAAATAAATAAATCATGTCTGCTGATATATGTATGTATTCTTGTATGCACTGAGGAAGTTAAAAAACTCGTGGGCTGCTGCTCTCTTCTCCTTTTGGATGGTTTTATGTTAGATGAGTTTGTTTCTTTAAATTGAATTTGATTTTAATTTTTATTTAAATATTATTTTGATATAATTGTTGAGAAAAAAAAAAATAATAATGACAGTAAAATTTTGGATGGGTCTGGATATAAGCCAAACGGCCTAGAAGTTGGGAAAAAGAAGTCGGACAAACGGAAGGTCTGTCAAGAGGAAGGTTGGGCAAGGAAGAAGTATGGATAGATGCAGAGGTCTGTCAAGAGGACAGTTTGTCCATCTAAAGAGATAAGACAAATAGAGTCGGTCGGTTGCTCTGTGGTCGGGACCACATTTGGTTGCTCTGTGGTCGGGACCACAATCGGTTGTTGCGGAGTTCGGACCAAGTAAGGTCGGTGCGATAAGGTCGGACAATGAGGTCGGACCTGGTCGGGCCAAGCTTAAAGGTCGGGTGCAAACAGGCCGAATTCGAAAGTCGGGTATGGTAAGGTCTGGTGTGGAGATGAGGCAGGATAAGGTCGGGCGTAATGAGATCGGACAGTGAAGTAGCATGTGCAGGTCGGGGTGAGAGAGCAGTTCTGGGGCGATTAACAGCAATTTGGAGGAAGTTGCAACTGGCAAACGGTTTTTTAAGGTCCGACCTGGTAGGACGGTTGACACACGTGTCAATAAAAGAGAACTTTTGGGGCGGTTAACTGCGGTTATGGTAACCGACCAGATAGCGGTTCGAACCGTTTCTTCAACTGGGTTATTTAAGGATCCGGTGCTGTTCGAAAAAAAGGCATCTCCAATCGACATCAAATTCAAGAGAATTACTTTTGGGGATCACCACTTTTATTTTCCAGTCTTTTATTTTATTTTTCCTATTTTATTTTATGAATTCTACAGTGTTTAGAGATCTCTAATATCAGGCACTCATCTATCAAATTTGAGGATATTTCTCTATCTTCGGATTTCACTTTTTATTGTTGAAAAATTGCATCAACAATAATATTTTGTAAAATATTTAATATTAGAGTAAAGTGGTGTGTTATGTAAGTTTATTTGCTTTTTTTTTTCAATATTTATATTGTTTGTAATTTTAATAAAAATATAATTTTATAAATTAAATTTTAAATAATAAAGAAAATGAACACATAAGCTTGTTTGGTCGTAGTTTGAAATTGAATGTTATCAAAATTTTTGGTTGAATAGTATTTTGAGATGATATTTGAAAGAAAAAATAGTGAATTTTATTGAAAACTGTGTCGAATGAATAATATTGATTTTAATTTGAAATAATAAAAGAAAAAAGTCTATATTGCTAATAAAAATACTATTTTCTATCATAAAATATCATATCAAAATATTATTTTAACAAAAATTCAAATCAACCCTATATTTTAAATTAATTTCAAACCCCGACCAAACTATCCATATATAACTTATCCAAGAATAAAACCTAAACAAATATAAAAATAAAAAATCATAATAAAAAGAAAACAAATTATAAAATGAATGTCACCAAAGTAAACAAACATTTGTGCGTTATTATTTTTGAAATTATTGAACTTTATAAAGTAACTCATAAATTGATAGAAAAACTTATAAATTATTGAACGATAAAATTATTGAACTTTATAGAAAACTCGTAAATTGATAGAAAAACTAGTAAATTATTAAACGATGAAATTATTGAACTTTATAGAAAACTCGTAAATTGATAGAAAAATTCGTAAATTATTGAACATTATAGAAAACGTATATTATTGAACTTTATCGAAAACTCGTAAATTGATAGAAAAATTCGTAAATTATTGAACATTATAGAAAACGTATAATGCACAAATCCTTTTTTGCTTGTGCCATTCATTTTATAGTTTGTTTTCTTTTATTTTTTTATAAAATATTAGTAGTTACTAGTTTTACAAATTTTCTTAAAAAAAATTGTCGATTTAGAAGTTAGGTTTGAAATTGAGAATAATAAAATTTTGAATTAAAATAATTTTTTGATACAATATAAATAAGTGTTGATATAATATTTTGAATGTAAATTTATATATTACTTTTTTACTATAATATAAAAATATATATAAGCTTGATATTTTTTTTAAAAAAAATTATAAATACTAAAAATCGAATATAAAACTTACTCTGCACATACACACAAACACAACTGTATATTTAACTGTATTTATTTTCATTCAAAAAATATCATACAGGCGCAAACGCAAACATATACTATATAACACAAATATATCACTTTAAAACTATTAAAGAAAAACACCAAAAAAAAAAATGTATTATTATGGAATTTAATTTTAATCTTTTTTACTATGCAACAATCACGATTTTCTCTAAAAAGATATTTATCCATTCCATAACAAATGTGTCATTTTTTATTTATGTCCGTCCCAAAATAAGGTATTGCTTCCTTATTTAGTAATTGTACATAACATAATAAATATCTTTATAACCTATAATATATTACAATTATTCTTATATTATACAATATTAATGTGGATATATTTGTCTTTTTTACTACAAACCAATATAATACTAATATTTAAACATTTATGTTCAAAAAATAAATAGTACTATTTTTCCAATACAGGAGTATTTATTATTATTATTATTATTTTATAAAATATCATATTTAAACTACTATTCAAATAAAAATCCAAAATAAAATAACAAAACCAAAATCCAAAAGAAGATTTGAGTTTCTTGTTTTGATAGATATATTTGTGAAAAAAAAAAAAAATTATAGAATTCAAATAAAAATTTAATTTCAAATCAAAATGAAACAAATCCATGAATGTGATTTTACTTCTGTTTTATATGTTTAAAAAATCTGCTCAATTAACGTAAGACATATATGATGTCCTAATTTTTTTTAGTTTGTTGTTTGTTGTTTGTTTATTTTTTTTATTTTTTTAAAAAACTTTGATATACAATTAATTTAATCAATTATAATTACACAAATTAAAGGTATCAATTAGTGTTTATAATTTAAGTAAATTATTTTAGTAAATCATAATTACACAAATTAAATATCATGATTTAGAATTTATAATTTAGTCAAAGTATAATTATATAAATTAATGGTTGTAATGGTCATCTTAGAAAAGTTAGTGTTAAATGGTTGAGTGGATGGGCGCACCCATGGCTTATGGGGGTTCATATGTCAAATAATAGTATTAATAATCATTATAAATTTCATATATATTTTCAAATTAAATTCTATCGATTAAATAATTGATTGATTTTTCAATAAAATTAAAATTAAGAATAATTTTTGTTTTCATAGTTGGGTAATGAAGTGATAATAGCTTTCTATAAAAAATGATTTATCAAAAAAAAATAAAAATGACATTTGGTAGAGAAATTGAGGCTGTTAATTTAGAATTGGATTTTAATTTTAATTTTAATTTTAAATTTTTTTTTTTCTTTTTTTGCTATAAAATCAAATAGTAGGTCTAAAATTAACATCACAATTTTAAACAAATAAAAATATGACTGATTGTCTTTTTACCTCAAGCAGCCCTATATTTGTAAAATTAGAGTTTTGGGGTAATATTCTATAAAAATACATTAACTTATCTTATAAAATTAACTTTCAAATTACTATATTAAAATTAAGATTAAGATTAAAAACTATATCACAAAATCAAACTCTCGAAGTAAATAAACCATGAGAGATTCAATAAAAGACATTTAAAATGAGCAATATGTGTTTTTAAATCTGTAAGTTAAGTTGGGTCGACCTTAGAGATGTTATAACGCATAATGGTGTTGATTGGATTTGGAAAAATGGTCATAGTGATTCTTATTCGTTGATATGTATTGTGGTCATTGATGATGTCGGGGACTCCACAACGGGTGGCGGTTAGTTGGGATACTGTTGTAGCATCCAATGTGTCGACGGGGTTAATGTGGAAATATTCTTGGTAGGCTTTGAGGGAAGATTCGAGGTTTGTATCGAATACATATTTGTTGAGATTGGCCTCGTTTTCATATTGGAGATAACCAAAACCTTGAAATTAGTGTTTGAGCTTATAGAGACCTTCATTTGTGTTAAAAATTTTGAGAGAAAATAATGAGATTGCTTTATTGATCATAAAAATAAGAGACCTAATATAAGTAATGATAAGACTAAATCTAAATATAATTATACTAAATTTAAAAATAAATAAATAAATAAATCATGCCTGCTAATATATGTATATATTCTTGTATGCATTGAGGAAGTTCAAAAACTCGTGGTCTGCTGCTCTCCTCTCCTTTTGGATGGTTTTATGTTAGATGAGTTTGTTTCTTTGAAATTGAATTTTAAATATTATTTTGATATAATTATTTTGTAATTTTAATAAAAATATAATTTTATAAATTAAATTTTAAATAATAAAGAAAATGAACACATAAGCTTGTTTGGTCGTAGTTTGAAATTAAATGTTATTAAAAATTTTGCTTAAATAGTATTTTGAGATGATATTTGGAAGAAAAAATAATGAATTTTATTGAAAACTGTGTCGAATGAATAATATTGATTTTAATTTAAAATAATAAAAATACTATTTTCTATCATAAAATATCATATCAAAATATTATTTTAACAAAAATTCAGATCAAACACTATATTTTAAATTAATTTCAAACCCCGACCAAACAAACCATATATAACTTATCCAAGAATAAAAGCTAAACAAATATAAAAATAAAAAATCATAATAAAAAGAAAACAAATTATAAAATGAATGTCACCAAGTAAACAAACATTTGTGCGTTATTATTTTTGAAATTATTGAACTTTATAGAAAACTCGTAAATTGATAGAAAAACTCATAAATTATTGAACGATGAAATTATTGAACTTTATAGAAAACTCGTAAATTGATAGAAAAACTTATAAATTATTGAACGATAAAATCATTGAACTTTATATTAAACTCATAAATTGATAGAAAAACTCGTCAATTATTGAGGCTGTTAATTTAGAATTGGATTTTAATTTTAATTTTAATTTTTTTTGCTATAAAATCAAATAGCAGATCTAAAATTAACATCACAATTTTAAACAAATAAAAATATGACTGATTGTTTTTTTACCTCAAGCAGCCCTATATTTGTAAAATTTAGAGTTTTGGGATAATATTCTATAAAAATACATTAACTTATATTATAAAAGTAACATTCAAATTACTATATTAAAATTAAGATTTAAAACTATATCACAAAATCAAACTCTCGAAGTAAATAAACCTTGAGAGATTCAATGAAAGACATTTAAAATGAGCAATATGTGTTTTTAAACCTATAAGTTAAGTTGGGTCGACGTTAGAGATGTTATAATGCACAATGGTGTTGATTGGATTTGGAAAAATGGATCATAGTGATTCTTATTCGTCGATATGTATTGTGGTCATCGATGATGTCGGGGACTCCACAACGGGTGGCGGTTAGTTGGGATACTGTTGTAGCATCCAATGTGTCGATGGGGTTAATGTGGAAATATTCTTGGTAGGCTTTGAGGGAAGATTCGAGGTTGGTATCGAATACATATTTGTTGAGATTGGCCTCGTTTTCATATTGGAGATAACCAAAACCTTGAAATTAGTGTTTGAGCTTATAGAGACCTTCATTTGTGTTAAAAATTTTGAGAGAAAATAACGAGATTGCGTTATTAATCATAAAAATAAGAGACCTATAAAGGTAATATAGAACAGACTCAATAGACTCAAATATAAGTAATGATAAGACCAAATCTAATTATAATTATACTAAATCTAAAATTAAATATTTAAAATATCTCAACAATTTGGATTAATTTTGTGGCTTCCTTGAAAGTTATTGATGAAATTTAACGGTGAAAGAACTTTTATGGAATGAGCAATAGAAAAATTAGGAGAAAGACGAAGATGGAAAGCTTTGAGTGTAAGTTTAGATTTTTTTTTTTTTTAAATAATAATAATAAAGATAGAAGGAATGTTTCTTTAGATTTGAATTGGGCTGCCTAAGTTCTATATAAACTTAGCACTAAGTATGTTATTGTCCGTTTTGGGCCGAGTTTTTATGAATTTGTTTTTGGACTTTTTAAAAATGTCTTATGTAATAGAGTTCTTGTGAAATTATAAAGTGTAATGTTTTTTTTTTTTTTTTTTCAAATATTTTAATATGAGACTTGAGTTTGCTAGGGTTTGATCTATATTTTTATATATGTTTGATTTATTTTCTCTGTGACTTATACTTTAAAATTATTAGTGCAAATATTTGACTTAATTGCCCCAAACGTAGATCATCATGATCGAACTAGGTCAATAAAATTTTATATTCTTATGTGATTTTCTTGATTTTATAATTTTCACAACTCCGAAACTATATATATATGTACTTAAATAGAGAATCCAAAAAACAAGGAATGAAAGAAAAAGCTAAAGAAACAATTTATTGATGTAATATTCATAAATATAACAAGCAATACTTTTTTTTGGGGTGCATGTAAGTTATTCTTATACGTATTCATTTTATATAGTCTATCTTCCATATAAAGCTCTGATTCCTTGAATATCATCCTGGTGAAGGCCTTTGGTTCGGCCGGCGGCAATGCCGGAGAACATGATGGCCGCCTGAACTTCACTGTGTCCGAGCCCCAATAGATGGCCAATCTCATGGAGGGCGACGGTCTCCATGTCGAATCCACCTTGGATGGCTCCGTTCACCCAATTCTCGTCTGCATCATAATGAAACCTTCCATTAGTTGGTGGAAAGGCGTGGGCTAAGGTTCCACCCGGGCCTTCAAATGGGAAGCCGTCGCCATGGTTTCTTGAGAAAAACCCAACTACAAGATCGGATTGTGCATTGTTGCCAACGCGTGAAAAAGTGAAGTGTGTGGCGGCTGCCCATTTTCGGAAAGCACTGTTCACTGGCGCGATTGCATCTGCACGAGTGTTCGGGCTGAACCTGCGATTCAAATGAAAAAAAAAAAAGGGGAGGGGGGAATTTAATTTAAATTTAATTGCAGGTGGGGCTCGATCATTTTGATTTTTTTAAGTCATATTTTTTTATAAAAAATATATATTTATAAGATAACTATTTAAATTTAAGAAAGGCTTTATATATTTGTAAGATTTTACCCATATTTTACTATTCCAAAAACTATTAAATATTAATTGTGAGTGTAGTTTTTTCCGTGTCAATTTACATTAAATGGTGCGGAAAGGAGCATCATATTCTAAAATTGACTCCAATTTAATACTAGGCCTTTGAAGCCAAAATAATTTTGATAAAATAATATAAATAATGTTTAAAATTTTTTTAGATAATGTAAATGACAGTCTCGCTTTAAACTTTTAGGTGAAACCACCATTTATATATTCTAACATAAAAAATAATTTATATCATCTAACATAATTGTTGAAATAACCTGTATGTTAAATGTGTCTTAGACGCTGGCCAACGAGGATTATTGGGGAGAAAGGCGAAGTTAGCGACAGTGTGGATAGATTTGGCGGGCTCATGATGGTGGGGTTTCTTTGTTGCCATGGTGTTGACGCCGTCGACAATGTCGGCGACTCCACATCGAGGCGAAGTCATTTTGGCCACGGTGGCGGCATCCAAAGTGCCCGTCGGGGAAACATGATAATTTTTTTGGTAGGTTTTGAGGGCATATTCGAGGGCATTGTCAAAGTCATCGTCGTCAAGATGTGTTTGGTTTTGATAGTTGAGATAGCCAAATTGATGGAGGTAATGTTTGAGGTTATGGAGGCCTTTAGTGTTATTGCCTTTGTGGCATCCTTGAAGGTCTTTAATGAAGCTAAATGCCGACGGTGTTTGGGTGTCGGGAAGGATTTTTCGGGAATGCGAAATCGGGATAATTAGGACAAGGATGAAGATTAGGGAAAGGAGGTGAAAGGGTTTGTTCATCGCCATGGTTGATGTTTTCTTTGTTTCTTGCAAATAAAGTGAGAATGTTTTGGTTTTTGATGAAGTTGTGCAAATGAATGTTACCTATTTATAGGCATTTCATGTGGAAAAAAATGGACATGGCAAGACTTGGACTGTTTAGTTGATGACTTTGACATTTGGAAAAAAGAACAAGTCAATCATTGTGTAAATTGACTATAGTTTTTGTTCTTTGTATTATTGAGTTGAAGACTTGGCATTTGGAAACAAGAACGTGTAAATAACGTGACATATTTTATAAACATTTTTTTATTTGGTTGTATTCTGATTAAAAATGACAATTAGGGTGGTGTTAATAGGGTTCATATGGGTAGTGACGAAATTATCATTTAAATTTGGGGGTAAAACGATATAATTTATTTAACGTTTAAATAAAAATTAATGATAAAATTATATATAAATTTAGATAATTTTAGAAGCAAATTATATATAAATACATTAAAATTAATATTTTTAATATTAAAAAAAAATTTAGTGTAATTCCGTTCCGGCATATAGGATTCAAATGTTATATTCGAGACATATTATGAATTTAAGTGAATTTTTATTTTTAAAGCTGGTCTATACGTCGCATCGATGTGAAGTTCGTATTACTTAATGAAGCCTCAAAATAATTCAGCAGTGTCTGGGAGCCATTCTGTACTGCTATATGATATGATATTATTATATAATCATAAATATAATAAAAAAATAAAAAATTCTATATATATATATATATATATATTCAATAAAAAAATATTATCTGAGATAATATAAATATATATTTGATATACTCCAATCTGTCTACTAAAAAAAGAAAGTGTTTCTATTTCCTTTATATAATTAATATTGGGTAAACTGTTTTTTTAGTTCCGTAACTGGATCCTTTATTATTTTAATCTCGTAAGTGGAGTCTATCGCAAATTAGTCCCATAAGTAAAAAAATTTCGCTGTTTTAGTTCTCCGGCGCCGGAGACGCCTGCGTGGCTCGCTGGAGGTGGCGTGTCCGCCAGGTGTCGGGCCAGGTCAGCGACACCTGTCGGACACGTGGAACTTTTTTTTAATTGTACCAAATAAAAAAATACAAACAAAAAATTAAAAATAAGTTTTAAAAAAAAATTTAAAAAATGAAAAAAAAAAAAAAATCCACGTGTCCGCCAGGTCAGCGATGACCTGGCGGACACGTCACCTCCGGCGAGCCAAGCGGGCGTCTCCGGCGCCGGAGGACTAAAACAACAAAAAAATTTCAATAGAACTAGTTTGCTACATGCTCCACCCACGAGACTAAAAAAACAGTTTACCCAAGTAATATATTATATTTTTTACTGCTATATATTAACTCAAAACCTATATGGAAACACGCAAAATTTCAATCTTAATAAATAAATATAATTTAAAAGAATTAAAGAAATGCGCATTATTGCGTTCAGAATCACACACACAAAATTATTAGTAGTTTTTATCTTCTTGTTCCATTTCTTCATTTTTTTTTGAAGAAAAGAAAATGATCATTCCTATTTGAATTTTTCTCCAAGTGGAATACATTATTGAAAAAAAAAATACAATAATAGAAGAAACGTGTAACGTAACACTAGTGCTGTAAAAAAAGGTGGAAACTTGCCAAAATTTATTTTGAATGTGGGTGTGTAACGTGGGAATATAATTAGATTCAACCAACATTAATTTAGACGAAATCATGTAAAATTAATTTTTAATATAATATATAAAATAAAAAGTATATTTTGATTTGATAGTTTAAAATAAAAATTAATGAATAATGAAATTTTGAAGAAATCCTCCAAAAAACACATCTATTATGATTCATTGTTATATTATTATTATTAAAAGAAAGATGAAAAAAAAGTTTATTTCAAAATACAATATTTGGTCATGCAAACAAATTCACTAACCAACAATCCAATTATCTCTAATACGAAATATTGCATGCTTTCCAATTTTCTCATGTAACTATTTCAAATCAATATTTTTATTATTTAAATTCGATTTGAATTTAATTCAAACACATAGCAACACAAATATTCGATTTTATTCCAAGTTTTTTCCCAAGAGCTTCAATAAAGATTTGTTGCCGTGGTCGTTGAATCAGTCGCGGTTGATCAAATGTTAGAAATATTAAAATCGTGTTTTACGTATGCCCGAGTCTGTGGGAGACTTGTATTGTTGTGGAGAAAGCGTGATTGGTGGGGTGTTAAGAGATTAGTAATAATTAATTATGTTAGCAGATTTCCGTAACAGCTTCAATACGGCGTCGTAGAGTCTAAAATTCGTGAGTATATTTTTTTCGAGTCGTGTTGGGTCTGGAATTTCTGGAGAAAGCGTGTCGGTGGGGTAGTCCGAAATTGGTACTATTATTTATTTATTTATTTATTTATTTGTTTATTTAATTATTTATTCTGTTTGGTTACTCTTGTTTGCTACTGACTATAATCATATATCTATATATATATATATATAATTAATATGTCTGAGTCAGTTTGAATGATAGCTTTTTATAAATACTAAATATTATATACAAGTATGATGAAATGGTCCTAAATTATATTATTTTCAAGTCTCTAGAAGTAATTGAAGAGTTAATAAGTTACAATTCTAAGGGTCAATTATTGCTTAATAGAAATGGTATTTGTATTTGGAGTTTGAACTTAATAATAATATAGTAGTTGATGCAATATAACTAACAAATTAATTTAGGATATCGTATATTAAATAAAACATAAGTATTTAATAAATAAGTTTAGATAAAATAAATATAAATAACATAAGATTAAAACTATTACATTGTTTTCTCCTTTGTTGCTTTTTCTTATTTCTTCTTCAACTTTCTATTTTTTTAGTCTTTTTTATTTGTCATTTTACAATTTCTCCTTTGTATTTCATTGTTTTTTAAATTTTTTTCGATTCTTGTTTTGGATTCAAAAAAATTTAAGGCAAAAATAAGTGTTATATGGTGAAAGTTTGGACAAAAAAAAAAGTTCGACTTAATGTTAACAGAAATAAAAATAAAAATACACTGACATATTTATATTTCTGATTAGTTTAATTATCGTTTCATATAGCAATCTTTTTATTATCATTCAAAGTGCTTGCTCGATCTACGATCATGCATACAATGCTTCGATTCCTTTGATATCATCCTTCCCCAAACCCTTTGTAATTCCAGGGGGGATGGTAGGGTACATGATTGCAGACTGATCGGGGCTGTGTCCGAGCCCCAACAAATGTCCAATCTCATGTATTGCAACTGTCTCCATATCGAATCCCCCGGGAACAGCTCCATTCACCCAATTCTCATCAGCATCATAATGAAGCCTTCCATCAGTCGGCGCAAAGGCATGGGCTAAGACCCCGCCTTTCCCATCGAATGGATCTTCATCTCCGTGGTTCCTTGAGAAAAATCCGACGAGTAGATCTGATGGCGCTTTGGCAACACGTGAGAAGCTAAATCGTGTAGCCGCATCCCACTTTTTGAATGCGCTATCCACGGCTGCGACTGCATCTGCCCGACTGTTGGGAACTAACCTGGATCGAGTTGGCGGTGTTTATTTGATGAATTTTTTTTCTTTACTGTATAATTATGTTACTATAAAGGTACAATCATTTTTCTAACAAAATATCACATCTAAAATCAAAATTCAAATTCAAAGAAAAAATTAATAAATAAACAAATTAAAACCTTTAAGAGTTGTTTTTTAAAAAAAAAAAAAGAAAAAAATATTTTCACATTATAGTAAAATAATTTTACCAACTGAGGCTGCCAAGACATGCATTGGAATGGAAGATAAAAAAAAAAAAAAGATTACATCAAATATCTATTTTTTACTAAACATAATATTATAAATTTATTTTTCATTCAAAACATAAATTTTAAATTTTTTTTATTATTGAATACATTATATTCAATAAATAATTTAAAATTATTTTCAGTAATTATAGATCGTCAAACCCTCCACAGTTATCATACAAATTTGAATTTAATTTTTATTTGAATGCATCATATATTCTCAGAAAAATTGATTTTAAATTTGAGGATTGAGAATTGTAAAATTGAATTTAAATAGTGTTTGATACGTTTAAGTATATGTTTAATGTGATATTTTAAATATTAAATTTTTTGTTAATAGTGTGAGATTAGATCTAGATTTTAAAATAATAGAGCCTAATGTCTTACCTATAGGTTAAGTGAGTTTTAGAACTTGGCCAACGAGGGCGATTGGGGAAGAACGTATAATGTGAAACAATGTTGATAGATTTCGACATTGGATTATGGCTGTTGTTTCTCAGCATTGTGTTGTAGCCATTGATGATGTCGGGAACTCCACAACGTGGGGCAGTCAATTGAGCTATCGTTGTGGCATCGAGCATGCCGGTGGCATTAATGTTGAAATTTTCTTGGTAGGTTTTGATAGCGGATTCAAGGTTGGCATCGACTAAATCATCATTGAGAAGGGTTTCGTCTTCATAGTTGAGATAGCCAAATTGTTTAAGGTAGTTTTTGAGCTTATTGAGACCTTCAATTGAATTGCTTTCGGAGCTTTCATGAAGGTTATCGACGAATTCAAATGGCGATGGATCCGAAAGCTCTCTTATGGAATGGGCAATGGGACAAATTTGGATGAAAATTAGGGAGAGGAGCTGGAGAGCTTTGAGTATTGCCATTTTTAGGGTTTTCTTGCAAATGGAATTAGAAAAAAAAAAATTGGATGAAGAATGACATAATGAGTGTGTCAATTTATAGACAATTAGTTAAAAACTTACAATATTAATACTTTCAAATTCTTCCATTGTAAAATTATCCATTTTCTTTAGGTGGTTAATAGCACACACTAGTATTAAGAATGGGAAATATGTGTACATAACATTACTTGAAACTTAAATTTATGATATTTGTTTATATTTAAGAAAATATATCATATGATATTTAATTTTAATAATGATTGCTATTAAAAAATAAATTATACAATCAATTATTAATATATACCATTAACATATGATTTAATGTAAGGTGCCGTAAATAAGAAAATGCAAGAAAGTCTATAAATTAATTCAACCCACTCTCATAATGTGATCATTTCATTTTTAAAAATAAGCAAATGTAGGAACAATTAAAAACTAAAAATATGTTTAATATAAAAATTGTAGAAAATCAAGGATAGAAAACGTTTACTCGTGATGTTTTTATTTTGAATAGTAAAATTTTGAATTAAAATAGTTGTTTGATGTGATATAAATATACATTGATGTGATGTTTTTAATATAAAATTAAATTTTAGTGTAATAAAATAAATAAAAATTGGGTTATTGATTTGATAGTTTTGGAGAAAAAAGAAAGTTATAATAGTAAAATCAGGCTTAAAATCTTACAAGTAAACAGAGCTTAATTCTTATCATAACAATAGACACATTTTCTATTTTTATGTCATGTAACGATTACATTTCTATTTTTGATAAAATTTGATAAATCAAAATATATTTAATAAATATAAATAACTTAATTAACTACATAACATGTAATGTCATAAATTATGTAGACTCAAAATCTCTTTATTTTTATCTTTCTCTTTAAAAACAATAAATATTTTTATTAATACTACCTCCTTCCGGCTTCAAGGGTCTTATAATACTTTAATTAATATTTTTATTAATATTTTTGCGTGTTGATACTTCCATTAGTATCTTATAATACTAATAGAATGACATTTGTAAAAAAAATTATAGAAATATAAAAATATCTTTAATGTTAAAATACAATGACAGTAAAAAATAAATGTGACCTTAGAGTTGGACGGACAGAGTATATTACTATTATATAATTTATTTTCACTTTTTACTTGTATTTTTATTTTTCAAATTTTAATTAATGGTGCATTTGTAATTTCCCTCTAAAACCAATCTATTCAATGATATTTTTCATTCAAACACCATACTTAGCACTCATTTTTACAATATTCAAAATTCACATAAATTAAAAAACCCAAAATCAGAAACTAAAATACAAGTGAAGACACCCTTATGTTGTTGTGCATGAACAACACAACATGTTCTTATTCTTATTCTTATTATAATATCATCATCGTCATTATTATTATTATTATTTGCTTAATTTTCTTTCAAGAATATAAAGCCCTAATTCCATCAATGTCATCTTTGGTTAAACGTTTAGTCTGTCCAGGTGAAAAGGAAGGATACATTATTGCACGCTTATGTTGGCTGTGTCCGAGCCCCAATAGGTGTCCTATCTCGTGTAGCCCAACGCTGAACAAATCGTATCGACCAGGAACACGGCCATTCCCCCATCTTTTCGCCCCGTTGAAATGAAACCTTCCATCAGTGGGAGCAAAGGCATGAGCTAATGCTCCCCCTTCGCCGGAGCTGAATGCGCGACCATCTCCATGGTCACCTGAGAAAAAACCGATGGATATATCCGATCGCTCATTGTTGCGAACACGTGAGAAGCTAAAGCGCGTAGCTGCTTCCCATGTTCTGAATGCGCGATCTACCGCTGTGATTGCGTCTATGTGAGTGTTGGGGAGGAACCTGGAGTTGAAATTAAGTGTATGCTTTCATGTCGAAAGGACAAAATGAAAAAAACATTTCTTTTTATTTTGAGAAATTTGACACAACTATATTATGCTATATAAAAATATGCATTGTCAATTTGACCATATCAATACTCTAACACAAAACGTCAAGTCAATTATCCTTCTTTCAATTTTTCAATAATTAAAAAGAAATTTATTTAAACGAGACTTATATTTAAGATTTTTTTTAAAAAAAAAAAAGAAAAAAAGGATTCTACGAAGCTTGAGATTATGTTTATGCAATTAATTTAAGAAGGTTTGAGCTCATCAACTCAATAAAACCTCAATTCAAGTTAAGAAATGAAATACTTGACTCGACTCGGCTTTAATAACATCTCTACCTGTATGTTAAGTGTGTTTGAGAAAGTGGCCAACGAGGACGATTGTTGAAGAATGTATAATGAGAAACAATGTTGATGGATTCGGACAGAGGATCACTGTGGTTCTTTTTAACCATTGCATTGGTGCCATTGATGATATCGGGAACTCCACACCGGGGGACATTAATTTTGGCTAATGTTGCGGCATCTAGTATCCCAGTACAACTAATGTGGAAGTTTTCTTGATAGGTTTTGAGGGCTGATTCGAGTTTGGCATCAAATTCATCATCGTTGAGATTGGCTTTGTTTTCATAATTGAGATAGCCAAATTGTTCTAAGTAATGCTTGAGCTTATGGAGACCTTTAATTGAGCTGCCTTTGTGGCTTCCTTGAAGGTCATTGAAGTCGATTGGCGATGGTGATGAATGATCTCTTTTCGAATGAACAATGGTACAAATTAGGGCAAAAATGAAGATTAGGGGGAGGAGATAGAGGGTTTTGAGTATTGCCATTATTAGGGTTTTTGTGCAAATGAATTGAGGTTATATTTTACAAGGAGAAGTGATGGTCAATTTATAGACATTTAGACAACTAACTTCTTCCATCTCTAAACTATTCATTATCTTTAGTTGCTTGATAACATACACTAGGGGTATTAATAATGGAAAGAAAGTTTTATTGCATTTATATATATTTAAGAAAGATATCTTATTAGTTTACAATTTAATTAGTAGAGTGAATAGAATTTAGTATATACTTTTTTGCATTTATTTAATTGTGGCACCTTACATTAAACTAATAAGATATCTTTGTTACGTTATCAGAAAAATAAGATAACTTTCTTAAATATATAAAAATGCAATAATTTTTCCTGTCCATGCATTCTTAATACCCCTAGTGTATGTTATAAGAGGATTTTATGTGATCCATCCCAAAAATACTTATGTGGAATTAGCTTAGTTTCAATAAATTTAATTAAACAGATTGTTATGATATGCAGCCGAATAGTTATATATTCTTGAATTATATCTCAGATGTTGATCAGATTAGGAATAAAGAACCATTCAAGTAGTAAGGACTCTGAAAATTTGTTCATAATGTTAGATCAAATAAAGATCTATGTTTTAGGGTTCCAACTCAGATTCAATCCACTAGAAATCAGTTGGGATATTCACCATATATAGTACATATCAAGCTAATTCTCTCAATGATCAATTTCTCAAGACAACAATCATACAGATATTTCAAATTACTAGGCACAACTTGTTTCTTGAAGATCTCTTAATGGAATGTTACTCCACTTCGATTCCAGTCCTCAAACTTCTTTTACAAATTCTATAATCTGCCTCGCAGTTGTATTACTAATGTTGAATCATCATTCTGTCCTTGCAATCGACTTCAATAAACTGTTCTGATTTGATAAAAAAATTCCCAGGAAATCCATTCAGAAAATCATTTGTAGTTATTTTAATAATAATAATAAAATAACACATATACTATTTAAAAACATATACGGACATAATTATATATATTACAAACAAATATTGACCGGATTATTCAATCGAAATTGATTATTATTAGACAAAAAGTTAAGTATTTATAGTTAAAAAATATCCAAAATAGGAATAATTGAATTTCTTTTTAAAATGTCCATAATGTAGAAAGTTACTGATTTGATCCAATTAAATGATCTCGAACATCTTGAAATTAGTAATTGTGTTGTTGTTATTTCAAGGTCATGGTTATATATTTGCACATGCCCATCTTGTATGCAATTCTGAAAAAGAATATTATCCCATTATTCCATCAAAACTGCTACAATCGAACATTAATATTCATTTAGACGACATTCAAACACAGTATATTAGTTCGAATAATATATATACATGAGCTAGATCCTCATTAAATTGGCTTTAAAATTAAAAGAACGAAAAGAGGAAAAATCGTATATCTTTTTTTCCGATAAACAAATATATTTACATACACTCAAAATTCTATTTTTTATAAAATTAATTAATATTAATCATAAATAAATATTATAGTTTCTATTACTTTGTATTACATCAAATTTTATATTCATATTGTATATGTTTTATTAATATATAAATTTTAATATTGGATACAAACTCAAATCCCATGGCACATTGGAAGAATAAAGGAGAAACTCGTTGCTTATAAGTCCCCCATGCATGCATGGTATGAGATATTTTTGAAAAATTCAAAAACAAATTCGCAATGAGATTTGATTTGAAATCAAAAGCAAACACACCGAAACCACGTTAGAACTAACAATAATATTAAAAAAAAAAAATCAAAGCGAAGCAATATTAGAAATCATAACAGCCCCAAACTTTGAAAGTAAGAAAAGTTCAAGGGAAGAATGTATCAAAACAACAACCAAAAAATAGTCAAGATGTTTTATTAAATATATTCAACAGAAATAAATGTTATTTCCATCTTTACAAGGATGCAACATACCATCAATTCTTAAATACTGTTGCATGAACAATAAAACAAGATATCGACCTTCTCAAAACCTGCTTGATTTCATTTTTATTTCATCTGTAGACCGTATAAATCCATAATTCCATCAATGTCATCCTGGCTTAAATCCTTGGTCTCTCCCGGCGAGATGGAAGGATACATGATTGACGACGAATCTTGGCTATGTGCAAGCCCCACCAAATGTCCTATCTCATGTAGGCCAACGGTGTACAAATCAACTCCATCGGGATCATGGCCAATCACCCAATTTTGCGCTGCATTGTAATGTAGTCTTCCATCAGTCGGAGGAAAGGCATGGGCTAAGTATTCTAGGTTGTCAAAAGGGTACTCGTCTCCATGGTCTCCCGAGAAAAAACCAATGGATATATCCGATTCTGCGCTGCTTCGAACATTGGAGAAGGTAAATGTAAATTGTGTAGCAACATCCCATGTTCTGAATGCATAACCAACGGCAAGAATCGCATCTTGCCGAGTGTTGGGGAGGAACCTAGAGAGGCAAGACATAATTAAAAAAGCATTTAGCGCATGAAATAAAAGTGCAGAGCCGTGATAGCAGTAGACAAAAATAAAAAATAAAAAAATAGCATCCAATGCAAATTGATTTTTCGGTAAAATAAAATAATTCAATTGAGAAACCTAAATCAAAATGACACTATTCAATTCATACTATTCTTAATAAAAATATTTTTTTTATATAAAATATAATATTAAAACATTATTTAAAGCAAAACTTAAATAAAATAAATAAATAAAACTCAAACTCAAACTCAAACTCAAACAAAAAAAAAAAAACCCTTAATCTTGAGCATATCTATCATATTTACCTTAGAAAGTTTCGATGCGATAATATATATGTTATATTTTTATATAAAATTGACAAAGTTCGAGTTAATCCAAAAAAAGAAAAAATTAATGATCTTGGACACATTTATGTATTTTAAGCATGCTTGAGCTCAGCAAGATAAATGCTCAAACTAAATTCAAAAACAAAATATGACTCGAATAACATCTCTACCCGTAGGTCAAGCGTCTTCGAGAACTTGGCCATCGAGGGCGATTGGGGTAGAGTGCATAGTGTGCAACAATGTTGATGGATTTAGATAGTGAATCATTGCTGTATTTTTTCAGCATAGTATTGTGGCCATTGATGATGTCGGGGACTCCACAACGGGGGACAGTCATTTTGGCTACTGTTGCGGCATCCAGTGTTCCGGTGGGCTTAACACTAAAACTTCTCTGGTATGTTTTGAGGGCAGATTCGAGGGTGGTGTCAAATACATCGTTGTTGAAATTGGATTGGTTTCCATATTTGAGATAGCCAAATTGTTTCAAGTAATGTTTGAGCTTATGGAGACCTTTAATTGAGCAGCCTTTGTGACTTCCTTTGAGGTCATTGATGAAGCCGAATGGCGATGGCGTTGAAGGATTTCTTATCGAATGTGAAATTGGACAAATTACGATGAAGATTATGGGTAGGAGAAGGAGAGTTTTAAGCATTGACATTATTAGGGTTTTCATTTAAAGGAATTCAAATATTTTCTTTTAAGAATGTTGAAATGAGTATCAATTTATAGACATTTTCTTGTATAACAATGAGGGGGGAGACTTAGAAAACTAAAAGTACAAGTTTAGTTTGTTTAACTTCTTCCATTGTAAAAGTATCCATTTTTTTTAGTTGCTTGATCGCTCACACTAGGTATTATAGGTATTATATATGAATGGGAAAAAGAAATTATTGCAAATGTATATATTTAAAAAATATATATATATATCTTATTGTATCCACTTATAGTTAAAGGTTTCAAAAATAAATCTTAATAAGATTGTGTATACATGTCATTAGTATATTGGATGATTAATCTGCCATTGGAACAAATGAATATCTTTTTATTAAATTAAAGTTTATACATCATTAAAAAAAAAAATGATTACAACCAAATGTCACAAATCATATATATATATATATATATGAAATAAACAACTAAAAATTTTAAAATCTAAAGAAATAAGAGACTCAAATCATGAAAGAATTATAGGCCCAAATACTCCAAATAGCTTATGCATTTATAATATATTGGAACATACGGTGTGTTGTGTATTCTTATAGTCTCTCCATCCCGCGAGAAGAACACCGTTTGTTTTTTGCATATAAATTTTTTAATATTAGTATTATATTAGTTTGTAATGAAAAAGACAAAAATGTCACTATTAGTATGGTGTGTTATAAAAGTGATGACATTTGTATAATATATTGTAAATGGTAATGATATTTATTATGTTAAGCAAGTAGTAGATATCCTTATTTTGGAACAGACAAAAATAGAAGATGATATCCTTCTTATGGGCCGGAGGGAGTATCATATTTTGTTAGCATTGTATTAATTTTATAATTCTATTATAGTACATGTTATATAACAACTGTCGACATGTCCATTAATATATAATTTCATGTAAGTTAACAAATGTCTAATTAAATTTAATCCTCTCATTGATTGCTTATAAATTTTGCTTTGTGTAAGTTAATAGTGAGACATTACAATATAAAATTATGTTAAATCTTTACAAATTGAAAAAAAAAAAAAAAAAAAAAATCAATCTCTCCTTTTTTTTTTTTTTTTTTTCTAAAAAACATTACACTACACCAATTGTTCAAACTAAACATAACATCTAATAATCATTTCAATCACCTCAAACATACCAAAAAAAAAAAGTCAAAGTGAACACACAAAATGTAACATAAGAAATACATAGAAAGAGAGAAGAAAACAACACAAGGTGTTTTATTTAACATCTATATTCAACAAGAAACTAATGTTATTTACATCTTTATAAAGATGCAAAATATACCATTAATTCTTAAACACTCGACCACATGACACAAACATATAACACACAAGTTTTCACACTATATCCATACATAAATTATATATATATATATATATATATCTTATTGCCACAACACATGTACGTGTTAGTATAACTTGTATACATGTTCTATATTTTTTATTCAGTTGTTGTTCGATATAGCATCAAGCAGTTATTTTTTATCTTCATCCCAATTAAGGTTACTTGTTTGATTACGGGCATGCTCTGTATAAATCACGTATTCCATCAATATCATCCTGGCCAATACCTTTGGTTGTTCCAGATGAGATGGAAGGGAACATGATTGCAGACTGATATTGGCTGTGTCCGAGCCCCAACAAATGCCCAATCTCGTGTATCGCGACAGTTTTCATGTCGAATCCATTAGGAACAGCTCCATTTACCCAATTTTCAGCTGCGTCGTAATGAAACCATCCATTAGTTGGCGCAAAGGCATGGGCTAAGACTCCCCCTGGCCCGTCGAATGGGGCCCCGTCTCCATGGTTCCCTGAGTAAAACCCGATGACAATATCCGATGGTGCACTAGAAACACGAAAGAAGCTGAACCGTGTATAAATATCCCATTGTTGGAATGCTTGATCTACCGCCGTAATTGCATCTGGACGAGTGTTGGGGATGAACCTGGAGTTGAAATCAAATTAATGTATGTGTCCATGTATGGAAAGGAATACTATTCATTCTAAAATATTTTTTTCCCTCTGTAAAATATCGCACACAAATACTTTTCAATTCAATTTTTTTCTAGTTTATAAATAACTTAAGACTCTCAAATAAATCCAAATATATTACTCTCTTCGTCTTATATATAGTAAAATATTTAATTTTTGACGTGAGAATTTAGATGGGTAGCAATAAATAGAATAATTTAAGAATTAGATGATGTAAGAAGAGTGGAGTGTATATCTTTTTTAAAAAAAAATATTTGAATGATGTGATAAAATAAAATATCTTGTTTTAGAAATATTAACTAATCAAAATAGAAAATATAGCCGGATATATTAGTACTATATTATTGAAAATTGAGCTCAATCTTGTTTCCATAATTGTGTAGTGAAAGGGAGTAACTTTCTCTATTTCCAAGAATTTTGGCAATTCAAGAGTTGATTTTTAATACATATTGAGAATGTAATATAGGCTCTATTTCTTTAACGTTTTTATTATTATTATTATTATTATTTTTCTTTTATCTTGCACTATTTATCAAAAGTTTTTTCTTTGAAACCATCAAATTTAATATTTATTTTTCATTTAATAAACTACACAAAAACTAAAGTTTTTATTCAAAACATCTGTTCTCTTAACCTTATTTTTGAATTGTTATTCTCCAAAATAATAATAAAAAATATAAAATATTTTATATAAAAGTCAAAAGGTTTAAAAAAAAAAACTTCAAATATTTATTACAAAAAAGTCAAATACTCAACTTAAAATAATATTTATATTTTTGACATAATTCTTTATATCATATACTAAAACTTATTTCATCTAAAAACACTGGATAAACGAAGCAATACTATATCAAATAATTATCTTATACCACATTAAAAATTAATTCAATTCAACCCTTAAAAGAACACGTATATCTCTGACCTGTAGGATAAACGCGCTTTATTACATGGCCAACGTGGGCGATTGGGGAAGAAGGTATAATGTGCAACGGTGTGGATGGATTTAGACGATGCATGGTAATGGTTATGTTCTAGCATTGTGTTCTCTCCATCGATGATGTCGGGGACTCCACACCGTGGGGCGGTCATTTGAGCTACTGTTGCGGCATCCAATGTGCCGGTGGGCCTAAGGTTGAAATTTTCTTGGTAGAGTTTTAGGGCGGATTCAAGGTTGGCGTCAAATACATCGTTGTCGATTTGGTTATCATACTTGAGATAGCCAAATTCTTGTAGGTAGAGTTTGAGCTTATTAACACCTTGGGTTGAGTTGCCTTGGTGGCATCCTTGAAGGTTTTCGATAAAGTTGAATGGCGATTTCGAAAGATCTATTATGGAATGAGCAATGGGACAAATTAGGACAAAGATGAAGATTAGGGTTAGAAGATAAAGAGGTTTGAATATTGCCATAATTAGGGTTTTTTGTTTTTTGTTTTTTTTTTCTTTTTTTGAAAAAAATTGGGAATGTTTTTTGAGGATGTTTGGAATGGGAAATGAGTGTATCTATTTATAGACATTTCTTGTGAATAACTAACATAGGTACAAAGTCAGAAATTAGTTGTCATAATTGCATAATTGTAGCTGATTTTTTGTAGACTGTGAGTTGAAAATTGCATCGTTTCTACGGTCATTTTCTGCAATAATAAGGTTATCTATTTTCTTCCATTTTCTGTAGGGACTTAATGACAAGCACAATGTATTAAGACACTAATTAGTCACAACTCACAAGTGGATATTATGGAAGCAAAAAATGTCTAACATAGAATTTGCTTTTTGTAATATCAATATTAATTAATTAATGCATTCATATAACACTAAAGTTGCATAGAAATTTTAAATTGAAATATTTATTTGATTTGATATAAATTGTTAGTGTGTAATATTTTAAATATAAATTAATTTTAAATTTGATATATTTATAGGTATTTCATAAAATTAATTCTATGATAAAATTTTGGCAAAATCGATTTTGGAAAATTGCGTCAAATCCTTGTACTTTTAAAATTGCGCCAAATTGTCTCATAGTTTCATAAACTTCTGCATCTAACCCCTCGATTGTCTTTACTTAACGGTGCTTAACTTGTACGCGCCCAAATTACGAATGAGTTTGAGAATTTTCATTTTTAAATCCTTAAATTACAAATATACACATTTTTCTTATATTTAGTGTAAAAAAAATAGTAAAAATATACTCACAAATAGTTGTTTTTTCAAGAGTTTAGAAATAAGAACGACCGAGAAGTTAGACGTAGAGTTTATGAAACTAACGAGAGTTTGACGCAATTTTGAAAGTATAAGAAATTTGATGCAATTTTATAAAATTACATGGGGATTTTGCATCGTTTTACCTAAATTTTTTATAGTAAAATCTTAGTTAAAAATCTACTAAGAAACTGAGCCATAATATTTTTTTTTTTCTAAGAATTGTTAGAATATTCATTTATGATGTACATTTCATCTTATATATGTCTACAAGGCTCACAACTCATCTTTTAATTTTCTTTACGGTCGGAGTTGTTTATTTTTTATTTTAGATTATATTATTTTATTTATGTATTTGTTTGTATATTTTGCATAACTATAAAATGAATCATTGTGGAATTAGTACAGAAACTATTGTGTTCCATTAAATGTATAAAACTAAAACAGGAGAAGATTTTAAATGTTACATTAGTAGGTAGATATTAGGGTTGGCAGATGAACATTATATGTTCATGTTAGTTTATAGATGGAAATTAGTTTGAAAAACATTGTAATCGTTTTAAATATTTATTTTTCTTTTACAAATTTATAATGCTTAGATTTGATTTATTTATAATATGGTTTCAGTTTTTTTATTATGCAACCATTGCAATTCCTTATGAGTATATATATATATATATATATGTATGTATATGTATTTTTTTTTTAATTTATAAAACATCAATCTAAACTAATATTCAAATCTAAAAATAAAATCAAACTTACAAAAACAAACCTCTTATATAATAATAGCATGTAATTCGTACTATGCATGAAAAAATTATGTAAAACTATATTGTAATATTTTATTTTTATATAATAATTTTGTAATCCACAATCACATCTTAAGTTTAAATGGATGTTCGATGTATTATATATTTATATATATATATATAGTCCGGCCCACATACATGTATATATATATCTATATATGTTGAAGTAACTTTAATTAATTTTTTAGAAATTCAGTTTATTTTGATTATTTCAACACTTTTGTCATCCAAATGTGTATTCAAATATTTGGGCAAAAATTTTAATAAAAATGTATAATAATTGTTACTTTTTATCTTTTATAATAAAAATAAAAAATAAAAATATCCTCTTCGTCTCTTATCTATTTATCCGTTTGCTTTTTACACGAAATTTTAAGAATATTAGTATTATATTGGATGTGGTAGGAATAAAATGAAAAATACTAAAATAACTTATTAGTATTGTTTGATAAAAGGTAATGGCATTTGTATAATATAGTTTAAGTTGTAAGAGTATTTTTAATATTAATAGAAAGTACGGTTACTAAAAAAAAGAAATTGATATTTTTTTATAAGACGGACCAAAATAGAAAAATTGATATATTGTTAAGGGACAGGGGACTAATATACTAAAAAAAATGGATGACAGGGGAGGGGGCATCTATATATTATAACCTAAGTTATAAATATGGTATCTTAAATTGAATATAGGTGTAGGATTAATTTATGGAAAAAAAACACACACACACGCGCAACATGGACCTAATATTATTAATGAGAAAGATGTGTTTAGGACAGTATTGTTTGAGCAAAATTTAATATAGGTTATACGACGGTGTATGCGATGTGACGTTCTGTTTGAAAAAACTGTGTATTTATATAAAATTTACCGAAGGTTGAATAGTATTTAAAGAAAAGGAAAAAAATATATTCAAGTGTACACACAAAATGTATACATAACATAAGAAATTCATAGAAAGAGAGAAGAAAACAATAAAATACAACAACATAATATATTCAACAAGAAACTAATTAATGTTATTTGCATCTTTATAAAGATGCAAAATACCATTAATTCTTAAGCACTCCACAACATAACACACACACACATATATATATATATATATAGTTCTATATATATTTTTTAACAGATAGGATCCTATATTGAAATCAATAATTCAGCATTGTTAAATTTAATTAGGATCATTAATTCAAAAAATATGTTTAAATTGACTAAATTATCTTTACTTAATCGATAGTTACTATTAATTCAGTCCATGTTGAATTAAATTTTCACATCAACATGTGATCCAACACTATTTTTTAATCAGTTAATGTTCGATATATATATATATATATAGCAGCAACTCTTAGTAGTTAATTTTTTATCTTGGGCATGTGTTGTATAAATCGAATGCTCCGTAAATATCATCCTGGGCAATATCTCTGATTTCTCCCTTTTCTTATGTCGATTCCTTTAGGATCAGATCCTATTATATTACCCAAGTTTCATATCCGTCGAAATGAAACCTTCCATCAGTTAACGGGAAGGCATGGGCTCCTAGTAGGGTTATGTTATGAATGAGTGAATAATTAGTAGCTTTGCTGTTAAATAATATCCCTGGTTTTATGGGGTTCTTTTGGAAGGTCATGCATTTTCTACCATAACAGGGTTATCTATTTTCTTCCATTAACTTAATAACAAACAAAAAGTATTAATTAAGACTAATAATTCAAAGATGGATGTTATGGCAACGAAATACAAGAATACATAAAGATGGTTACGGTGCTAAGATGCTAAATCGAAAAGATGAAATCTTTTTTATAAAGAAAAAGGAAACAATAAATCAATAACAAAAGTTGCACAACATATTTTATTCAACAAAAATTGATGTGACTTGCATCTTTATAAAATGCAAAATACCATCAATTCTTAAAACACATTTTACCCAAACACAACACACAAGTTCTCAAAATGGCTTCATAAAGTATAACCACAACAAAGTTTTATCTTTATTCTATATTATCTTCAATTATTGTGGATTATCTTATTGCTCTCCCTCTCCCTCATGCATATAAAGCTCTAATCCCATTAATGTCATCAGAGCTCAAACCTTTGATTGTTCCAGATGGGATGGAAGGGAACATGATTGCAGACTGAGATTGGCTATGTCCGAGCCCCAACAAATGCCCAATCTCGTGTAAGGCAACTGTGTACAGATCGAATCGACCAGGAGAAGCTCCATTCACCCAATTTTCAGCTGCATCATAATGAAACCTTCCATCAGTCGGAGCAAAGGCATGCGCCAAGACTCCCCCACGACCGTCGAATGGGCTTCCATCATTATGATTCCCTGAGAAAAACCCGATGCTTAGATCTGATCTTGAATTGCTAGGAACACGCGCGAAGCTGAAGCGTGTGGTATGATCCCATGTTCTGAAAGCGCTATCCCCTGCCGATATTGCATCTGATCGAGTGTTCGGGAGGTACCTTTCATCGAAAACAAAAGCATTTTCAATTATATAGAAATATTTCTATGTTCACTTCTATAAAATAAAGTGAATAGTTTTATTTATATTTTCGAGAGTTTTGGAAGTTTTAGAGTTAGGACAGACCACTAGACAAAGGCGAAAAGAATATATGGCTAAGGTTTGCTAAAAAAAGAAAATATTCTATCTCTTATCATTATATTCAATACTTCATCGGAGTTGAGTCTTTTACTATTATTTTGAAGTTTAGATGTTTCAAATTTTTGACAACTTTAATTTATTTATATTAAATCTTTCCTTTTTTATTTTTTTAAATACAATCTATAAAGTTATTTCAAATAAAAAAATAAGAATAAAACTATAAAACACTATTAAAAGTATAGCATCAAACAACTGTATATATATATATATATATAAGCTAAAAATGGTCTACATTTTTTAAGTGAATTATTAAAAGAGATGATTTAATATTTTCTAGTTTGAGTTTCTTTTATAGATAAACCTAAAAATAATAATATTGCATGTAATTAAGGGAGTCAATTTTTTTTTCTTAACCCGAGCCTATCAAAAGTTAGGAACAATCCCGCCAAGAGTTTTCCCTTTTTTCTTTCTCATGTTGGGATGGAATGTGCATTTGCACCTGTAGGTTAAGTGTGTTTTCGAAGGTGGCCAGCGAGGGCGATTGGGGAAGAAACTATAATGTGCGACCGTGTTGATGGATTTGGACAATGGACCGTGGTGGTTCTTTCTCGCCATTGTGTTGTCGCCATTGATGATGTCAGGGACTCCGCAACGGGGAATGGTCATTTGGGCTATTGTTGCATCATCGAGTATGCCGGTGGGGGTAATGTTGAAATTTTCTTGGTAGGTTTTGAGGGCAGTTTCGAGGTTGGTGTCGAATTCATTGACATCAAGATGGGCTTGGTTTTCATATTTGAGATAGCCAAATTGTTCTAGGTAGTGTTTGAGCTTATAGAGACCTTGAGATGAGTTGCCTTTATGGCTTCCTTGAAGGTTGTTGAGGAACTCGAATGGCGATGGTGTTGAAAGATTTATTGTGGAATGTGCAATGGAACAAATTAGGGCAAAAATGAAGATTAGGGGAAGAAGATTGAGAGCTCTAAGTATTGCCATAATTAAGGGTTTCTTGGAAATGGATTTGAGAAGTATTTTTTTGAGGAAAATGGCCAAGTGAATGTGTTTATTTATAGATGAGGGGAAGAATTAGGCACCTAAAAATACAAAATTTGGTACATTCAATACTCTTCCATTGTAAACTTATCCTTTTTTTTTTTCTTTGTCCTTTATGTGTTTAATAGCACACCCTATAGAGGTATTAAGAATGGAAAGTACACACAAGTAAATTTGCACAAATAGTAGGGACTTTCTATTTGGATTTGTTAAAATATTAAATTGAAATTGAATCTTTTAAATCATAATTCTAGCTTTGATTTTTTAACAGCTCATGTTAAGATATCCATAGTTCATTCAAGCCACTATTTTTTATGCTTCTAAATTCTTCAAAGAAGAAGAATAATAAAAAATTGGCAATTAGTAATCCTTTTTTATTATGGAATAAAAAGTCGAATGTTGAAAATTCAATTTTATTTCTTATTTGTTCGTTATTTCAATTCGAACTGCAAAATTAAATCCAGAAAACCTCCTACTTCAAACTATTGATATATCTAAACATTTTGGACAAGCTACATGGAAGCAAGTAAGTATGGATGAAATGTGTGTGATATTTTAGCGTACGGATCATATGTCGATTTGCAATTTAATTCAGCATTTACTGAATTAAATTTTGACCACTGATCTTATATTAATAATTTTAGAATTAAAATTTGTGATAATAAGTTTAGCATGCAATCCATTGTAGATATTTTAAACTGATTTTATGAAGTTTGTATTTATATATTTAAATATAGATGACATATTTAATTGCAAGTAATACTATGTAAATATCATTTATATATATATATATATGTGTGTGTGTGTAATGTAGGGTGCTACAAATAAGGAAATTCCAAAATAGATGTTTAGTATTTGATCAATCCAATCTCATAAACATTATGTAAAGAATAAAAATTGCTAATGGTAATACGATCGAAGATTTCGTGTGATAATCTCATTTAAAGTTATTTTTGGAGTGGGATCGAATGCATGAACGGTGAATGTGTCCAGCAATTCTATGTGTCCAGCAACAGAATTGTCAAATTATATGTTGTTTTCGCTTCTTTTTAATAGTGCGAAACCTAAATAGAATAAAAATGCGAGACAGATTTGTTAACCAAATTTGATCTTAAAAAACTCAAATACTTTGAAAAATACCAATTCAAACCAGATCGATTACCTATAACCTATAGTCAATATATAAAACATCTATTTATCCTTGATGACTCAATAGATCCAAGATTACACAATGTATCTTCTATTACATAAAACATGCAACATTTTTTTGTTAAAAAGTCTTGATTTTAAATTTAATTTATCGGGTTTAATAATAAATTTATTATTATTATTATTATTTGTTGGTGCACTCTCATTTATAAATAAATATATAAATAATGTGACGAGTTTAACTTTTAGGTGAGACCATTGTCATTTACATATTCTAACATTATTATTATTATTATTAGACTTGAGATATTTAATGTTACATTGTAGACATTAGGGTGGGCATTGGAAAATAAATATGTTGTTAATTTAATACAGTACTCTAAGCTAAAAATGTAGGTAAACACTAGAGTTTACCTTGTAAAAATTGAGAATAATAATGGTGTGGAAAATTGTATAAAATTTTTAGTAGTACTTATTACCAATAATAAATATATATGTTGTTAATTCGATATAGCACTTATAGCTAAACTATTAATTGTGAACTACTAGTTGACCTTGTACGCCTCTATAATGTGCAAATTTTGGATGGTAAATAGAGATAGACAATTGTGGCTGATTCCACGTAAGCCTGTTGTTAATGAGCTGGCTTTGGTTCAAAATATTTTATTCAGATGATTTATGAATTTATATTTTTTATAACATAAGAAACTGCAGCCGTTACATTATTTTTCGAATGTATATTAGATAAATCTAATCGAACCTAATAACCCACTAATGGATCTTAAAATTTGGATGGGTTATAAATTTTAAAAAAAAAAAAAAAATTGGAACTCGTCATTAGCTTTATTTTCGGACCTGCTTAAGATTTTAATTTATTATACTTCTTCTGTATTAATTATAAGAATTATCTAAATTTCTAATTTTATATTTTGATGGACTACAATTAATTTTGTAATTGCTGCGATCACCATCCTTCCACCACCATTGTCATTGCTACACCCGCGTCATAGTGATTGAAACATAAAATTAATTTTGTGTATGATGGTTTCGAATTTTAAGTAATTTATATTAAATAACAGAATTTTTTTTTATGTATGGGATGAACCTAAAAAAAATGTAAAGTAAACAAAAAATTGCATATACATATATTTTACTGAAATGTGGGTTTTCAATTTGCTCCGAAATCAATTGGTTCAATGCAAAGCAGGTTTTGAGTCAGTGTCTATTAAATCCTTTTTTTGTTCTTTGTTCTTTTACACATTCATAAAGATGAGACATCTTATCGATTGCATATAATGTAAATCTTTATTTTTTATCGACATTATTGGATATATATATAGCTAGCTATATTATAATACAAGGGTCTTGCTCGATCCACATTCACGAGTATAAAGCTAAGACTCCACGAACATCATCGATGCCCAAACTCTTGACTTGTCCCGGAGCAAGACTAGGGTACATGATTGCAGACGAATCTTGGCTGTGTCCGAGCCCCAAGAGATGTCCTATCTCATGTAGCACAACGGTTTGTAGGTCGAATCCACCTTGGACAGCTCCATTCACCCAATTCTCGCCGGCAACATACATCATAATGAAACCTTCCATCAGGCATGGGCTAATTAAGACACCCCCATTGCCATCAAATGGTGCCCCGTCCCCGTGGTTCCCTGAGAAGAACCCGATGACTATATCCGATGTTGCATTGTCAGCAACACGCGTGAAGGTGAAGCGTGTGGTTAAATCCCACAACCTAAATGCGAGAAACACCGCAGTAATTGCATACGTCTGAGTGTTTGGGACAAACCTTATTCGCAACATTGAAAAATATATATATATATATATATATCTTATTGAACAATAATGATATATAAGTGAGAAATTAATAAGAATAATCTTATTGTAGCTATGTTATGAAGTAATAATAAACTTTTAAATACATTATATATTTTTTTATCGTGTAATTTATGTTTGTCATAAAAAAAAAAATGTGTATACAAATAACTCATATTTTATCAAGATTCTATGCATAGATATAAAAATTCTATACACCTTTTTTATTTACACAATGATATATATTAAGTAATAAGCTTGCGCAATGTATATTATTAGTGTGTTCTTTTGAAATTTAAGTTTTTTTTTTAATTTGAATAAGAATTTAACTATAATATTTTATTAACACAATGATATATATATATATATATTAAGTAATAAGCAATTGCACAATGTATATTATTGTGTGTTCTTTTGAAATTTAACTTTTTTTATTATTATTATTTGAATAAGAATTTAACTATAATATTTTATTAACACAATGATGTATATATATATATATATATTAAGTAACTAGCATTTAAACCCGTTGTATATATAATTAAAATATGTTTAAAAAAATATTGTAATGTAATTATATATTTGATAAATTTTGCATATATGATTTATTTATAATTTATAAAATAAATATATATAATAAAATTATTTTTATACTATATAAATAAAAGTAGATAAAATATAGTAGATGGAATCGTATATAATATAAATCATAACATTTAAGTAAAAGTTATTTTATAAATAAAAAAAATAGTTATAATTGTTAAGGTCTTTTCAAAATATGTGAATATTCAATCTATGAAACACCGGAGATGGAGTATCTGGTCTTGTAAATGCAGTCAAATAATTTTTTGGCATTATTTTTCCATTTATATAAATATAAATAGATAAGAAATATATATTTACTTATTAGAAAAAGATAAGTTAATTCAAAATTTTTAATTAATACATATGCATTATTTTTCTAAAAAATACTAAAACTATCTAAACAAATATATAAATATATCTAAATTTTCTCCATAAAACTATCTAAAAATAGATATAAAATACTAACACCCTTGATACTTCATATCATATATATATATAATTATGAGAGAAAATTATAATTATTTATTAAGGAAAATACTCACAATTTTTTGCTCTGCTTGGACGGTATTCATTTATATAAACATAAATAGATAAGAAATATATATTTACTTATTAGAAATAATTAAGTAATCAGCAAGTGGGTCCACCTGGGTCTTAATTTGCTTTAATTCAATCACTATCATTCAAAGAAATAAATAAAATAGGGCATAGTTACTTACCACAGCCTTCAGATCCAATCCAAATGCATCCACACGCCACAGTCACTCCACAGTCAGCATCATCAATGTCGAGAATTGTATCACAAGAAAAAATGAAAACAAAGTAACAATTAATAAATTGAAATAAAATAATTAACAATTAAGTGTAGAAAAATATTAAAATTGTTCTGAATCTCTGAGATGTATAAATAATAACAGAATTACCTTAATACAAATTATTTTGTAATATTCAACTAGATTCTTCAACCAAAGAAAAATATGAAAATTCTATGATGAGACAAATGCGTATCAATGAAAATTCTCTGAAGAGAGAAATGGTTGAAAGCCATAATATGAAACCCTCTTCAAAGAACCAGATTCTTCAACCCAAAGCAAAATATGAAAATTCTTTGAGCCGAGAAATGGTTGAAAGCGTAATCTGAAACCCTCCTCAAAGAACCAGATTCTTTGGCCCAAAGCAAAATACGAGACAAATGCGTTACAAATGGTTGAAAGTGTAATCTGAAACCCTCTTCAAAGAACCAGATTCTTCAACCCAAAGCAAAATATGAAAATTCTCTGAAGAGACAAATGGTGCGACAAATGGTTGAAAGCTTAATCTGAAACTCTCTTCAAAGAACCAGATTTTTTAACCCAGAGGAGACAAATGCATATCAAATTCTCCGAGGCGACAAATGGTTGAAAGCGTAATCTGAAACCCTTTTCAAAGAACCAGATTCTTCAACCCAAAGCAAAATATGAAAATTCTCTGTCTCCAAAATTCTCTGAGGAGACAAATGCGTATCAAATTCTCTGAGGTTACAAATGGTTGAAAGCGTAATCTGAAACCCTCTTCAAAGAACCAGATTCTTCAGTCCAAAACAAAATATGAAAATTCTCTGAAGAAACAAATGGTACGACAAATGACAAATGGTTGAAAACGTAATTTGAAACCCTCTTCACAGAATCAGATTCTTCGACCCAAAGCAAAATATGAAAATTCTCCGATGAGACAAATTGTTGAAAGCGTAATCTGAAATCCTTTTCAAAGAACCAAATTCTTCAACCAAAGTAAAATATAAAAATTTTCTGAGGAGACAAATGGTTGAAAGCTTAATTGAAACTCTTTTCAAAGAAATACGTATGATTATGAGTGATTATGAGAGGAAGAAACTGCAAAAACTATAAAATTTGAGTGAAACTGTAAAATTTGACTGAGTATTTCTTTTTATTTTTTTAATGCTAAAAAATCCAAAATTTTAAAATGCAGGAATTAAGAGATGATGGGTCCACACCCTTTACTATAGTCATATATATATAAGATAAGCTTGCAGAATGTATATTGTTAGTGTGTTCTTTTAAAATTTAATTTTTTTTTAATTTGAATAAGAATTTAACTCTAATATTTTATAAAAAAATAATAATAATAATAATAATAATAAATTTTTTTTATAAGAATTTGTGATGATTGCATAGTAAAAAACTTAAAAAATACAGATGGAGTTTAGGTATTGGAATATATATACCCTTAAAAAATGAAGATTAGGGGAAGAAGACGGAGAGGTTTGAGTGTTGCCATGATTAGGGTTTTCTTGCAAAAGAAATGAGAACGTTGTTTTGAGGATGTTTGGAATGGGGAATTGAATGTGCATTACCAAAAAAAATAGTATACATCTTAGAAAATTAGCCTCAGAATTTAAAATAGATCCGAAGCCATTTTCAAGAAGCCTTAGAATTTGTCTCGAATAGGTCTCTGAAGAATAAAATTCGTTGCCATTTGAGTGGTCTCGGAAATTCTGAAGCTATTTTTAATAGCTTCGGAATTTCCGAGACTCAATCCGAAGCCAAAGTTAATAATTTTGTCTCGAAAGTTCTGAAGCAAATTTTATAGACATTTTTTGCTAGACTACACCATATAAGTGGTAGCATTGTAAGAATGAATTATTACCCACTCTACACTTAGTTCAAACTTAATAGGCATATCAATGTTTTTTAAAATAAAATTATGTATTCTATGTCTTTTTAAAATAAATATATTCAAATTTTTTAATTGTAATTCAAAATTTAAGTGAATTATTAGAATTGAAAACTGACTAGTTATTACATCATCATAATTGTCTTATGTTCATGTTTTAAATTTATAAACTTCTTAAAGTGTATAGAAAAAAAAAAAAAAAATTATTAAGTATTCATGGAATAAAGAATAAGTAATTGTTAAATATTTAAGTAATTGTTAAATATTTAAGTAATTTTTTTTTCAATCAAAAAGTAAGTAGATGACATAAATACATAAATCTAGCTTATTATTAATGTGCTTGTATCTTGAAATCTCTTTTCATACTATTTATTTTATAATAAAATATTTTTTTGCTAAAATAATACTAGTTTTGCATTTGAAATATTGCATTAATTGCATATTTTGTATTCAAAATATTATAATATTAGATATGATATGTTTTTTTAAAACAAATAAATAGAAAAAAAAAATCAAAAAATATATACAAATAAATATGTTACTTTTGCATTAACACAAAATTGGATTAGTTTAATAAATCAAAGGGTAAAAATAAGTTCAACTCTCTTAAATAAATGGGTTATCATATTTTGTGTATTTGGTCCCTACTCATCCAATATCTTATTTTGTTTAGTGGCCACTCTATTTTGTTGTAGGTAACTTACTTTATTAAGTAAGCACTACATTGAGGGGATTATATTTTTTGTTAAATGATTGAAAATTGTATTTATTTAACATTGAATTGTATTTTATAAAAGAAAAAATGATACGCACTAGAAGCATAATATTAATTCGACAAAATTCCAATATTAAAGAAAAAAATATTAATGTCGGATGATGAATTCTCGTCTCATCTAAAAGTTCGAACGGTTAGGGAAACTAAGTCATTATTCATATATCCACGAACGGGAGTCCCAACGATTAAAATTTGCTATTTCACAGTAAGTCAATAACCGTCAATTACATAAGATAATTTTAGGGGTAAAAAAAACTTATAAATAATATAATAGTGATGTTGAAAATATTAAATAACAAGAGCCATAGCCATTTGACTAAATAAGTACAAACTCTATATATATATATATATTAAATAACAAGAACCATGCAAATTTTCTGGTCAATAATTTGTTGCGATCGAATTTTGTTGGGCCTAATTATATATTTTTATTTTTTAAAAAAAGGTGGGGTGTGACATATATATATATATACTATAATTTTGTTATTTTTTTAATTATTGAGAAGAATTTATGGTTGCATTATTTGTGTAGATTTTAGGGTTGGGCATATTTTGTTCACTTGACACATTATTATAATTCGAACTGGTAAATGCTAGTTGACTTACTGTGTATTTTTTTTTGTACAAAAGTATTTTAAATTTTACTATTTGAATTTTATGTTTTTCAAAAAAATATATCTTTTCAAATCAAACCCAAAAAAACACACCCTTAGTAAAATTCGAAAATTATAATGGATGCCGATGGAGTATGAATAGAAATTTTTTATGAATGAAGAAATGCGATCATACATTAAGGACTTTTTTTTATTATTTCAAATTAAAAATCAATATTATTCACACAATTTTTAATAAAATTATATTATTTTCTCTCACACAATATTAATATTTGAACAAAAATTCAAAGCAATACCTTATTTCAAATTAATTTCAAAGGATAACCAAACAAACTCTAAATCTGAAATAAAAACAATTTATTTGTCGACAATGATGATTATTTCATCAATTATGCCAAATTTATATTATATAATATAAATTATCTATCACTTACCCAATCATTATAATTAAGAAACATTATTATAGTTTTATAAAAAAAAAATTATTTTAGAAGTGTGACATTGTTTATTTAATTATCAGAGGATCTTTAATTTATAAATTCTACTTTTGTGACCGTAGATATGTTTTATCATCAATTTTGTTGTTTAATTTTGCAATAATGCAAAATACAGGTGGGCCTAGATGAGTCTAAGCCCAATTGTAGATGGGCCTGTAGGCCCACTTCAAACCCCAATAATGCAAAATTTTCGTGTTGATGAATACATACATACGTTCTGTGTATATAAATTACTTCCAAATAATATATATATATATAATAAAAGACAAATAATAATTGGGTGCATGCTTAAATATAAAGTGTATTGTTGTGTATTTTTGTTTGTATTTATATTTTTTATTTAATATATTAAAACTAAAAGTAATTATTTAATATGATATTTATGTTTTAAAAAAAAGCACACACTATTGTAAATAATGGATGAAAAATTATTCTTACTAAACTAAAAAATTAATATATTAATTATAAAATATTCAAAAATAATTTAATAAATATATTAGTAACACACAAATATATATATATATATATATATGCGCGCCAATATGTAAAGCGAAGATCCTCAATTAATCACTAGTACGTGCATCTTTTTCTTTTTGATAAAGCTACAGTCTCCAAAGCACAATTATTATAATTGCATATTCTAATATATATATATATACATATCTACATACGCGGTTCCAATTATTGTCTTTAATTACTGTTATTTTATTTTATTTTATTTTTAAAATTTTGATTTTCTTTTTTATTTTTTTACTACATAACTTTTGTGATTATTTTTTTTAATAGAACATCATATATTTAAAACAATGTTTTAATCGAAAAACAAAACAAATATTCCTTCATTTTAAAAAGGTGTTATTTGAGTCTTGTAGTGTATTTTATTCATTTTATTACTATTTAATACTCCCTCCGTCCAGTTAGAAAGTATACATGTTTTTATTTTGGGACATCCAATTACAAAGTAACAATTTCATTAAATATCCAATTTTTTCCACAAATACCCCTACTTTACATCACATCATTACTTTTATACCAAAAAAGTAAGGGCAAAAATGTCATTTCACTACTTTTACCTACCCACTATAATTAAAATACTATTATTCCTTAATCTCCGCCCCAAAAGTAAATGTTTACTTATTTTGTGGACGGAGGGAGTATTATGATTGTGTTAATTTAAGTAAATTAGTTGGGATAGAGAGTAAAATTGGATCTGCATATATATTTCATCCGTCCTATAATTAGATATTTATTTGTTTTTTGTACATTGTTTTATAAATATTAGTATTATATTATGATATAGTATGAATAAAGTATAAATAACTAAAATAATTTTATTAGTATGTGTGATATAAAAATAATAATATTTGTGTAATATATTATAAATTGTAAAAATATTTATAATATTAAGTAGATAGTACCGCTACTAAAAAAAATAGATATTTTGTTATCGAACGAATTAAAATAAATAAAAAAATAGATATTTTATTATAAAACGAAAAATAGCGTTGAATACGTAGATGAGTGGTGGCCAGCAGAGAAAATTACGACCATCTTGCAATAATTGTTTTCGTATGATAATTATGTAATATGATAAATTAATGCACGCAGGTGCTTCAGCCTCTCAGCTCAGCCGAGCTGTTTGTTTTCGGTGTATTCTTGTTAAAAAAATTTACTAAAAATAATATTTTTTTTGGTAAAATATAAAAAAATTAAGTAAATAAAATAAAAATAATAAATATGTATAATGTATTATAAATTTTTTTGGATATGTATATAATTTTTTTGGTTTGTTTTTAAAAGTCATATTTATATTTTGCGTCATTGTACTTAATATTGATACTAATATTTTTATATTTGTACAATTTTTTTAAACTAATGTCTTTCTATTAGTATTATAAGATACTAATTAAAATATTTTTGCAATTTTTTTAATTTATACTGTATTTTGATATAATAATTAATATTCAAAAATTAATGTACAAAAAATAAATAAAACTCTTAGAAACGGACATAAATAGTATTATTTTTGGCAAAACAAACAAACCAGTAGATTTTTTAATACTCCTTCCAAAAGAGATATCTTATGGGAAGTTGGGGAATTAAAGAATAATAATATTTAATTGAAAGTGAGTATAAAATAGAATGTAAATAATTAAAATAATTTTACTCTTTTAAAGATTTTAAAGAGTGTATCAAAGTAATAATTAAAAATAATTTTAAAAAGTATGAATAATTTTATTATAAAATAATAATCATAATTATTAAATAAAAAATAAGATAATTATTTTGTAGAATTAACGAAAATAAAAAATATAAGGCAAACTAGATAATAAGTAAATAGTGTAGTGTAGTGTAGCAGACAAACTTGGTGAATAAGATTTCACAAGCACTGAGCGGCACTGATTTGACAGGTTTTCACGCTAGTCAAACTCACCTTTATAGCACTGCCTTTTACATTTACATTACATTTTACCATTTGTCTTTTCTCTATAAAACATTTTTATATATTATAGTATTACTTGAAAACATATTAAAAATAAAAAATAAAAATTGAATGAATATCCATAATGTAATATTTAAAATAAAATTTAGTGTTTCATAATAGATTAAATAACTAAATAAAAAAAAGGTAAAAATTGAAAAATAACACGTCAATTTCTGATCTTAAATAAATAGAAAAACTTCCAAAAAAATTATGTAAAAACTTTTACCCGATAATATTTTATTCGAACGAGTTCAAATGGGACGGTAGTTAGAATTGTTATATAAATTCATTAATTTACATATCAAAAGTATTAGTTAATTATTTATTTTGTAGCCGATAAAAGCGATTAAAGTGGCGAAAACAACCCTATCCCGTAATTCCGTGAATCCCCCACACATCACAAACTTTCACGAGCTCCAGGGCTTCCAGGACCGGGTCGCATCTCCACCGTATATACAACGGCAGATCCATCCGGCGTCGAACTCCTAGGAGCTCCCAACAACTCACCAACACCAAAACACTAACAGAGCAAAAGGCACCACGACCTAAAATCAATCAATCATTTCGCTCTATTGCTCCATTTTCATGGCGGAGTTGCTCTTCCCTTATCACTCCGATTGTTCTGAATCCACGGTTAATCGCCGATTCTCCATTAACCAGAATTAAATTCTTCGCCATGGGAAGCGGAAAGCAGCGATGGAAGATCGCGTCGTTCCATAAGTCTCCTTCATCGTTGTTCGCCGGGAAAAAGTTGCAGAACCATCACCGCCAGGCGCCGATCGAGTTTCTGTGTCCGCTCTCCGGTTCGATCATGGCGGATCCTGTTATTGTAGCCTCCGGCCACACCTTCGAGCGCAACTGCGTCCTTGCGTGCCTTTCGCTCTCCTTCAACCCTACCCTCGCCGACGGCGCCTTCCCCGATTTCTCCGCCTTAATCCCTAACCTCGCCCTCCGGTCCACCATTCGCAACTGGTGCCGCCACCACCTCCTCGAACCGCCGGAAACCGTCGATTTCTACTCCGCTCAGGAGATTGTTCGGAGATTTATGCCTCAATTAGCCGCGGCGGTGGTGAATCGGACGCCGAGCGAGGTGTCCGTCGCCAGTTCGGACGGAACCCTAACTCCACGAATTAGGACCGCCACGCCTCCGCCGTTCTCCGCCAGAGCTTCCTGCTGTTCGTCTTCGTCGTCCTCTGAAATAGAGACGAATTTCTCCGAGGAAAACGAAATCATCGCGAAGTTCAGAAGCTCTGAGATTAGCGAACAGGAGGCGGCGGTGGTGTCTCTCCGGCAACAGACGCGAACGGAGGAGGAATCGCGCGTCCGTCTCTGCACTCCGCGGCTGCTCTCCGCGCTCAGATCGTTACTCGCCGCCAGATACTCGTCGTCCCTGCAGGCGAACGCCGCCGCGACGGTGGTGAACCTCTCGCTCGAGAAGGAGAACAAGGTGAAGATCGTGCGGTCAGGAATCGTCCCGACTCTAATCGACGCTCTGCGCGGAGGTTCGCCGGAGTCACAGGACCACGCCGCCGGCGCGCTGTTCAGCCTATCGCTCGACGATCAGAACAAGACGGCGATCGGCGTGCTCGGCGCGCTGCCGCCGCTGCTCAGCTCGCTCCGGTCCGACTCAGTCGGAACTCGGCGCGACTCGGCTCTGGCTTTATACCACCTCTCGTTGGTGCAAAGCAACCGGGTCAAGTTAATCAAGCTCGGGTCGATCCAAATTCTACTGGGAATGGTGAAATCGGGTTGGATGCCGGGTCGGATCCTCCTGATCCTCTGCAACATGGCCGGAAGCGTGGAGGGGAGGGCGGCGATGCTCGACGGCGGCGCCGTCGAGTGCCTCGTAAATTATCTAAACCACGGCGAGGCGGCGACGCGGGAGAGCTGCCTGGCGGCGATTTACGGGCTGAGTTACGGCGGGCTGCGATTCAAGGGCCTTGCGAAGGAGGCCGCGGCGGAGGCGGCGCTCCGGCGGGCGGAGGCGGCGGCGAGCGAACGGGGGAAGGAGAAGGTGAAGCGAATTCTGGAGGTGCTGAGAGATAAGGAAGATGAAGAAGAAGAGATCGACTGGGAGGAGCTGCTCAACTCGGACGATTCATTGAGTCGGACTCAGTGAGTGAATTTAGTTTTGGTGTAAGTAATTAATGTTTGTTTTGTCTGTCTGTCTGTTTTTATTATTGGGCTTGCGCTTTGGCGTGGTTTACTATTACTTCATTCATTTTCTTGTTAACGAATGCATTAGTACACTGTTTATAACAAAAGATGGAGTACAATAATGTAGTAGTAGTAGTAGTAGTAATGTAATAGACTAGGGATAGCAACGATAGAGCGGGTTTGGGTACGGGTACGGGTCTACGGGCACTTGGAGCGGTTGCCGCGGGTGGTCATGCCGGTGTAGCACGTGCCACATTTTTCTTTGTTTCCGTACTGACCGGGGGGGACGCATTTGCACCTATCGCAGCAGGTGAGGCAGGCTCTCATGCATCTGTTGATTCTGGAGTGCAGTTTGCACCTCACTCCACACAGGGGAGTACACTCTGCATCAAATTAAAAATACATTTATTAAAATTATACTTGAAAAAGATAAATTCTGTACTAAGTAATATTAATTGATTTTGGTGTTTGAGGGAGAGGGAGAGAGACCTTTTCGGTTGCGTGGCGGCTGCGGAGGAGGAGGTGGGGCCTTCACCGGTGGCGGAATCTGGACTAGTGGTGGTTTTGACGGCGGCGGTAAGGTAATTGGGGATTTGGGCGGTGGCGGAGAGACTGGGGCCCCAAGAAGACCAGGACCTCCTGGGGCGTCCTAAAATATATGGGGGAAATTAATTAATTAATCAATATATACGTACATAGACTAGACAGAGGAGGGTCGTACCTCATTTCCAATTAGGTCTTCATCAACAGCAACAACCTCATGAGATGAAACCTGCAAAACCAAAGGAATATTAATATACATATATATATATATATAGAGAGAGAGAGAGAGAGAGAGAGAGAGAGAGAGAGAGAGAGAGAGAGTATGTACGTACGAGTGAGGGTGAGGCAAGAAGAAGGAAAGAGCAGAAGGCGAAGAGGAGCAACGAGGCAGGCATGTTATGTAACTGTGTAGTAGTAGTAGTACCAATGTGGGTGTGTTTCTCAATCGCAAACTCTCTCTATTTCCATTTCTCTGTGTATGTATATATATAGGCGTAGGGAGGGAAGGGTGAAACTGTGAGGATATATATATGTGTATATGTATATGCATATGGATGAGGTAGAGAGTAATAATAATAATAATAAATGTAGAGAGTATTGAGAGAGAGAGCAGGCAGGCGGTGGTAAGCAATGTAATGGAGTAATATTATTGTATAATGTATTTGGCGCCAGCTAGCTTGTTTGGTGGGACAGTGGTGCTCGATATTCTGACACAAGAGTAAATAATACTAGTGGTAATAATATTCACATTGGCAGTGCCAGCTTAGCTGACCTGACCTGAGCTGATCATCATATTCATATTCATAGCCATCTTGATGGATCTTGTTGAATCTGTGTCTGTCTGTGTATGTGAAAGTGTGCCCAAGCAAGCAGGCAGGCAGGCAGGCAGGCGTAGTTGGTCCCAAGCCCATATGGATATGATATGATGATGGTAAAATCAATCAATTAATTAATCCATTAAGAAGAATAGTTGAAGTTGAATGGAGATGGAGATGATTTGATCAAGGTGAATTGGTGGATGGTCATGATGATGATGATGATGATGAATCACCCATCCAGTCCAGTCCAGTCCAATCCATGCATATGCATATCAGTAAAAGTTGTTCTTTTCTTTTTTAGTTATTAGTAATTCTTTATATGTTATCCAGTTGGAAGCAACTCTGCTCAACTCAAATAGTACAACTTTTTTTCCCAACTCCCAAAACTCATTATTATCATCATCATCATCATCAATCTAACCAACATCTATCTAATTGCAAGCAGTACAGTAGTAATATTTATTGCCTGGTGTGTATTCATTGTGTTAATAAGCAAGCAGTAGTAATACAAATAAAAACATATAACTCCACATTTGATTTTATTATGCAGTTGCACGCTGGAAAAATTGGAACTGGATCTGCCCTGCCCTGGATGGACTTACTCACACTCACAACCCTAATTATTGGTATAAACTACTACTACTACTACTACTAATGCTATATATAGGTATAGGCACTACAAGTAAGTACCAACTTGACTACATATATACATGCATTTCTCAATATAATATAATATCATATCATATTATATATACATAGATAGATGCACTGGTGTACGTACGGGCATATTAATAATAATAAGATAAGAACAGATATGGTGGAAGATGACGATGACGATGATGTCGTCGTGTCGTCTGTCTATATACGCATTAATAAGTGTTACTGTACATAGACATAGTTGTTGCGTCCACGTGAAAGCACATGTATGTACGTACGTCTGTACGTGTATACCAGATTATCACTATACGTATGTCTGAATGTAGAGGAGTCAACACTACACAAGTCAGTATATCATTAAAAATTGTACATACTAGTAATATCATACAAATACGAATGTGTGTATGTATAATATATACATTATATGTATATAATTTATTTTTGAGACAATGATATAAATTATAGAAGTTGCACTAGTAAAATAGACACACACAGCCTATAAATATGTCTGCATTTCCTCCTATGCTATCATCTCTCTCCTCTGATCTCCATTATTTGCAACTGTTGTTTTTTGTCTTCTAATCTCCCCAACCCAACTTGCTGCTTTTCTAATCTACATAAATACGGATACGGGTCGGGTCGAGTCGGGCGGGTCATATTCCAGAAAAGGTTTCATTTCAATTCATTGACTACTTACCTTTGGTATAAGGAATGAATAAAATTGCACGTAAATATGATCCTCCAACTTGTCTTTTCTATTTTTAAAATATAATTATGCACTTTAATTATATTTTAATAATTATTTTTACTAATATATTTATTAATTACTTAGTAATTATATTTTACTTAAATTTTCTTATCTACAGTAATAGTCCCATATTTTTTTAGGACGAATGGAATATTTACCAAGAAATTTAATAAAAAAAGAGAATAACAATACAGAAAATTCACTTGAAAAATAGAAAATATATATATATACAATACATAAAGAAGAGAGAATATTGGATGTATTTCTTTCTGCAAGTATGGAAAAAAAAATTAGAATGAGATAAAAAAGTAAACTTTTTTTAAAATGTAGAATTTAAATAGTAAAATTTAGAAAACACCGAGCTAAAGAAACCTATCCTTTGAAAAACAAAAACACCCGATTGTTCGAGTTGCACCACCAACATCAACATCAGAATCAAGCCAAATTAGTATCCATCCAATCTACCAAAATGATTAGGTATGTATCTATCAATATAGTTATAGCATAACATACATATATTGTGTGTGTATATGTATACGTATCATCTTCTCAAACACCCCCACCCCCACCCCCACCCCCACCCCCATAGCTCAGTCTCTGTAACTAATTACACAATCAAAGAATTAATAATAATCATCTCAAAACCCTAACCCTACCAATCAAATTAGAATAATCAACACAGTAATAATAATAATAATAATACCTTTCTTCTTCTTCTTCTTCAAATCCAAATCTAACTGACCTGCTCTCCGATCAAATCCAGCCCCACCACCAGAAACGACAACCCCTGAAACAGCAGGTAGTAAAAATGGATCCCCTGCGCCGACAGCAAGCTCCTCCCCGCCGCCGTCAGCAGCAGCAACGCCACCGCCAATTCCTTCCTGTAAACCCTATTCTTCTTCTCCTTCTTCGTCTCCTTCACCTTCCCCAACAAATCCAACCCCGACTCCGACAACCGCCGCTGGATCTTCTCCTCGTTCGTATTCTTCGCCTCCCTCTCCGCCAGCAAGCTCACCAGATCTGACTCCGACGCCCTCCCCGTCTTCTTCGTCACCACCCACTCGTAGGCGCTCCCCAGCTGGAACAGGCCTGAGATCATGGCGTTGAATTTCGTCACCGACATGGTGTTCTCGAACAGCAGGTAGGGCATCAGGAAGGGGAAGGACTTGGGCGCCGGGAGGATGTTGAGAATGGACATGGTTATGGGGACGTAGCAGATGACCCACGCCGGCAGCTCCGCCTCCGGGATGAACATGGTGAGTGGAAGTATGATGCAGAAGAGAGTGAAGGAGTAGAATGGAAGAATCAGTTTCCGAAGGAGGAAGAAGAGGAATATCAAGTTCGCCTTCTTCCATATCGATATCTGCAATGCAATTCCCACATCACTAATTTAATCAATTTTCATTTACTAAAATAATAATAGGCAAAATTTCTTAGAACCTATAATTTGGTTACCAAGAAACTCCCAACACTCATTTGTATTTTTGGAAATAATACTTTTTCAAATAATTTTGTAAAATAAGGAATTTCTACAAATTTCAAAATTATAGTAAGAGATTTTACACAATATCATCGGCTAATTTTTAAAGCGCCCGATTTTTGCATTATTGAAGATATTGTGTAATATTTTTTGAAAACCCCAAAGAGCATCACAAAATTTCTAAGAAAATATGAGCAATATTTTTTAAAATATGAAAGAATTTTGTATCGTTTTTAAATTATAAAAAAATTTGTGTAATATTTTTTTAAAGCAAAAAGAAAATTTTACTTAGTATTTTCAAAAACACAAGAAAATCATCCCATTTCTAAGAGATTGTACGGAATGTAAATTAAAAAAAATCTTTTGCAATATATTAAAACACAAGAAATTTTATGAACAAAAATAAGTGACAATGTTAAAGGAGATTTTGTGTTATGATTTATAAGGTCCTACCCATTTTTAAAAGCAATTTCACTTAATAATAGTAATGTAAGAAGGAAAATCAAATTATCGTCGATACCTTTGACTTTAAGATCGCCGGCAGGCATAGCCGGAAAAGCTGCATAGGGCCGGAATGCCATCGATGCTGCTGCTTCTTGTACGTTTCGTAGGATTCAGGCAATTCGCACAGAACTCTAACATCGTTAAGGAACGTGAATTTCCATCCCTTTAAATGTGCCCGAACGGCTATGTCCATGTCCTCCACCGTCGTCCTCTCCAGCCATCCGCCGGAATCCTCCAGCGCCTTGATCCTCCACACTCCGGCAGTGCCGTTGAAGCCGAAGAAATCGAGGAACATGCCATTCACTTGCTGCTCGACTTCAAAATGGAAGCACAGATTGATGTATTGGAGCCTTGTGAGCAGATTTTCGTCCCGGTTGATGAACGACCACCGTGCCTGGACGAGGCCTAATTCAGGATTTCCCTAAAAACAAGAATGTAATAAGTTAAACACAATAGTTGTACCTGAAAACTTAAACTTTAAGGATATGTATCATCAATTATTATATAATCAACAAGCATAATATAATAGCATCTATTGTAAGAATTTGGTCTACCTAAAAATTTAAAATTTAAAAATATGTATCATAAATTATTATATAATCAACCGACGTAATAAATATCATCTATTGTAAGAACTTGGTCTGACGATCATTTTACATGAACACTTAAAATTTAAGAATATATATCATTAATTATTATATAATCAACCAACATAATATAATAGCATTTATTGTAAAAACTTTACTTGATGATCATTTTACCTAAAAACTTAAATTTTAAGAATATGTATTATTAATTATTATATAATCAATCAACATAATATAATAGCATCTGTTGTAAAAACTTAGCATGATAATCTTTTTATCTGGAAACTTAAACTTTAAAGACATGTATCATTGATTATTATATAGTCAACCAATGTAATATAATAGCATCTATTGTAAGAACTTGGCCTGATAAAAGAGAGAAAGATGATCGATTACCTTAAAATGGGGGACAGTGAGTTTGAGGAAGTCGGGATTAGGCTGAAAATCTGCGTCGAATATTGCAACGAACTCATAGTTCTTGACATAGTCGCAAGCCATGGCGGATTTGAGGTTGCCCGCCTTGTACCCTGTCCGAACAAATCGATGCCGGTAGACTATATTCACCCCGGATTCTTTCCACGACATGACTTCATCTTTGATCAAATGCTGCACGAGCTCATCATCCGAATCATCCAAGATTTGCACCAAGAATCGATCTTTCGGCCAATCCAGTCGACAGGCTGCCGCGATCGATTGCTCGTAAACCTTCAAATCAAATCCAATCCAATCCATCAATACTCAAAAGATGAACACTCTAAAACTTGAAAATTAAAAACTACCTCTCTTTCATTACACATAGGAATCTGAACAAGAACCATAGGGAAACAACTCGATCCATTTTCGACATCGTCGTCGAATGCCCCATCAACAACAGGCTTCATCTTCTTACACTTGATCCAGAAACAACCAAGGCACTGAAGGAGACGATCCAACGACTGAATCAAGAAAAGCACTATACAAAACTTGGAAAAAGCAGCAATCCAAGGGGCAACATAATCAGCCCTGAAATTCAACCAAGCCAAGTACCACCACTGCACCAAATTATCGACCCCAATCCCCAACGGATTAACAATTCTCAAATTCCATCGATTCAAATAAGCAAAGACTTCGACAGCAAGACCAATCAATGAAACAACAAGGAATGCTTTAATAAACCTGTACAACTTCCTACCACTCTGCCTCGGATCTTCCTCGTTCGAATCCGATGAAGCAATTCGCTTCTTGATGGACCCAATAACCGCAAAAGAAGTCGATAACAGCCAGGGAATGAATGCCACAACTCGATAGGCTTTCAGGAGAAGAAGCCATGTGAACTGCTTGGGGCTTGCAGCCCTCTGCTTGTCCTGAAATATCATCGACGATCGTCCTCCATTTGAGGAAGAATCGTTCCTCTCTATTAAAGAGATGCCCTCTGGCTTCTCCAGTGTGACAACTACAGTGCTGTTTAGTGCCATTGATGGCAAAAAACCAAAAATAGAAGTCGAATCTTGGGGTAAACAAGTTTTTGTTTATACACAAATATCAAATGTCTTTACTACAACATTAATTCTCCCAATATGTATCGAAGTTAGATCTCGGAAAGAAGAAGGGAGGGGGGAATTGGCACATACTCGATCAGGATAATAGGATATTCCGTTAGAATTCAGCCATGAATCAACTTTCCCGTCCTAAGTCAAACCCCCAAAACATTACATTAAATATGAAAAGGGTAAAAATGGTGGTTTGGGTTTTTATGGTGAGTGAGGGAGGGAGGGATTTCGAAATTAGGAATTCGATTCTTGAGAGTGTGAATGTGTCAGTGTGTGAAGAGTGATGACTCAATTTAAAAAGGGTTTTTGGACAGGATAGCTAATATTCTATTTAATCATTCAGGCAGGCAGGCAAGCAAGATGTAAGATTTAAACAAGGGTTAATAATGGATGTATGAAATTCAAATACCGATGTGCAAAATGCCATCTTGGATTTTGGCAATTTGCGAGGGGGGGTCTGCACTGCACTGTCTCCCCCCATGGGAGGGACTACTGGGGCTGGTGCTTGGATAAGGACTAGAGACAAAGGTCCTGGGGATGAGATTCACCGGTCTCAGTGTCGGTGCCCATTAAATTAACAGGACAGCTAATGACAACTATTTACAGCCAAAAAAGATGATGTAAGATTCTTTGTACCTGGCAAGTCCATGGAGTTGGAGTCCTGCGTGGGACGGGTATTGCTACTGGACTGCAGGTCCGGGATCCTCCATTGTAAACTTTGACTGCCAGCTTGGAATTCCCTACAGTGATTATATCAATCTTGTTCTTTTTTTTTTTTCTGTCTTCTCACAAAATTCTTGATTATACTTAATTATATAAAAGTATATTTTGTTAAATTATGTTAAATATATTCAAAAATATTTAAATAAAATTATATAGCAGGGTTCACCTTGAGTTGACCATTTGAAGGTGTCGAAAAAAACAAAAGATAATCATAAGACAAATGCTATGAAATGTTGGATCATCTCAGATACTGAAGTTCAATGGCCAAAAGACAGTACTGATCAAGCCAAAATAAATTTCTGTTATTATCCTAATTTCTGTCAATCATCTCACACTCTATATATATATATATATATATGTGTGTGTGTTATCTTATCATAGGAGTATGTATGATTTAATCACCACAACAGTATAGGATCCACTGCAAAGGGTTTGCTTTGTGTTTCCACGCTTTAACCATGCCGGGTTCTCTAAAAAAAGAAAATTACAATTTTTTTTACAAATATACACAATTATTTCACCAAGGAAAAAAAAAAGAAAAACATACAAACACTAAAAAGTATACAATTTATTTGTTTCAGCTTCAATAAAAATATATTTACTTTTTATATAAAATATTATGTCAAATCATTATTACACTTTACAAAATAATAATAAAAGCCAAAAACCTACAAAACACACACACACACTCGAACTATATAGATTATGATGATAGATGTTATTCAATTTGGAAAAGAATTACTCCCTCTAGGCTCTATTGGGCAAAAATGTGTTTATTTGATTAGATATAGAGATTCAGAAAAATAAAAATATAATGTGAAAATATGACAATTTTATTATCACAAGAATAGAGCAAGCATGACTCACTAATTGATCTCCTACAACAGAAACTCAAGTCAAATTCGAATAAGTAGAACTAAACTAAACTTTCAAACATCTTGTCTATACAACTCTAGATGAATATATATATATATATATCGGGGATTCCTTAGTTATAGAGAGCGAACGGGTGCAACCCACCCACCCAGCATTCGGACCCTTGTGCGATCCAAGCCGCGGTGGCAGCTGGACGGTGTGGATTCACAGCAGCTGCCAAAGGGAAGGGACCCGATGCACGCTCCCATGTGACAGATAACTTAACTTAATACATCAACCATACCATAATCTAATATTATTAATAATATGTCTTCTAAGTGTAAACATCATACTGGCCATCGCCATTAATTAATTAATTTATACTTGTAGTTCCCATCTACAAGTGTAAGTGTATGTGCAAGCAACAAATATATGTGCCAGCATTAATTGACCACGTTCATCTGTTTAATTCTGCCCTCCACATGCAACCTCCTTCTACTAGCTACTTCTAAATCATGCATACTAGAAAAATATATACACACACATGTATAGTAGTTAAAAGCTCTTAATGAATCCTAAGTAGTTTCGAATATGTTACAGATTTTCGAATTTGTATATTATCAGTAATGAAATAGAATATATAGAAACATAATCTAAAGAATCACAATAAAATATAGAAAATGTCTCAAAGTCCCATCAAATATAGAAATTATAGTTCAAAACAGAACTTTCAATGAAGTTAGAATCATAAACAAGACTATTGATACAGTTTGAGTCGAGGAAGGGCCCTCAATGGATTTAAAGTCAGAAATAAGGGTCTTAATGGGTTTAGAATCAGAAACAAAACTCTCAATGCAATTAGAGTCGGAAACAAGACTCTATATGAAATTAAAATAGACAATCAAATTTGTATATTATTAATAATGAAATTAGAAGAATATAAATAGACGTAATTTAGACCAAAAATACTCAAATAATAACCTAATATAAGATAATAGAAACATAATTCACAGAATCGTATTGAATATAGAAAATATTTCGACAAAATAAATCAATATCATTTTTAAATTTTAATTTACTAAGTTCTCCAACACATGTCCACATACACACACAAGGTTGGAACATGATGATTAAAGATTAAGGCTCAAAGTTCGATCCGACCTTCAAAAGTTAAGTTCAATAAATTGTAGCAGGAGACTAACAAACAATCTATGTATGGGGGCCCTATGAGTGCAGCTTATTACAGTTATCGGATAAGCTAGAGAGGAGGGAAATTTACTTATGTTTGTCCGAATATGAAAATACGACAGGTAGGTTTGGTATCAACGATAGACCTCCTGAGTGTCCCATTGCTGTCAATGGACCACACAAGAGCCTTAAGAGCACCAAGAAGAAATGAAGAAGGGCAGTAACTAAAGCAAATGATTGGCATATGAATAACAAGAGAACATGATGAATCTAAAAGACTGTAGTTAGAACATGTAGAAATGGAAACATCAGGTAAGTGAAAAATACAAACCGACAGGGAAGGAACACGGCCTTTCACATCATTCCTAATATGTGAAGCAGAACGGCACTTGTGCTGCCGGAAAATTCAACCACAAGTATGTAATAACTTTGGATTGCCCGGAAGAAGTCTTCAAACAAGTGTAAATCTGTCCCACTAGCAATACACAGAAGCAATTAGGCCATCTAACATCTTAAAACTGTCGATTAGAGAGAACATCATAAGAATGTGACTGTAGTAAGGAAAGAATTTAACAGTGTTCACTTAACATAGTTAAAAAGCATGATAAAAAAATGTTTAAAATAAAGTAAAACATCTCATACTAACATTGGCTCTTCCATGTCCCAATCTCATTATTATGTTTCTAATACCATTTTGAATGAATAGAAAAGGCCAAAAGAGGGCCAGTTGAGTAATTAAAATGTGGGAGCAACAAATTTATGTGAAAACTGTTGGCAACCAACAAAGAATCCAGATAAGCATATTCCATCAACGTCATTTGGCAGATGCTGCAAAATGTGAGTACTGTGAGCCAAAATTTGTGCTATCACTACACATACATCAGTTTTCAAACACGTTTGTGTAAGCCCCGTTATACATTTGTTCATTCTTCCTCTTCTGGAAACAAGACCAACACAAATAGAAAAATACATAAATCTTGAAGCTTCGAATTTTAGTCAGATTCCAATAATAGAGAGCATGTTTCTCTTGGAGCATTCATCAAGCCTCTTGCAAACAATGAAGAACTCTAAAAACATTTCATGATGCATTCTATAATCCGGAACCCAAAAAAATAATCAATAAAGACCTGGTATTTTTCACCATGAGAAGCCTAGGAAAATCTGACACTCAACTTTCACATTCAAACTACCACAAATAACCCTTAGACCTCCAAGAAATTTATAATTTAGGTTAAAATTGGGGTACCTTTGGAGCAGACCACTTACTTTCACCATTCTGGGGTTCCAGGTATCCTCTTGCTTATCTGAGAATCAACTATCATCATATCCTTCTTTAAATTTGACATCGTCAATGAATCCCTCCAATTTCAATCGAAGTTCCAATTTTTTTTCCTACTTTAAGGTGTGTATACATGGATCGTCAAACAATATGTTTAAATGGTCCCAAAATCAGATAATAAAGTATCACGAGAGTTGATTCCATATTCTTATAATAGATCTTGTGTAATTGCCTTCCAATTCTAAACCATGTACAACACATTGGTACACATGATTTACATATACATTGATTAAGAATTTGACATTACAAAAACAAATAAATAAATGAAGCAATAAAATACACAGCATCAAGAGTAACAAACGAACGAAGCTTTAACACATTATAACCACATCTCATAATACTGCAGAATCATCCAGAGAACTGGGTAAATGACAAACAGCACAATTTATCATATAAACAGTACAATTCCTGTTTGAGGATACAATTTGGCAGAAAAGATAAGATTCACACAATGGCCATCTCCAATAAATGATAATTTGATATATAGGCGACATCCTTATAATCTACAATCAGTTTTTAGAAGCATAGGAAAATAAAAACAATTGACAGAACAAGCTACTTCAGCACAATTCAAGAGAGTGCCTTAAACCTCACTAACATGATGAGCACCCAGCGCAAAAGAAAAGAGTTCACGAGCAGGAGGGTACTCAATCAATGATATCTCCATTCCATATCCGCTAACTGGAAGCTTCAAATCCCGTAAAACAGTAAATGCTTCTCCCATTCGAGTCTTTGGCACTTCTTCAGCCACAAGTGAGTGAGGAATCCATTGATCTGGACGGTACTCATCCCCAAGTTCAATACCCTCTTTTCTCATTGCATCGCACAACTGTGAATGAAATTGGAGGAGAGACAATGATGGGGTTGGGCCAAGAAACAGGACATTGTTTTCATTTGGGAGGCTTCCAATTGAAGAGAAGCTCAAAGACAAAGGTTCTTGCTTCGATGCTAAATTTCTTAGGATATTCTCTAGTTTGGTAATATCAGCTGAAGGGCTCGAAAACAAGGTAAGGTGAGGTCTTGATTCAATTTCAATGAGCTGAGTGCTAATATGCCGTCGAGCCAGCACATTCCAGGCCTTCAAAACCTGATTCTCAAGCGCACGATCAAAGTAAAGCTCAATTGCATAGCCTTGGGACATTGTCTCTATAATATGTTTCAAGAAAAACCAACACCAGAATGATCAAGAAAATTACAAAATGAACTATAAAGATTCTGAAACACAATAACAAATAGAAAAAAGAAAATATATATATGCACAATCAAACAGGAAAAACAATAATAAAAGTGCTACAAATATACAAGCACCAATTAAATCATTGGAATATAAATAAAACCACCAGAGACACATAAAAACAAAGAAAACCCATAAACAACCAAACCTAATTGCATCTATGACAGCAACTCAGGAAGCAAAATTCAATCCCAGCAGTTAAAAATAGACATAAACAAACAAACAAAAATCATCAGAAGTACAGATGTACCAGTTAAGTTAGAGCCCATTCAAGGCAAAATGACAAAGATCTATGGGTAGTTTTTTCGAAACGTAGGAGTACAAAAGTAACTGCATAATACACTTGAGCATTCAAAGCAACATTTAGAATCGATTAACATCATATTAGTATTATTAACATCACTAAATCTGCCATTGAAAGAATATCATTCCAGAGCTGCTAGCTCGGCAGAGATCACATCCCAAAGTTTTCCAATCACTTCAAAAAATTCAGTCACTTATCTCCCAATTTCCCCAACAGAAATCTGTAAATTACCCATGCCCTAAAATCGAAACTAGAACTCGAAATTCGTTATTAAAACTTCAACCAAAAGTTAAGAAACTACAGCAGTTGATCGAGATGTGAACTAACTTTTAACATCAAAAAAAATTCCCGTCAGAAAATTAATTTTGCTCGCAATGCATCAGAACGACGGCAAAGCTAATCGACACACACCTACAAATTACTGCAAAAGAAATTGCTCCCGCCGTAGTCAGTTTATGCGTCGAAGAGCTTCCCCTCACAGTGTCTTCTCTTCAACTGGGAGAAGAAAGAACCAATCTGCCTCCGACGGAAATTACACTGGGTGGTTTTCAAATTTGCTGCCCTTTTTCAACTGATCAAATTTTATAAAAAGGTCCGTATAAAATCAATTCTCACACTTTGACCCCAAAAGTTTGTGCATGACGCAATTCATAATCCCAAAATCATTAAAATATTCAAAAAAAAATAAATTATATCTTATCTATTATTACAATAATATTATCAATATAATTTTATTACGTTACAAAAATAATTACTCGATAAAAATAAATAAATAAAATAAAGTATGCGCGTAAAGGATACTGTCTGTTTGGGGGATTCTCTCCCGAATGAACTATTTATTTTTTTTTTCTTTAAAAATATCAAATTAAACATTTATTTTTTATTTTTTATATTATACTAAAAATCAAGTTTACGTTCAAAACATCACATCAACGTCTATTTATATTACATCATACAACTATTCAAATTCAAAATTTTTACTATTCAAATCTCGACTCAAAATTCAAACTCCAAAGCAAACACGCCCTAAAAAAAAATTAACTAAGAAAAAATGATTAAGTTGGTAAAGTGGGTGGAATTTAAAATCTATCATAATCCTCTTTTGATCTTATCTCGTACATGAGTTTTTTTAAGAATATTTACCTTATTGCTTTAATTTATAGGCTAAAAAATTAAGCTGCATTCAATTATTAGACATGACCAATTACATATTAATATCTCACGTCAAATAGTGTGAACAAATATTTATTTAGACTTCATTTATATATTGTTTTTAATATAATCAGTCTGACGGAGTGCTGAATTTAAAATTTAGCATTGTATTGAACCGTAAGTAATATGCTAACAAACGCTATACTATATTATTATTAGCAGTATGTCAATTATATTAATATAATACAAATACAATATATGAACTAACAATACATAGTATAATATTACACAATGTATATAAAAATTAATTTTAATGCATAACATATTTGTATATAACATTTTGTAATTATAAACTAACAATACGTATTTTTATTATAATGAGGACAATGATTTATGGTGTGAATGGCTAGAATGTGTGGCCAATTTTGAAGGGAAGAAAGATTTTTTGGTAGTGATAAATCAAGGCAAACAAAAATAGATCTTTATTGGACAAGTGTGTAAGAAATGTTGCTTGTAAGAAATAAAAAAGTGCATTGGAAAACTAATCTAAATTGCAAATTTTCTAGCCTACCAATGGACCCTTTTTTGGTACCATAATAAAATTTGTATGATGGGTTTAATTTATTTGAAAGTTATTTATATGAAATAATAATGATGATGATGATTATAATAACTCATGCAAGACAATTATAGAATTAGAAGAATACATAAAATATGTCAAAATCATATAAATATATCAATGTATCATTGAATTGTGATTTATAGTGTAAATATGTTAAAATTGAATTATAAATACATTGAATCATTATGGGTTTGTCTAACTTTTTTTTTTTTTTTTTTAAGATAACTAATTATTGAGTGTGATATTTTGATTAATGATTTGGTATTTGATTCAATAGTTTTATTAAAGGATGTGGATCCCTCCGTCAGGTATTGATTTAATTTTATCCATTAATTAATTTTGATATAAAATTTATGGTGCAGATTAAATAAGGGTAAAATTGATTTTTTGGTGTAAAATATTTTATTTAATTCAAATTTTTTAGGGCCACTGTTATCGCCTACGCTGTCGCTATTGCCACTGCTGTCGTCTACGCTGTTGTTGTCGCTGTCATCGTCGTTGTCCTAACGGTGATCTCTATTCTCCGAGAGTGTGTGTGGGCTTGGTTGATTGGTGGAAAGTCATTGGTGGTGGATGGTGGATCGTTGGTGTTGAGCTATGCGATTGTGAGTGATAATTTCCGTTCAAGTAGTATGGGAGGATTGAGCGAAGGGCGGCGGCGATTGTGGAAGAAGGGTAGTGATATTGATCGGAAGAGTATTGAAAAAGTATATGTCGACGGCCGTTGTCGTGCTGAGTAATATGGTATAAAATGTTCTTTCATGCACGTATACATGCTGAAATCAATTAATAAAATGTTGATTTATTTTAATTAACAAAAATCTGAGTATTTTTATGTAACAATAAATGCTGAATTTTTTATGCATCTTAAACTTAACTGCAAATCCCTATTATATGCATACGTACACTATAGATTGTAAGCAACATCTGGTTTTGTTAATTACATCGTATGTCAATCAATTAATCATGTTTATATTATATGCTGAAAAATATCAAACAATATGTTGTCTATTGAATAATAAAATGTTGTAATACATTTTAGAAAATGTTAATTGTTGTATCAAGTAGTATATAACCGTAATATGAAATGTTTTATCATGAACATGCAAATGCTAAATTCAATTGAACGATGTGCTAAAATTTTTAATTAACAATAATATAAGTATTTTTATACAATAATGAATTCTGAAATTTTTCTTGATCTTAATCCATACTACAACCTCCTATTATGTACATACTCATAATAAAAATTATAAATTTTTGTTAATTTCATTGTATTTCATTCAATTGATCATATTTATATCAGATGTTAAAAAACGTCAAACAATATGTTGTCTATTGATTATTAAAATGTTGTCACATATTTTAAGGAATGTTGAGTTTTGTATCGAGTTGTATAATATAGTGTGGAATGATTCATATGCATACGTAAATGTTAAATTCAAGATGCTAATTTATTTTAATTGACAGTAATTTATATATTTTGATATAATGACGATCGCTAATGTATATTATTCAAATTTTTAATAGATGCAAACGAGATTTTGATATTTGGTTGTTGTATAGATTTTGAAAAATTATGAAAAAAAACAAGTTGTTGAGCGAAGGAGATGAAATATCTGAAAATTTTATTTATTCGATGTCTCCGTTGCTTTTTGAGAAATTTATTGAGTTTGGAATAATAACAAATAAATTTTGCTCGTCTTTATCGATCTTACTCAAAATTATGTTAAAAGATTATATTTTTTTTTGTGCAGTGTTGAAATTACAAAAGAAAAAAAAAATAGCTACACACGAAGAAAAAAAAAAAAAAAAGATAATTACATAAATTATTTCTAAGTAAATTACTTTTATACCCCTAAATTAATATAAGCAGAAGCAACCCTAAATTAATATAAGCAAAAGCAGCTGAATATTATGTTTTAAGCATGATATCCCACCCCTTTATTAAAATTAAACTGTACAGCAAAGCAATAATGTCTTGTAAGTTATTATTCTTATGTATATATGTATATGGTGTGGATGCTTATTGACCATACAAATATCACATGCTCGTTCGGTTGTATATTTTGTGACTCTAAAATATATATATATAATATATATATTAAAAAGTTAAAAAAATAATAATAAATTTTAAATTTAAATATACCAACAACCATATAGCATAAGTAATATAATTGTCATCAACTCATCCTGTTCGTCCAAACTCTAAATCCAAATTGTCGTCATATTAATTAATTATTTTTTTTTAAGATAACAATAAATCAAAAAATTATTTAAAAACAATAATAGGCCAACCCGGCACAACTTCAAACGCTCCGTATTGGTGATCCATTTTAAATGGACTCGGGTCGGCCCAGAATAATAAACCGGGTCGGCCCGATTCTGCCAGCCCTAAAATAAATAAGTAAATAAAGCCCAAATATTCAGGTTGGAAATAAGAATTGGGCCGTGAAGATGAATGGATTCTCGGCCGCGTGTCTGCAGGCAGTACTCACGCGCCGCTGTTGGCGGCGCGTGCGTTGCAGACTCCGGCTTGTCTTTCTTTCCTCATCTTTGATCCAATTTGAACCATGAAGTCAAACACCATTCTCAGAAGAATTTCAAGAAAGAATAACCAATCAATCAAAGTACTAACTACATTTACTGTTTGTATATGTAGCTTGAAGAACATTGTCGGGTAATCAAGTATATCGGTTTAGAAGAAGAGAAATATATAATGAATTTCTACACCACTGGCTAAAAATTTGAAGAGGATTCTTCCAATTACAAATATCATGATATGATTTGTTCAGGATCAAGAGATTGCGCTCAGGATATCAGAGAAACTGTAAGCAGTGTTAAGTCACAATTCTTCCTTGAAAATGAATAAAAAGATGAAGAAATTGATAATAAGTGTATAGTCACAGTTCTTCCTTTGAAAATGAATCAAAAGATGAAGAAATTGATAATGAATGAATTTCTATGCATTTTCAGAAAATATGGATTTGTATATGTGTGTGATTGTGTATAATTGTTTATATGATAGAAGATGAAGAAATCAAACTCATCAATCGATGCACGTTAGCACCTAACCTTCAAATGGAGAGAGTCGTCTCCTTCTTCAACAGATTGCTCTGCAAATTAACCGCCGCATACCGCGCGGAGAAGTCTCGATGAAACCTATCCTCCTTCACTTCCCCCTCGTCGAAATTCAGCGCGTAACTCGACGGATCGTACTGGAATTTCCCCATCCTCGACCGGTAACTATCCGTTCTGTTGAACCGCCGGAGAAACGTCTTCCACTTCGGACCAGCAGCGAGCTCCGACATTTCTCTCACCTTTTTCAACGCCTTCACAACGCCACGCCACCAGCCTCCGTCGCCGCTCTCCGCCTCCATTTCCGACGCCGAGATTCGCTCCCAAACTGACTTCCGCGATTTGAATCTCCCGAAGCAACAACAATGGCGGCTGAACGACGTCGTTTCCGGCGATTCATCGCTCGATTCTTCCGCCCTAGGCAAGAATTCCGCGGCTGTAGCTTGAATTTCCATTGCCATTCCGCGGAATCGAAATCGATCGGCGAGGGAAAAATACCAACCCTCTCCCTGATGAACCCTAATTCCTCTTTTTACTTCTTCCTCTCAAATATATATAGATACGAAATACAGTTGTTACGGTTACCGGATAAAGCCGGTAGTCCCGGTGACCGTCGCGACTGAAAAAGAAAGCAATAATTCACAGAAAGAGGAAGTTGCAGGTAGGCAAGGTGTAAAGCAATGGCTAACGGTCTCCTGACGTGGCAAATCATTAATTGGTTGCCATTACATTCTATGCTGTATCGACAATATGATTATAACGTTGGATGGAATCCTAATAATCATTTTTAATTTAAATTATTTGCTAATTAGGATGAATGTTTAGTATGGTCATGTGGACATTGATTTAATCATACTAAATCTTATTTTATTATTATTGTAATTATTAATTGTTACTCTTCGAAATGCATTCTAAATAATTTTTCGATCCTAAATAATTTAAAAATTAAGTCAACATTATCTATAATAATATCCAAATACAATATATTATCGAGGAATCTTCGACCACCGGACATCATGCGATGTTCTTATTTATAAAGGATGTACTTGTTTTATAAAAACATATTATAGGAACTATATAAAATTATATAAATAGTATAAAATAAATAAATACACGTAATATATTAATTTTATAAAAAAAAATTATATTAATTTGTTCTAACAAAAAAAAAAACAGACCAAAATACAATACAAAAACCAATATTCAAAAATTCAAAAAATAAAACATATGATAAAATCAGCCTCGTTAATATATAGTATTTTTTTATCATAGTCAAAATATTTTCACATCAATACAAAGATTTCGTTCATTTATATAATTTATTAATATGCTAATACACTTATACACATATCACCATTTTATACATAAATCAAAAAAACAAACAAACAAAATGCATCAAAATATTCTTATACATTTTAGTTATCAATAAAATACTTAAAAAAAAAAGAAAAAAAAAAAAAGAAGAAGAACTATACATTTGACCGGAAAGGTGTATAAATTTTTGTTCAGATTAATTTTATAAATTGAATTTTAAATTTTAAAATATTAAATTAGCTTAGGAATTAAAACATTGTAAATTGTAAATCCATAAGTGGATAAATTGGCATGGCAAAAACGAGGCCCACCTAGTTGGGCTTTCCGTGGCCCAATTAAATGAAAGGATTAACTAACGTTTAACGTATACCTGTTACGTACCTTACCTTCAAACGAGAGGCCAGAATTGAACCGCCATCAGCGACGAACTCCATTTCCTGCAATGGCGGTGATTTCTTCATTCCAACCCAATCTCTGTTCGTGTTCCTCCTCCGAAATCTGCGCAGTCGGTTGGAAGCCAAGCTCATGTTCTCTCCTTTTCCTGCGCCGGATCTGCACATCTCCCCGGAGACGCCGGAAGGGCAGCAATGGCGTGGTTCGAGGTTATATGGAAGATTCCAACTCCATTTCCGGACTCGCGAGTAAGATAATCGGTTCGCTTCCGGTGGTTGGACTAGTGGCGAGGATTTTCAGCGACGAAGGAGGCGTCGGAGGAGATATTATTGATTTTGCAGAGTTCAGAAGGAGAGTGGGGAAGCGGTGCTCCGTGAATGATTCCATGGCTTTTTTCGAGTTTCAGGATCGACGCGGCAAGGTAATTTCTCTGAGTATTGTCTTCTTCACAGTATATGTTTCGATTGAACTTTGAAGCCATGTGTAGGAGCTACTGAATTGAAATTAGGTTTAATTTTGAGGAACAGGCCGGAGATCCTCTGTATGTGCTGCTTTGCTGTTGGCTAGCCGCCGTCGGCGCTGGTCTGCTGAAATCTGAAGAAATTCTCGAAGGAGTTGCAAGGCTTCGAATCTCCGACGACATTGAATTCGAGGAGGAAACATTCGTCGCTATGATGAACGAATCGCGAGAGGTAAGTTATCAAAAAAAAAAAACACAAGCCTCGTGTTCATGATCTGTAAACTAACTGTTGTATTCTCCAACAGAGGCGAGCAAAACTGAGATCTCCGGCGCCAAACATTCCGATGGAAATCCGAGCAGAGAAAGCTCTGGAAGCAATCCACGTGTGCTGCTTCGGTAGAGATCTGATAGAAGAAGAGGACGAGAAACTAATAGCCACCATTCTCTGCGCTGTGTTCCCGAGCGTGGGAAGGAAGGAGATGGACAGGATGGTGAAGGAGAAGGCAAAAAGAGTTGCAGATGGAAGTGATAATGTGAAGATTCCCGACGGCAAACCTCTCCCCAAAGAAGCAGTTGATCTGCAAATGAAGGACTTGGAATTTCTCAAGAAAGGTGGCGATTTCAACCGATGATCGAATCAAAACCTCAAAACCACGGCATGTATCAAAAATTTATATCAATTCAAATGAACACAGGTATGTATAATTTCAACAATCATGTTATAGCAAAAGCTGGTTTTGCAAACATTTGATCGCATATATATATAATATTATGAACATACATACCACATCTGAATATGATTTTACCCTGTCTTGTTGCGTCTGGATATCGATAGAACCTCTCATCCATAGCAATGGGCTTAAAGATGCTTCAGCCCTAATAGAGGGTCTTGGCTAAACAATTTAGTTATGATCACCTTGTAATCTTCTAACCAAGATCCATTTTTTAGACTTTATTTTCTCCACCATCAAGCATAAAGAGAGGGTAATTACTTGCGCCTTTTTCACTCCTCGACGACATTGACTAATTCGTATTCGACCAGAGAGAGATTGTTGTCTTCTTTGACGGTGAACTTGGCGGGTTCGGTTACTTCTACACGTCCCCATTTATCCACAGCAAGCCTCATCGATCCTTTGAACATGTCGATTTTGGCATTTCTCAAAATCACGGTGGCATCGGGCTTCATTATGTCAACTGTAGAATAGTTAAAAGAATCAACAGTAATATTTTACAGAAAATATATCATCAAATTATTTTTTTCTTACAAAATATTTATACACCAAATGTTCAAATTTTTTTGCGATTCTTGAAATTTTCTGAAACTTAAACACGCTTCCAACACTTCTATCTAAACGGAGTCTCAACTATTTCTGAAAATTAATATACTAACCTAAAAAAAAATCAAATTATCATTATATATTCTATCTAAATCGAGTCTCGACTGTTCATGAAAATGAATCTACTAATTTATAAAATAATCAAATTATCATGATATATTCCACCTAAACAGAGCCTCGAATATTTATAATAATTAACATTATTAACTTATAAAAGAATAGAATTATCATGATATATTCTGTCCAAATGAAGTCTCTATTTCTCAAAATTAACATATTAACAATCGAATTATCATATGATATATTGTCTAAACGGAGTCTCGACTATTTCTCAAAAATATCATACTAACTCATAAAATTATCATGATATATTTTGTCTAACCGAAGTCTCAACTATTTCTAATAATTAACATAATAACTCATAAAATAATCGAATTACCAGGGTATATTTTGTCTAAATGAAGCCTCGATTATTTCTGAAAAATGACATACCAACTTATAAAACAATTGAATAATCATATTCTGTCTTAACGGCTTTCGAATATTCTGAAAATTAGCATACTAGCTTATAAAACAATCAAATTATCATGATATAAAGCTTGCTGCACATCATTGAACCATATTCCGAATACCAAATAAAAGAATTTCGTAACGTTACTAGATCAATAGATAGATGATACTCACGCCACATTTACCTTGCTCGTTGCGGGCAGTAAACAAAATTGTGCCGGTGTCGTCTCCTACAAGACACTCGGCGATTCGCATAGGACGACCTGGAATCCCATCTGGCCTGCCCTTTTGCATCACCATCTTGGAACTCAAAACCTTGACTACAAGATTGTGTCCATTTGTACCGGGGCTTAGCTGATCAGCTTTTATGAAAACTGGCTTCCTCTTTGCTGATTTTGCTTCAGCCATTTAATCAAACCTACAAATTTAATTTATTAGACATAGTTAGGTTCCTTATGCATACACCAAAATATCACTTTTGGCACTATCATTGTTGCCACCGTTTTGAAAAAATATTGCATCAAATATACATTTCTATTCAGAACATCCAATCAACTACTAACATTTCCGCTATAAAAATCCTCCAAAACTTCCAAAAATATCATACACGTGTGTTCATTTAATATTTTATTCCTACATGATTCTCTAATAATACCAAAAAACAATATAAGTATAATATACAATATACAATATACAATATATACATGTATCAATAAAAGTCGAGAAAAACTCACAAAACATTGTTACCTATAATATTTAAACTATTACAATGTCTCACAACAAAAATACTAGATAAACACAATTAGTGTATTCTATAGATTTTTTATGTCATTTTTTTGAACGAATAACTAGTGAGAAATTTGCTATCTCAGATATTTTAGAAGATCAAATCCAGCAACGAGTATACTCACGTAGATTCTGTCATTTTGTCAAACCGTAAGAAAAATGTACTGAAATCAGAATCAGTTCATCGTCAACAAAAACAAACTTTCAAAACAAAATCATGGGGAAAATTTAATGATCATAAATTTCGTCGAAAATCACATATAAACACCGGCGAAAAATATAAGAAGAAATTGTTTCAAAGCTGAAGCCGTGACCGATTCCGTTCGCAATAATAGAGAAGCAGCAGAAACAAGAAAAACAAAATTGTCGAAACCCTAATTTAGGCCGTAACGAGATAATACAAAACAAATCAAAGTATACAGATACATCATTACTGTATAAATTAGCAAAGGCATCTGAGAAACGATGGATCACATTACCTTGGCAACTGCGGACAGATCGAGAGCAAATAATTCACTTCGAATTTTTGAGGCAGGAATGAATTTGTGAATTTTTGGTGACGCGTCGAAGTCGGTTTTGAACAGCAGTTCGTTAAGTTTTTCAATCGTCGATTTTCCACGACTCCTCGGCGGATCTCATCCATTGGGCCGGGCCGACACGTGTCATCGCGACGGGCTTTATGATGAGCCCGCCTATTTTACATGTATAGATTTTAACTAGCCCAAAAATTCAAAATATAGGCCCACCCAACTTTATGGGCCTTCTTTATATGCCATTTTTGGATATCTTACACTATGCGGGCCTTTAATTAGTACAAAATACAACAATTAGAAAACAAAAATAACCGTAAAATAAAATTACTACAACAAACAAAATCATTTTTTTTAAATTTAAGTTTCCCTGTGACTCTAAACTTGACTCAACAGGATACAAAAGTATGCCCATAATAATCACCAATTTGAACTCCATTGCAATTTTGTATGGCAAAGGAGCAACAACCTAGTTAGCAAAGAATTATTGGACCCAAAAATATCATATCATACAAATCCTACACATACAAACACACTACCAAGAAATTGCAAGCAGCAGTAGTAAAAATGCATTACTAAAGCTTACCTGCCAGAAGCTATGGCAGGAAGAACGGAGCCGAATCGAGCCGAGCCGGATTCTAACAAGAATGTAGCTTGTGGAGCTGCCTCGAGCTCCATGTCCGGTTACTTACAGGCGAACTGGGGAGGATGATTGTCGGGAGCCTCTTGCTTTCTTCGACATGTGGGAAGTCGATGGTGTAGTGAAGCCCACGGCTCTCGTGCCTGGCGAGAGCGCTGCTGACGACCAATTTGGCGCAGCAGAAGAGGTTTCTCATCTCACAAGCTTCGAGCGTCACCATTGTCGGTTCCCACCCTTGCTGGAACAAGTGAGCTTCCCATTCGAGCTCAAGATCTCCGATCATCTTTTCCGCAGTCTGCAGCCGAGTCGTGGATCGGACAATCCCCACGTACTCCCACATGATCGACTGCAGCTGTCGCCGCACCTCTTTGGTTCTCCAGATGATGTTGTACAGAGGGATGTTTCCGAGGGAGTTGAGGACAATAGGCCGCGCCCACGACTGGGAAGCTTTGGGGTCGAGCTTGGAGGTGCGCATGTGGTCGACGGAAGGCTGCACGGCTCGTCGAGCGAAGACGAGCGCCTCGAGGAGAGAGTTGCTGGCGAGTCGGTTTGCTCCGTGTAATCCGGTGCAGGCAACTTCGCCGGCAACGTAGAGGCCTCTGATGTTTGTTTCGCCTTGGAGGCCGGCGCGGACTCCGCCGCACATGTAATGAGCTGCAGGGACTACCGGGATCGGCTGCTGGGTGATGTCGAGGCCGTAGTTGAGACACTCGGCGGCGATGTTGGGGAAATGTGTGAGAATCTCTTCTCGGGGCTTGTGGCTGATGTCGAGAAGCACGTACTTCTCATTGCGCTTTTTGAGTTGGTCGTCTATGCTTCTTGCTACGACATCCCTCGGGGCAAGCTCGGCCCTCTCGTCGTACGTTGGCATGAACCTCTCCCTGCCTAAGTTGTAGAGTATGCCTCCATCTCCTCGCACGGCTTCGGTTATCAGAAAGGCGTTTTCCCAAGCCTGTTTTGGCTTCAGAGGAAGCCCTGAATCAGCCAAAGCAGTTGGATGGAACTGTACAAACCTGGCAGAATATGTTTACCACATAAATCACAGAAATTTCGAACAAGACCAGTTAACGAATGACGAGTCCAGCCAAATAGGAAAGTCGGAATAAATGAAAAAGGTATGCACAAAATAACAATAAAACGAAAGGAAAATGTTTAATTTTTGTAACCTTGAGGACACATACAAGAGGTAAGCGATAGGAAGACATGCTTTGGTTTCGATAGTTTATGTTCCTACTACTAGCCATTATGAAATAGTTATTAATAGCATCAAAGGTTAAGTAAATTTAAATTTAATTACAGTTCAGTTGCCAAATAAGTTAATTGGGATGTTCATAAGACAAAATCACTCTCAATCTAGTTTTAATATCTGTAACCAACAATTTATAGTAATATTTATCTCATGACAAACGATTTCATGCTCGACAACATTGAATAAAGTTCCCTGAAATAATAAGATGCGTTTATAAATGTGAGTATATTCAGAGAGCTTACTCCATATTTGAAATAATGGCTTGAGCTCGATGCGCCATAGCAATTCCATCTCCAGTGGCCACCTACAAAATATATTTACAGCCCATTTGTATTATGGTATTGGAAAAAAAGTAAAATTTGTTTCTCCAATTGCATATGAATCGATTGATGACATACAGACTTGGAAATTGTAGAGCTTCTGCCTAAGCTAATCAGGAATTTTAATCTAAGAAACATTGATCCGATGCAGAAAGAGACGTGAACACATATTGCGGCTCAAACTTAAGAACCCATGTGGGTCAAAAATGAAATACTGTGCTGAGCTCAAAAGACTATAGCGGGAGTTGCAGTCTAAGGTAATATAGCCTAAGTTTAAATTATCAAGTAGTTTCCAGATTGGAGGCAATAATCTTCGTCTAGTTATATAGCTGCAGATTGGAGACAAATGTCTATTAGAAATATAGCTTCAATTACTATGGAGAAGGGAACCAATAATAATCCACGATGAACTTAAATGAAGTGAACATAAAATGGAGTATGCCTGCAGTATCTATCCTAAACATGACCATCCTTTTTCAAATATTAATGTCTCTCTTTATGGCCGTAATTCATTTCTTGATTTTTCAGACTCTCTTTAATTACTGCAAAACCTTATCATCTCTTGACAATAGAGCAAAATTCATTTCTTGTTGGGGATATTCTTTCTATAATAAATATATAAATGATTATCACAACTAACCAAGTAAGGATAGCAAAAACAATAATAGCAATGCGACTTCTCACTTTCCTTAAGAAAAGAAAAGGACAAAACAAAGAACTTTAATCATTGATTAAGAGTTGAAGCAAGCTGTTGTAACCTATATATTGTTTTTTATACTTAATTAATTGATTCAACAAATACTAATATAAGTTGGCACCATTGAGCACATTATATAATTTATGCATGTGTATCTCTGTGTGTTGAGAGCCTTAAAATTAATGCTGCAATAAGCAAAAATAATTTCATGTGCAAGCTTTTGATCTAAATTGAAATTTAAATTGATCTATGTGGTTTCTGATTGCATGTAGTGTACAATCATAAATGTGCATATGTATAAATAAGCATGCATTCACTTATCGTCATACCGGAGGATTGGTGGTACTTGGATAGATATGTCCGGCTCCACCTGATGCAAGTAAAGTTACCTTTGAGAAGAACCTCACCATCTGAGTTTCAAAAGGGATCAATAGGAAGGTCATTAGGCTATAGAAAATCGTCTAGAAAGTAGAAACTATAAAAAAGCCTTAAAGCTAGACTCGATTTCTTACCTCTTGTGTCTCTTTATTCAAACAGTCAACACCATAGCATGCATTGTCAGAACCATCCTGCACTACATCAAGCATTATTACGTTAGCTATATAATACAAGATCAGATTTCAACTTTCTATTCTAGCGTCAATAGTTCCATTTCAGATTACATTAAACTGCTTTTGTCATGAGATTTTTCATTGGCGCCAAAATATCGGAACCAGGTTGATGTAATGCCAAGTTGAGATTACAAAACAAATAAATTAACACATAAGTCACAGGACTTGAGAGAAAACCTGGTAAGTTAGTAAATCTATCGCAAAATGGTGCTCAAACACAAAAATGTTTGGGTCCTTTCGGACTGCTTCCAGCAAAGCCCTCTCAATTTCCCGGCCGGTCATATCTGCAGCATGTACAATTCTATGATGGGAATGACCCCCTTCCCTAGCCAAGTGCAAATTCCCATCCTCACCATGATCAAATGAAGCACCCATAGCAATCAATTCTTTTATTCTTTCAGGTCCTTCAGTACAAACTACCTGGCAATTATAAAATGTGTAATGAAGCTTAAAGCACTTCTGTTTCCAATCTCAATTAAAATTTGTTCTGACCCAAAACCCAATGAAATACATCCATTATCTTAAATTTAAATTTGAGAAACAACCAACCAATTATATGTGTTGCAAAAACATAGAAAAAATATAATATGATAGTGTATGATGAGGAATGTTTTGACAGAGCATGAAAAACAGAGGTACTGATAGTGTCTAGTCTACATACATAAACATCAAAGTAATCACTTACTCGAACAGTCTCTTCATCGCATAGATAAGCACCGGCTACAATTGTATCGTGCATATGACTCTCCACTGAATCTGATGGGCACAGCACCGCACTCACACCACCCTGAGCATAGTTGGTGTTGCAATCATGGGGCTCAGCCTTGGTTATCACCGCAACGGTTCCATGTTTTGCAACCTCAAGGGCATAACGAAGGCCAGCCACTCCACTTCCAATAACAGAAAAATCAAAATATTTTGTATAATCATCCCCCAAGCATGATGAGATTTTTGCCTTGCTTTTCTTCCGATCCTCATTGATTTGAGGATACAAATGCTTACTTCTATGGACCCGGAGGATTTGGGAGACCCCATGAGACCTGAGAAGTACATCATCAGTTATCAGTGGCAATTATATATTGTAGGAGATGTTACTTTAAACTCATTGAACTTGGATTTAATCTTGATAACATCAATTCAGAAAGTTGCTATACATACCAAGATAGCTCCTTATGCAAGCATTTTGAAACAGCTACATTGTGAATCAAAGAATCCAGTTTGCATCCCTGCCCACTGTTGAATTTTTCTTTAAAATGCAGAAGTCCACTTCCAAAAGCTACACTTGTTGCCATTTACGTTTTCTGATAAAAAATATATATATATATATACATTTACTTGTTACCTGAAGAGCTACTTACAAATAGTACTTAACACAGCATACATTTTCTATAGCTAGTAGGAAACCAATTAGAATATGTTCAAGGAAATGAAGGCAAGTCAGGGTTAGGTGGAGTCCATTAAGGTATTTCTCCATTCAATAATTCTGGGGTCCTCCGTATTAAACTATTTTGTGAATCCAAAAAACTCCAAAAATATGAAGCAATTTAGGTTTACCAAAAGTCAAAAGATAACAGATTGTTCAAAAACTCATGCACTGTCGTTGACTAGGATGGAACAGCAGAAAAGCCAAATATAAATTTGAACTTTACTTCATTTAGCTCCTCTACTAGATTCAACTTTCTAGCAAAAGAAGGCTGATGCAATAATACAATCACCACGTGCAAACAAACAAAGGCCAACGCAAATACAAACAAAAGAAAATCCTGACAACAGAAAAACAGAATGAAACAAGTTCTGGAATGGACAAACCAACAACCCCAAACCTCAGGCAAAAGAAAGCACAAATTCACATCAGAAAGCACCAGTCATTCAGCCTTATACGGAACCTCGAGTTTCCTAATATGCTAAATCCAACCCAGGCTCCTCTAATCACCCAAATAAAACGCAAACTATGCATTTGGTATCATAACAATGCACACGCAGTCGAATTCTTCGCAGTACCTTAGTCAAAAATCAAAGTCAGTACAGGATCAGAACAGGTCTCGAATCGCGACTCTTTATCCACGAAGGCGACGCGAGTAATCAGGAATAGCCAGAATCTCTCGAGATTAGGCCAACTCGCAATCAATCTTTAGAAACGAGAGGAGCGGAGGTAGCCGAGAGTTCCGATGCACCACAGCCTTCCGTGTTTCGGAAATTGCAGAAGCACACCCTCAGCCTCCTCCGTCCATTTTTGCTCCTCTTCTTTTTCTTATATTTATAGATGCGCTTTTTACAGCCGTCACAAATTTGTGCTATTATTTAAAGTTATATGGAAAGCTTTTAAAATAGTCAAAATATACTATATATATATATTAATAAGATTTAAGTTTGGATTTTAAGTTGCGATTTGAATAGTAAAACTTTTGAATTTGAATAGTTTTATGATGTGATATAAATAGGTGATGATGTGATGTTTTGAATGTAAAATTGATTTTTAATATAATATAAAAAATAAAAAATAGGTATTTGATTTGATATTTTTGGGAGAAAAATTTTGGATGAATAGGGAGATTTTGTCCAAATCTCTCAACCGAACACACCTTTATTTTATAATTTCCTTTTCTAAATACAATTATTAACATTATTAATAATCATAAAAACTAGCAAAAATGGAAAGCAAAAATGGAAAGAATAAAGAGTTGTTTTTTAAACATTTCAAATCAAAATTAATATTATCTGTCCACTTACAATATTTACATATTTCTATTTTTGGGACGTCCAATTACAAAGTTAATATTTCATTCAATTGCCTATTTTTTTCCACAAATACCTTTACTTTGCATCACATCGTTACTTTCACACAAAAAAAAAAAGTAAGGGCAAAAATGTCATTACACTACTTTTAACTATTCACTATAATTAAAATACTATTAATTCTTAAACACAGCACCAAAAGTAAATGTAAATTTTCAAAGCAGACGGAGGGAGTAATATTTATTATGTATAGTTTTTAATAAAAATACATTAAATTTTCTTATAAAATATCAAACATAAAATATTATTTAAATAAAATTTTAAATTAATATTCAATTTTGAAACAAAAATGAAAGTGTAGTATGACGGCAAAACTCTCAACCACTTAACTCGTTATATTCAAAAAGTACTTATTTTTTATTATAATAAAAATAATTATATATTAATATCAAAATATTTTTAATTTTTTTATTAAATTATAAACATATTATTACATATATAATTAAATTATATATTTTTATTAATTAATTAAATATAATTATTTATTAATCTACTACTAAATTTTAAAAAATTTATTTAAATTGAAACGAAAAAATATATCATATATATATATATATATATGATGTATATAATTTCAATTTATGTGAATTGGGGCCAAAGGATCCCCTCCCGAGAAGAAAGAGGCACAAATCTTCACAGTGGGAGTGTCGTAGTCAAATCGCCGGTCCAACCCACCAACGACCAACTGTATCCTCGCTTAAATAGTTACGACCACAAATTAATAAATATATATAAATATGTGGTTCCATTATTTTATATGTCTTATAATTACAACAATTTAAAATTTTGAAAAATATTTATCTAAACATAATCAACGACCTGTTTTTTTAAAAATATATTTTTTTTTTATCTCTTAATAATTTATCTATTTTTTTATTTTGGTCTTTCTCATAATAATAATTGTAATTGTACTATCTATCTAACATTACAAATATATTTTCAATTTACAATATATTACATAAATATCGTTACCGTTAACTTCTTTTTACTTTTATTTCTACTACATTTCAATATAATACTAATATTTCTAAAATTATATATAAAAAATAAATGAATATATAAATATAGATCGAATGAGTATATATATTTATACATATTTTATATCGAACATATTTATTAATTTTTACATTTTATATAAAAAAAATATATATATTATTTAAAATTATTTCATAAAACAAAATGCATCCTAAATTTTTATTAATGGTTGCTTTATTAGTTTAAATAAACAAGGTGGTACTGAAGATGACGTCCACGTCAAGGCATAATGGCAGTTGGTTAGATGTCTAGTTATTTAAAAAATGCTGTTCGAACTAGTTATATAGAATGTTCTTTTTATTTTTATAAAATATTAAATTAAATTATTACTCCATGTAAATACAAATGATAAACAAAAATGAAAACCAAAGATACGTTTAAGGTTTGTTTGATAATAGGTTTGTCCGCATTTTTTTAATTATTGATTTTTTTTTTAATAGTGGATATATTTATTTTGTAAAATAATTTGAATGAATATTTTTCTATATAAGATATGAGAAGGTAATATAAAAGTAAAGAATATATATGATACATTAATATTTTTGGACAAATGTGTGAGAGGAAAAAAATTGGAAGAACACAACCAAATTGATTACATGTTTTTTTTTTTTATATATATATTATGTTGATAAATTTATTTTATATTTCATTAGTTTTTTGCTTTTCAATTTGTCTTTAACGTTTTTTTTTTTTTGTTTTTTTGTTTTTGCATACCATCGAAAATTCATGTCGAGTTACCATCAAAACTCATATTTTTCGGGGCAAAATTGATTTTCAGATCAACGCATTAAAAATATTAAAGCTTTGTTTCTGTTTTTTTTTTTCGACATCGTTCATAATATATACTTCTTCCGTCCACCCACAAAGTAAACATTTACTTTTGGCGTAATGTTTAAGAAATAATATTATTTTCATTATAGTGGGTAGTTAAAAGTAGTGTAATAACATTTTTGTCTTTATTTTTTGGTGTAAAAGTAATAATGCGGTGTAAAATAAAGGTATTTGTGGAAAAAAAATTAGGTATTTAATAAAATATTTACTTTGTAATTGGACGTTCCAAAATAGAATTATGTATATTTTTTTAACTAGACGGAAGTAATATATTTTATCTTCACAAAAGTCAACATTAAAATATAAAATATTATTTTTTTATATTACGAACGTAATACTTTATACTTTATATGAAAAAGAAAATCAAATCAAAATGATAAATAAAACTCAATTATCACATATATATATATATATATTGGTATAACTATTTTCTTATATAATTTTTTAAAATGTAATCCACTTCTAATTTATTTTCTTATTTCTCTTAAATCAATAAAAATTATTATACATGAAAAAAAATGCTTAATCTACACTCCCTCTGTATATAAATTAATTTATATTAATTTTATTTTCAATAAAATAACATTTATAGTGAGTATAATTTATTAAGCATAATTTTTAAACATTCAAAATATATTTTTTTGATAAATTATATAAAATCTTGCTCCCTCATTCAACTAAAAATGTACGTAAATGTTTTGACACGAACTTTAATATAAAATTTATTTTTGATTGGTGATAATAGTAAAAAAAAATAATAATGCAAAAATAGTAATATAATTTTTTTATTGTAAAAAGAAAATTATTTTTATGCCACGAGAAAAAAATAAAATAAAATAAGATGAGAGAGAAAATATTACTCTCTCCGTCCTGCACAGATGATCCATTTTTCTTTTTTTAAAATCCCACAAAATATGACTAATTTTTATTTTTGTAACTTTATCAATCTTAAATATACTTAACAAATATAAATCAATTTAATTAAATTTGGACCCACTCAAAACTCCTTTATTTATATCTTTCTCCTCAATTAACATGATTTTTATATCTATATTTAAAACTTTTTATTTTTTATAAAACTAATTTATAGTAATGATAAATAAATAAATTTATTTTTTATCTACAGAATGATATCTATATTGCATATATTTTTTCGAGATATAATCTTAAAATTTTTTAAAATGTCAATAATATTATTCATATAAAAGATAATAAACTAATATTATAAATTATTATTAATAATTTACTAATTTACACTACCTGAAAAAATTGTGTCCATAATAAAAAGGTTATTCCTCGCGGGAGGGAGGGAGTATTTACCAATATAACATTTAGTTTCAAGCACACCCATTAGAGCTTGCAAGTTGCAACCAATCACATGTATGTGTAACTTTATGTATGTGTCAATAAACAAAAAAGAACAATTAGTTCAAAATGAAATTGAGTTTTTATTGTGGTGGTACCATTGACCACAAAATTAAATATTATAACACAATTTTTTCAAAAATTGTCTATCAAATTTATACATAATTTATTTATAATATTTATTCATAATTTTATTATTCGTATATTAATAAATAATAATTAATTTATTTTTCTACTAGCCCACCACATTATTATCAATTTTTTAATTAAAAAATTTTATTTTATTTTTTATTTATCTAATTTTTATACTAAAATACTATTCTTTTCTTCCGTGCTTAGATATTGCAGCATAATTAACCTATATGGAAAAATAATTTTTTTAAATAACACCGAAATATGTAATTATTACTATAACCTAAATAATTAGAAAGAAAAGATTATGCTATAATATATTTTGAAATAATTATAAAAAAAAAAAAAAGTGATAGAATAGGGGAAAAAAATAGTAGATGTAGTAGTATTTTATATAAAAAAAACAATATTTTTTTAATATAAACCTTTAAATAAAAGTTATATTTGGTGTGTGTGGGGGATGGGTTAGATATGGCTGCCATGAAGAGTCAAGTCATAAATCACAAAGCTGTCCAATTGTCCATTGCCATCAATAATAATTATTTTTATTATTATGAAAGAATTTTTTTTTTTTTTATTGCGTTATTCAAAGTCATAATTGGATAGATTTGTTTGTCTTTATTTCATTTAAAAATATATATATTAGAAGTTTTATTTAACGATTATGTCAATGTTTATTTATTTCAAAATATTATATTAAATCGATTTTAAATACTTCATCCGTCCAATTTCTATTATTTTAAAGTATATTTGCACAGTTTTTTAGGTGATTGTTTTTTGTTATGAATTGACAAATTTGTTCTTAATTGTACCGTAGGGATGGAAAGTAATAAATAAATGAAAAGTAAAAATATAAAATTTGTGTTTAAAAAAAAAAAAAAGTAGGACAATATTTATTCAACGTCAAAAGACATTAATTTGTGGACGAAAAGAGAACTACATTTACATACTCTGATATCTTTCTATGTATTCATAAAGATAGTGGACACATTTTTAGGAAGGAGGTAATATTATTTTTTCATAATTTTTTTTATCTATTGCTAATAGATAAATTATAAATTGTAGGTTATGTTTAAAATATTTTTAAAATTTTGGTATTATTTAATTTTTAAAATATATTCTTAAATCTTTTTTTATTATAAAATATTACATTAAATATTAATTGAAATTTAAAAATTCAAAAAGTATTTAAAAATTCTTTATCTAAATGGAATTTAGTATTTATGGTATATTGTAAACATATTTTTTATTTATAAAAATATTATATTTATGATATTATTGAAATGTTTATTATTATACATTCGTTAAGTTATAAAATATTAGTATTATTTTTAAAATCAGGACAAAGTTTCAAAAAAAAAACCTTATTAGAAGTACACCCTTACTCATTTTGAGTGCATGGGCATCAATATAAGCCCTAATAGGCCCAAACTCATAGGCCCATTTGAATAGGAAAAATAAAAAAATGTAAACAAATATTTGGAATTAAATAAGAACTCGTTACTAATTATATACTAAATATTTTTTTATTCATTTAAAATATTATATTGAAATTTATTTTTATTTCTAAAATCTTATTAAATATTTATCTAATTCAAATTCCGAAATTACATACAAGCAATGCCATTAGAGTGATCAATAAGTTGAAAATGCATAATGAATTTGTGATGCACTGTCAATAAGTTTTAAATAAATTAAATAATATTTGTGTGATTTTTTTAGCTAACAAAAAATGTGTATGTTATGATTATGAATTACGAAATAGGTAGTGTGCTTCCATCGGGTGATATGAAAATATAAAAATAAAAATAAAATAAAATCGCGACGATTCGTATTTTTTAGTTTTAATTATTTTTTGATAAAACTTAGCGTGCTTTTATAAAAACTACAAATTCTGTATGATTTGCAAAATTTGATGAAAAGATTATTTGGTCTTAAAACATATGTTTTACTTTCTAGTGGTTAGATTGAACACACTATTTATATATGTTATAATAATAATAATAATAATAATAATAATAATAATAAAGAAAAATTTTTATCACGATTTATTTAAAATATAAATAGTAAAAAAACTTATAAAACTCCAAACAAACACATAAAGACATCCTAGTGGCAGTCAACTTCCTTTCCCCCGCGGCTTAAATAAAACTACACTCGTTGCCTCTTACGCCTACACCTAGTCACCTACCTATGGCCTATCAATTTGGTTCTTTTATTTTTTTAGTACGACTTTATCTGCATATTATTTATTATAAAAATAAAATAAAATAAATATTTTTATTTAGGTGTGTTTGTTTGGGGGTTTGGATTTTGGATTGAGATTTGAATAGTAAAAATTTTGAATTTGAATAGTTGTATGATGTGATATAAATAGGTATTGATGTGATGTTTTGAATGTAAAATTGATTTTTAGTATAATATAAAAAATAAAAAATAGGTGTTTGATTTGATGTTTTTGGGGAGAAAAAATAGGATGAATAGTGAAAATCCAAATAAATCCCTCAAACAAACACACCCTTAGATTTAATAATTATGTTTATTTTAATATTTTAATTTTTTTTTAAAAAAAACACATTAAAAAATAATGAACCATTAACTCCAATAAAACTATTTCTCAATAAACAAACGATCAGATTAAAGTTAATGATTTGACCCATTTAATATACACGAATCGAGCCATTGCCCAGATGTATACACCACCCAACAACCTTCAATAAGATCATCTCTTCAAAAGAATAAAATAAAATAAAATTGTACATTAATATATTCTAAATACAATTATTCATAACCATCGTTAATCTAAATATAATCATTAAACAATTCACCATTTAAATCAGCTCTCAATTTCATCAAAGATAATCCAGATACATCTAACTGGATTTTTCTGATAGCATTAAAATATAATTACAATCCAATAGAGAGAATCTAGAATTTTAGATAAGAACAAATCAAATGAATTTGGATAAAAAATAATATTATTCGCCGTATCATCCGAAAGAAGTGAAGATATATGAATTAATCAACACTTGTAAGTGTAACCAAACCTAATAAATATAAAAAAAAAAATAGACCTAGAAACTACCGCAACAAATTTTCATTTACATTTCAGCAATTCCACCGACCTTCATCGGAAACAGCAATGAAACTACCACTCAATGCTCGCGCATTTTTCAATCCATCGCCGCACATGATTTATTTCTAATAATTATCACTCTGTTTGGTTGTAGATACGAATTTATAATTCCAGGCAGGAAGCACAAGGAAAAGAACACAGGAACAGCCCAATTTCGAACAGAGTGCGCATTAACAACCGTGAATCTACTCATTAATTACTGATTTGTAGAAAATGAACAGAGGTGTTACCGGTTGACGTACCACCGATGAAGCAAAACGTACAACACTCCTACGACGAAGCCTAGAGGTGTGGGAAGCTCCTGCGCAAGCCGTTGGCATTAGCGAAAAAACCGACGAGGTCTTGCCGGTACGGTAGATATGATTTCTTCTTCTCTCCTTCCTTAATCGCTCTATTCTGTACATAAAACGTCTCGTGTGGCGACGGAGATCCGGAGACGGAGCGTAATCCTTTACTGATTGAGGTTTTTGAAGATTGTATCAATTTATCCTGTTTGTGTTCCCGGTGCTTCGGAGTCAGGAAAACGAAACTGTCCTTGCCGTCGCTGTTGCTCCGCCGTAACAAATCTCGAATTCTCCACCCCCTCGACGACGATCCAGTCGACTTGCTCTTCTTACACTGATTCGGTACAGGCGAATCGGCCAATTTCGGCCTCCAAACGCAGTACGTTCCCGCTGGAATCTGCTCCAACTCATCGGCTTCCGACGACGAACACGACAGAGGATTATCACGCTCGTTATCCTCTTCAATAAAAAGCTTACCTAACGGAATCGGAGTACTCGACTCAACCTGCTCATTCTCGTAGCTCTTCCTTTCCTCGCTTCCGTCGCCTATCAAAAGATCGCGATTAAATATAGGAAAATACGGTCCGATCTGGCCATCGCAGAACAATTCCTCAGCCAAAACCTCACTATCTTCTCTCACCAACGCAAACTGAAAATCCTCATCTCCGGCGGCGTTGCTAGACTCCTCCGCGCCGACTCTGACGGCGATTTCGGCCAACCTATCCGACGTATAGCTGTTAAAGCTGGGGCAGATGCAAGCATCCTCTTGATGGTTATTCATGAAGCTATAATTTAGGTTGAGAGAAAAAAAAAGTGAAGAAACTCTAAGAGAGACGTAGTTCAGATGCAACACGAGGGACGAGTGTTATGGTTTCTGTGAGGCTGCATTGCCTTTTTATACGGTGAGAAGACCTTCTTGAAGGTCGATGTGAGAGTGGTGCGCCATTCTTTCTTGGCTCACACGATTGGTGCGGTCACCTACACGTGTGCGTCCAAGTGTCACGCACGCGCCAACGCCACTACATACGTATTCCATTTAAGTAAAATAAAATAAAATGAAATAAATAATGATCCTTGCGAAAATGAAATAAAATAAATTATTGGATCCTCCTGTAACAGTAAGGATAAGGAATGATCTGATGACGTAGAGTTGAATTTGTGACTGTGAGGTTATAAGTCCTGTGGGCACTTACCCAGTGCAATTTCCATATCATCAAAAAATAAATAAATAAATTATTGGATTATAAGTAAGATTTTCTATTAAAAATTTTGCATGGAATTTCCATTGAACGTGCACTAGTTGGACCTCACCTTTATAAAAATTGAACATATTATATATTGACTTGGGAAAAAAATCATTGAATAGATGATATAAATTATAATAAGATGATAGGAATCTAAGGCTGCTTGATTCCATGACCAAAACTAATATTGCAGACTTTCTAGAAGCAGTACAGCACACCCATGACAACACATGTCCTCGTATAGAATTATAATATTACATTCTACTAGAAGATTTGCCTAACCTACGTTAAAGAGTAACGATTGTGGTTTCATATTACCAAAAATAACAATAAAAATAGTAAATTATGTCAACTTATATTTATCATGTAAAATTATTTTGCTTTAAGTATAAAATTTGCATTGAATATATATAGTATATTATAACGTGGAAATCTATAGTCACTACTTGTCGAGTGCAAGTAAATTTTCTGTTAGATATAATAGTCTGCAAACTAAATATAATAAAATAAAATCATAATAGACGAACAATGTGTGATAAGTAAGACGTGGAGTCATCCAAAATTTACATATGTTTTCTTTTTAGGGTGTGTTTGTTTGAAGGATTTTGGTGGATTTCTACTATTTATTCAATTTTTTTCCCCCAAAAACATCAAATCAAACACCTATTTTTTATTTTTTATATTATACTAAAAATCAATTTTACATTCAAAACATTACATCAAACCCTATTTATATCATATCATACAACTATTCAAATTCAAAATTTTTACTATTCAAATCCCAATTCAAAATCCAAACCTCCAAACAAACACACCCTTAAGGTAATGATGATTAAAAATCAAAATTTCATCTACTTAAAGGGGGTGTTTGGCAAATAGCTTTTTGAAGAGCTTTTAGCTTATTGAACAGTTTTTAGCTGTTTGACCAGTCAAAAAGCTAATTTAGGTGTTTGGTAAATTAGTTTTTTGAAATATTTTTTTGGACCCAAAAAGCTAATTTCTGAAAAGCTAATTTACCCAGCGTTTTGAAATAGTTTTTTCCGTATATTTTTTATTCCTTATATGCCTTTAAAAATTTATTATACATTTTACACAAATAAATATATTTTGATTATTTATTAATTATATTAAAATAATTTATTATATTATAGTTTTACTTTTATAAATTTAAAATAATTATTTTTTATATAAAAATTATTTTAATTATAAAATATACAAATTTATTAAAATCAACATAAAATAAAAAATATAAATATTAATAATTTATATTTTTATTAAAATTACATTATATAAATTTTATACTAAAAATAAATTAAATAAATTAAATTTATTGAAAATTATAAATATAATGAACTAATCGATAACTAACATAATAAATATATATACGAAATATTTATTATTTTATATTTTACATCATTTTCAATAAAAAAATTATTTATATATTTTAATAAAAATATATTATTTTTAAAATCTAACTGTAATAAAAATAAATATTTTTATAACACTTTTACAATTTTCAATAACTAATAAGAAAATTTTTTAAACATTCTGAACACAAAAAAAAAACATAATTGAATATATTAGAAATAAGAATAAAATAGAAATGTCCTCAATTGTAATTTTACGTATAAACAACTAATATCAAACAGTTGTTTTACCAAACATTTTAATACAAACAACTAATCGAATCAGCTAGTCAAACCAGCTAATTGAATCAGTTAACAACTATCAGCTAATTACCAAACACGCCCTTAATGTAAATGATATTTTCTCCGTCCAAATTAAAAATATTCATTTTTGTATGTTCAAGTCAAAGGTTGTCCAATTTTTATCTTTTTTTTTTTTTTTTTTTTTTTTTAGTAAAAATACATATCAATTAAATATAGAAATACTCCCCTATTTTATTGTCTGTTTTCATTTTTTAGTAAAATTATCTATTAATTAAATATCAAAATATTCCATATATTCCCATCACTATTCTTTTAATGATTTAATCATACTAATAATAATATAGACTTTACACTATTCTATTACATTACATATTTATAAAATACTAATTTCTCATCCTTTAACAATCTATCTATTTTTTTATTTTTGTTTGTCTCATAACAAAATATCATTTTTTTAGTATATGTATTATCTATCTAACGTTACGAATACCCTTCAAATTTACAATATATTACACAAATTTCATTACTTTTATATCATATAATATTAATATGGACAATTTAGTCTTTTTATCTTTATTTATACATCTTCCATGGGACGAAGAGAGTAATATATTTAAATTTGCAAAAATCAAATAAATACTTTTGACTCAAACAAAAAAAACATTAATAGGAAAAAATATAATAATTTATTAATAAATAATATTGTCCAATAAATTATTTGAAATTTTAATATAATTTTATAAAAATTGATGCCTTTTTTGCAAGTCTCTTGCACATAAGCAAGTATAGTAAGATTTTGGTTTTGAATAATTAAAATTTGAATCGAAGTAGTTATTTGATATTATATAAATATGTATTCATATAATGTATTGAATATAAAATTTAATTTTAATTTAATATAATAAATAAAAATTAGATATTTAATTTGATATTTTTTTTTAAAAATAAAAAATAATAAAACCTAAAATCAAGTCTCACAACTAAACACATCTGTAAATTTTATAAATATAATCATAATATATTAATAAAAGAAAATAAAGAGTGTTTTCAGTTTCAATTTTAAATTAATGTAAACACTATTCAATCCACATACATTTTTTCAGTGAACCAAAAAAAATAATAAATAAAAACTCAAATGAAAATCAAACAAATTTGATTTTTCCAAATTATCTTGAAAAATTAGTCTATGTTTATTTTTAAGTCATATGTAATTATTTTATATTAACATAATGAATTTTATGGTATATCTAAAAATTAGAGTGTCCTATTCATTTTGATAAAATATAAGGATGAATCACATCATTTATTCTAATAATAACAATATTTGAATTTAAAACAATTCACTTAACTACCTGAAATAAAATTATATGAAATCTAATTCCATAACTATAAAAATCAGTCATGTGACAGATTCATTGAACATGATGTGATGCAGATTGACCAATTCAACATTACATATATATATATATATTGCAAAAAATAATTAATGTAATTGGATAAAAATATATATATTTTTTCAATGAGATTAAGAAAAATAAAAATGCTAATCCAATAGCATAAATGGTTGACCAACCTTACCTCGATCATGTGTGATGTAACCCCATAATACGTCGTCGTTTTTGGTATTCAATGTAGAACTTGCTTAGCCAGTCTCGGGACCCAACTCCAACTGCTAATGATTCCGAGTAGGCCCAAACATGAGTGGCCTATATTATTTGGGCTCCCGGATCCCGGGACCAAAAGGGACTACCTAACCAATTCCAACATGCTTTTTTATAATTACATATATTTCTTTTCCATTCGAATCAAATCCCACCTCACAAATTGGAATTCTTCTTTTAACGTTTTTTTTTTTTTAAAATCTGGAAATTTCTAAAATACGTTATTTTCTTGATTTCCATTCAGTCTAAAAAACACTAAAAAAATAAATAATGAATTTTAAACTTTGTTGTTTATAAATATTTTTAGAAATTTGATAGTGGTTTTATTTTTTTTTTATTTATTTATTTTTATTTTTTAAATATTACATTAAAAAAAAAAATACTTTTGTTTTTTATCTTTAAAATTAAAAAAACTCTTGTCTAAATGTTTATTAATTTAATTTATTTTTCTGGTGCTGAACTGATTAGAACACTAAAAAAAGGGCCAAAAAAAGTTGCAGCGGAAAAGAAGATAATTAGGTTTTCAATTTAAGAAGGAATATTGTTCGTTTCAATCCATCAGTATAACTGGACGTTCAAGATTCCACCGGACAATTCGCTAGCTTCTCGTCGTTGCCTGTGGCGAGTCGGAAATCTGCTTCCTCTGCATCTGATTTAATCGAAACCCTAGGTACGTTTGCAAGTATTACTAGTCAGTGCAATTGCTAATGAATTGATAGTTTTTGTTGATCTCCAACTGTCTGTGTTTGTGCATTGTTTCATTTTTCTGTATATATCGATCGATTGAACTGCAAGGGCTATACTAGCTGCTGCACAATTTGATTTTTTCCCAAACATTTTTACGTACTTCTTCATCTAGATTGTGATTAGGCTATGTTTTAGAACTTAAACTGCGTTTTTTTTTTTTTTTTTTTGACTAATTTGTGACATGAGAAGCTTTTTTCTATTGGAAGAAATAAGAAAACAAGGTTTTTCCTTTTTTATTTTTTTATTTTACAATAGCTTGTTTGGACATGTTGTTCATCATCAGGTTGTGGATCAGTGAATTTATGTTAGCTGCTTATTGGGATCAACTTACTTTTAGAGAAAGAAATTAACAACGATTCTCATTGCTGCTTGATTCAGACTTTGTTTTGTCAGCATTTTGTTCTGCTGCCTAAATATTATTGGTAGCTTTAGTGGAACATAAGGCTCTATGTTAGTAGATCTACAATATGAACTCACTGGAAAAGCCTGGTTCGGATGCCAAGAAAACTTTCCTTTCCCATTTTTCATCCCATTGAGCTCTGTCTCACATTATATAGAATGAGAACTTTAGAGGATTTGATTACAACATCAGACAGCTTGTATGAATATCAAATATAAGACAAGCACATTTGAATTTTTTCTATGGTCAAAGAATTGCAACTTGCAACTGTGAATTTTATTGGGGTTATCCTCATTTAGCTAATTCTGTATACAAAATTATCTATACAGCTTTGTGAGAAGTGCTTTATGGACCTTATTATTGGTTTATAGAATTGGTGGTGCATTTCTTGCTGAATCACATATCTCAACTTAATGGGAATGCCAGAGTCACACGTTCACATAATTTGGCATTCATGTTTGCCCTGCATTTTTCTCAACAATAATGTGGTCTTCCTTGTACACTGTGTATATGCTAATGTATATATTTGCATCGGTTTTAGATAAATTGATTTGCATGCTATTCTGTGTATGTTTGAATTTATGGCATTCATTTTGTCAAAAATTTTCTCAGAGGTATTGAGCATGGTTCTATAGTCTTACATGTTTTGTATAAGTTGATGAATAATCACTTGTGCTGGTCTTTTTGATGCATCACTTTATCAACAGGTATTTAAAGAGGCTCTACTGGCAGCATTGAACATTTCAATGACCACACCATCATTTCAATTTGTTATCTTGGATGGTCTTTGACTGGAGACTGGCGTTTAGAAAACCTCTCTGCCTAAAAAATCTGGTTGTTAGTTTGTTACGTCTGTGCACATTCTGTGCAAAAGGAACCATGTTAAATTATTGGAATAAAACATCACATTATTTCGACAACCGCCTCCTTTGCCTTTATCCTGTTCATGTATTCTGGGACACTCATATCAATTTATGAAAGAGTGTAGACGGTACGGTAAAAGAATAATGACACAGGCGCCAGAGAAAAAATTCCCTCTTTCTGCAAAAGATTACAAGTTGTATGAGGAAGTTGGAGAAGGTGTCAGTGCTACCGTATATAGAGCTCTCTGTGTCCCACTCAATGAGATAGTTGCAATAAAGGTTCTTGATCTCGAGAAGTGCAATAGTGACTTGGTATGCTATATTCTCTTTCAAATATTTTATGCTAGTTAGGTATTGGGCAAATTATCTAAGTTTATGCTGCTTTCTACACCTTGTGATTCTTTTGAATTCATCTATTTATTTTATTTTATTTTTGGGTGCGTTCACAATTTGCTGAGGCATGAACAGTTTGTTACTTTCTTACATTTGGTCTTGGTTGAGAAATACTATTAGTTTAAAACATGGAGCTAATATATATGCTGTCCTTTAGTCTCTGATATATAAATAATGCTTATGAGTATCTTATATTCTGATTGTGTATATGTTTGGGAAGTAATTCTTTCTCATTAAGGTTGTCTAGAATGCAAAAAATTAGGAAGTGATAGACATGCATCATTGTCAAAGTTTAGATCAAGTTTAAAACATATAGATGCAAACTCAAACAAAGAACTCTGTATCCATACGGACAAGTCCTCTCTCTATTTGTGTTATCGCACCTGATATATAGAAAAGATTGCTTTCAAAATATTGCAAAAAATATCTTGTGCCACATTCTAATTACTGCATTAAGAGTGCTTTACATGGGACATCTTCTTTCCATGGTTCTGTTTCTAAATAGATTCTTTCTATTACTACACATGTAGTATAATGAAGTGAAAGTGGGATTAAAGACTTCATTAGTAGATAAATGGAGAACTTAGGAGATATGTTGTGTTGCTGGAGAGTTTGAGAAGTGGGAACCTGTAAACAATCAGCTTTCAACTTAATGGTAAGTGTGGATAATGCACAAGTGTTGAAAGTATGGAATGTAGTTTACAATTTGATGATTTTTTTTGGTTACTCCTCGTGAGCATGGCCAAAGTTCCAATATCTGCAAAATTTTGTGTTAATTGTTACAATTTTGTTGGCGATAGGTTACTTTCAGTCACTACTATTTTTTCTCCATCGCCACTTCTGTCCCTATATATAATATGTGTGTGCTTTAACTCCTTATAGTTATGCCCATACACTGTTGTTTTCCACATGAATAGGATGGAATTCGGCGAGAGGTACAAACCATGATTTTGATTGATCATCCAAATCTCTTGCGAGCCCACTGCTCCTTTGCCACTGGCCATAATCTATGGGTCGTGATGCCTTTCATGGCTGGTGGATCATGCCTCCACATTATGAAATCAGCTTATCCTGAAGGTTTTGAGGAGCATGTTATTGCTACATTATTGCGTGATGTCCTTAAAGCTCTTGTGTATCTTCATGCACATGGACATATCCACCGCGATGTAAAGGTATATAGTAATCAAAATTTTCTCATGTGTGCTATAAATGATTTTAGCCATTTCATTTTCTGGGTAGTTATGTTGAATTTGGGATGGCAAGGGCTTCATTTTAGTCCTAGACCTGGACCCATCTTATATAAAATGGGGTTGTGGGTACAAAACCTTGTCCTTGTTTGGGTTGGTGAAAATTAACTATGTAAGTGGTAGGAATTGCTTGAAAAGAGTTGTGCCAGTCCATGTCCAGTGCAATATAGACAAGTCAGGTCCCTGGTTTTACCAACCCTGCTGCTGCCCTAAACCTGGGTCACAGTTATCTCTATGTAGGACATATCATGTGTGTTTGAGTAAAGTGTGTCCTGCCTTCCAGCAAAAAATTACAATGGCATTCTTAAGGAATTTTCAAATTATTTTAAGCTTCAGCAGCTTTGTATGACCTACTCATCCAATATGGTGCATTGATTATATGCATTTCTCCCTCCAAATGAATGTCTCTTCTTAATGAGAGTTTGAGAAGAAGTTAAGAACCTTGATACTCTATTCACTTCTCATGTGTTTAATGCAACAGGCTGGGAACATACTGCTTGATGCTGATGGTACTGTTAAATTAGCTGACTTTGGGGTAGCTGCATGCATGTATGATACTGGTGATCGTCAGCGTTCAAGAAATACTTTTGTTGGAACTCCATGCTGGTAAATAATCTCACACGAATGGAATAGTATTGTTTTTGGTAATTGATACCTCAAGAATGAACTAATTAGCTTTTTGCTCAAAATTGTTTACTTTGTTTGAATGTACTTGCATATACTATAATAGGATGGCTCCTGAAGTCATGCAGCAGTTACATGGATATGATTTCAAGTAAGTTCTGCCAAAGTTATTGTACTGTTTTTCATTTTCTTAGATTATAACTCTCCAAATTTTCTGGTTTCTAATTGCTTTGCATTAACAGAGCAGATATCTGGTCATTTGGAATCACAGCTCTTGAACTTGCGCATGGTCATGCACCATTCTCCAAGTACCCACCAATGAAGGTAAAATTTCATTTGACAATTCTTAATTCTGTATCAGAGTTGAACACAATTGGTCATACCATTGTTTTCCCAAATGCAGGTTTTGTTAATGACACTACAGAATGCACCTCCTGGATTGGACTATGAAAGGGACAAACGATTCTCTAAGGTTTATCCTATTCCTCTGAAATATTGAGAGAATTTATCAGTTGTGGCTAAAACACAACATTTTGCAGTCTTTCAGAGAAATGGTTGCTACATGCCTTGTGAAGGATCCCAAAAAACGTCCCAGCTCAGAAAAGCTTCTGAAGCACCCTTTCTTTAAACATGGGCGCTCAAATGAGTATTTAGCTCAATCCATCCTTGAGGGTTTGTCCCCCCTGGGCGAACGTTTTAGGGTGGTTAAGGTCCTTGCTCTAAGATTTCTTTTTTTCTTTTTTTTTTTTAAATTCTCCTTTTGCGAAACATGTTTTTCTTTTCCGTTTAAGTAGTTTGTATTTGAATTTTTCTGAAACCAATTCTATTCAAGGTAAAAGAAGCTGATATTCTTGCACAAAATAAAGCAATGCATGAGGACAAGGAACATTTGTCTCAGGTAATAGATGCTCTAAAGTTGTTTGAAAAAGACTTGTGTGCCGCATTCTATTTTAAGAATACAGGCTACATATTGCAATGATATGTGATGGAATGTACCTTGGATGAAGATCTTCCATTCAAAATACCAGAACAATTGAAGCTGCAATATATATACTATTTTGACATCAATCTTTATCAATATTGAGCATACTTTCCATAGACAATATTTGTGTTACTGTAGCCACATCAATCTTTTCATAATTAAAAGAATGGCTTTTGTTAGGAGGCCAAGAATGTCTATGCTTGTGCATCCTGTTCGTATTAATGAAAAATAATCATCACTGTTAATGTTCATATTTAATTACTCGGTGTCACATTCTGGGCATATCTTGAAGATACTTTAGGAATCAAATTTTGGAAAGTGTCTTTATCACATTTCCCAGTAAAAAGTGGTTAAGATGGCTCTGATGAATTATATTAGAGGCAGGGGAACAGTATCTGTGAGAAATGGATAATCATTGTATTATCACATATTCAGATATAGTTTTAGCTGTTTTTATATGTTTTTTATATGTTTATGCACTGCGTTTGGTTGTACATTAGGCTCATCTTTGTCTGTATTCTCTATTAAGAGTATATTTTATTCTTTAGATGTGATATCTGGCCCATAATTTGAGTTTTTGTTGAGTGCAGCAAGAGTACATTCGAGGAATTAGTGCATGGAATTTCAATTTGGAGGATCTAAAGAATCAAGCTGCCCTTGTATGCCTCTTTGTTAAGCAGTTGATCAAATTATTTGAATACCTTCAATGTGTACTTCTATAATTTCTGTGATTGCATGCAGATTCAAGATGATTTCACATCTAATTCAGAAGATTCAAGTGTTAGTGGGAAACATGTTGATGGACTAGAGAATGGCTCTCCTGCGAAGAAAGAGGGGTTCACAAGGGCTACTCATTCTGAAGCAGCATATCCCTTGGATGTAAGAATTACAGCTATAGTTGAAATGTAGCATTACTCTGATGTATACAGTGTTTTTCTTTGTCTTTATTCTTCCTATTACCTCTATTTTTCTTCTGTTATTTTGATTTTTGCTTCTTATGTTATTAGGACGGCCTCAATGATGTACCAAATTTAGAGAATACACTGGCAGCATTCCCAGAAAAACCTCTGCAGGCTCTCAAGTATGCTCTCAGAATCTGTCATTGGCTTCTGGTTTAAAGACTATAATATTTGTGGAAATCTTTTATTTATTTGTTTGTTTTCTTTACAATCATTGGAGTCCTATATTCCATGCCTTTCTATTTTAAAATGGAAAAATATTCTTTTTGATGAATTTTATAGCGCCATGATTTTGATCTCCTTGATTGTCTTCATTCGTTTGTGCATGTTGATTTCTACCGTCCTACTTAACGCTCATCTAATGCAGGGGTTTTTTTGATGTTTCTGATGATGATATTTGCACTGACAATGCTCCGTTTCCAAAGGATACTTCTCGTATTGATTCTGAACGTCAAAGTCAGCCATTGCCATTCTCTGCTGCAGATAAAGTAGTAGGTACAAATGGTGGTCGAGATTCTGGTCAAAGTGGCTCCTTGTCACATTCAGTTTCAACTCATAGAAAGTGTTCCAGTGGCTTAATAGTACAGGACAATGTTCATTCCCCTAAAAAGTTCAATAATGATGGGGATAGGTACATCTCTTCTTGAGGTCAATATTTTATATATTTTACGGCTTCACTAAAATTTCTGTTTTCTTTTACTTGTGAACTCTGTTTCTACTATCCAGTTCATTATTTCATATTTCTTGTATTTATACCTAGGAAGTATGTGTGGTTTTTGTTGTTGTTCTTCACTGTAATTTTTGTTTTATTTTATCTTAAAAGTTTGATAAACATATGAACTCTACTTCTACTAACTCTAGTTCATTGTTTCATATTTCTTATATTTATACCTAGGAAGTAGGTGGTTAGTAATGCTGTTATTCACTACATGCTCAAAACTTTCCCCTTTTCTGATCTAAATTTTAGATAACCAAAATGGTACGTGTGAGCCACAAAATTCCATATGTCATATCACTGCCAAAGAAAGTTACTAACTGTATTCATCGCATGATCAAGAAATCTATGCACTTTACTACTGAACTGCTGGCTATAGCTCCAATCACTCTGAGTGAACCATGTGTTGATTCTGATTTTTTTTATTGATCTTGGGAAATCTTCTGTCACCTGCTATGGTATTTACTGATGGATGCGCTATTTTGATCAGGATTATCATCCTGCACGAATAATGTTTTGTTCGTGAAGCCTGAGTCTGTTTGTAATAATACATTCTCCATCTTATTTTGTGCATTCTGTTCTGTTTTTACTTTTTGGCATGATGTGATTGTAAATTATATGAAGGGAAATACAACCAAGGAATTCAGAACGAAATCCTAGTGGTCCATTGCAGTATCGTCTAAAGAAAGATTTCAGTAGTTATACCGGTAATGCATATATAAATGAAATCCTGCATCTTTTTTTTCCTCCAATAAATTCCCCTCATCATTTTGTTTTGTTAATCTTTCTTTGAAAATGCAACTCTCTTTTAGGTGATGATGCACCAGAAGGTGCTGTTATTGAGCGGAGAGGCCGATTTAAAGTCACTTTAGCAGAACCGAATCCCAAGGTAAATCATTTAGCTTACAAATGTTGGTGTGACTTATGATACAATGTAACATCCCCTCCTTTGTCAAACCCGTAAATCTTAGCATCTATATGGAGGTGTAAATTTCTTTGTGAATTCAAAATTATGGGTTGAACTTATCATTCATTCAGGGTCCACTGAACTCTCCCAACTCAGTTCATAGTAGTTTCACATGCTCAACAGTGCCGTGCATTTCAGCTGCATCAGTTCTCCCAGCCCTTCAATCTATTTTGCAACATAACATTTCGCAAAGAGTAAGTTCATAGTTCCCTTTCTTTTTCCCATATTTGTCATTGATGCGTGCAAATTTGTCTTTCCAGGAAGATATACTTAAATTGATGAAGATGGTGGAGCCGACATCTGGTATTGAGCACACCAGTGCAAGCGGTAACGATCCTTTGCAGGTATAGCTATCTTTTACATTTTATTTATTCTTCCCAATTTTTTGAAAGTCCACTGTTTTTCTCAAATCATAAAAGAAAAAAATGATGTCATACCCTACTTATTGCAGACAATCCCTACTTCTATTAGGGAGAGGGAATTGCAAGCACAGGTGACTCAACTGCGACAAAGGTAATACACCAAAAAGTCATGTAGTTTTTAGCCTTTATCGTACTATACTGAAAACAAGTTTTAAAATGTCAGTGTTGCAAGCCTGGTTGAAGAGTTACAGAAAATGAGCGCCAGAAACGTTGAGGTTAGCTCGGTTTACTGTCTACAACAAACCATGAGTTGCTGCTTTGCAAAATTAAGGTTTTCACATTCATTTCTAATCTAATAACACAATAAATCAATCTCTTCCCGCTTGCAGTTGGAAAGAAAATTAGAAGCAGCGAAGCAAAATAATAAGATACATGAACAATGAGTATTTGTTGGACAAAGGAAAGGATAAGACAACAACTATGCACCGCGCCACGACACATCAGATTCATGTCAGCATCATTCTGGTCTATTCTCTCACTCGTTTTTCTCTCATTTCATTTTATTCTTGGGATTTTTTTTTTTTTGACCTGCAAGTTTTTCATCATATTCAGGGTATAATTTCTGGGGGCATATGTGGGTGTGTTTAGTTAAAATTTTGTGTTGTTTGGTGTGAATATATGTTATATATATACATTATGTGATGTATATATTTGTAAGCTGCCTAGTACTGTATGAAGATACTGCTTTTTATAGTTCTCAGTGGGCATGTGTCATGTATTTTGCATTAGCCATCATCTGTTTGTAATTAAAATGATCTAAACTCTGGTTTTGTTCTCTTGTTCTTCACATCATGCCAGTGTTTGAGATTCATTATGTAGAATATATAAGAAAGATAATTCTTTGGTGTTTCTGTAGAATGACCATTTTGCCCTTTTGGTTTCTGAATTCATTATAGCAGTATAGAAGTTGGCCAATTCACCTTTTAACTAGTGTGCATTAATTATTATTATTCACATCATCTTTTTTTGTCAAGTTATTTAATATTTTTGGGGGCTGCATTCTTCATTCATGTGGGGTATTAATAAAAACTTTACCCTAATTAAGAAACCGATAAAATAAATAAATAAATTAGACAGTTGATGGGGCATTTATTGAATTTCACATTAGTTTATGAAATTGCTGCTTTTTAGTGTGACAGTTTGCAAATATACTATTCCCTCTGAGATTTAATTAACTGATATTATATATGGTACAAATATGGATTTTGACTACAGCTCTGTTTGATTTATTCTCTTCATTCCCTATTATTATAATTAGTTTTTTGAGAAAATGCTGCAGGAATAATATACCACAGAAAAGTAAAAAGATACATGCCAAAATTTCTTCCTTTGTAGAAGATTTATTTTAATTGCTATTGTGACATAATATTATCATATATCATATAATTCTTATAAAATTGAGCTTTACAGCTATTGTAAAATTCATTTGTTTGATAGTGTATCAATTCATTTTAGTGATGTTGAAGTCTGCATCCTCTATTAAAAAGAATTGCTTAGTGAACACATTAAAGATTGGATATTGATTTCTGTGATATATATATATATTTTCTATAATATTTTTTAAGTACAATAATTGTGGCTGTTCCTTGAAGAAATGCTGCATATATTAATAAATAATTGCAAATTTAGTTGCCTATTAATATTATAATACTATTTCATTGCATCAAACACGAGACTTAAGATTCCCAAAAATGATAATCTGCATATATCCAGCATTAAATATCACACTAAGAATATGGAAATTCTGCCCTTTTATTTCACATCTGCCATGAATAATTTTATTTGCTTTACGTTAAATTTTTCTTCTGATATTTTTTATATATTGGAAATAATTGTCCTTAATTTTTGCATGTACATATCACCGCTTTACGAATGAGTTGACGTGACATATATAATAATAGCAAATGGGATGAATGATTTTATATAGTGTTGGTGAATTTAAATTTAGAGTGAGAAAGTGAAAAATAAAGGTGCAATAGAGTGGGGAGAGTAGGGTCTATTCTTGGGCAAGACAGAGAGAGGGAGTAGAAATGAGCAGTGTATGAATATATGCATAAATAAAAATACAGAATCCATCTACGCCCTAAGAACTGAGATAATATTTCATAGAATTGGGACTATCTGCTGCCTGTTTCTCACTCTATATCATCCTGTCCATTCCCATTTTGTTACCACCTTAATGAATATATATATATATATATATATTAAATATAAGAAAGCCAAAATAATAATTCTTTCGTCCCATAAAAAAATATTTTACGGGGAGTTGACACGGAAATTAAGGAATAACATTTAATTGAAAATGAGTATAAAGTAAAATGTAAAAGACTACATTATCCTACTTTTTGAAGTATTTTAAAAAGTACGCTAGAGTAATAATTATGAGTAGTTATGGAAATACAGGAATAATATTTTCGTAAAGTGGGGACTGCGGTTACTAAATAAGAAAACAAGATAATTGTTTTGGAACGAACGAAAATGGAAAAATAAGACAATTTTTTTGAGACGAAGGAAATATAAAACTTTTATGTGATTTTCAAAATTTGCTTAAAATCTCCATAGTCTTAAAATTGTAATTTGTAAAATATTGCACATTCAACCCCTCTTTCATCATCTAAATTTCACTTATGCCGTTAAACTTGAATAGAAGTGAATCTTTATGTCTTTACCTGTAAAATTGGTAGGGATATAACGGTCCATTTATGTTTAAGTTTAACAGTATTAGTGACGAGTAAATTATATAAAATTTTAAACAATTGGAATTTTTCAGCAAATTTAAAAAATCATGTAGAGTTTTATATTATTTTGCCTATAATAAATGATGATAATAATAATTACATCATCATCATGCATGTCTCTGTCTTCCGTAGTACCATCTGAAATCTGACCACCTTTTGTCAAATTGGCTTAATCCATGATCCAAATTATTGAATAATTATTGAAAACTTGGTACTAATTACTAGTAATTATGTAACGAAAATTGACATGCAATTTGCAGGTCTCTCTCTCTCTCTCGCTCACGTGACTAAGGTGGGGTGGGGCACGTGCGAGATTTCATTTCAGGTTCTTTGTATTATTCCTTTTTTAGGCTAAGATATTCATCAAACATATTTGGAATCCCTTACAAGAATGCCTAAACCCCCATTTATATGAAAATAAAAGAAAACCCTTTTCATTTTCATTCTCAATTTTCACCCACCCCTTTTAATTTTTCTAATTATTCTTTTTTAAAAAAAAAAAAAATTAAATTTTTACTGCTGCTTCTGCCTCTGACTCTCTCTCACTCTGATCACTCCGTACATACATATATATATATTGTGTATGTATATTATGATGATGTCCAAAATTGGACAAGTTTTCTGTGCGATGTGTGAGGCAAGTTGTGTGTCGTCCATCTTATCTGAGTAAAGAAACCCTATTTTCTTTATATATATATATATATATATATATATTTGTGGTGGAAGAAGAAGAGGCTGCAAATAGTCTCCTGTTTGGGCCTAATTAACCACTGTGCATGGATTTACCTTAATTTCCGATTCTATATAGGAAACAATCCAAACGCGGCCTTAGCCGCGCAGCGGTGGGTGGGGCTCTGTAAAGTAATTTTTAATTACTTATGGAGCTCGACGATCGCTACCGTAATCGGCGTCGGAATCTCCACCGCACGGCGACACCCTCTAATTTTAACGGCGGCGGCGGAGCTGGGAATAATGAGGAGGACATTCGCCGGCGGCGATCGGAGGAAGAGGATGAGAAGAAGAATAAAATTAAAAAGAAGAAGAAGAAGAAAAAAAAAAAGGAGGATCACGTGGAGTGCACGTGGAAGTCGTGTACGGCGGGGGCGATCGCCGACTGCGTGGCGGTCTGCTGCTGTCCCTGCGGCGTGGTGAGCATTCTCGTGCTGGCGTTCGTGAAGCTTCCTTGGGCGGTGGCGCGGCGGTGCATCGGCGGCCGGAGAATCAGGTCGCGGCGGAGGCTGGAGGCCGGCGCCGGGAACCGGCGGGAGGAGGACACGGATGGAATTCCTGAATTAGGAAGGGCAGAAACCGGAAACCCGGAAAGTGTGGAAGACGCTGAGAACCTAAATTACCAAATTAGCCCTGAGATGGATCAAGAGTGGATAGAGCTTCAGGTTGAGTTTGGCCATTGGGGCTTTGGCAGACTGTCCTTCACTGGAATTCCCTTTCAAGAGAAGGGTAATTGAGGTATTTTGCTTTCTCAATTTCCATTTTTTTTTTCTAAATGATCATAATAATTCCAGTTAATTTATTCTCAATTTTGTTTTGTTTTTTTTTTTTAAAAAAATAATTAAATATACAAGGTGGGATAGCAAATTAATATTGTGTAAAGCTACTTAATTTATTTTTATTAAAATTATTATAAATCATGCATATTTGCGATGTGATTATTCAAGTAAATACACATTTAAAAAAACTCAAATATGTAGTAAAATTATCGACGCTAATTCATGCAAAAATGTGTAAAATTAAATTGAAATAAAAAATGTTGATAATAAAATAAAATAGAATAATTAATGATAAGATGAGTACGTAGTTGGTTAATTAATTAATGATATAAGTTTTTATCTTTTTATTATTGTAATTAATTATAATAAGTTGCATGTGTAAGTGTGATGAAGATATAACGAGTATCAATTACTTCATTTCAGGGTAACGTAATGTGGTCCTCCATTTGTTAATTCCTCAGTTTATTTGGGTAGGATTTATTTTATTTTATTTTTTTTTCATTTTTTTTTTACTAAATAATTTTTTTATAATTTCGATAAAAATATATTTTCTCCAAGTCAAATATATATTTTCATTTTTATCGTTCCACATTAATCTATAAATTTATTTTTATTATTATTATAAATGATATATTTGTCAAAATTTCTTATAGTATTACATTAAATTATTTTTTAAATATCATTTTCATTAAAAATATATATATACACAGATATATTAAGCTTCATATTTATTTTTTATTATATTTAAAAATAATAATTATATAAATAGTAAAAGTTAAATGAATGTCCGATAAGAGATTTATCATTCGAGTTACGAGAGACTACACGATTTGCTAGAAAACTAAAGTTAAATTATATAAGAATGTATTTTTATTTTTTATTTTTCCATACTTCTCCTATTAGTATTATAAAAAAATATATAATTATTATTCACATCAAATATATTACTTCATCTGTCACATTTGGGCTATTTAGAATTTTGTACTAATTAAGAAATAAGAATATTTTATTGGTTAATAGAAATATTTACGAGGTTTTGACATTTTTGTTTTTGATTTTACGTATAAATTAACTGTATTTGTAACATTATGTTCATAATTTAAGTAAAAATTAAAGATATTTTAATATTAATGTATAATTATTTTTACTGAAATAAGAAAAGATATTTTAATTGGGATAAATAAAAATGGTAAAAATAAATGCCTTGAGTTGGAACAGAGAGAGAGAGTAATATATATATATATATACATTAAAAAAATCAAAAAAATATTACTCAAGTCAAGCAATAATAGACTCATTTCCTTTATAAAAAGAGAGTATTATTTTTATATATCGACACTTTTTTTTGTTTATATATCTAATACATGTGTTTGTTTGTAGGATTTTAAGTTTGAATTTTAAATAGTAAAAATTTTAAATTAAATAATTATTTGATGTTATTAAAATATATGTTGATCTCATATTTGAAATAAATTTAAATTTTAATCTAATAAATTAAATAAAAATAAATATTTGATTTAATATTTAAAAAAAATTAGAATGTAAAACTTTGGCAAAATATCTAAAACTAAAACTTTGTTTGATTAAAAAATGTAATTGCAAAATATCTCAAAACACAAAAAAGCACGAAGCTAAATTCCGATGAAAAGCCATAAGAATGTAAACAAATTTTCTGGTTAAGCGGTCCCAATCATTAATTTGTTGTGGAGATAAATTTAGGTACATTATTTTTTTAATTTATTTTTAGTTTGATTTTATTATTACTATTTTTCAATTTTTTAATGCAAGCATTAATTTAATTTGAATATATATACACTTTTTTAAAATAATAATAATTTTATATGGTAAAAAAAATAATAAGATCAAACTAAAAACCAAAGCAAAAAAATGAGACCATACTACTACTACATATATGAGTTTGTTTTTTTTTAGTATTTCAAATCAAAATAAATTAACACTATTTATCCGATTTAGTTTTAACTTTTTTTTTTCCACAAAATATTTTATCAATAATTTTTAAGAAAAAATTCAAATCAATTTTAAATCACAATCAAACAAACCCGATGTATATATATTGAAACAATGGTGTGTCCGATCTTTTTTTATAAAAAAATTTGTCCTTAAGTCTGGTCGGAGGTTTATTCATAGTACACTTGAATAATAATAGCGGTAAGTTTCCATTCATAGAAAAATAATTAGATTCGATCGAAAGTTTGCTTAAACTACACTCGAAAATTAACGACTGCGGATTCTTATATCATTAAAAAAAAAAAAAAAAAAAAAAAAAAAAAAAAAAAACAGCAACAACAACAACAAGAAGCTCCACTTAAATAGCCTAATTGTGTAAACTTAGACCTGTGACCGTAAAATTATAATTCAAATTCTCCGATATCACTTGATCTTGCTTGCTCCGACATCATAAAGAATAAAAAAAATATCATTTTCCTTTTAATAATGTATATAATTCTTATAATTCCTAATAAAAAAATATAAGATGTGTTTATCTAACAATTTTATTTTTATTTTTGTAATACTACAATTTTTAATAAATATTACAAAAAATTATAGTGCACTAATTTTTTTCAAGAAAATTAAATATATGTATTAGATACTATAATTTTCAATAAATATTACATAATAATAAGTTTGTCATTATTTTTATTTGATGGTCGATCAAACATAGAGTTAATGAATCCAACAATCAATTAGTAATATATATATATATATATATATTTAACAATTAGTATAAATTGTTAAAATAGTTATTTCTAATATAATAACCATATGATTTAAGTGACAATAATTCACAAATTAACTTTTATTATTTGATGTATCGCTAAGTGGAATCTATATTTATAGGTTAAATATGAATTTCACTAAATTATAAATATATAATCATGATTGGTAAGTATATTTAGTTAGACTATATAAATTATTTGATTGATTTTTTACGAAGTCAAGTGGAATAACCATAGTATAAAAATATTTTATTATTATTATTTTTTATTTTATTTAGATAAGATATTTTTCATACTATTTATCTATAATTTTAATATATCTTTAAATTTTTAAAAATAATTATTTATTTGCCATAAATTGATACTTCTTTTATTATATTGTGATACTATTTTCTTTGATTAGTAACTAAAATTTTAAAAAATCTTCAACTATTGTTTTAGTTAAGGAAGTGAAATTCCGTAACTACTCACTAGTATATTAACTTTAATAACTATATGTCTTTATAATATCATACTATATCTATTTTTTTTTTTTTAAGCAATAATAATAATAATAATAATAATAATAATAATAATAAACATTTGATGGGGAGAAGCTATTGTGCTTATTGGCAATTCGGCATAATGCTGATTTCTTCGATCAGCATATCATAAATAAACATGATTTTGTTTATGTTATATGAAAATATAAAATAACAATATTTCAATAGAAATCAAAATTTAAATAAAGGAATCGAATGTCTTGGCAAACCAAACAAACCCATAGTTTGGATTTGGACTTCAAATTCATTTAAAAAATATATATATATATATATTTATCGTATAACACATTTCACCACAAAAAGGATGGATGGATACATTCTGATATGTGTTTTGCAACAAGAAAAACAACTTCTCTTTCACTTTTATGGACGATTCGGAACTCATCAATATGCACATTGCAAATATTTGAATGGAAAAAACACATTTCAGAAAACAGCAGGAATTTGGAAAGTTTAATTTGATCACAAATTCACATAATAAACTGCATCAACAACATCACTAAATGAAGAAATTGAGAATCGATTCTAAAGATGATTCAGTTTTCATTGAAACAAAAATTACTCTTAAGTTTAGTTTGTACCTCGCAATCTTAGGCTATGGCGATCTTCGCGCCGGCAGCTTCGAGCTGCTTCTTCGCCTCCTCGGCATCCTCCTTGGAAACTGCCTCCTTGCATTTCTTCGGTAATCCTTCAATCATTTCCTTCGCTTCCTTCAGCGGTAAGTTAGTTAGAGCTCTAATTACCTTAATTGTAGCGATTCTCGCATTGCTCGGAACATCCTCGATGACTACATCGAACTCAGTTTTCTCCTCAACCGCGGCTGGCGCATCAGCAGCGGCCGGCGCCGCCGCAACAGCGGCGGCAGGAGCGAAGGACGCGGCGGATACGCCGAGCTTGTCCTGGAGATACTCCACAAGCTTCTGCGCTTCGGCGAGGGTTAGATTAGATATTTTATCGCCTAATTCGACAACCTGTTCCGGCGCATCGACGGCGGCGACGGGGCGGAGGGCGAGCGAACGCCGACGAACAAGCTTCGGCGCGCGTTTGAGAGGAAATTGAACCGACTGATTGGAGAAAACTGCGGAAACCGAAGGACAAGGCGCGGATGCCGCCGGCGACGGAAGAGAGCGAAGAGAAACCGCCGATAGCGTGGAAGCCATTGCCGATTTGAGATGGAGAAACTGATTGTGCGAAGAGCAGATAGGATAAGGGTTTGTCAATTAAAAAAAAAAAAAAAAAAAAAAAAAAGTATTAATAATAAACTCTACAGTTGGGTTGGGCCTACAAATTGATCATTTTGGCCCACTTATTTGCCTAAGCCCAATAAAAAAATCAGCGTACTATAAATGGGCCCTACGGCCCAATACATAAAAAATCAATAAAAGGGGCATTCCGAGAATCGAACTCGGGACCTCTCGCACCCAAAGCGAGAATCATACCACTAGACCAAATGCCCTTATTGTTTGTCTTAGAAATTAAAATGTTTAATATTTCAAAATAAATCTTACTTCTGTCAAATATAAATATGTAATACTCATCTTTAAACATTCTTTTTAATTTAGAATATGATCAAATGCTGAAAAAAACATTTTAGCACCTAGATGAATACATATAAATTAAGTTTGTTAATTTATATTATTAGATTATTTAATTACTATAATATTATAAAATTAAATTTAAACTGTTCAGTATGGTGCTGAAAACCAGATCCATCCCGTTTTAATTTTAAAATATTCCAAATATTTTGCAATTTTTTAAAAATTTATTTTTATCTTTACAAATATATTTAAAATTATTTTAAACCAAAAAAATAAAAATAAAGGTATAATTATAGAAAGAATTATCAAAATTATATCACTTAATAATATTATCCAAAAAGTAAAACAAGCAAACAAAATATCCCATTCAATTTCATCTATTTAGATAGTAAATATTTATTTTTTCACTGAATTTAGTAAATATTATAATATTTTAATAATAGTTTATGATAATTTTTACATGTAAAAACTGTTTTACTACTATGATGTATGAAGCTAATGCGAAAATATTGATATAAATAAATATAAATGTAAGAATGTTTGTAACGTGTAACGAAGGCTATATATACTAGAAAAAATTAGATAAATACTTTGTATTTGGACAATTAAAATATTATTATTATTATTATTATTTTATATATCTTTAATTATATATTAGGTGAAGCAGAAAGGGGGGGAGGGGGGGTTGCCAATTTAAAAAGAATAAGCAATTTCATATTTATTTTTCGATCATGAAAATATAAATTTAATGAAATAAAGTTACTTGGGAGTTAGGCATATGTCGATTTCATATTATGCAATTCTATTCACCAATAAAAAAAAGTCCTATTTATAAAGTGTGTATTGATTTATTACTAAAATAGATATATTACTTTCCACGTGTCTCTCCATCCAAAATTTGGTTTGGTCCAACAATAATAAACCTATATCCAAAACAATAATAATAATAATAATAATAATAATAATAATAATAAAAGTATTTTTTAACAAAAAAAATAAATTATTATTATGTATTTTTCTAAATTGTGCAATGTTAATTTAGATGAACAGGTTAACAAGGCAAGCTTATGATAGAATAAATATATTATCAAATTATGATTACAAAATATTATAAATTACTTCCATAATTTTACCACAATATTCAAATGATTTTAATTAGAAAATCTAGAAGACAATTATTGTATTTTTGTTTGAGTTTTTATTATTTTCAATAAAAATATTTTATATACAACTCTTAATAAAAAAATGCATTATTATTATTATTATTATTATTATTATTATTATTATCATCTTGGAAAATATTGTTATTAAATTCAGATCATACTATCATAATAATAATAATAATAATAATAATAAGAGGATGACCTCATGGAGTTAGTTTATTAGGATAAAACATACTCCTTCCTCAGTAAAATTTTAAATGATTGATAAAAAGATAGTGACGGGAATAACAATAAATAATAATAAAATTGAATATTATTTGTCAACTTAAAAAACAATAATATTTATAGGAAGAACGTTATTTTTTATAAATGAATTGTGTTTAAGTTTAATAATAACAAATAAATAAATAAAAGAATAATTATATGAGTTTGTTTGTTTAGCATTTTAGTTTGAGATTATTTTTTTTAGATGAGATATAAAAAATTGTATATAATATAAAAATAATATTTTATGTTAAATGTTGATTTTTTGTAAAATGATAAAATTTATATTATATAAATTGAAAATTATATCGGAAAATAATTTATTGAAAGAACAACTTGATAATTTTGGTGGAAATAATGAATACTTTATATATTTTTGTCAGTTTTTGGTTATTATATTTACTTTAATGTAATTATTTAGATTGTATAAATTCACTACTTTTTTTACATTTATTCTTATTCTTTGTTGGGCATGTTTTTATAATTTATTTATTTTTTGGTAAATTGTATAATATTTATCTAATACTCACATGTAGATATTATGAATACATAAAATATTTCATATTTTATTTGTTACACGAAATTTGCTTGTATTTTATATGAATGCATAAAATATTATTTTTATTCAAAATTGATATATTAATTGTAAATATGCGGCTAAATATGTTTATGCAAATAGAAAATAAAATATCTTAAATAGTATATTTAAATAAAATCAACAAATGATTAATTGATGTAACCCTCTATTTCAACTTTGTAAAAATAAAAAATGTGTTGCTATTTAATTTTTTAAAGTATTTCATTAATTACAAAATTTTAATAAATTCCAAAACTTCAAAAATTTTATGTGTAACCAGAGCCGAAAGTATTTATTACTTAATAATACAATAAAAATAATTATAGTTTTAAATTAAAATAACTAATTGGTATAATTAAAATAAAAAATTTAAAATGTTATTAAAATATATAATTTTTTTTTTCAAATATATATATATATATATAATGTGAGATGAATATAAACAAAAATCATGATAATAATTATTATGTCATGTCACATGAAGATTTTCCAACTATCAAACAAATACACTCATTATCTATATCATCATCACTAATTAATTCAAAAGCTTTTTGTCATTTAATTTCATAGTTTGGTCAAACGAACTTTTATTATAAAATTCCAAAATTTGTATAATCATCCTCATATCTTATTATGTTTAAATTAATTTTTTAATTCAAACATTTAAATATAGTAATTTTATACAAAGCAAAAGTACTCCATGTTATATGTTTTAACATAAATGTACACATTATATTAGTGAAATTTTATGCACATATTTTGTATTGATAAAAATTTGAATACTTATTCATCAAATGTATTTATTTTGTTATATTTTATTGTTCATATATAAAATATTCATTTATTTTTTTTACAAAGATGGACTTGGTACGCATGGCATAAACCTCTAAATTTACACTAATGTACCAAGTTAAGATAAAGTAATAAAATAATATTAACACACAAAAAGTATAGTCAACTACAGCTAAAATGCAATATTTGTTAAATTCATGAAAAAAAAAATAAACGTATATTATTATTTTAATTTAAATTCAAATCAATATTATTTATCAGCATAGTTTTTAATAAAAAATAATATTATTTTTTTTTCATAAAGTATTATATCAAAATATTATTTTAAACAAAATTTTAAATCAAAATCTCATTTCAAATCATTTTCAAACCATTCAATATTACTTATCCATTTAAATTGCATGTGATGTGAATATCACTCAATGAGATGCGTTCTTCTTATCTTAAATATTTTGGATTTTGTTTGGTTTTTAGGTAAAATTATTATTCGATATAATATTCTGGTATATAAATATTTATTTTTAATGTGAATCACAAAATTTCATAGTAAAAAAAAAAGTTAAACTGCACGATATCCATCTGTAGTTTAAAAAAATTGTGTCAAATTCCTCATATTTCTAAAACTATGCCAAATTCCATCGTGGTTTCATAAACTCTGCGTCTAACTCTCTTGGCGGTCCTTATTTAACGGTATTTGAGCTAAATGCACCAAAACTGCGAATAAATTTTAAAATGTCAATTTTTAAACCTCTAAAATTATAAATATATATATTTTTTATATTTAGCTTGAAAAAACAGTAAAAATAAAATTTTAAAACCTGAGAAAAATAATATTTTTTTAAGTATATTTACTATTTTTTTTAGTCTAAATATAAAAAAAATGACTATATTTGTAATTTTAGGGGTTTTTAAAAATTGATATTCAAAAATTTATTGGCAGTTTAGGTGCATTTAAGTCAAATATCATTAAATAAAAACTGCCGAGGGGGTTAGACGCATAGTTTATGAAACTATGATAGAGTTTGACACAATTTTAAAAGTATTGGGAATTTGACGCAATTTTATGAAACCACGGTGGATTTTATGCAATTAAACAAAAAAAAAATTAACATAAATAAACAAAGCCACATATATATAAAACTTATTCACATATATATATATATATAATTCACATTCAAAATACAAAGGTAATAATACATGAACCCATAATTATAAAGTATTTTTATCAATAATTTATTTAACATTAGTATATTGAATATAACCCATATATATTTATATATATATATATATGTGTGTCTATTCTAGTCTCCATTAAGCAAGTGCATAGACCATAGATCATCTACGCTCCAAATCATATTGTCATTAGATTCCGTCGCCGGAAAAATGCCGCCGTGAAACTCAGTTTCCACGTTTCCGGCGAAGCCGGAGTTGGCGGCGGTCGGAGAGTACGCTTGGACTCTATGATCCGCCGTGACCGACGCCGTTCCGTTACTCGTGCAGCCGTCGGAACTCATCCCGCCCATTTGGTTCGTGCTCTCCGCTTGCTTCATGTGTTTCTGAATTCGGGTCCTCCAGAAATTCTTGATTTCGTTGTCTGTTCTTCCCGGTAGATGCTTTGCGATTTTCGACCACCTGTTAGGACAAGGTCATGTCGGGTGAGGATCAAATTCGAAAAGTGAAGTATTTAGTATACATGCATATCAGGGTGCTTCAAATTAACATCACGTGTAACTAATTTTGGCAAATGAAGGAAGTATTACTAATTTTGGATGACGGATGAAGTATATAATATAAATATTATTTTGTAGGGAATAAAATTTTACTCTATCCGTCAAAGTAAAAAGTATACATTTACTTTTAGCGCGGAGTTTAAGAAATAATAATATTTTAATTATAGTGGGTAAGTAAAAATAATATAATGATATTTTTTCTCTTACTTTTTTATATAAAAGTAACGATGTGATGTAAAATAAAGGTATTTGTGGAAAAAAATTGAATATTTAATGAGATAGTTACTCTGTAATTGGACGTCCCAAAATAGAAATATGTAATTTTAAATAAGTCTCATGTGTAAGAGGTTTCAAATTTTATTAAATTAATTTATATTTGTTAAATATATTTAAAATTATTAAATTTACTAAAAAAAAATCCATCTTATATGGAACGAACAAAAAAATAGTATTTGTAATGGAACAGTAGAAGTATTATATAGCATTATATTATCATGTATTGTTAGATTTGCACGGTCTATTTTATATAATGATTGGATCAAATTAATATGATGCTACCGATTTAACCTAGTCAACACTATAACAGAATATATTTTACAATTTAAAGATATTATAATTTTTACACACTATCTACTCCCATGTGATCCTCGGTTTAAAAAATAAACCCTATCCCTCTATTCTCACACACATAACGTGTATATATATACACGTGTGTAGTGGGAATAGAGGAATAGCGTGTGTTAATAGGACAAATGATTTGGTCTGCTACCTACTATATATAAAACATTAATCCAACATGCAAACAATAAATGAACGGCAAAGAAAATAATAAAATTTTATATTTTCGAGTATTTAGTTGGCAATTTCTTTTTAAAAAATTTTATTATTTAATTTTTAATGAATTTCTAAAAAAAAAACACACATTAATTATATATACTGTACAAAAATATCATATCTAAACTATTGTTTAAACTCAAAATCCAAAAAAATACACTTTTAAATTCTTTTTTTTTTAATTACTCCTTCCGTCATATTTTAAAGTACCCTTCTACTATTTTCGGCCCTCATTTAAAAGTATCATTTTTTTTAATAATATTAATTATATATTAATACTAAAATACCTTTACTTTTATTAAATTACAATCATACTATTATTCAAAATCTCTTAAACACCGTATAAAGGACAAAAATATCAAAATTTCTTACGCACTCTCACTAACCAATAAAATAATATTATTTTTTAATCTATTACAAAATCTCAAAGAACTACTTTTAAAAGGAACGAAGGGAGTATTATATTTTTTTTAAAAAAATGTATTTTTAAATATATTAAATCATATACTATATTCATTCACCTGTATCTATATATGTATTAAATAAATAGCACGTGAAGCACATGGTGTGGTGAGATGATGGTCACTAATACCAAACGTGTTGTAAGGAACCATAAGTTAGGAATATTTCAATCACGTTTTTAATGTTGTTTCAAATTTAAAAATGAATATTTAATTTTGCATGTTCTGTGGTTGCAATTCCAATGTCTTTTTATTCACAATTTGGACTCTTATTTAAACCAAACTCAACCTATTCATTTCCAAAAATCTTCATACCTAAATTGCAAAAAACCTCACAATATTGCAATAAATATTTATTATTCCTTACTCTTACATCCTCGTCAACAATATAATTCAACTTATGTAGTCTTTTAAATTCTAAACATTTGATTTTGTTTTATGTAATTTAAATTATATATATATAGATGTGTATGTATGTGTGTGTTTTGAAGAAAATGGAGGATACCAAAGATGGCATCGAGATCGATTAATCGAAAGGTTTGTAGTGTGTTCTTTTAGGATTTGATTTTTTTTTTTCTTAAATAGTTATTTAAATGTGATATTTTGTAAATACATATATATATAAATTATAATCACTATATAGTAAAAACCAAAATAGAACTAAAAAATTTAATATATTATCTTTGTCTGCTAAAATTATATCACTGTTTCTTTCTTGAATATTAGCTAAAATTATATCTATTCTATTTATAGAAAATAATTTTATTCATCCATAATTTTATACTTGTAAGAATCAATTTGTCACCATTTTTTCTACATCTTTTACTATCATTATCTCAACTCTTAAATAAATATTTTATGATATTCTTACTTTATTTTTTACTTACTTCATCTTAATATTAAAATATTATTATCTTTTAATCTCCGTATCTAACCAAAGGTACATCAATTTTCTCGATAGAGGGAGTATTATTTTTAAAAAAATAAAAAGCATTGTTATTAGTGTTATAATTGATATATTAAATTGTAAAAAGAAAAAAAATTAAATGAAAATATTTGCTGATTTTTGTATCCAAAATATATTGAATGTAAGATATTTTTTTGAAGAAAATAATATATACATATATATAACACACACTTTTAGCTTTAGATAATAGTATATATGCTCTAAGGATAAAGGAAAAATAAAAATAGTTTGCAATGTCAACCTCAATTTCTACAAAGATTTATTTTTTTATTTATTTTATATTTTTTAACTTTTCATACTTTAAGTGAATTTGATGTTTTGTAAATAAATATATATATATATATCTAATAATTATAAAGAATTTGTTCATATATGTGTTCGTCTCCACGGAGAAAAATATTAAAGAACAAAAATAGCAAGTGATGTATTCTAAGACCAGAAATGACAAAAAAATTAAGGTAGCTGTCTACTTCGACACAACTAAGGTACGTAGTAACAATAGAGACACTTATCCGTTTCCAACTTATCACAAAAATAATTGTTTAACTATTTATTAATTAAATTTCTGGATTTTTATTTATATTTTTATACATATATAATATATATATATATATATATTTTATACTATGGATAACTTTTTATCACGTTCACAAATAAACTTGTGTATATTTATTTATTTGGAAGATTTGTACGGTAAAGTGTTTTTTTTTGTTCTTTAATATATTTAAAGAATAATTCCATAGTCTATAAGAAGCAAGAATATTCAAATATTTGTACAAAAATTCATTCTCTAGTTATATATATATATATATATTGAAAGTTTTAACACTATTTAATTTTAATTATTTTTTTTGGAAAATTGAACTCTAAGTGTTGATTTGTAAATTTAAATATGTTAGTGTGTTGTTTTGAGGGTTTGGATTTTGTGTTATGATTTAGATAGTAAAAATTTTGAATTGAAATGATGATATGATATGATATGATATAATGTTTTGAATGTAAAATTAATTTTAATATAATATAGAAACTAAAAAAAATGGTTTTTGATTTGATATTAGAAAAAAAAAAAATGATAAATAGTATAATCTTGATAATTTTTTTCAAAAGAACACATCCTTTAGAGTTTTATGATTTTAATTTCAACATTTTTTCGCTTAATCATGACAAATTTTCAATTTCTATGTTAACCAATTACGAAGGTTTTAAGAATATAAAAAAATAGAACGATAACTATAATATGTACCAAAAAATAAAAAATAATTATTTACCGGTTTCCCCACTTAGCATGAAGCTCCATGATCAAGAGTTGCTCTTCCGGAGTTATATTTCCTCGTCTAACATCAGGTCGAAGATAATTTAACCATCGCAATCTGCAGCTCTTTCCCGTTCTTTTTAGCCCTTTAAGACACAAAAAATAAATAAAATAGTTCAACGATCAATAAAAATATTTTAGAAAATTGATTGGTTCACTAATATATAATTTCTTTTTTATAAAAAATAAAATCATATAATATACCAGCAGATCGAGCGAGGGAATTCCAAACGCCCTCGCCGTGATTAGCAATGTAGTTGATGAGAATGAGATCTTCTTCCATGGTCCAAGGGCCTTTCCTAACCTCGACATCTTGACTATTACACGGCTTTTTGTCCATATCGATGATATAATTGTAATAAGGGATTTTGCGACGATGAAAATAACTTGGAGGATGTAATAATCGATTGATCGATCGATGTGTATTCGAGAAGAAATAATGGTGAAGGAGCTTAATTTATAGATGGGGAAGTAACATAGGAATGGCTAAGTGAATATATATATATATACATATATATATATATAATAAATAAATAAAATCTCTTTTTTTTTTTAGGAGCTATATTAGTTGACGTAACACGTAGCCTTAATTTTGGCCTAACTTTGATTTATTAAATATTGTTAATTGTAATTACTATTTTGATGCCCTTAATTATGAAGTCTTAAGCATGCATGTGCAAGGTTATACAATGTATGCATGACAAATATATATTTATTTATTTAATATGAACATGCATGGACAAGTTATGTACCACGTTACCCCTACTTAGGCATTTATTTAGGGAAAAAAAATTGCAAATTTTAATTTATTGATGTATTACTATATTATTTTTCAGTCTTATTTTTATTTCTGCTATGCAATATCATCGTTCCAAAGAAAAATATATTCTCTTCGTCCCAATTCGGAGTAGTTTTCTGGGTTTTTATATTAAATTAAAAAATAATACTCCCTCCGTCTCACATACCGTGTCTGCTACACTGTAGACACGGTATTTTAGGAGGGGTAATGTATTAGTGAAAATAATTATCCGATAATATAAATAATTATAAATTAAGATTAAGATAACTAATTAGTTTAATTAAAATTTAAAAAAATAAAATTAAAAAGTTTAAAATGAGATTAAAGTGTGTAATCATTTTCCAAAAAAGGAAAGTGACATGTTATATGGGACGGACAGAAACGACAACGTGAACATGGTATGTGGGACGGAGGGAATAGTATTTAGCGGAAGTTTCTAAGATATTTTGATATTTTTTATACATTGTTTTTTATTTATAACTTAATTGTACATGTAATGGTATGTTTGTGATTTATGTAAAAATTAAATGATATTTCAGTATTAGTGTGATTAATTTTATTATAATATAAAATAAATATTTTTGAATGCGAAAATGACTAAAATGATACTTTCAGTTGGAAAAAATGGAACGAGTATTACTTATTTTTTATACCAAAAAAAATATATTAAACAATTATTTCACAAAAAAAAAAGTACTAAAAATATCTTTAAATAGAAGAAAGAAAACACACCATATTAATAATATTATTAATATTATTATTATTTATAATGTAATCTTCTGGGTATTTTGATACTCGAATTTTTATTTATTTATTTTTACTCTTGAAATTTGAAAGTTATGTGCATGTTACAATAATGGTTTAAAATTTTGAAATATTCCCTTTAGTCCAAACTAATTTTTTTTTTTTTAATTTTTATCAAGTCTGAAATTGATATATTTTTTTTTAGTAATTATACTTTATAAGTAATTTATAACTTTTTATACAATTTACATATTATTACAACAATATCATTAACTTATATATAAAATACTACTATTAAAATTTTAGGGAGTAGAATTGTCTGTTCAATCATCTATTGTATTATATACTTCTTCCATCCCAATACAATAGTCTTGTTTACCATTTTTGTCCGTCTCAAAACAATAGTCTCATTTTCATAAATAATCGTATCACTATAAAATTATCCTTACTTTTTTCATTATTATTACACAATTGTCACTACTTTTTACAATAATACACTCACAAGGGCAAAAAAGTTTTTTATCCGTACTTTTTACTCTCTATCAATATAATATCAATATTTCTTAAATCACGTGCCAAACACAACCCATACTATAGTTTTAGGACGGAGGGAGTATATAATACTGATATTTCAATATTCACATATAAAAAGTAAACTTGGATATATATATATATATATATATATAAAAGGTGGATGGAGTATAAATAACTTATTGAAAAAAATAATTATAATATTGCAAGATATAATCGGGTGTGTTTGTTTGGGGGTTTGGATTTTGAGTTGGGATTTAAATAGTAAAAATTTTGAATTTGAATAGTTGTATGATGTGATATAAATAGGTATTGATGTGATGTATTGAATGTAAAATTGATTTTTAGTATAATATAAAAAATGAAAAATAGAGGTTTGATTTAATGTTAGAAAATTTTGGATGAATAGTAGAATTTGGATGAAATCCTACAAACGAACACACCCGATAATCATGTCGATGTTAAATGCAATAATAAATTGAAGTATATTATGACACCTTAAAATTTATTATAGTAATTTTTTTGAATCATTGCATGATTTCTTATGTGCGTGCGGATAATATTTTGTCCCCTAAGATGTTTTTAAAAAATCACTTTTAGTGTGTGTTTAGTTTTGATTTAAAGTTGAGTGTTTGATTTTTAAGTTTTGATTTAAATTATATTTTGATGAAATATTTTGTAAGAAATATTATATATTTTTATTAAACATATTTGAGTTTCATAATAAGAAAATTATAATATGAAATTTGATTTAAAATTAATACAAACCAAACATATCTTTATTTACGGACGTAATAATGAAAATAATACTTTTTTGCTGTGGCGTATAACCCCGTTGTCAAATTGAAATCGATATTTAAAAAATATTCAAAACTTTGAGCCATTGTTATTAAAAATTTGATTCAATAGGTGTTTGTTTTTTGAGATAATTTGAATTGATATTTTTTTATATGAGATATGTAGAATTGTATAAAGAATATAAAAATAATAAATGCGTGTAACGTATTAATTTTTTTAGAAAAATATATCGAAAATAAAAAAACCAAAGTGAACAAACCCAATATATTTTATTACGAAACTTTAGTAATTTTTTAATAAATATATATATATATATATTATAAAACTTTATATCTAAAATATTATTCTAACTACACATAAAATCAAAACTCAAGTAAATACACACTCACATTTTAAAATAAAATAAATAATAATTACAGAACTATGTATGAAGTATATAATGCCACGTGGTAGCCTGATTGAACTTGTAAAATTTGGAATTGAAAATAAATAATTTAACGCTAGGCATGATGAATTATATAGAAAATATAAAAATAATGAATACATATTATGTATTAATATTTTTTAAAAAAATATATTTGTAATTCTTCTTTTTTTAAAAAAAATAAAATAAAATAAACACCTTTAGAATTGTTACGAATGACTCATAGGTTGAGCTAAGTCATAAGTTACTATAATATACTTCATCCATCTCTGATATTTTGTCATCGTTATTGTGAATACATAATTTTGAGAGTAACATAATTTGTAGATAATAAAAAAATATATTAATAAAATAATTACGGTACAATACAAGTATTTATAAAATAAAATAAAAATAATTAATTATTCTAATTAAGATTACAAAATTATAGATTAAAAATTTTAAATTATGATTAAAGTATATAAATTCTTTTTAAAGAAATATAACATGAGATGTGAAATGTACTGAAACTGCAACGTAGACACGAGGTGTGTGGAAATATTATAAATCAAATATTTGTTGTACATTACTCCATCGCTCCTATGTAATTTGGACGCATTAATGTAGATACAAGAATTTAGGTAAAATAGTAAATAATTGAAAAATATATTAGTAAAAAGTTATTATTTTATAATAAAAATAACTATAAATAGAAATTAAAATTTAAGAAAATTATAAATTATGAATTTAAATTTTGATTATAATGTATAATCATATTAAAAAAAAATATATTGTAATAAAAAAATAAGGATAAATTAAGTGAAATAGTAAAAGTATTATAATCGTATTAATGAAATACAATATTTAATTTTACATTAAAATATTATACTAATACACATTTATATTTTATCAAACAAATATTTTAATTTAACTTTTTTTTTATTCAAAAATAAATCCAAAACTCACAGACACACAATGCAAAGTCATTTTAATATTATTTAATTTCTCCACAAAATTATATTTCCTCCGTGCCAAATGTATAGTCTTATTGTGTTAAGCACGAGATTTAGAGAATATTAATATTATATTGGTAGTTGATAAAAAAGAAGAAATAAAGACTTTTTTAGCCTTGTGAGTATATTAGTATAAAAAGTAGTGACAATTGTGTAATAATAATAAAAAAATAGAGATAGTTTTACGGTGATATGATTATTTATGAAAACAAAACTATTGTTTTAAAACGATAAAAATAGTAAATAAGACTATTATATTAAAACGAAGAAATTATTATTTTTTTCTCAAAATATATTATATTAAAATATTATAACCCAAATTTCAAATAAAATTTTCAAATTCAAATCAAAATAAGCTCAGTTTAAGTAGTGAAACAAATGAAGTACTTTATTTTGGAACATCCGATAATAAAAAAAATATATATATATATAAATACATTTAAAAATACAAAATGAAAGATGTGGTAGACGACAAAGAGTGATTATGAAGTAGAATTAGGTACAACAGTTGTTATGCACTAAAAAGTAACTCTAACAAACAAATTGAGAAAAAGGACAAAATCACTTGTACTAGACTACCATTTCTTGTCTCCACTTTTTTCTATTTTTTTCCATATATATATATATATATTAAATTATTAGTTCAAACTTTATTCTCTTTCGTCTCAAATATTTTGCTTATGTTACCGTAAGTATAAGAATTTAGATAAAAATTAAAATAATTAAATAGTTTAAATAAAATTAAAAAATATATCAGTACAAATAATAATAAATTAAAATTAAAATAATTAAATATTTAAATAAAATTAAAAAAATTTAAAATTACGAAACTTAAAATATAATTTAAATGTATAATTATATTTTTAAAAAAATAAAAAATTATGTGAGATAAACATAAATAAAAAAAAAGTTTTGACATTTTACGTGGAATTGATGGAGTGGTATAGATAAGAGTGTGTTTGTTTTGGAGTTTAAATTTTTGATTGAAAATTAAATAATATTTTAACGTCATTAAAAAAAAAAAAAAAAAAACATTTAATGTAAACTGTACAAATATGCAACCTTAACTTAGGCTCTAGGAAATAGGGTGACTTTGCCTTTTTAGTTATGTAGCAGACTGCACTAATAATAATTTATTTTACTTTTTCTTTTTTAATAACAACATTAATAATAATAATAATAATAATAATAATAATAATAATACTTTTTTCATCTTAAATATCATGTCATATTTTTATTTTTGTTTGTTTCATATATTATGTCATTTTTTTTTTTTAAAAAAAAGTATTTTACCTTTTAATTATATTTTAAATTTTACTCTCTCGGTTTCAGAAGAAGCGTCTTGTTAGGAGTAGGCACGAGAATCAATGAATAATATTATTTAATTGAAAGTGAATATAAAATAAAATATAAAATACTAAAATATCCTTATTTTTTCAATAATTTTAAAAAGTAGGTTAGAGTAATAATTATAGATAGTTTGAAAAAGTATAAATAATTTTGGTATAAAATGGGGACCACGATTACTAAATAAGGAAACATGACAATTGGGACGGACGAAAATGGAAAAACAAGACAATTCTTTTGGGACGGAGGGAGTATAATTTATAATTTTTTATTAGACTAATTAGTTATCTTAGTTTTAATATACTCCATCCGTCCACCGCCTATCTATCCGTTTACTTTTTGCACGTAGATTTTAGTATATTAGTATTATATTGATACGTGGTATAATTGATATATATAAAGACTATTATACCCCTTAACATTTATGTTATTAAGTGGTGTTATTTGATGACATTTGTGTAATATTATATAAATTGTGGGGTAATTTTATATTTTAGTGAAGATATATTTACTAAAACAAAATGGATACATTTGCGATTGACAGACTAAAATGGCAAAATAAATAAATAGGCAATGGACGAAGGAAATATATTATTTGTCTTATATTATAATTAATTTTATTAATTATATATTTTTTTAATTCTCGTAGCTACAGTAATACTGATGTCATATCTATGACTTTTGGCGGAAAAAGTTTACAAAGAGGTCAAATTTTGCTAGTAGTATTTTAAAATGTGCATTAATATTTCTATACTTAAACAAAACATATATTTCTAGCTAGATTCCAAATTCAATTTTCAATCTAAATCCATTAATATATATATATATATAAATATATATTGTGTAACAAAATAGATTGAATTTAAATTTAAATTTACATAAAATATGAATGTTAGAAAAATAATAATAATAATTTATTACGGGAAAGTGCTCAAAATGACTTATTGAGGTTGACTTGACTTTATAGTTGTCAAGAACTTATTAGCTCAATAAAGAATTTATTAGGCCGATAATTTATTGGCGAGTGACATTAATATTTGTTGCTAAATTAATTAAATTATAGTTGTCACTTTGAAAAGTTAAAGATTTGGGTAAAATTAATTAGTCACAATCAAAATTGGCAACCACATCATTAATCAAATCAATGTATATGTCCATATCATTTATCAAATCAAACTATATTTACTTTAACCATACATAATCATCAAAATATCAAGATAGGAAAAGATATACTTCAGCTGCCATCCAAAATTTGCGCCCATCTGATCGAGCATGAATTTAAAAAATATATATATATATATATTTTTTTTTTATTAAAAAAAAATTAATTAATTTTTCTTTTTGATAATAACTAAAAGAGAAAAATAAACATAAATTTGAATAAAAAAGAAATTATAGAAAAAAGAGAAGAAAAAATAAAAATAAAAGTATAAAAATATTACCATCAAAGATTCATTCATGCCAAAAAAAAAAAAAAACCATCTTTTATGTATAATCAATATCATGTAAAAAATCACTCAATATATACTTTTTTTTTTTTCGATTCGTGATGAATATTATAAAAAATAATACGGGGTTAGTTTACTCAATTTTTTTAGTAATATAATTATCCACAAATATTACTCTATTCGTCTAATTAGAAAGTATATATATTTTTATTTTGGAACATTCAATTACAAAGTAAATATTTTATTGAATATCTAACTTTTTTTCCACAAATACCTTTATTTACATTAGGGATGTAAATAGATCATGCGGCCTATCAGGGCCTACAGTCTCGCCTCCATAAGGCCTGGTTTAGCCTGACTTGTTTACTAACAAGACTAAATTCAGATATATTTCTAAACCTTTTTAAATAAATGGAACAGATTTAGACTTTATGAAAAGCTTTTTTGGCCTATCAGGCCGGCCTGTTTATATATTTATATAGCATAATTTTTTTATCTAATATATAAATATTATGTTTTTAATTGTTTATAATTTATAAAAAATTATATTTGGTGACAATAAAAATTAAAAAATTTATTTATTTTAACTGGCTTATTATATATAATAAATAATTGTATATATTTTTCTACAAATATTTAAATTTGAAAAATATAAAAAAACATATATTATATAGGCTTTTAAATAGGCTCGTAGGCCGGATCAAGCTTTAAAGTAGGCCAGACTTAGGCCTTAAATATATATTTTAATAGGCCGATAAGCCAGGCTCAGGCTTTAGTTTTATAAAATAGGCTTGGCCTATTTAGCCAAAGTCTGGCCCGGCCTGGCCTATTTTCACCCTTAATTTACATTACACCAATACTTTTATACCAAAAACTAAAGACAAAAATGTCATTACACTACTTTTAATTACCCATTATAATTAAAATACTACTCCCTCCGTCGTTCAAATCTATACTCACTTTCCTTTTTCGATTGTCATCGAAAAATATTCTCATTTTCTTTTTAAGTAAAAAATTATTCTACTTTCATACTGTTTTTTATTATAAAAGAAAAAATTAATAATTATTATTCACTTTTATTAAAATCCGTGCCCGGTCAAATGAGCACGCATTTGTATGATAGAAGGAGTATTATTTTTTTAATACCGTGTCAAAAGTAATTGTTTACTTTATGTGTAGACGGGGGATTATAAAAATACAATATATATACACATAAACCATTATATATATATATATTCTATTTATCCATAAAAAATTTAATAATTCAAACAAAAAAAATTATGTATTTAAATGAGACATATAAATATGATAAAACGTATACTTTTGAATAAAATAGAAAAAATATTGCCTAAAATATGTACTCAAACTAAAGCTATCAATGTTAACAGGATCAATACAATGTTTCTTTTGATTTGATTTGAAAAATTATAATTTGAGTCTAAATAATATTTGATAAAATATTTTATGATAAAATATATATTTTTTATTTTCAATAAATACAAAATATAAATAGTAAAATTTGAAAAATAAAAAAAAAATAAATAAATAACACGAGGGTTTCACACATGCAATGTAGCCTAGCATCCTATAATACATTGTATTATGACCTTAATTTTGCAGTTGCTATTTGCTTTTTAATCAAGTGACCACTTTTGTCACAAAATTGGCTCATGACTTGCCATAAACAGATATTTATTTGACTTATATTATCATATATATATATATAATTTCAATAAAAATTTAAATCCCTTAAATGATAATGGTAGCCACAACCCCTATTATGTGTGGCTTTAATTTGGATCAAGTGGGGCTTTAAATTTAAATGATTCTAGAGTCTATGTATTTAATTTTTTATTTTTAAATAGAAAAGATACAACAAATAATTACAAAATAAAAAATAAAAGCAAAGACACCTTAGAATTTTAGCCACGTATTATATGCAGACCTAATTTCACTTTTTTTTTTTTTTTTTTTTTTTTTTTTAGAGTTCGCTTTAAATTATTAGATTATTTAATCATGAATTTAGTAACAACAATTTTCATGAATTAAGTTGCATAATCCAATAGAATAGTGACATCATTGATTAGATTACTTGTATACTGATTAATTAATTGTTTTATTTTACTAATTTAATAATATGAATTCAATTTTTTGTAATAATAATAATAATAATAATAATAGTATTGATCCATGCCTATTTTTTCAGTCTCACGTAGATAACAATTAAACATCACACATGTAGCACATTCTGTGAGATTGTGTTATGTAGTTTTTTTTTTTTTTTTTTTTTTTTATTACATTTATATTATGTTATTATAATTAAGACTTTTTTGCCCCTGTTATTTATGGAACTATTGTATTGAGACCAAGGGGGCGTTGCCTCAGATCACACATCCAACCCCTATACCACAGACAATTCCTTAAGTTTTAGTTTTGTGAAGTTTTGTGTGTTAGTTTTTAAAGTGTGTTTTGTTGTAAAATTTTGGATTTTAATAATTATATTGAATGTAATTATTAAATTTTGATAGAATAAAAAAGAATTGATGCTATGTACATACAATAAATAAATATATTTAAAATATTAATATAAATATAAATTATAAAAATAATGATATACTATTATTTTTTATTTTAAAATTTACTAAGGATAAAAAATGAATTTTTTTAAAAAAATTGATTTAAATTTAGTATTAAAATAATACTCCCCAGTTCCAACACAATAATCCTGTTTATCATTTTTTTTTACGTCCCAAAACAATAGTTTCATTTACATAAATAATCATATCACTATAAAATTAGCCTTATTTTTTCATTATTATTACACAATTGCTATTATTTTTTACACTAATAATACACTTACAAGAGCAAAAAAGTCATTCACTCATACTTTTTACCTAATCTCGTGTCAAATACAACCCAGACTATAGTTTTAAAACGGAGGGAGAATATAATAGAAGATTTTGTGCAAAAAAAAGTATATTTTTCTAAAAAAAGACGTAAAAATTTGAATTAGAAGATTATTGAAACAAACCCCAACAATGGGTGATACGATAAAATAATATCATAATATATTATTATCAAATAATTAAATATTATTACTTTTCTGCTTATTGGGCTCAAAATGGGTCTGCGGGCCGACCCGATCATGGAATTAATATAAAAAAGTAAATAAAAATAAAAATCCACCACGGTACTGAGTTTGTGGCCGTTTGTGGTTATGGTTTCCGCGGCGTTCCTCCACGCCGCCGTGCCCGTTCTTCGCCGCCGGTCGGCTGCTCTCGACTCGAGCTTCTGCAATCTGCGGCGGTTCACATCGGAAAGTTTGTTTGCTTCATCTTCCAGAAGGTGCAAACGTTTTGTGCGGCCAATTTTCGCGCAGGCTAGGCGAGGCTTTTCTTCCGTGGCTAGGGGGGAAGCAGTGGCGTCTCGTAAGTGCATAATTATGTTAATAGATGATGAAATTAATTTCATTTTCGAGTTTTTATTTTATGATTGCCGCTGAGAACATTGGTGAAATTAGGTCAATTGTGTGTGCGATTGATGGCTTGTTTTTGCCTCTTTTATGGTTTCTGTAGCGGCTGATTTGCGATTTGAAAGTCCGCTTAAGATTGTGTTGTATCCGGACCCAGTTTTGCGAGCCAAGAACAAGAAAGTTAATACGTTCGATGAGAGCTTGAAAAAACTTGCAGATGAGATGTTCGATGTAATGTACAGGTAACATTCTATACACTTTTGTCATTAAAAATTTCGTAAGCTCAATGCATTTGTATTGCTGTCAGATTCTGTGAAGTTTTTGATCATTTGGTACCAAGAATAGATTAATGATTAAGCTAAACAAGTGAATTTTTTGGTCAAATAATTGAGGTTGTTACATTTCTAAGAATTTCAAAGTTGTATAGTGTTAATAATGAAATCAGAGTCTATAGATTTAGATATACTCAACTGAAATCTAATAGATATAACGAAATAAGAACGAATTAATCTAAAAAAATATTAAAAAAATCTCTTAGCATTATCACCTTCAAACTCAAACCAACTTTTGCCAAGAGAAATTGAATCTTTCAAGTCGAAAATTGGGCTCTCTACGGAGTTAGCATCGGAACAGATTCAGAACAGATGATACAAAGACCTAGACTTAATATAATACAACAAAATGAAATAAAAGCAAGTGCACAGAAGCTGATTCATGCACCAGACTTTCTGGGAGTTTATTGCCACTTTTTGCTGTTTCTCTATCCCATTATTAATGGGAGATTCTGGGCAATGACAAGAATGTGAAAATACATGTTGTTCTTCCTTATTCGCAGAACTGATGGAATTGGACTATCGGCACCACAAGTTGGGGTTACTATTCAGCTTATGGTGTTTAATGCAGCCGGTGAAATTGGTGAAGGAGAGGAGGTTGTTCTTGTAAATCCACGCATTAACAGATATTCGAAAAAGATCGTGCCTTATAATGAGGGCTGTTTATCCTTCCCCGGCATCTATGCTGATGTAGAGGTACACCTTATCTGTTGATTGTGGAATGATTAGGGTGCCGATTAGGGATAATCATGAAAAATCGACTGGCAACATATGGTTTCAATTAACCGAGCATGTGTAAATTGAGTTAATTGAAATCATGTCCCATGAGTTCATATTTTGCATTAGTCTATAATTCAGCATGCTAACTGCAACCCTGGTGATTGAATTCATTTTGACAATCGTTGTTCCTAAGTACACCAAAATTGTTATTTCCGAAGAACTTTTAGTTAGCGATGGATGATAATGTCGACGTGAAATCTCTTATATTCACAGTTTGTGTTATGGTGCAGAGGCCGGATTCATTGAAGGTTGATGCACAGGATATTACCGGTGCCAAATTTGAAATGAGTTTGTCTGGACTTTCTGCGCGGGTCTTTCAGCATGAATACGATCATCTCAAGGTTCTTATTTGTTAACTTTTGACCATTCAAAATGATAATCCGAAATTTTCGATCACATTGAATCTGGAAAATATCGATTCAAGTGCCAGTTCTTCTAACTACCAAACTTAATCTCAGGGAGTCCTCTTTTTTGATCGAATGAGCGATGAAGTTCTTGACAGCATTCGCGAGGAATTGCAGGCAAGCGACATAAATGCATCATCCCTATCAATATTTCTCGTTTTTACGGGAATTAGATATGTTCATTGCTATAATTCGCGTCGATCTTTCTTGGCAGGTGTTAGAAAAGAAATACGAGGAAAATACAAGATTGACAAGCCCCGAAAAGATCGATGTGCAACGTCCGCGAGGTAGAAGAAAGAAAGCTGTTGGTTTTGGAAAATCATGATCCTTTATCCCTTCGTACAAACAGTTTTTGCCATTCAATTTTGTTGTTGTATTATGTGTTGTTGATCAAAATTTCCATGGATTGCTTCAATCATCAAGATATAGGTTAAGATTAAGCATCGAATTTCTCATTTAGTTTTCATGTTTGAATAAGGTTGTTTAGGGCAGAGTTGACAAAAATAGACATGGTCAGAAAAATCGATCCAAATTCGGCATGAAAAGTGTTTGGGCTTAAAAAATAGGTTTGAAAAATTTGGGCCTAGCTTGGCACGAGTATGACCTGGGCTGTGTTTGGACTCATGGGCTAAATGAGCCGTCCCGGTATGGTCCCAGTATGGTTTGAGGGTTCGAGCTCTAATCAGACTTGTACACAAGTTGAAATTTTGTTTAAATTCAATCGGAATTTTATTGGATTTTTTTCAATTTTAAAAATATGCAGATTTTGAAAATCCAATACTTAGAAATTTCTTATTAATATATATATATATATATATTTTTCGAAAGATTCGAAGAACATGCATATGCTATTAAAATTCATGTACTGTTAAATACGATAAAATTTTCGAAACGGTTTTTGAATAAGTCAGATTTCTTTAAAAAAAAAAAAAAAAAAAAATCCAAATTGAATTCAAAAGAAGAAAAAAAAAAATCAATAAAATTTTAATTGCATATAACCGTTAAAAAAAGGCAAACAGAAGCATAATATTGGTGGGCCTAAGCCCAAAAGCTGGGGGACAAATTTCTTATGATCTCCCCTACAGATTCATATAAACTAAGTGGAAATTTTTCTCTCAGGAAAAGCCCTAATAATTTGTAGACAAATTCTCTGCGGTTAGCTTCGGAGTGGAATCGCAACTCGGTAGTCAGTAATTACTAGCCGGCGGACGATGGCGTCGGCTCCGCTCTCCGATCTCAGCGACGACATCGTTCGTCGTATGTCGGTCGGGGCGATTTTCTCTGACTTCGTAAGAACTTTGCTTCTTGATGTTCTTCTTTTTTTTGTTTTAATTTTCAATTCTGCTCGTATTTAATGGAATTGGTTCTAATTTAAGCTTTTTAGTTCGTTTTAAAATTAGTTGTGATAGGCGGGGGTTTGGCGACTACATGAATTGTTTAAGATGCAATACTATTTGACTTTCAAGCATTGGCTTATAACTCTAAAGCTTCTTTTCTCAATTTCAGGGCGGAAAAGTAAACTCAATTGATTTTCATAGGAAGGCCGATTTGTTGGTAACGGCAAGTGATGATGATTCCATCAGATTCTATGATATTGCAAGTGCTAAGTAAGATCTTTTTATAATTGAGTGTTGGGTTTATCTGGCATTTGTGTTTTTTTGTCTTCTTTTTCGATTGGAGGTTGTGTATACACACACACATATATATATATATATATTCTCGTATTCAGATTGGTGAAGACGACTTATCACAAGAAATATGGAGCTGACAGAGTGTGTTTCACTCACCATCCAAGCTGTGTTATTTCCTCGTCGAAACGCAATTTTGAGTCTGGCGGAGGTGACTGCTAGTGCCTATATCTTAATGGTCCACATAATGAACATTTTCTCACGTAAATCTTTTACTTCATCGCTAGAATCTCTGAGGTACCTGTCTATGTACGACAATAGGTGCATTCGATACTTTAAAGGCCACACTGAGAGGTATTTGGTATAATTCTATAAGAGCTAATAGGGTGTATTTTGTTTGGAATCTCAAATGATGTTTGAGTTTGGGGGGATTCTAGTTTTTTATTAAGTTAATGAGACGGTTTTGGGATACATAAAATGGGAAGCCAAACAAACACACCCTTAGTATGTTTTTTCTTGAGAATTTAATGCTCGAGAAAGTAAACTGGAGTCATTCTTTTTTTTATCTAGTCTTTCTTGATTTATTTGCAGGGTAATATCCTTGTGCATGTCTCCAGTAAACGACGGATTCATGTCTGGTTCAGTAGATCATACTGTTCGAATATGGGATCTTCGTGTGAATGCCTGTCAGGTTGGTTCATATCCTGAGTATTTATGATAAATTTGACTGGTGTATCTTTTATAGATGTTGTCCAAAGTTGAGTGTCCTAAGGTTCGTAATACTTTGGTACTCTCGTTGGCGGTTGGCATTATTTAATGATGAAAAATTACATCAATATGAATTTCTTTCTGAAATAGAACATCAAATTATGTTATTTCAACTTTGCAGTTCTGAAGGTGCACCTCATACAGAGGCACCATTGGAATTGTAATATCATTTATTTGTATTTGTTATGCTTGATTAGGATTAATCGAGGCATATTTTTTTACCAAACAATAAGCAATGGAAAATTTTATTTTTTCTTTCTTTTCAAATGATTCCGACTTATAGTTGCTGCCTCCACTGTTTTTCGTACTTCTTTTTGCATCTCTCACTTCCTTCTTCTGCCATGTAAGGCAGCCTGCATCCGCAGTTTTGACTTTTTGTATAAACTATTTTTGCTTTATAGTTTATATTTTATGTATATTGAAGTTTGATCTTGTTCAATATTATACTTGTGTAGTTATGTTTGTCTAGTACAGAGATTGGCAGCCACCATTTTTGTTTTCCTTTCTCTCTGATTTTTTTACCTATTAGCATGTTAAAAGTTATTTTTATTTTTCTTTATTAGATGCTTGAGTGATTTTTTTTGTTTATTGGAAGTATGATGTTGATTGTATACACATGTGTATTAGTATACTTTAGGGTGTGTTTGTTTGGGGGTTTGGATTTTGGATTGTGATTTGAATAGTAAAAATTTTGAATTTGAATAGTTGTATGATGCGATATAAATAGGTGTTGATATGATGTTTTGAATGTAAAACTGATTTTTAGTATAATATAAAAAATGAAAAATAGGTGTTTGATTCGATGTTTTTGGGGGGGGAAATTTTGGATGAATAGTAGGATTTTGACAAAATCCTACAAACGAACACACCCTAAAAATATATCAACAGTTACGCCGAAACGCCGTTAGCTACTATGCCAAAGAACATATCAAATCTGATGTGTGCTCACTGTTGTAGCTTTCAGGGTATTCTGCATTTGCGGGGTAAACCGACTGTTGCTTACGATCAACAAGGACTCGTTTTTGCTGTGGCATTGGAAGGAGGTGCCATCAAATTGTTCGACTCCAGATCTTACGATAAGGTATTACACTACGGGGGTGTAGACTTTGAGAAAGTTTGTGAATCAATAAGGTATTCTTCCTCAATAATTAACATTTTTGCTTTTAGGGCCCTTTCGATACTTTCCTAGTTGGTGGGGATACAGCTGAAGTGTCTGATATCAAGTTCACTAATGACGGTAAATCGATGCTTTTGACAACGGCCAAAAACCACGTATATGTGCTCGATGCTTATAATGGAGACAAGGTGAGTGTTAGTATTAGTATTAGAACAGTGCCATTGGCATTGATTGCAACATCATCTTGAAGGGTTTGAGTTCTCTCCCAATTTGCAGAAATGTGGATTTCATTTGGATTCCTCCCAAAATGCCACCATTGAAGCAACCTTCACACCTGACGGCCAATACGTGCTCTCTGGTACATTTTCTTTTATCAAAGTAAAAAACTTCAAATTACTGATTGATAAGTAGAAAGATACAAGTTTCATGTGATTAATTTTGCTACATTAAAGTTAAAAATACCATCAGGGATGAATCCAAAGTCTGCATCATACACCCGTCATATAAAATAGTATTTGATGTAATTGTATTTAATGTGATAATTAATTAAAAATCCAATGATGTCAAAAAATTCCACAAAATAGAGAGTAATTTGGCTAAATGTAATGAATAAGAATGATAAATGTGTTGAAAATTGTTGCAGGTTCTGGAGATGGAAACATACATGCTTGGAACATCAGTAGCATGCCTCCAAAAAGGGTAACACCCCAGCCCAGAAACACCCCCACCCCATCCCACCCCAACCCCCCTAGCATCATCCCAATATGCCTCTTATGATGATGACAAAATTGTTTGGTTGTACAGGTGAGGTCATTTGATAGCTGCATAGGTGTGCCATCTTGCCTGAAATGGGCTCCCCGGAGGGCCATGTTTGCTGCTGCCTCTTCAATCCTAACCTTATGGATACCCAACCCCAACCCCGACGACCCCTCTCCCCAAACCTAACAAAACACATTGATGATGATAAATCGATCCATGAAGTTTAGTTATGATGATGAATTATTGCAGACTTGTGTTTCTTTAGTTTATTACATGTTCTTATGAAAAATTCCAGGCAACAAATGGAAATCCCAATTTCTTAATGAAAAGAAAATACACTCAGCAGGCAGGCAGAAGCAGCAGCAGCAGAGATTATTACAATTTCATTAATTATTCCATTCATTCATAATTCATCTATGTCTCTTGTCTGTCTTCAAAATTCAGGTTCTGCCGCCGCCGGCGCCTTCCTCCGGCCCTGCCTTAGCCTTGATGGTCTCGCCGGCCTGCTTGGTCTTCTCTCCGACGGTCCACGCCGTCTCCTGCATCCTCCTCTTGGCATAGTCCAGAGGCTGCCGTCCGGTGACCTGCCGGAACGAATTCAGGACCCAAGACAGCGACGACAGCCCCGTCAGCCCGAAGGCGCCGGAAGTCAGGATTCCGGTGACCGCCCCCGCCAGGAGAATCGCCGCCGGCACCAACACAGGGCTGAATATCACGAAGAGCGGCGTCGCCACCGCCAGCCCGATCAGAGTCCCGACGAGTATGATTCCGGCGAGGCCGAGCAGGGAGGCGCCGACAGGGAGCAGCGTGACGACGGCGAGAATTTGGGCGGCGGTCGGGCCTCTCTGCGGCAGCAGCGACGACTTGTCGTAGCGTGATTGGCTGTGGACTTGCAGCTGGTGCGGCTGAGGACGATCGCGAGTTTCCGCCATGGATGGATGGAAGGTTGGTGTGAAATTAATAAATTAATTTTATTATTATTATTTTTATAATTTATAAATTAAATTGAATGGTAGTAGTGTTATATAATTAGTGAGTTTGGGCGGAGGTGGAGAGGTGTAGGTGAGGGTGCATTAAAAGGAGTTGGCGGGTGCGCCACGTGGCAAAGTGCATGCGTGAGGGGCTTCGCATGTCTTCCAAGTTGCAGTCTCCAGCTCAGCTGCTGCCACACCACCCGTCTCCTATTGGGCCGATTATCGGCTTCTCGCGGCCCAACCCACTTACACCATAAAATTTTGGTCCAATAATAATAATAAAAATAAGATAAAAAAACAAAAAAAATTACCATCTAATTTAAAGTATCAATTTTTACTATTTTTATCTCATTCTACTGAGTATCTATTTTAGTAAAAATTATACTACTTTCCTCTTTGAATAATATACAATTACTAAATAAGGAAATAATATCCTGGGACGGACAAAAATGAAAAATAATATCATTTTTTGAGACGGAGGAGTAATATATTAATATTAAAATATTTTTAAATTTTACTTATTATTTTATACATAAATCAAAGAAAAAAAATATTATAACTTTATATGCATTTTCACTAATCAATAAAATATGATTATTTATTAATCTACTACAAATATTTAAAGGTCCCTATGGATTGGGACGGACGAAGTATTACATACCTTTATTATTTATATACTCTTTCGTCATCCAACTGTGTGTTTATTTGTTGGAAATAAATTTAGATGATAAAAAAAAAAATTGAGAATAAATTTGGATGACAGATGAAATATTTAGCTACACAATTTTCTATATTTCACGTAAAAAAAACTTTTTAAACTATTCTTTCCGTTCCTTAATAATCTATATATTTTCTATTTTGGTCTATCCCGTAATAAAGTATCAATTTCCTTTTTTTAGTAATTGTCTATTTACTAACATTAAAAATACCCTTCCAATTTCCAATTTACCATGTATTATATAAATGTTATTACTTTTATATCTTACAATACTGATATGGTTAATTTAGTTTTTTTATTTTTATTTTTATTTTTTTAATATAATACTAATATTTTTAAAATTTCGTAAAAAAAAACAAATGGATATATAGATATGGAACAAAAAGAGTATTTTACAAAATAAATTCACTTGTGAGGTTGATGCAATTTTTAAGTTAGAGAATGTTATATACTTTTTCAAACTATGATTATAAATAATTGTCTAATAATAATAATAATAATAATAATAATAATAATAATAAATAGGAATTTACCTTTTTTTTTTTTTTTTGTTGGCAGTGTAGAACTATAATGGTTACAATTCCAAAACTAATATTCTTAATTATAATATATCGTGAATGTAATTATTTTATTATCAATTAAAAATTGCACTTATTACATATATGGGTTTATTACCTCATTTTTAAACAAGCAAATTCAGCAAATGTGGATATGTACACGCATAATGCTTCTTAATTGCGTAAAAAAAAAATATGAAAAATTGTATAGATAAAAAAAAAAAATTACAAATATTTTCAAACGCCTCAAAGTAAAATTAATAATAAATATATTATTACCTATATATATATATTACTCCCTCCGTCCCAAATAAGGTGCAATATTTATTTTTGACACGAATTTTTAGGTGAATAGTATTAAGTAGGATAATTTAGAAATTAGGTGATGTAATGGAGAGAGAAATATATATTTTATTTTTTTATTTAAATAATATAAAGAGATAAAGTACGAAGTATAGATTAAATATAATTAATTATTTTATATTCTATAAATATTGCAGGGTATTATGGAGAGTAATTAACAAGTGGTGGGTGTAAAAAAAAAAAAGTTAAATGTAAAATAGATTGGAGAGACAGGAGTGGCATAGCACAGGTACCACCAGTACAGACAATATATAAATAAATAAACAAGCGAACAGTGTATGTGGGAATACTAGTATTAATAAATGACATGAATTTTTAATTTATATTTTTACAAGTTTAACTCAATACGATTTCGATTTTTTTTTTTCGAAACATTTTATCAATAAAATATTTATAAATTATATTTTTTTCATTTTAATTAAAATAAATTATTTGAATTTTTTAATAGATTAAAAAATAATAATATTTTATTAATTAAAAAATGTATAATAATTTTAACACTTTTATTCTTTATAGTATGTTAATTTATTATATAAATAATGGTATATTTATAATTTATATATAAAAAAATGGTGTTTTTAAGTGAGATTGAAGAAAAAATAATATTTTCTCTGTCCCTAATAATTTATTCATTTTTTTTTATTTTGGTCCGTCTCATAACAAAGTATTCATTTTTTTTTAGTAATTGTATTATTTACCTAATATTACAAATATCATTCCAATTTACAATATATTACACAAATATCGTTACTTCTATATCATATAATACTAATAGGATTAATTTAGTTTTTTTACCTTTATTTTTTCTTTATTCTAATATAATATTAATATTTTTAAAATTTTGTGTAAAAAGCAAATTGATATATAGATATAAGATTGAGGGAGTAATAAAACTAAAATCAGCAAAAAAAATTGTGATTGTGACGAAATATTGTGGCATATTTGTGTATGTATATAATATATATATATATATATACAGAGAGTGTAGTGTAGAATAGGATAGAATAGGGGCATGAAATCACATCAATCAATCAGTTATGGACTTTGAAGTTGGGCTGTAGTGAATTGGCATCGGTTTAATTTAATTGAATTATGATTGACTGACAAGACTCTTTGTTATATACTCATATAATATATTTAAATAAAATTAAATAAAGGGAATCGGTTGTTATCAAGTTTATTGAAATGAATAAAAAATAAAAATAAAAATAAAAATGAAAATAACAGCCTAAGATTTCAAACAAATTTTGAATACATTGATATAAAAGAAAAATGCTCTTTAGGTGTGAAATTTATACACTTATTTATTATAAATGGTACTATTATTTTACACGTGATAGTGTACGAGTGTAGTATTAATAATTAAATAAAATTAGGGAATTGATCTCTGTGGAATTGCAATATTGCATGGACCATCTTTGAGTCTTGACTAAGTGATGTGTGTACATGCCCTACATGCATCTACACCAATTTATTTTATTTTATTTTATTTTATTATTATATATATATATATGTGAGTTCCTAAATTCCAATGGGTCCTTGAATCAATTTGTCTTTTTCCTTTTAGATTTTTGCATAAATTAATTTATTGTCATTTCTATAGCTAGGGGCAAGCCACTTTATTTATTTATGTAAATATATATATATATATATTGTGGGGGTCCTTCAATATTGCATTACATGCTCGATCATATCATGATAGTACCACTTTTTTTCAATTATTAATTTATTGCAATTTTCAATATAAATCATTCATATATACATACATACATATATATATATTTCTTCCCTAACTATTCCATCACAATTGGTCTTTATTTTTTTTATACTTTTCCTTTTTTTTTTTTTTTCCATGCATGGCCTGGCTGTATATATATATGTGTGTGTGTGTAAGTGTTTATTTAGAGATTTTTAATAATTGGTGTACATATGTTTTATTTAATTTCTTCATTTCAGTCAGAAATATATCTAATTATATTATTTTCAATCACTACTTGAAATGTAAGAATAATCTCAAGTATTGCTTCAAAAATTAATTCAATTTTAATGTTCACTCTTTTGGTGATGCATCATTTATATACCATTATTGCACATATATATATATATATATAATTCACAATCTTTTATAAAAAATATATTATTTATTATTACAAAACATCAAATCTAACTTTTATTTAAACATAAAATGCAAATAAGGAAGGCCATATAGTTAGTTATTTTCATAATAAATTAGATTAAATGGGTAGGGACAATTAATTTCAAAATATATTTTCATCTATAGTTGTGAAAAATATATATATATATATATAGTTTATAATTAAAAACCTTAAAAAGATTGGAAGGGATTTGGTATATTTAATCTAATTAAATTTAATTTGTTGAGATAATTGGAAGTTCTGTAGGTTCACATGAAAGAAAAATCTTCTTTGGATCTTTATACTGTACCAGACAAGGACAATATATAATTTTATGAATATACACAACTAATTAACCTACACTTGTAGTAATTCTAATTTAATTTAATTCTTCCTAAATGTAATTTTCTTTCCCCCATTTTAATATCATCAAGAAATTAATGTCATGTTGTAATGAAAATACTTTAAAAAAATAAATAAATAAATAAATAAATCTATATATTTATATAATTTATCTCTGAGTACTTGATCCCTTTTGAAGCCTGATCGATTGCACTAATTAGATGAAAGGATAATAAATAAATTATTGCATATGTTTGGCTATTTGTTTAATTATGTCAATAATTTTGAACCCCATCTTCTAATATCATTAGTATTATATAATTTTGAATCTCCTTTCATTTATTTTTATAAATCCAAACAAACAGTTCTTGTGGATATATATTCATGTTTGCAAACCAAAATGAGCACTTAATATATATATATATATATTAATTATTTTCTAACAATTTCACATTATTATATATTGTTTATTTTATTTTAGGCTCCATTTAAATAGAGATTTTTAAGTTTCGAAAGTTTAAATATTTAAATAATTGTACAATATTATATATCAATCCAATAAACAACACACTATCTATCTAAACACAAATACATAAACTAATAACACATGATGCAATCCACACAACACATAATATAGCAATAATAATAAACACAAGGTGATTTATGTTAACAAAATAAATGCAATACATGTTACAATTTATTTTATTTGAAAATATGTGTTTAACCAACCACATAGAAGAACACACCAATGTAAAACATATCCTAAGGAAACCAACTAACAATTAGCCAAGGCAATTAAAAAGCGCAGGACTAAAAACACGACTACAGTATAAACCACAAAGGATCCCTAAACACGCTTTTTTATCATATACCAAAACAAGAAACACATTCCATACAGAAACATCCCCAATTACATACACACACACATATACATATATATATATATATAGAGAGAGAGAGAGAGAGGTTTTATTTATATATATATAGTGAGCTAAGTGCTGCTGCTTCCCTGATCGCCATGGCTGCCTCCTCCATGATTCCATGAATAATGATTATTACTACTGTAACAAAACCCTGACGAATAATTTGGATCATAATCTCGAACCCTATCTTGATTATTATTATTATTATGATTATTTTGGATAATGAAATTATTGTAAGAAGCTGTATGATCGTTGGTGTATCTCATGAGATCGGCGTTGGTGGCGTCGAGCTCCTTCTGCAACTGAATGACCTGTCGCTGCAGGACGGAGATGGCGCCGACACAGCCGTAGACGGGGTCTTTCAGGCGGGCCTCAGCCTCGTACGCCAGCGAATTGACGGCGTCCTCGCGCTGCTGGGGATGGATTTCGTTTAGCAGCTTGCTAACGTTGCTGGCCCCGAAGATTTTGTGGACATTCGAGAATTTCGTCGGCTCCTCCGGCGGGAAGTACGGCGCGAAGATGCAGCCGGAGAGACATTTCCGGCGGAGGAATTTGCAGGCTGCGCAGGGAGGGTTTGAGTAGCTGCTGCTGCTGTTGCTGCTGTTTGATGATGCCATTGATGATTCGATTTTTTATTTTCGATTGAGCTTGAATTCGTCTCTGTATGTTAATTAATCGATGAATTAGAAGTTGTAAGATTATTGATTTGGAGATTTGAGGATTTGGGATTGTATTAATTGACCTAATTTGATCGATAAAGATTGTAGCTTTTGGTGAAAAAGAAAAGCAGTTTTGATTTGATTTGATTTGATTTCACAAGAACTAGAAATTAAATTCCATTCGAAATTAAACCCCAAGACTATGCTTTTCATTACCTAATTACTTTTCTAGGTTTTAATTTTTGTTTCAAGCTTTGATTTGTAAATATTGTGCTGAAAACCTAAACTTTATTGCAACCTATATATATATATATATATATATGCCAAAAAAAAAAAACAAAAAACAAAATTTTGATTTGATTTGATTTCACAATAACTAGAAATTCGATTCGATTCAAAATTGTAAACCCCAAAACTGTGTATATATTACCTAATTACTTTTCTAGATTTTGATTTTTGCTTCAAGTTTTGATTTGTAAAAACTGTCCTAAAAATCTAAACTTTGTTACAACCTATATATATGCAAATCGGAAGATACAGATCTATAAACACATATATATATATATATGTATGTATGTATAGATGATGATTAATACCTTGTTTTAGTTTGGATCTTACAAGGGTTTTCTTTCTTCTTCTTCTTCAGGACAGATCTTCCAAGAATTCTCTCTAATTTCTGATGATCTGTTAATTACAATCTTGATATATGATTCTTCTATGTAAGATCCAAGTGACTATGCAACAAAGTATCAAGAACTTTGGGGAAAAAAAAAAAAAAAATCAAAATTTTAGTAATTTAATAAATGAAAAAGAGAATAGATGTGTTAGAAGAAAACCCTAGAAGCAAGAGCAGAGAGTGGCTGCAATATCAATATATAGATATATATATATATATATATATTGGAGTTATTAAATAATAAAAATTGCAAAATGGAGTGAATGATGAATGTAAAGCAAAAGTCCCCTTCTTCCCATATATTATTGATAATATATATATAAGTGAAAAAAGGTGTAGATGAACAATCTTGACTGTGACAGACAACAAATATATATGAAAATAGAAACCCCAAAAAAGCAAAAACTATAAATTCATGCACACTATCAAAATCTTGTTAACCCCATTTTTAATTTATTTTATTTTATTTTTATTTTTTTTTTTTTAAAAAAAAGAATGTGTGTGTGTGTGTCTGTGATGTTTTTATGAATTTCTAGGTGGAATGATAGTCTATTTGAATTGAACTTCAATTCTTGATGCAAATTTCTTTGATTTGTTGTTTTTTCAGCTTTTACATATAATAATTAATTTATTGAATAGAATTTGGTGATTGAAATTCAGTAGCTTTTTGAATATTGAAGAAACTTGTTTGAGGTACAAGAAAGTCAGAGGTGTAGTATAGACTATGGAGAGGTGAAAAGATGCTACTGCCTAACCTTTGACATACATTATAATAATTTCATATATATATATATTGATTAATGAATAACAAAATTTAAAATTTAGCATAGAGTAAATGTAAAAACTAAACATATGTACCATAAAGTTGTGTATTTATGTGATATATAAAACAAGAAATTTGTATTTTAATACTTTTTAAGTAAAACAATACAATGTTTTATTAATATTATAAGGTGACAATTACTAAATAAAAAAATATCTTTGTTTTCAACTTTTTAAATGATAATGTGCTTATATCATTTACCTAGATAGTGTAAACAGTAAACTACATAAGCACATATATATATATATATATATAGGGGTGGATAATTATATATATTAAAATTATTTTAATTTTTCTTCATTTGTTCAAAATTATAAATTCAAAATTATTGTATTTCTAGAGTTTTTAATAAACCAAATCGATTAAGCTTTTCATATTTGAATTTGGCTTAATAGGGATTCGAGTTCAACTCATGTTCGATTGTTAAAATACACAGTTCAAGTTTTTGTTTAAACTCAGCAAATTTGTTGTTTGTATTCAGCTCGACATAATTCGTTAAAGTGATTTTTTTATTTCATTTTATTTATATTCATATTTAAATTCAATTAGTAATTATAATAAATATTATATGAAAGTTAGAATTATATAAGTATTAGTATGAAAATATATATTAAATATACAATTATTCATTTGTTTTTTTAACAAACACTATCAAATGTTTCGAAACAAGTTTGAACTCATACATAAACATAATGAAGTAAAATTTATGTTCATATTTACCTTAATGAATGAGTTATTAACGAGTTAAAACAAGTCGAACGAAATTGAGCTTGTAAATAACTTACTCCCTCCGTCCCATTGAAAGGTTACCATTTTTCATTTTCGTTCGTCCCAAAACAAGGTTATCATTTTCTAATTTAATAATTGTACTGCCTACTAACATAATAAATATTCTTCCAACTTACACTATATTATACAAATATTATTACTTTTATATTACACAATACTGATTGAGATATTTTTGTTTTTTTTTTTCCACTATAACTCATTATAATACTAATATTAAAAAATCTACGTGCAAAAAGTAAACGATAATTTTGCACCGGGACAGAATGAGTATTTATTTTACAATTATATATATACTCCGTATTATGTATATGTATGTTGTTGAAATGAATGCAGATTGAGTAATAATAATATTCGTTTGGCAGGGCAGGGCAGGGTTTGTCAGTGATTATATTATTGATGAAATGAAATAAAATGTCCACCTGAACATCCCTTCAAATTAATTTTAATTATTTAATTAATTAAATGATCAATAATTTAAATAATAATAATAATAATAAGATGGTTGTGCTGGGTGGGTGGTGTTGCTGTGTGGCTACGACCAAAATTGCTTTTCACTGTTACACTTTGTACTATTCAATAATCCCTCTGTTGACTGTCCGTTAGTCACCAATTATATATATATATATATATATATACTTTATACATACTATTTTCAATTCCATGCGTATCAACCTTGTTAAATTTAATTTAATTATTTACCTAAAATATAATTTGATTATTATTTCGTAATAAGATAGCTATTATCACTAAATAATAAAGTAATTTAACAAACTTTTTATTACTGAATAATTATATCAATAAACCATCAAATAATATATATATATAATATTTTAATGTTTATTAGGGGTTTGTTTGATTGTAGTTTAAAATAAATTGTTTATTTGAATTTTGTATAAATACTATTTTAATTTAATATTTTATAAAAAAAAAAATAGTAATATTTTTTTATTAAAACTTACACAGAATGAATAATGTTAACTTCAATTTGAGATAATAATAAATAAATAGAAAACCTAAATATAATACTCCATCCGTCCCATAACAAAGTATTCATTTTTTTTATTTTAGTTCATCCCACAACAAAATATCAATTTCCTTTTTTTAGTATCTGTATTATCTACCTAACATTACAAATACCCTTACAACTTACAATATATTACACAAATGTTATTACCTTTATATCACACGTACTAGTAAAATTATTTTAGTCATTTCTATTTTATTTCTACTATATCCTAATATAATACTAATATTTCTAAAATTACGTGCAAAAAACAAATGGATATTTACTTTTGGAACGGAGGAAGTAGTACATTAATTTAATATGGATGTTTTTTTTCTTTCGAAAGTTTGATTTCAATTTTTTACTATATAATCATCGTATAATTTTAAATAAAAATATATTATTTTTTAGTAAAATAGTATTATAAAATTTTAAATATGTAATGTATGTTTTGTAAAATAAAATAAATATTTAATATCATTAAATTTTCAAAAAATATGTATTAGAGCTATAATATTTTAAATAAATATATATATATATATATAGAGAGAGAGAGAGAGAGAGACATACAGTCAAGCAAATCAATATCAATAGATGTCAATTCCATGAGTGATGCGACCGCCAACAAAACAGACATAACTCCATCAGCTAAAAAACACACACACACATATATATATATATAATATTTTTATATATAAGCAGTAATTTTATTTTTATTCTTTTCGTCTCAATTGATTTATATTAATTTTATTTTAAGGTATTCCAAAGATTTATTATTATTATTATTATTATTATTATTATTATTATTTACTTCTTTATATATATATATATATATGAAATGGAAATGGCCATCCCTTTCACTTTACTGCTTGGTTTATTTTTTCGTCGCCGACATATCGACAAGTTGCATCTAATGAGTATTCTGTCAGAATAACCTCTAATTTTTATATATATTCAATTTACATATAAAATAAAAAGTTTAATACTCCTTCCCTCGTTCAAAATAATAATAATAATTAATTTAATTTAATTTAATTTAGACACAATTTTAATGTAATATATATGTATTTCTTGTTGTTATAGTAAAAAAAAAATGATAAAAATGATCAAATGTGATATGTTTTTTTTTTTTATTAAAAATCAATTGACTTAGTTTTTATGACAGATAAAAATTAAAAAAAAAATTACATTATTATTATTATTATTATTGAAACAGAATGGTCTCCACACAAATAATAAAATTGTAGTATCATTTTATTTTATTTGAATTTACAAACATATCAGTATATTATTTTACAATCCATGGATTAATCATCACCAAATATATTCTTATACAATTAATTTATAACAATAATAATAGTGCAAAATTACTTATAATTTATTTGTGGTTTGAAATTTTGCACCAAACTCCTTATTGTTTAAAGATTGTACGAGGCTCCATGGCCTTTTAAAAACTATTGCATAAAATCCTCTAAAAATTATATAAAATTCCTTCGTATTTTTTAAAATATTGAACATAATTTTCTAAAAATTAAAAATTATGCAATATTTTAAAAATATAAAAGAGACTCGTCATAAGAAAATGGTGCATGCTTTCCAAATCAAGGTTATAAGTATTTTTGTCTAATAATAATAATAATAATGATAGATGATATTAATAATAATAATAATTTTCTTTGATTTTCGTAATAAAAATAAACGGACATATAAATAATGGCCATATTATATGTAGAGAGAATATATAAATGTCAATATTATATGTACTTTTGGCCATGAAGTTAAATTATGTGTTTAACTAATTAATATGATTTTTTTTAATATATATATATATTAATATTTATAATAAAGAAATTGATGAAAACATAGGTGGAATTTGTCAACCACTTTGATTGTTTGTCGTTATTTGCATTAATTCAACAGTTTGAGAAGGAATTCTTACCAATGCATAATTAATATTAATTAATTAATTAATTAATGTGCATGTCGGTAAAGAATTGGATTTATTATTTGGATTTGGATTTGGATTTGGATGTTATGTATATATGTATTGTATCTATATAGACAAATTCATTCCAAATAAATAAATAAATAAAATTAATAATTTGTAAATTTTTATGCAACTTTTTAAATAAATTACGGATGGACCGTTATGCCACACAAAAGGTTATATGTAAATAAAAGGGTTTAATTTTTTATTTTTTTTTTTTCTTATACAAATATCATATCAACATATTATTTAATCCAAAATAAAACATAAATAAATACAAATAAATAAATAAACAAAAATAAAAACACCCTAAAGTCTAACCAAGTTTTGATAGTTACTATTTGCAACGTTTTTATAAAATAAAATATTTTATCAAGTATCAGTTATCACTACGAGAAAAAATCATTTTTGTAACAAAATTTTTTTGTCTCTTAATCTATTTTTTCCATTACTAATGACATTAGAGACGAAATTAGTAATAGAATTACGTTAGCTACGTGAACTTTAGGAACGGAATTCAGTTACAAATATATTATTTTTTTTAGTGTATAATAATTATTTTATGATTTACTTATTTATTCATTTTTGGTAATATCAAAACTCATGGCCGCAAGCAAAATTAAAAAGTATCGAAAGTTTGAACTCATAAATTTACCATCAGAATTGAAGTCCACTCCACATTACTAAATTATTTTTTACGAGACTATATTTATTTATTTGCTAAATACATAAATGGAGATAGATGCATGTATTCTTTGAAACTTTATATCCCATATGTCCCGGATAAATATATTATTTCTTTATTTTGTAGTAAATTAAAAAAATAACACTCCCTCCATCCCACCAATCATGTCCATGTTGCCGTTTTTATTCGTCCCACATTCCATGACATTTTTCTTTTTTGGAAAATGATTACACACTTTAATTTTATTTTTGAACTTTTTAATTTTTTTTAATTTTAATTAAACTAATTAGTTATCTTGATCTTAATTTATAATTATTTATATTATAAGATAATTATTTTCACTAATACATTCTTAATTATCTACTAATTACACCCCTCATAAAATACCGTGTCTACAGTGTAGCAGACACGGTATATGAGACGGGGGAGTAGTATTTTATTGATTAGTGAAAATGTTTAAATTTTTTTTGATATTTTTATTCTTTATACTTTATGTATATATGCAATGATATGTTTGCAATTTATATAAAATAAAAAGTATTTTGATATTAATGTATAATTATTTTGACTAGCTATAATAAGAAGATAATACTTTTAAGTAATATACGAAAATAATAAAATATATATATATATATATATACAATCATTGTATCATGCATTAATACCATTTCTTGAATATATAAATATAATCTATGATTAAATCAAGAATTATGGCCCCATTTTTTGTACACATTAAACCCTAACTTGGTTGAGAGATTACTTTATCCAAAAGTTCTACTTTATATGTATATATATATATATATCTATATATTATAATGCTTGATAAACATAAAATTAGGTTGGACAAATTGATTAATGAAACCCATCATTCATATTTTTTGAAAGAACATGCATGATAAAAAATAAATAAAAATGATATGATTCTCCATTATATATAAATATTATTTCAATTAATTAAAGCAGATGGATTGATTGATTAAGAAGCAAAAATTAAATCATGGACCGGCCTAATATATTTTGATTCTTGCCTAGTAGCTCATAGCTAGGTACTTGTCTACTTCTTTATTAATTAATTAAATAAATATTATTGATTTCAAATATTAAGATTAAAAAATATATATTAATATAGGATCGAAAACTCAAAAATAATTATTTAATTATAATTCATTGCCATTTATTTATTTTTACTTGAAATAATAAACATGTAATGTTGTTCAATCTACGCAAATAATTAGCGACTGCTTTGTATCTTTTGTTGCCGAAAAGTTTCATTACCGACAAAAAATTCCGTTGCTAATCTAGAGTATTAACATTTTATTACTATTTTTTAATTTGAATATATATATATATATTCTCATTTAATTTTCGTATTATATAATCTACAACACAATATATATATTCTTATTTAAAAAATACTACTATTATATTTAACATTTATATATACATATATATATGATACTTAGATTGTACTAATCATTGAGGTTGAATAGGTGTCTAAATGGTTGTTGGATATGATATCCTGTGATAAAATGTAATATATTTTTTATAAATATGAATTTTATATAATCAATAAAATTTCGGGTACATGCGAAGGAATCTAACATATTTATAGAATATAATATAATGTTAATAATTATTAATTATTATGGTAGTTATGGGGCTGCAATTTTTTAATTCATCTCAATTTAGTACACCTCTAATTGGCCAAAAAAGGTTATGTAAGAGCATAATTGCATAATCATGATGCCCACATGTGAAACCTAATCCAAAATGTAATCACTATACATACAAAAATAAAAATATTTATAATAAATAAAATAAAATAAAAGGAGATGCATGTACGATGCATAATGTTAAAAATAAAATAATAATAATAATAATAATAATATTATTATTATACTGGACCAAAATTATACTCCATATTTATGGGCTTTTGTTAAGACAAGGGCCCAGCCCAAATTTTTTAAGTCTAAATTTACAATTGATATTCAGGCCCAAACTCTAATATTCAATATGCAACACCTTATTTATTATTTGAAAAATATATTGTTAAATTTTATTAGCTTTTAATTGTAATTTTAAATTATAAAAAACAAACTATGGAATGACTAAAAAAACAAGAAATGTGCTAAATCACATACAAAATATGTGAAACCTTAAGTATGAAGTATGAACTCTATTACATACCATAAATATATTCAAATTCATATTCATTACATTCATTTACAAATTAGGGACAAAATATTTTTTTACATATAAAAAAATGCTAATAATATAGTAATATTCATTTAACAGGTATTTTTGCTAGGGAACAGAAAAAAAGTAATATGCAACATGATTAAGGCATTGAATTGGGCCGGCCAACGTAGTTGCAAGGCAAAACCGGCCCACTATTTTTTATTAAAAAAAAAAAAAAAAAAAAAAACCAGACACGTGGCAATACGGTAGCCGTTGATGCATCCACCAATAACAGGCGCCAAAATCTCCATCTCTGAATTTTACCTGTTGGCATAAAAACAACAATAAATAATTTAATTGCAATAATGGAATATAAATAAACTATAAAGTAAGTCCCCACCCAATTAGCCCTTTTCTTTATACATCAAAATTTAGTGTATAATTAGTTCAATAAAAGTATTAATTTTTGGGATAAGGGAAATTCCCATATAAATACAACCCTCCGTTTAATTCCCAATTTTATTTTATTTTTGTCTCCCCTCATTTTGCCGCCATAATCACATCCTCTTTCTCTCATTCAAAGTTTCTCCTCATTCTACAAAACCCCTTTTTCATTTCCTAAAAATCCAATCTTTTTGCAAAATGGGTTTTTCCAAAAAACACCAAATTGAAATCGGAAATCAGCAGGAATCACCAGAGGCCCAGAAATGGGTCATCGCCGGAATCGCAATAATGGCTCCATTAAAGCAAATCAATACAAAGCCTTCGCCGTCGCCGTCGCAGTCGCCGGAGACGATTGACGAAGAAGAAGAAGAAGAAGAAGCTGGAGGCGCGAATTCCACCACACCGACGGCGCGTGAGTCGAGGATACCGGAGAAGCTTCCCTGCCCACCGGCGCCGCGCAAGCGCCGCCCCTCTCCGGCGGCGCCGACGTGCCACTCGAACGGCGGAGGTGTTAGAGAGTTCTTCAATCCGCCGGACTTGGAATCTGTGTTCATTGGCCATTGATTTTAGGGTTTCTTCATTCAATTTAGCGGTAGAGTTAATTAATTATTTTAATTAATTAACTTCCTTCCTTTGCCCTTTTCAGGGTATGTTTTCTTACACTAAAATTTTCCCTTTATAATTTCTGTTTTTTTTTTTTTTTTAAGAATTAGTTTTAGGGCTTGAATATGAATTACAGTATTGTAATGTAATACATACAGTAGTGCTTCTTTTTTCTTTTCTTTTTTTTTGTTAATGAAGAATGATGCAAAATTTAGGGTTTTTATTGTTGCTTTATTACAACATTAAGAAAATCAAACCCAAAATAAATATTGGACGATTATTATTATTGTTATTAATGGAACACGTGTGTGAATGGAAATGCAGGGAGAAAAGGACCAAAGAAAGAAAGCTACAGTTGGAAGAAAGTAGTAATGTAATTTTTGACCAATTGACAAAAGTTTCCAAGGCATTATTCCTTGGCCACCAAGAACATTATATTTGGTAGAATTTCTTATTTATTTATTGATCTTAATAAATAAATATAGGTAAATATTGAATAATTAGAGAAGTGTGTGGTAGTAATGGCAGCCAAGGCCATAGGTCAAATGGGGCATTTAATTCAAGGCTTTTAGTGGCGGTGATATACACTCGAAATAAATAATTAGAAATAAATATATATGTATATATTTTATATATCAATTAATTAATTATATATATATATATATAATAATGTGTATTGTAGTAATTGATTTGGATTTGGGAGGGTGTGAAAAGAGAATCCAATGTGGGGTTGTTTGATGACTTCAAGGCACTTGTGCAGTCAAATTTTGATTGGGCAACGTCATTCACATATACATACACGTACACGATTATGCATATGTACACGTATCTACTAAGGGTGTGTTTGTTTGGGAAATTGAATTTTATTTCCACTGTTCATCCTATTTCTTTCTCAAAAAACATCAAATCAAATACCTATTTTTTATTTTTTATATTATACTAAAAATCAATTTTACATTCAAAACATCACATCAACATATATTTATATTACATTATACAACTATTCAAATTCAAAATTTTTACTATTCAAATCATAACTCAACTCAAAATCCAAACCCCCAAACAAATACACCCTAAGTGTCTTCGGAATTTTAAATAATATAATTCCTCCTATAAAAACATATATTCCCTCCATCTCATAACTAGTTATTCATTTTATTTTTACATATAATTTTTAAAATATTAATATTATATTGGGATATATTAAGAATAAAATAGAAATGACTAAAAGAATCTTATTAGTATGATGTGATATAAAGGTAATGACATTTGTGTAATATATTGTAAGTTGTAAGGGTATTTGTAATGTTAGGTATATAGTATAATTATTAAAAAATGAAATTGATATTTTGTTATGAGACGGACTAATGGAAAAATAAATACTTTGTTATAGAACGGAGGGAGTACTATTTTTTTTATATTTATTCGTTTCAAAATAAATGTATTATTTTATAATTTAGTAATTGTACTACATAATACCTAATATAATAAATATTTTTACAATTTATAATATATTATACAAATATCATTATTTTTATAATACTTTATCTGATATAGATATTTTTATATTTTTTTACTACAAACCAATGTAATACTAATATTAAAAAATTTATGTAAAAAAAACAAACAATACTTTTGTTACGGACAGAGGTAGTATAAAAATATTTTATTAGTCCTCATTGTTTTATACTCCATATGTTCCGTTACAAATATCTTCATTAAAATTTAAATATTTTACACGTAGATCTACTAAAAAAAATTATATTTTTATTTGATATTAATTTTATTGAAAATTTGTGGGATTTTTGTTTTGAATTTTAATTTTGAATAATAAAATTTTCAATTAAAATAATTGTTTGATATGCTATAAATATATATCATATTTCAATGTAAAAATAAATTTTAATACAGTATAATATAATAAATAAAAAATATATGTTTGATTTGATGTTTTGGAGAATTTTTTTTTCTTTGAATAGTAAAATCAAAACAAAAATTCCACAAGTAAACGCACCTTTAATTTGTCTCTTTCATCGAGCACATTCAAAATCTCTTTATTTATTTGTGCATATCTCCTCGATAAATAAATATTTTATTGATGGACTCCCCTAATATATATTCAATTTTTTTTTTTTTTTTAAAAAGAAAGCTACAGTAGATAATATTATCAAATTAAAAAAAAAAAAAAACACATGTCTAAACAAACAAAGCCTAATTATTGTATTTAATTTAAAAAATATTTTAATATTTAAATAATATTTTATAAAATATCATTGGATTTGTATTATACAAACACTAATATAAGTATTTTTTTTTTCTTTTCATTTGTACTACACAAATACTAATAGAATATTTTTATTTTTATTTTTTCATTTGTATTATACTACAATGTATGAATATAATATTAATATTCAAAGTTTGATATGCACAAACAAATAGATATTTAATTAAGAGACTAATATAGTATTTATTTATTACTCTCCGTCCTACATAAAAATGATCATATTTTTTATTTTCGTCCGTCTTATATATAATTTGTTTTTTAAAAAATATAATTATTAACTTTAATAATATTTTAAATTTAATGATTTATAATTTTTTAATATTAATTAAATAATTTAATTATCTTAATTTTATATATAATTATTTTATTATAAATAATTATTTTTATTAATATATTAATTAATTATTTAATAATTATATTTTATCAAAAATCTCTAATCTAAAATAATGTGATCATATTACACAAGACAAAAAGTAGTATTATAATTAAAGGTTCATTTATTACACGTCGTTACGCAATAACTAACTATACGTACGCACACATGCATGCATGCAGTGGTAAATTTTAATTTCATAGGATTCTCTTTCCCTCCATGCACACATAAGATTACAAATTTTTTTTTTCTTTTCATTTTTTTCATCAATAATTTTTATTTTCATCTGTCTCGTCTTATTTGTCTTTTTTTTTCTATGAAGTATAATTATATATTTTAATTATATTTTAAATTATATAATTTTTTAATTTTAATTATACTATTTAGTTATTTTAATTTTAATTTATAATAAGTATTATTCTACTATAATAATTATTTTTTTATTAATATATATTATTTTAAATATTTATTAATTATATTTTATATAAATTTTCATATTGCAGTAAAAAAAAATAATAATAAAATAAAATAAATTGAGACTGATGAAATATAAAAAATTTAAAAAAACAAACTAATAACAATTTCACTGTTGCTCCCCTGTCGGAAACAACTTCTCCTGATGTCATAAAGTCACACTTTATTATTATTATTATTATTATTATTGTCATTAATTACTGTATCGTACGACGTAGACTCTCTATTTATATCCATTGTTATGTTAATTAAGTATTAATAGTTTTGTAAAAACATATTACTACTATATAAAATATTTATTTATTTTAGTAAAATGTAGAATCAACGCGTTTCTTATCAATTTTTTTTTTCAAATTTTATTATTTGAATTCGGTATTTTTGAAAAAAAAATATATATACTTTTTATTTTACAAAATATCGTATCAAACATGACTTTAATATCAAATCAAAATATATTGGGACTTCCGTTTGCGAATATATAATTGATGACTTGTTTCCCTAATAGTTCAAACTTTTAGAAGAGACTGTCATTTTGCATCAGACAAGATCAAATTTTCTTAAAATAAACCCATCTCAAACAATATACTTGTAATAGAATTTTGTCCATAAAATTCATTAGCTAACATAATTTCATCATTAATTTCGTCTCTAGTGCCATTAGTAATAAAAAAACTTGATTTAGAGACGAAAAAATTGTTACAAAAATATTTTTTTTTCTTGGAGTGCTCTACACAAATATTTTTGAATATTTTTACATATTTTTATTTAAAAATATCATATCAAATATATTTTTTTAATTTTTTTTTTTTAATTTCAAAAAACTTTGTCTAAACAAAACATATATATGTATATATTCAACACTCCAAATTATATATACTGCATTTACAAATTGAAACTATTTGTTGACTTTTGTGTGCCTCAGTTAATTCTGTCTTTCCAAGTGGTGTGTGTGGTAATTATTTCATACAGCTAGAAGTTCGATTTTATTATTTATATTAAGATAATTGCTTGACTAATATATATATATATATAAATAGTTTTTTTTTTTTTTATGACAATGAAAAAGGAAAGTAAATTTAAATTTAAATAATAAATAAAATATTACTTATTTATATATAAATGTTTGAAATAATTATTGATGCTATGCACGCATGCATGTCCTAATTAGTCAAACAATTTACGCGTAAATTAGATTAAACAATTAATATATATATATATATATGTGTGTGTGTGCGTCTTTTAAGGTGGGTAGTATATGATTTAATTAAAAGATTAAAAATAAATAAATAAATAAAAATTGAAGATTAGAACATAGAGTTATGTTAAAGTGAAAAAATATTTAATTATATATATATTTATGAGACAAATCAATATGCGTGCTTATAAACAGTGTGCATTAATTTGCGCGTGGGGACAAATTAATATTATGTTTGTGAAAATTTTATTATTTAATTTATGAGGCAAAAAGCAAGAAACAATTGACTTGTATGTATATTATTAATTTACTAAATCAATCAACTCTAATTAATTAATTTGATTGATTAAGGTTCAATCAATATTGCACATATATATATATATATTTATTTATACTTTATGCTATGGTAACGGATTGATTGGTGGGCATATTAGTTAATTTATTTTAAAATTATAAATGTCGTTGAATTGGACACAAGATATTATTGAATTGTGTTGGAAAATAACTCGGTGAATTCTGAGATATGGCTAAATCCGAAAATACAAAATCATATATATGCGAAATTAAATTCGAGTCTCGCGTAGCACGCGATTTCCTTGAATTGAATTCAATCTTCCACTGATCGCCTCCCAAGATAGAATGTATTATCAACGGAATATCAAATTCCGCAAACCGAATTAGAATGGAAGAGAAATTTTCAGAATGAATTTTTGGAATTGATATTACGTCTTCCCTCGGAAAGGGGAGGAAAATATAATATATATTATATTACTTTGTATTTAATCACGTGTAAAAAAAAACTACATTCAATTGTAACAAACTATTTATTTGATTATTTATTTATAAATAAAATAAATTAATCAAATAAAATGTGAAACAAATAATTTATTCATCTTTCACCTATTTAATTAAATATCCAACAAATTGTAACATAAGTATGATGAATGAAAAATCAACAAAATATTGAACTATGAGTATTGTAAATATGTTGAACATGAATATATATATATATACTTTTTTTAAAAAAAAGAATCAATTTTATTTTAAAGGATAATTTAGTCAATACATACTTAAACAAATAAATTAGGGTGCATTTGTTTTAAGGATTTTGGAGGACTCACACTATTTATACAATTTTTTTTTTTAATAATATCAAATCAAATATTTTTATTTTTTATATTACAGTAAAAATCAATTTTACATTAAAAACATCACATCAATATTTATTTATATCAAATTATACAATTAATTCAATTCAAATTTTGGAGGAATTATTAATAATACTTTTGTGTACCCATAATGTAGCTAATCACTTAAATATTTTCTCATCATTTATAATTTCATCATTACTTTTTAGCTATATAATTTTATCATTTAAATATATATATATATATATATTAATTTCAAAATTAACATCCCACAGTATTTTACTTGAAAAGCAACAAAAACTAAACTTGCAAAATACTACAAGCCAAACACACCCTACTATATTTATTATTGACGGTTGGATTTGAATTAAATTGTTTTAATTGAACAAGACCAAAATATTAATAATCACAATAAAATTTCAATATAAATCAATATTTACAGTCAACGCTTTTTAAGGTTTTGACCCTTAGTTGCTCCTCAAATTATAAGGTAAGTAGGGATGGGAATAGTGCTGGCGGCCTATGCGCATACAGATCTATTTATTAAATAATTCGATATAAGCTTATTTAAAAATTTATTTAATTAATTAGAATACATTTAAGTCTTTCGAAAAGTTTTTTAGATCTATCAGGCCGGCATATTTATATATATAATTTTAATTTAATATTTAAAAATTATTATATATTTATATTTTTAATAAAATTAATTTAGTGATACTAACCAAATATAAAATTGATTAGTTGTAACTATAATTATATATACATAAAATAATAATTGCATTTATATTTTTTTACTAATATTAAATTTTAAAAAATAAAGAAATTAATTATTATATAAGCTTTTAAATAAGCTCCTAGGCCAAATAGGTTAAAAAATAAGCTAGACTCAGGCTGTATAATTTTTTTATTACAGACTAATAGGCCAGACTCAGTACTTAATTTTTCAAAATAAGTCTAACTTGTTTAGCCAAAGTCTGGTATGGTCTGGCCTATTTCTAAATATATTTAAAAATATAATAATAATAATAATAATAAGATTAAAATTATTTATTAAATTGAAACAAATGGATAAATAATTGCGTTAATGAGTGTGGGTATCCTATGCCCCAAGTTATTACAGTACACAGATACACGGCATGGCATGGAGAGCCCGGGACCCGGACGCAAGACGGATCCACACCGTTAATTTTGCAACGTCCTTTTAGGAACCATCCGGTCTTCGAACGCCCGATCTCCCATCATAGGTAGGTAATGGGAGGGAATCCGATGGAAGAGGTGGCGCCTCGAAGGAAGATTCCATAATATTATTAAAAGTCGCTATTAATTTCACATTCTTTGTTCGTTTCCCCTAAATTATACATACGTGTGTTTGTTTGAGGGTTTGGATTTTGAGTTGGGATTTGAATAGTAAAAATTTTGAATTTGAATAGTTGTATGATGTGATATAAATAGGGTTTGATGTGATGTTTTGAATGTAAAATTGATTTTTAGTATAATATAAAAAATGAAAAATAGGTATTTGATTTGATGTTTTTTGGGGGAAAAAATTGGATGAATAGTGGAAATCCACCAAAATCCTTCAAACAAACACACCCCAAAAGTCTTTGTAATTTTAAAAATACCAAAATAATTAAATATTTGATACAATGATTTTTTTAAATAATAATAATAATAATATAAACTTAAAAATAAATTTACGTGAGTAGAGCTAAGTTCCATTTGAATAAATTATTTTGGAAAATTTTGAGACTTTTTGAAAATTTTAAAAATACTAAAAATTTATACAAAATGTTTTGTATCTAGATTCTAGGGGTGTGTTTGTTTGAGGGTTTGGATTTTGAGTTGAAAATGAATAGTAAAAATTTTGAATTAAAATAGTGGTATAATGTGATTTAAATAGACGTCAATTATATGTTTTTGTATATAAAATTATTTTTTTAAATAATATAAAAATATAAAATAAGTATTTAATTTGATGTTTTTGAAAAAAATAAATAAATTAATAAATACTATGTCCGTCCCAATACAATATTACTTTTATTTTTTCATTATTATTCTATAATTGTCACTACTTTTTACACCTCACAAAGGCGAAAAAGTCTTTTACTCGTACTTTTTACCCACTATAAATATAATATCAATATTCCTTAAATCCCGTATCAAATACAACCGGACTATAGTTCTAAGACGGGGATTGTAATAGAAGTCCATGGAAATCGGCCAAACAAATATACCCCTAGTTTACAGTTTATATTATAGATAAATAGTCCAAAAATATATTTTGAGTGTATGTATAACCTTCTATTGCAATTCAAGAAAGAAGCTTTAATTTCGATTACCTTTTTTTCTTGGCGGGAAAGTTTTTGGAGATTTGGCGCCAAAAAGTGGCGGCGATTTTATTTTTGTTTAGTTGGTCTCTTTCTTCGATGAGATTGTACTGACCCGTTGGATTTCCCAAGTCTGGGTAGCACGGAAGCTTTTGAATTTAAAAATAATTATAATAAAAAATTACTGTAAAATATTTAAAATAAAAAAAATACTGTACTATACTTTAATAGGTTACAATACTGTACCATTTTAATTGATAGTATATTTTTTCGATTTTTATCTTCCAATTTACTGGACATAATTTTATTTTTATTTTTAATAAAATTTTCAATATTAAATATATTTAATAAATATAAATTAATTTAATTAAATTTCTAATATTTCATTAAAAAATCAACACAAAAATCTTTTATTATCATCTCATTTTTCGACCAATTTAATAATTTTTTATGAAGTTTTAATTAAATTTATAACTTAATAACAAATCCATTCAAAATCCTTTTATTTTTGTCAATAAATAAATATATTTATTTACATTTAAAAATTCTTATATTATTTATAAAATTAATTTATATTAATTATAAATAAATAAAAATATTTTTATTTAATATTTTATATAAAATTTTAGTCCTACAAAATAATATTCATATTTTATATGTTTTACTGAATATAAAATTTAAAATATCTAGAATACATATTTAAAAAAAATTAATTATATATAGTAATTTGTATTTTAAAAATAATAACATCACTATTCACACATTAAAAAAAAAAAAAAAACCTAATATCACAAATAATTATCATTAATTTACTAAAGCCTACCAACTTAAAGATATTGCCATAAAATAAAAATATCAATTAAAATAAAACAAAAAATATAACTTACTAAAAAAGAAATTAATTAATTATATATAAAATTTTAAGGTATTGGCGCTGTCCCATTAAATAGAAGATTTGTAAGGTCACATTTTCAATGACTTATGATAGTTCAGAGAAAAAATAACTACTCAGATTTCATGAAACCAATGCAGACTATGCACAAGTTTTAAAAAGGGGACAAATAAACAAAATAAAATTTAAATCCTGGGCCAATATGGGGTTTGTAAAAAATGTAAATGATATTTTTTAAAAAATAAAAATAAAATCCTGATGATCCATCAAGAACCCAAGCAAAAGGTGCCCGTAACCACCGAAAATTTACTCAGTGCACACACCACGAAAAATTACCGACTATAATTGCCACCAACAAAAGAGCACATAATGAAGACAATGTAGATTAGTAGTTAGTTAACAAATTGCTACATACCTGAAGCTTTCTAATGCCGACATTGCAAAGCTCGTCGTCGACGATAAATGTTTCGATCCGATTCGATATCTATGTCCGTCCCGACGCAAATTAAGATCGATGGAGTAAAATGTGAATGCACATTACCCAGCAGGGGAGATGAACCATACAGATGAAGATATACGTCGCGCTGTTCCATGCCCAAAGCGACTCGAGCCAGTTCCAGAACTCGCCCAATCGAAAACCGTCGAAGCCATACAATGTACCTTTCGTCAAGAAAAATACCGTCGGAGGGAATCCAAGGAATACCAAAAGTATGTTAATCACAGCTCTTGAGATATTCTTGGCGGCTTTAGAACCGAGGCTCAACGGTGCCGTTGTTAAGCACATAGGCACGAGTAGGAGCGCTCCGATTTCCGCTGTCGCAAAATTAATCACCGACGTGAGACAAAGCCCGGTGAAGGCGGCAGCAACCGTAACGGATTTAAGTAGGCGCCATTCGATTCTTTTTGGTAGACCCGCGCCCGGGAGCGAAAAGAAACCTGAAGCTGCATATGTGAAGATTAGACATAGCATGGAAAGAGCAACCCAAATCAAGAAGTTAATTTCCGGCGAGGTGTTCGACATCCGGAGGATAAAATAAGGAAGTAGAGTTACGACTGCGCCCCATAATTGGACAAAAAAAACCGTTCTTGCAGCGAAGAGCCAATTCCACGACGTAAAAGTTTGGACAGGTTTAGCCGGGGTTTTATCATCGGTCACCGATTTCACTTCGCTCGCATCGGAAAAAAGAGCGGCGGCAACCAGTGGAAGAGGTGCGACAAGCAAGATGAAAGCGATCATATAGACTCCAACTGAAACAAACTTGTTCGAAGATGTCATGAGATATAGAAAAAAGGATTGGTGAAATTTTTCGAGCAGGTTATTAACGGATCTAATAACTCCTTCGACCATCCTGCAAGTAGAAGGAACTTATCTAAATCAGAGGAATAGAGCTTGAAGATCAATGGAGAGCAATTGAAACTGACCTTCCCATACGTAAAAGGAACAGATCTCTCTGACTTGAAGAAAGCTTCGGAGAGATTTCCATCGTGATTGAATCAACTTGATAATCACGGAAAGCACCGTGCGAACCAGTGGGAACACCTAATGCCTGATATATATAAATATATATATATATAAATGATCTTTAATACCCCAATATAATGATACGTCGATAAACTAGGGAGATTACCTGATTATACATGGAGCTAGCAAGAGTAGCCGAGCCTTCGACATAATCTGTAGCGGGGATCCCGAATTTCCATTGAGGATTTAAGCTTTTAGCCACCTTCCCGACGAATTCAAACAGCTCTCCAAGGCTTCGCAGCCACGATGCATAAAGCAACGACCAAATCTTCTCCACCCTTACTTGTAAACCTTGCCCGTGTACAGCCAAATAGTTAACAATGTTAATAAGATCTAAGTTTGGCATCTGCCCGTTGGATGCTTCGGCATAAATGTTAAGAACATCCTTCTCAAACTCTGTGCTTCGATCAGAAACTTTAATGACCAGTGCAGCTGCCATTGTGCCTGCTCGTCGAAAGCCATTCGACATTACATCTTCCTTTTGCATCATTTTATGCCTAGGCAGACTACTTAGGTCACATATTTCAGGATACGGGTTTAAGTCACTAAACGAAAGGGTATAATAATCTCTCAGCCAGGCAGAAACAGCAGCATATTCACCATGTTTTGAATCGGCGGCGATCCATATGATATCTTTAGCGAGCCAAGTAACTCGTGAAAGAAGAGAGAAGACGGAGTATCCAATTCCGAGCGATAAAGCCTCCCCATTACTGATCTTGTGAGAGTTATAAGGGGTAACCATTACAATTGCTTCTTTCCCGTCGCCTCGTGGAGCTCTTATAATTCCCACAGTATTGATCCCATAAGACGAACACGTGTAATTTTCTTGCATTACTTCTGCTTCAGGACCCAAGAAGAAGTGCAGCGGGTGGAGCTTATTAGATAGCGGTTGAAACTTGTGATAGCTAACTTCACCGCCCAACTCCATTATGCGCTCTGCGATCACATCCGAAATTTCACTGCAAGCATACATTAAACGACTTCGGAGAAATGAGCATAACTGTAAATAACTCAGCATGATGGGGATAATAAGGAAATCAATGCAGAAAGACTTCGATTAATTTTCTCTTTACAACCTCAAATACAAAGTTTTTCGGAAAATATATAGATGCTATTGTCAATATAAACTATAAAGGTTTAATTAGGGAGGCAGTTGTTGGGATGACACAAAAGCTATCTAGGAAAATGGCACGTGGTGCTCCATAACTAAGTACGGGGAAAATATTCATATAGCAAAAACATAAATTTATACAGTAGTCATTAAGCATAAAAAGAAACAAGTACTCAAAGGATGTGTGTACTTAGGATGTTAGGTTCGATAATATTATTCCATCCAACTTAATCACTTGTTCACCTTAACTAATTAAAACCCAAAATTGATTACCGTCCATAGTAATAATAATATACTAATCAAGTGTAATTAATCTACCTAGATAATGAGATCAATTTATCTCAAGTAATATTTGTACTACAAGTCTATATTATCCTGTAATGAACAATGAGTCGCAAACTGGACTCAAGAGTTCAAATCTATTGAATAACATATAAATTAAATATAAACATATGAAAGAAAGAAATAAAAGGTAAAATGTATAGACCATTTAGATGTCTGAGAAATGTGTCTTAATTTGACAGGAGTGGCAGGCACCCCATCGGAGGCGTGTGCACTATTCACAACTATGATTAAGGGTAATCTAATCAAGTTTTTTCTTTGCCCCTTTTCTTTTTCTTCTACAATTTTATGATGTACAATTTTCTTTTTCGTCTACAAAGTAATCAGATTTAAAGTTAAATTGTGGAGCTTTCCACCTCCTAAATCCTATGTGGTTTATTTAATTACAACTAGGTCTACTCATGTTTCGGATGTTGCGCTAGTTTCCCCTTGGCGTGTTGCCGAGTAGAAGATAAATTAAAGAAAAGTGGATTCTTGATACTACCATAAGTTTCACCGTCTCAAACATTTGCAATAGATCAACCACCACAACAAAACCCTCCACAGTTACACCAGAAATCGGGAAAATCACACAAACGCTGATGATATATTTCATAACACGAAAACTTTATAAAATACTCATATCAAGCAGTAAACGGCTCGACACGTGCATTCAAATTGAGCTGTTTCACAGTCTTTAAGTGGAGTTTAAATAGAGCAACTAATTTACAGGTCAATTATGCTGTAACTAGGATAGATATGCCGAATATGGAAGAGATACCTACATGCCAGTGCTGGTACTCTTCGAACTCAGCTTCAAAATTGTGTTAAGAAATCGGACCCCTCCAGACGCATCTTCACTGGAGAGCATAGGACTTGCAGATCCTGCAGCCATTTGAGATCTATCAATAGCTTCCTAACTCACTTAGATAAAACTAACACCAATCATCCCCACACACAAAAAGAATTTAAAATCAAATCATAGAATCGAGACTATATTGATGCAACGAGTGAACGAGTGCTATGATGAATTTCAGATTAACTAAATAGTATTCTAGAATCAGAAGGCTATTGCATAAAACAAAAACGCACAAATTTCATACTAATTAACGTAATCTAATCCTTCAGTGGTTTTAAAATCAGCTCGAATTGAGAGGCAGGAAGCACTCACCAGGCATCAGGGCATTTTCCGAAATATAGGTGTTCTTGGCGAGAACAGGCAAGAGGAGAAGAGCTAAAATTCCTGCCGTGCAGCAAAGCACACTGCAATTCAACCAAAATCAGTTCATCTTCACTTTGAATCAAAGAAGTAGCGCTTCGACAATCGGGAAATAAACATAGAGCTAATTGTATACCTGACAAAGAGAGTGTGGGCAATGAGAAATAGGCCGATGCGAATAATTGGGCGAGGCTTGGGTTTGCTCGGCTGCTTCTCAGCTTCCGCCATAGCCAATCGCCGGCGATCTGGGGTTTAGAGCTGAGATTTTCTCCAGTCGCCCGGAATTCCGCTCGCAGTATTACGACGTCGTTCTGGCGTAAGGCATGAGATCTGTTCAAGAAATTTCAACTATTAATATTTATAATAATAATTCTCACTGTGAAAGTAATAAATATTTTCAATACTTTTTATTATATTTCACACTCCTACATTTAAAATCATTATATTCTGTAAATATATATTTTTTTAAATTAATGATATAAATGATTTGAGCATTTTAGAATCAATATCTAATTGAATTTTAAATATCGCAATTAATTGAGGACAAAATCAGGTATGAATAATTTAATCCACTGAAAATAGTGCAAATACCTATTTGGAATAAAGACCTATTCAAAGACTTTTGAGATTTTAAAAATTAAAAATTAAAAATTGAAAAATTAAAATTTAATTTAATATTTTACTCCCTTCGTCATTCAAATATATGTTCATTTTTTTTAAATAAAAAATTATTATATTTTTATACTTTTTTTTTTTTACTATAAAAAAAATGTAACTATTATTACTCACTTTTACTAAAATCCGTGTCCGGTCAAATAAACACACATTTACCTGAACGAGGGAGTATAAAACTAAACCTATATTTAAAAATAAACCATCCTTAAAAATTTATTACGTTGGTATTTGGGTCCTTAATTTAATTGGCCCTGAGATTTTCTCAACTCTGGACTTCTATTCTAATTTTGGTGGACAAATAACTCTATTTAGAGAAAAGTTTTTTTTTTTTATGACTTTAAAAATTTTGGAAATTTAAAAAAAATAAAAAATTAATAGTTTGATTTGATATTATGTACAAGAAAAAATATATTTAATATAATATTTTTAAAAAATAAGAAGAAGATGGTATAAACAAACTCTATAAGGTTTACCTATTTATTATGTCAGCAAAGACACCACAAATTTTGGTACTTTTTTCTTTTTAAAACTACAGTCTTAATTGGATTGGACACGAGATTTAAAGAATATTAATATTATATTGGTAGTTGGTAAAAAGTATGGATAAAAAAAAATATTTTTGTCTTGTGATTGTATTAGTGTAGAAAGTAGTGAGTGTAATAAAAATGAAAAAATAAGGATAGTATTATAGGGATATGGTTATTTATGAAAATAAAATTATTGTTTTGAAACGGACAAAAATAATAAACTGGATTAGGTCGGTGGGAGTATTATTACAAAAATACTTTGTAATCATCAAACCTTGTGTTATAGGGTTTTCATAAATTCTGTTGAAAGCAAAATCTTTCAGTTATGGCTGTAATAATTACTCCCAAGAAGATTGTAAAACTATGATGTAGTGTAACGCATAAATAACTACATCTTTTCTTAGACACTACCCTCTAATTGTATAAGTACTTTTCAAAGAAGGATTTTTTTTTTTTTTTTTAAGTAAATTAATAAATAATACTCCATCTGTTTAAATAAAGTGCAATATTTGCTTTTGGTACGGGTTTTTAAGTGGGTAGTATTAAGCAGGATAATTTAGAAATTAGGTGATGTGATTGAGAGAGAAATATATATTTTATTTTTTTATTTAGATGATGCGAGGGGATAAAGTACGAGGTAGAGATTAAGTATAATTAATTATTATTATAGAGTGTTTGGGACGGAGGGAGTAATATTTTATTAATTAGTAGAAGTGTATAAAAAATTTTAATATTTATATTCTTATAAATAATTATATATGTAACAGTATATTTGTATTTTAACTAATAATTAATATAATTTGTATTAAATATATATATACATATTTTAAAGTGAAACAGGATACATATTACTTGTTCTTTCCGTCCTAATGAAAAAATTACATTTAATTTTTGTGTATATTTACACTATAATATTCTAATAAAAATATATTTATTGTATTAATTACTCATCTCAAAGCCTCCCCATTTTGAATTCATTATTTTTTGAATTACTATTAAACAATTGTAATATTCAATAATAATAATAATAATAATAATACTCCTTCAGTCTCATTGAAAATAGATATTTACTTTTTTAGTGTAATTTTTTTAATATTAATATTATATGAATTGTAATAAAAATGATAAATAATATTGTATAATATAAATGCTATATAAATATATGTTGGTGTGATATATTAAGAATAAAATTAAATTTTAATATAATAAAATAATAAAGAAATAAATATTTGATTTAATATTTTTACATAAAATAAAAAAAGAGTAAAATCTAAATAAAATCGCACAAGTAAACATAATCAAACGTAGTAATAATAGTAATAATAATAATAATAAACGTGTAATAATAATAAATCCATGAAGGAAATCATCTCCAAGACCACCATAACCAAAAAAACCAACTTCCTACTCTATCACTGTACACTAAGACATCGACGATCGATCATCTTCACATCCCAAAAAACACAAACTATTTCATATATATATATATATATATATCTGTACGTATATCATATCTTCTATGTCCTAAGTCTAGCAATCATCTCCTCTACCATCTCAACAGAATTGCTCCCACTCCTTTCCCCACTGTCAATCTTCCTCATCACCTCTTCCAGCGCCGCCTTCTTCGACATCGAAACGCCGCCGCCGCTGCCACCGCCGCCACCGCAATCTCTCAGAAGAATGAGGAGCGATCTCGCCTTCTCCCTCGCCCTCCGCGACCCGTCGACGCTCAGCTGCAGCAGCCCCGGCATCGCCCCTTCCTTCAATATCATCCCTCTGTACCGATCCCGGCTCCTTCGGCATATCATCAGCAAAATTCCGGCGGCATGTTCTTGGCATTCCGGCGACCCCTCCTCCACCGCCTCCACCAGCATCTGAATCACGCCCCCGACTTCGCAGGCCTGAAAATTACGCAACAATCATCAAAATCTAATCTTGCGACGATTGAATAAATATTCGATAGGCTGTGTATACCTGATTTAATGCGGCTTCTGACGAAGATACGATCGATTCGAGTAACGCGACAGCCTTCTCCGCCAAACTACTCGACTTTTCGGATTCGTACACGAATTGAATTAGGGTGATAAGACCTCCAGATAGCATGATCGACGCGATGGCTTGGGGGGAATTGGAGAGATTGTGTAGAGTGGAAATGATGTCGAACTTCGCCTGATTGCTGACACATTGGCAATTCGGGAATTGCGAATCGAAAAGCTCGATGAGAAGCTGAATCCCTCCGGAGCAGACGATTATGGACTTATTCGAAGAACAAGAAGACAGGACCAAGAGGAATGCCAATGCCAATTCCAGCAACGGCTCGTTCTGCTGCCGGATGATTTCCAAAATCGCCGGCACAGCCCCGGCTTTCACTATTCGGCGTTTGTTCCTGCAAATTAACATAAATTTGAGCAATGGAATTGAAAAAAAATTGTTCAAATTCTTGCACAAACAAAGAAGGGGATTGAAAACTTAAATTTGAAATTCGAACCTTTCGCTGCCGAAGGCGAGATTGAGCAGAGCAAAGAGGGAAGCTTCAACAGAGTCATAATCATGGCTATGGAGCATGAGAACCAATGGAGGGATGACTCCATTTTCGGACAAGACCTGCTTTTGCTTAGTGCTGAGGTGTCCGATTTCTCTGGCTGCAAGAATCTGAGCTTCTCTCTCGCCGAATAGAAGGGCTTCTGCCATGGCTGGAAATTAGCCAGAGCTCTTCCCAATTGACCTGTTCTTCCTGAAAGTTCGATTCTCTATCAGATCAAGATCAAGATCAAGAATGTTGTCAAGTATTTATATGCAGTGTAACTATAGGCAGATCGAAGTGATTGCTTCAACAGGATGCAAAGTTTTCACTTTTTTCCTCTGCATATTGTTTGAGTTGGAAGCAATGAACTATTCACCTCTCGAGCTTTTTGGTAGGCTAAGTGGAATTAGGGAATACCTTGGAAGTGAATCTTTCACTTTCCTTAAATAGAAGAAACCGCCTGTCAGCTTTTTTCCTAAAACCCAATATATACATACAATATATACATAATTTACAGAAAGTGCATCGAATTAAAATAGGAAAGCTCACACAAATACATGGTAGTATATGATTTATATCCATATCCATCCACCTCTGCTGCTGCAAAACATCCTCATTAGTGTCTTGAGATCCAAACCAGACAGGCTTTTCTTTTCCCATTTCATTAAACTATGGAGACAACATTTGTGGCCCTCTCACTGAATTTAAGTGTGCTTTTGCGCCGGGAATTGTTGCAAGAAACCAGAATTAGAGGAAAGAAGTTCCTTTTCTTGGGTGACCTAAATCTTGGAAGCTCCCAGCCCCACAAAAACACCAATTCAATTCAATATTTCAATCCAATTCATTCATTGCTCTGGAGCTCAGCTCCATGGAACTCCCAAGAATCATCAGCCACCATACCCCCCCTGTTTTCCTTCACTGCCATTCATACGGCGGCTCCTCTCCCCCCATGGTTTTTTGTTAAGATATTATTATTACTATTGAAAGAAAATCAGTGCTTTGGAAAACAAAATACCACCATTCAAAACTGTGGGCAACTGCTGGAACTGCAACACTGCTTCTTCCTATATTTAGTTAGATTACAGAAACCCCTTTTTCTTGCTGATGCTACACTCACTGCAAATCTGCACACTGAAAACAGAATCAAACATCATGTAATTAAAATATCAACTGAATCCATCCCTATCCTCTCTCGAGTTTTTCACCAACGAGTTAATTCTTTTCAAGATGTACGTACATATATATTTCTACTGCAGTAAAAAAAATACGTTTAGGCATTTCGTCGAACACCTTGCGTATTGTTCTAAAATCGTCGAATTTACCAATTATCCTCGCCGAAATAACGTCGGTTGGGGAGGTTGAAACCAGATTGAGCTGGAATTCAGCGTCCGCCATTGTAAAATTCTGATTCTTCGAAGATTACCGAGCGGATGAAATTTGAAAACGATGAACTGTGGATCTTGCCAATTTAGGTTAGAATTGCTGACACTGTGGGCCTTTTGATATAAAGAAAGGTGGGCCTAATTCGAAAGTATCTGACATAGGCCCAAGTAAATGGAAGTAGGCCCATTTCCAAAATTTGATATATATATATATATATATATTTTTAATATTTAAAAAAGCTGGAATCCAATGAGAAAAAATAAATTAATAAAAAATTGTGTTTATATTTAATAATAATAATTAAATAAATAAATTGTGACATATATATATTTATTAAAAGAAAATGGATTTTCATGAGCTTGAAGGTGGTGGCCTGTTCTTCAAACTCGAAGGCGATTGATACCTTAATAGGAGGAAGTGATCATAGGATCATCGATTCTTTTGCACGCCAAAAGTACGATTTGTTTCTGATTTGTGATTATTCAATCGTTTCCTTGAATGATTCGGCTGTGTTATGTTTTGGATTGGTTAATTTGGGGGTTCAGGCATGAAATCTAGTGTTTTCGTTTTCAGTTGCAGTAATTGATGTCTAATTTTTCTCGTTTCTGCTTCATTTTGGTTTCTCTGTTGTACATTTGTGCGAAGCGGAGTAGAATAAAGCACAGTTGCGGCTGATTGTGAGTGATTCGAGGGAGAAATCGAGGATAAAGGCGATGTCGTCTAATACGATCCAGGAGGTTAACGGATCGCCTCGAATTATATTGTCGGAGCCGACTGGTTCGACCGTCGAGGTTCGTGGTATTTCCCCTTTTTCTTTATGGCGATTATTTATTTTTCTCAGTATTGTTCTACGGTTACAAATTAGTTGGTGATTCTTGTGGTTTTCAGATCATGGAAGCTTCGATTACACTTAGAATCTTATTGTTGAGGAAATTGAATGCTAAACAAGTTGACTTCATCAATAACTTAGACTTTTGGAAAATTTTAGGAATGGTAAAAAGTTTGTATTTGATACGACTTTTGTGAGTAAAACGGTATATGATGTGATATTTATTGAAAAATTTTATTGATGATGAATAGTACTAAAAGTTTAAAAAATGTTTATGTAAGCATAGCCTTAATATGCGAATTATGTAACCCTGAATGGAACAATTGGATATTGTATTGGCTAATAAACAGTTTAGAGCTCTTGTGATTGAATTTTTTGAATGGTTAGGGATTGGAATTAATCAACTCAAGAATCTGCTGAATATGCAGGTGCTTTTACATGGTGGACAGGTGGTCTCTTGGAAAAATGAGAAAAGACAGGAGATGCTCTTTATGAGCACTAAGGTGAACTGACAAATTCATGTTTGGCCTAATTTGTATATATTGGAAATGAAAACTTTGCTAGATCAGTGGAGAGAAGATAATCGGGAATACAACTTAAAGATGATTCTTAGGTTGATTTCTTAAAGCTTTCAAGAATTGATAGGTTGAAATTTTGTTGAGTGAAAATTGCTGCACTAGAAACAGGCTTCCGATCAATGCTCTAACAGTTAGCAATTAGCCTTTTGTTTATAGTTTTGAAGGAATGCATCTTCGTGATTGGAAATGTTGGCTTGGCTGCTGTATGTTTTTTGAATGTGCAATAGTTGTTTGAATATCTGTTTGTGTTGTGGCATTTGATAGCATCATCTGTCCATGAGAAGTGTGAATGTGATGTTCATCAGGCTATATTCAAGCCACCGAAATCCATCAGGGGCGGCATACCAGTCTGCTTTCCACAGGTCAGTCACCAGCTTGATTACCAAATTCTTTTTGTCTAAAACGTCGGTTGAATGCATTATCTTTCGCTTGCACGTGTAGTTCTCCCATTTTGGTACATTGGAGCAGCACGGATTTGCAAGGAACAGGTTATGGTCGGTGGATGACTCCCCTTCGCCATTACCTCCCATTAACAATCAATCAGGGGTGGATCTTATACTGAAATCCACAGATGAAGATCTGAAGACGTGGCCACATAGGTGAGGTCGCAAAGGATGAAATACCATTGAGTCAAAAAGTTAAATTGATATTTGTAGATTAATATGAGTGTTTCCATTTGAATCTTGATTCGATTTGCAGGTTTGAGTTGCGCTTACGTGTTTCTCTGAGTGCTGGCAAGCTTACCCTGATTCCTCGTGTGCGGAACACTGATAACAAGGCCTTTTCATTCACATTTGCTTTGTGCAATTACCTTTCCGTATCGGATATCAGGTTTGCCTCATCTCTTCACTAGTTCTTGCGGAATATTTCCCTATTTTTGCTTGAGTTGAGTACAAATTTCCGACATATAGGAACACCATCTAAATTGTCCATTTTATGTATGTTGTGCACTAATGAAGATTTGCATTCATATCAATTATATAAACCTATGATTGCTTCTAGGGATGAGCAAAATATCTTAATGTTGAATATCCAATATGAATAAAACTGAAATTTTAAATGTGGTTAGGATCTTTTGGATTGGATCTGATTGAAATTTTCTTTTAAGTTATGGATCGGTATAGTGCAAATTTAAACAAATCTGAATTATATTAAAATGCTCATAATATATTGAAAATTTGTACATATTGTGTGCTTTATGGGTTCTTATTTGGGATTTCTTGTAGTATTTATTTTTAAGTATTTAGGTTCTTTTATGGGTTCTTATTTGGGATTTGGATTCTTATTTGTACCCTAAACCCTATTAAATGTTAGATAATTTTATCATGTATTTGTTTTTCATTTGTTGGATATAATTTATTTATTAATAAACTTATCAATTTTTTTTTAAAAAATTTCGAATTTTCGAATTGGTTTGGATTTGGCAAAATCGAACTATATAACCAAATAGTCACCCCTAATCATAAATCTTGTGGATCCTTTAACTTAGTTCGATGGGTTACGTATCGTGCTGTTTGCAGTGAAGTGCGTGTTGAAGGATTAGAGACACTCGATTACTTTGATAATTTGATGCAAAGAGAAAGGTACACCGAACAGGCCGATGCAATTACTTTCGATGGGGAGGTAATAAATGTTTTCACCATTGCACATTTTCATTTCTCCTGGCAAGCTGCTTTGCATTTCTCGCCATATTATTATTTTGTTTGGCCCGCAAAAAAGATTATACATTTCATAAAATTCCCACAACAGATCGACAGGGTATACTTAAGCACACCTACAAAGATAGCCATAATCGACCACGAGAAGAAGAGAACCTTCGAACTTCGCAAAGACGGCATGCCCGACGCAGGTGCTTCCTATCTCCCGATTTAAACTTTTTAACAGCACGATCCGATTATACGCATCACTTTTTTTCCCAACTAAACTACCTGCAGCTGTATGGAACCCTTGGGAGAAAGGGGCGAAGGCGGTTTCCGACTTAGGCGACGAAGATTACAAATCAATGCTGCGTGTCGACTCTGCAGCTCTCGAAATCCCGATTGTCCTAAAACCTCTCGAAGAGTGGAGGGGCCGTCAGGAGCTGTCAGCTGTCTTCTCGAGTTATTGCAGCGGACAACTTGATCCTCGGAAGGTTGTTTTCGGCTTCCACTGATTGGCTGCGCCGTCGGACCTTCGATAAGTTTACTTTATCATTATCTCTGTCTGAATTCTTACCACTGTGCTGCCTGTATGCTTTTGTATGTGTTGATTTCTTTACTACTTACACTGCTATGCATCGACTTTGTTCATCTTCATAAAAGTTTGAGGAATTTTGTGGTGCACTTGGAATTTTAAACTAGTATGAGCTTTTTGCAAAAGTGTAGCGATGTTGGGTTCTATATTTTGAACGGTGGAGATTGAATCGATTGATATTGTGTTTTTAATTTGAATATGATATTTTGGGAGATTGAAGTGCTCTTTTAATTAAAAGAACACATTCTGTTGTGATCTGATTTAAAATTTTGGGTAATTTTCTACTATCCTTCGGATCTCTCACTTTAGTTAGTAATTAGGGGTATCCGGGCTGGCTCGGTTTTTCTGTGTTGGGCCAGCCCGGTCCAGTTGCAAACCGGGCTTGAAAAAGGCCGGCCCGTGCATGACTCGGTTTGAAATCGAGAACAAAATATACGCAAGGCTGCTAAGCCCTTAACCGCCAAATTATATTGTAATTTTTGTTTTTATTTTAAAAATTAATATATATATATAAATTTATTAAAATTTAAATATTAATATTAAAAATAGAGCCAGGCCAGGCACGGACCTTCATGAGTTCGGCATAATCCGGTTTATTAGTGTGCCGGACGATAAAATTTTCAAACTTATTTTTTGAGGCTCAACGGTGTGTATTTTTGCCATCCTTACTAGTAATTATAAAATCCGTTGCTGGTTGATGTTATGAATATGATTGGGAGTTGATTTTAATTATATATATATTTTTATATAAAATATAATATTAAAATTCTATTAAAATAAAATTTAAAGCAAAATTCTATATATGTATATATATTTAAAAAAGTAATATTTATTTTATAAAAAGAATATATAACATGGCATCAAGATCGAATCCATTTTCTCATCCATCCCACCCAACCCTACTCCACTGTCTGCCCTTACGCTTCCTTTTATATTCTTTTATGAATTTTTTGACGTGTCATATTATATATATATATATAATTATTCGATTTAAAAATATATTTAAAATCAAAATTAAACAAACGAGCGTACATTTTTGCAGTAAAATAATAGTAATAAAAAACTAAATAAATAAAGAATAGAGAAAATTTTTTATTAATTAACTTTTTATTTTTTTTAAACATATGTTAATATTTAATTTTTTAATCCATTCATTCACTTCATAAATATATATTTTGTGACATTTTATTATCCAAACATAATATCTATTTTTTTTAATACGCATGAACTCCACTATACATTACAAGTAACCTCGTATTTATATTTATTGACATCAATATTTTTATGTATCCATTTGTTTTTTGCAAGTAATTTTAGAAATATTAGTATTATATTGGGATATAGTAGCAATAAAATAGAAATGAGTAAAATAACCTTGTTAGTACGTGTGATATAAAGGTAATGACATTTGTGTAATATATTGTTAGTTGTAAGGGTATTTGTAATGCTTGATATATAGTATAGTTATAAAAAAAGAAATTACTTTGTTATATGACATATTAAAATGGAAAAATGGATACTTTGTTATGGACGGAGAGAGTAGTATTTACAAATCAAAATTATCATAAATTATTGTTGAGATATTTTAGATATTCAGTTTTAGATTTAGTAAGTTTTGTAATGCCTATATATATCGAATCTGTTTTGTAATTTCGACAAGAGACTATAAAAATGCTCATGAAATGCCCATTCAAACTCAACCTAAGTATGTAAAGAATCACGACGCAATGTAGCACAAAAAAAAATGTAATTTGTACTACTCATTGTTCCCAAATTTTTGGATATGAAAACTACTGTGGATATTGCAAAATATTACATCTTATTTATTAATACATATCATAAATATAATTTAATTATATTGCAAAACATTTTAGAAGAAAAGTACACATGCATTATTATACTAGATAGGTATAAAATATTAGGCTCTTTTTAAATAAGAATTTTAATTTTTTTTTTAAAATAAAAAATAATACTTTTGTAAGATTTAATATAATATTTCTAAAAATTAAATAATTTTTAAATTTCAAAATTATTATGTAAACAAAAACGTTTAATATTTGAAAATCTAAATAAAATAAATACCCAACCCCAAAACACAAGACCTAATTCAATTCCAATTAATTCAGCGGTGGTCTTATTACTATTTATTGCCTCTGCAGATAGACAGAACAGAAAGATAGATCATCCAATAGACGACGAAGACCGATGCGGTGAGCCAAACCCTTACTTATATATATATAAATATAAATAGAAATAATTATCTTATACCACTTCTTCTTCTTTTTCTACTGTTCTATTGTGTTCTGTTCTCTCCAATTCCTTTTTTATTAGTTTCCAATACGGGTTTCTGGGGTGGGATTATATATATTTTCATTTTTATTAAAAAAAAAAAAAGAAAGAAAAAACCATGTGGGGGGTGGGGTGGCCTTGGAAATAGAAGTGTGTTTCAAGTCGATTTAGGTGTATTGTGTGTGGATTGAGTTGTATCTTTTTTTTGGATTAGTAATGGCAGCGGCAAGTGACAAACATCTCAATCTATCCATTTTGATTTTTATTTGTTATTTTAGGGGATGATGATGGGCGTATTTCACGAGGGCATTTCTTGATCTGGGATTTACTCAGAATGTCCAAACAACCCAACTCATAAAACCCAATTTGATCTGTTTCAACTTTCAGCACAATAAATTTGTGGTGAGTGAAAGAAAGAAAGAAAGAAAAAGAAAAATGGAATCTGGGAATGGATTTGATTCAAGATCAGGGTTTAATTTGGACCCCAAATGGCTGATTGATCCCAAGCTTCTTTTTGTTGGTCCAAAGATTGGAGAAGGAGCTCATGCCAAAGTGTATGAGGGGAAGTAAGTTGTGATTTGGTTTGTGATTTCTGTTTAGAATTTTTGGAGATTTGATAATGTTTTGATAGAAGAAATCATTATTTGGTATGATGTTTGTTTGTTTTTTTTTTACAAAGTTAATGTTGTTGTCAAGTGAATAGTGCTAAAACTTTTGAAATTGTTACTGTAAAAAAATTCTTGGTAATGTTTGTTTGGTTTGAGTTCAAGTTTTAGTTTTTTATTTGAGTTTAAATAGTAAGTTGATGTGATCTTGAATGAATAATATATATGGCAAGAGATTTTGATTTAAACTCAAGCTACTCATACACTTTACAGAGTTTTGGAAAATTTTTGGAAAATTTTGAGAATAATAAAAGGCTCGATTATTTTGATAAGATGTTTTGTGAGATAAAATAATTATTTGATAAGATGATTTCAAAGAAAAAAAAGTTATTATGGAACATTCAAAAGTGTTTTTGTTAAGGGAGATTTAAGTTTTGGGATTGGACCTAAGTTTTTGTTGTTCAATTGAATTAATTAATTTGATGATGTTCTTATGCAAAGATTGCCCTAAACTTTGAGATATTAATAGACAAAATTTTCAGATACAAAAACCAGAATGTTGCAATCAAGATTGTTCACAAAGGAGAAGCACCCGAAGAGATTGCCAAGAGGGATGCGCGATTCGGGAGAGAAGTCGAAATGTTGTCAAGAGTTCAACACAAGAACCTAGTTAAGGTTTGGGATTGTGTTTTTTTCGAATGTTTGCTTTGTAGTAATATTACATGGAGAGTTATGGTGCTTAAGGAGGATGTATTGGAGCTTGAGGGAGTCTTGTTTTCAATTTTTCTTCTTTTTTTTTGCAGTTTATCGGAGCTTGCAAGGAACCGGTTATGGTCATAGTAACCGAGCTTCTACTCGGCGGCACATTGAGGAAATACTTGCTGAATTTGCGGCCGAGGTGCCTCGATACGCACATTGCGATTCAATTTGCTCTTGATGTCGCCCGCGCCATGGAATGTTTGCACTCGCATGGAATCATACATCGGGACCTTAAACCTGGTAAGAATTTAGGTTCTTTTAAAGTGTTTCGGAGTTTTGGAAAAAGTTTGAGGTTCAGTGAAACATTGAATAAAAAGCAAGTATTTGATAAAATATAAATAGACGCAGAATGGGATGTTTTGTATAGATTATAGAATTTTATATGCATTTTTTAAAAAAATTACCGATGACAAAAAGTGTTAAGAGTTTGTTTAGTTTGTGTTTATTGTTTTAGGTTCTTTTATTATTATAGACTTTGAATTATAAAGGTATTATAAAGAATAACGACGTTAATTAATGTGTATATATATTGTATTTTTCAGGTAATATTTTTCATGTATCCGTTTTTACGATGAACGGACACACTCTTAATGTTTGTGAATAACCCTACGAACAACATAATGTATTCGTCGTATGTCTTCTTAAAAACAACGTTGTTGGAGTCGAGCGATATCCGTTCTTGTCTTTACGTAGGATTTCGATTACTTGCTGCGATCGAATGACAAACTATTGTTCCAATGTATTATTCTTCGTCGTTTATTCTCTCGACAGAAAACTTGCTGCTGACATCTGATCACAAAACCGTTAAGCTCGCCGATTTCGGTTTAGCAAGAGAAGAGTCGCTGACGGAGATGATGACAGCCGAGACCGGCACTTATCGTTGGATGGCGCCCGAGGTAAAAATTCTATCTTTATCCGATCGTTTCATATCGATTTCCGTAACGATTGTATCATTCCGCAGCTCTACAGCACCGTCACGCTGCGACACGGAGAGAAAAAGCATTATAACCATAAGGTCGACGCTTACAGTTTCGCGATCGTGCTGTGGGAGCTGATACACAATAAGTTACCGTTCGAAGGCATGTCGAATCTTCAGGCAGCCTACGCTGCCGCCTTCAAAGTAAATCCTCACACCCTCTACCTCGGCTCGTTTGAAAATCCCGTCGGGTTGATGTAATTCCGCAATTTGTAAAATTTCTTGTGGGTCTCAGAATGTCCGGCCGAGCGCGGAGAATCTTCCGGAGGATTTGTCCGTAGTCGTCACTTCGTGTTGGCAAGAGGATCCCGACGCTCGCCCCAATTTCAGCCGGATAATACAGATGCTCCTTGATTACCTGTCGAAAATATCGCCCGCGGAACCTGTTGTGCCGCCCCGGATTTTCATGTCCGAGAACGCGGTTTTTCTGCAAGAGTCTCCCGGGATGAGTTCTTTAATGGCGAAGAGAGGCGATGGCTGCGGCACTCCGAAAACGTCGATGGAGAACAAACCGAGAGGCCTTTTCTTCTGCTTTAAACAGTGCTATTAATCCAAAGGTACACATAGATACATACATATGTGTATATGTATGTATGTATCTATAAAATTTTCATTTCTTGTCTTCCTTTTTGACCTGATTCAAAACAAAGAGGGTTTCAAGGTTATGGAGTTAGGGCTGCTGTGATGGTATTTTAGCTGTAAAATAAGGTTCATCCAAAAGCCTATTATACTCCAAATATGAATAATAATAATAATATTATGCAACTTTGTAATAATAACAGATGACAAAACACCTTTGTTTGTTTATTCTTCTTTCATACATACATTCAGATGTAATTGCAAGAAAATCATTTCGTTTTTCAATGCTATGCTAATGGTAGCATTCGGGAGTTAAAGTGCTGATTAGGACTAATTAATATACGAGCTATTATGTACTTCATCAGTCTCAAATGCCCTAGCTATTATGTACTTCATCAGTCTCAAATGCCCTAGCTATTATGTACTTCATCAGTTTTTGTCTGTCTCAGACATTTTCTAACGTTTCTAAAATAGAAAATAATTAAATATATTTAATATCTACTTCACAATTTATATCATCATACTCAAATATATACACTTTTTTTCTCTCATCGTATCATTTAATTTTCAAATTATCCTATTTAATACTCTCCATCTAAATTCTCATACCAAAAATAAATGTTGCACCATGTTTGGACGGACGGAGAGAGTACTATTTAGCCCTAATGAGCACTGTAATTGCCAATTCCAAATGATGGATCTTATTGCATTCAAATGCAACTGCAAGAAAAACCATTTTCCTTCTTCAATATACTTTGTCTTGTACGGACTTGATCACATATAAGAAGCCATTTTCAAGAATACACAAATTGATTACTTTCATAGAAAACAAACATTAGCATTGAGAAGCCAAGAAATTTTATTTTTTACCTTCAATTGAAGTGTTGTAGGCTTTGTTTTCTTCCTCCTGTACAAACCAAGAGCGCGATTTATGCTTACTTCTTCTTAAGGACTTGGTTGATCGGAATACCTGAAGAGGACATTAGTTTGTTATCAGTGAACTACAGAGGCAGCATTTCAAAACAAATCTACAGAAGATTCCTGAATTATTTCATTTCAAAGGCAGATAAATGAACAGTTATGAAATCTGATACTAATAACATATTGTGTATACACAAGGACTAATGAAAGCATAAATGAATTCAAGAAAGGTAAACCCATATCAGAAGAGATAACAAAGAAACAAAGAAAGCAAGAAACCATAAATTTGTCACAAAACCGGCATACTTGAGTGATGGCACACAAAATAAAGCTAATCTATGGCAACCGAAACCCAACATTAATAACAGCTAAACAAGCTTAGTAACAAGCGGAAAGAGATTTGTGCTAAAATGCATACCGTTGGACTTCATCATTTCTTGTCTCATCAAAATCCCAGGTTTTCATTTAGTTTTGTGTCTTCATCTGTATATACAAAATGCTGATAAAGCTCCCCCCTTTCTCTTCAAATAAGCAAAAAAATGCATTTCTAGCCCCTGATTGTTCCTGGAACAAATTCAGAGAAGGTGATCGTTCCTCAGGAACACAAAAGAAGTGTGTGTTGGTTGAACTGTCAAAGCGCAAACAAACAAACGAATAAATAACAAGCAGAGTGGTCAGTTTTATTATTGATATATATATACATATATATATATACTTACAGATCACAATACTGCTTGATCATGCAGGTTTTCCTTCCTTCAACAGCTACCAGCAGTTGTTATCTTCCCTGTCCTCATTCTAACATGAGAATTGCAGCTGTGACATATCCTTAGAGCGATCATCTTTGGAGTACTGAGAGGCCCATGGACCTCAACTCCACTTAGATGTTCATCCTTAACAATTAAGATTCATGATTTCATGCTGCAGGTGGTGTTTGGATCCCGGGTGCTCCGCCCATCACTGGTGAACACATTCACCTGTGCTATTCTATATTCTCTATTGTGACTATGGGTGTGCATACTTCATAACTTTTTTAATGTGATAGTTTATGAGAGAAAATAAGAAATTTTTATCAACTCTTTAGCATACTTCAATAAATTTATTACATTCAATACTCTTAATATTTGGCACACTTCTCCAATAACTCAAGCAAAGATCCATCTTCTTTCCAAAATGTTATATAATATTCATTTAATAGCTATTTACGAGTAAATCCATCAAAATCCAATGGCCATTTCATTACTTGTCCGGTGAATGCATAATTACTGCACAAATTAATATGGTTATCGTGTTAATCTATATTATTGTTATTAACAATCTGCTAATAAAACTGTGAAATATAATACACAACATTCATTATAGAATACACACTGTGTGTGCATCATCTTATGGTAATATTAAATGAATAATGACAAATTTAGTATTGATAAAGATGCTCTTTGTACATCTTAACAAGCCTCTATTCTCCATAAATATAAGTTATTCCTTTCATATTATCAGATCCAACCAATATTTAAACACAAGATACAAATCAAGCACACCCTAAATAACTGAAAAAGGGCGCTTTAGAACCATAATTTTGCAACAAGTAGCAGCAGCATACACTAAATCAAGAATTTTCAGTCCAGTTCCAAGAACACACAGAGATGATTGAAGATAGGTTATACATAAACAAGAATTGCAAATTCTCATTGAACTTTAACCATCTATGGAAAATCATTCTAATTAATAAGACCCTCAACATGATGTCCAGCTTCCATTAAGCAAAGAGCATACAATCCCAGATACTATTAAGTTCGGAACAGATTCAACAATCCTAGAAATAAGAGATGTCGATAAATGTTACCAGTTACCATCATTCCTCTGCAATAACTCATCTACGATAGAACCAGCTTTCGAACACAATCTAACTCTGCAGATTTGCCTGCATAGGCTGGCCAGGTTAACACAAAACAGATGCAAAAATATATAGCCGTCGTAATGTAAAAAGATGAAGAAACCACCCATCACTGCTAAACTGGTCAAGATATTATACATTCTTACTCGTGGATCTATTCCATCATCAATGGCTATGTCAGATCCTAGTTCCTACATCTAACAGTTAAATAACTCAATAAATAAAAATGATCGAAGAACAAATTTTTGCTACAATTGGATACAGGAAACAAAATGCACAAACTTCACTCATCGTAATGCTATTTATTGTTCACCTAATGCAGCCATGAGGTCTTGTGGCGATGGATCGAAAATTGGCAAGTCAGTCAGCTGCTGCTTCAGTCGATCCTCTTGAGCACTGCACAACGCTTCAGCTACATCGCATAAATTCGTGATACTCCTAATCACAGCCTCCTGAGCTTCAATCTACAAATTCCAAGCACAAATTGAAGAACCCCCAATTTCACAAAAGAAAATTGATACGAAAAAAATTGAAGATATTTGTAGCATGATTCGAGCTCCTACCTGAGCGAGGAGCTCATCAACGGTTCTCCGGAGGGACGAATCTGAGTCGGAATGTTGTTTCGAGCTGGACGTAGGGCAAACCAGTTCCTGCCGCTCCATGGATTTCGTTCCAGCGCTTTCCTCCAGTTCCTTCAACGTATTCGACAAAATCTCCCACCGGCTAATCTCTTCCACATACTTATCCCTCAGCTTCACCAGAGCATTCCTTTTCCGTTCACGACGGCGCCTCCTCTCCGCGGCGGGATCCGGCGGCGGTTGGACGGCGGACAAAATCGCGGTAGGGTCGAGACGCGGCCGCTTCTTGCGCTTGTACACAAATCCGTCGTCGTTTACCAATTCCCAGTCGTCGGGATCTTCGTGAGCCGCCATAACTACATTCAGCTCCGCGACGGAAAATTTGATTTCACGGAAAATTGGGAATTGTTAAGAGCGGTAAAGTGAAGATCCAAAAAGTATTATATTTCAAAGCGCTGCAGGGGGAATATCTTGAATATTACAATTTCGTCCCCAATCTTCGAAAAATATTAAATCCACCCCATCCCCATCCCCAAACACAGAACCCTCCTCCTTCATCTTCTTCATCTAACAAAATTCCCAAATCCAGATTCCAGTAAACCCTAATTCAACAAACTCCAAAAATGGAGGCAAAAATTAGAACAGATTAGCAGAAACTAAAGCGGTGAACGAATAAACATCAAGATTTTCCGGCAGCAGAAGTGGAATTAGGGAGCTGAATATCCATTCCCTGGAAGTATGATTTCTCCGCCATGGCCAAGCGCTTTGAAAACATTGACCATTCACTGATACACCTCTCCCTTACCTAACAATACAGACAACTCTTTCCATTATTCATTCAGACAGAATCAATGCAATTAATAAAAACCATAAAAACGATTCTCAGTTCTTACCCCCTGCCATGGAGGTCTGCCATCAGATGCCTGACCCTGTGAAGAAGAAAGAATCATTGAAGAAGATGAACACTCAAAAATCCCAAATTACTATCAAATATCTGATCTTTAGGCATTCATGCACACGTAAATTATAATACCTGATTCCCTAAAGAAGGCACTGTTTGATGAACTATCCATTGAGAATCGACGACGCCAATTTTCTCATGCGCCGGCTGAATTCAAAACATCATATCAAAATATCGACGAAGACTGCAACATTTTTCTTACAACAAGCATTCTAACGGCTACTAACCTCGACGCATGTTCGAAGAGCAAAGTCGAGGCCCCATCCATGGATCAAGTCATTCTGCATCAATAACCAACACCTTTTAAGTCCTCGATCCGATCTTGTCTGAATTTCTCGAGTCGAATTGTACCTGGATCATATGCCACACACATCGCCACGCTTTACGAGAGAATACCGGCGCCATGATCTCGACGAACCTGCATTGTCAGAGTCTTACAGCTTAAACTTTTAGGTAAGACATTCATTTATCAGGACATTTCGAATGAGCACATGAACATCATGTAATGGAACGAACGACATTTGTTAATACATTCTCGGATATTGTCTACTCACGCTGCACAGGGCGGGAGACGAGGGTCCGTGCACCATCCAGGCCTTTCCTCGGTGTTCCTGCCAAAAAGTTCGAAAAAACGCCATTACTACAGCTGCACAAGCATCGAACATTTTCGATCTTTTTTGTCGTACTTGTGAACTTCGCTGTCTTCTCGCCTGCTCGTCATCTGCCATGTCATCCCTCCGTACGGCGATAATCCGGGCTGCGATATCTCCAAGCCGTGCTTTCTTACCAGCTTTATGTATCTGATGAACAATCGATACGATATATATAACGGCTGTTAGGATACTAAATCAACACTTTATTGACAACATATAGTAATATATATACAGATAAAATGTGATACAATGCACAGTAAAAATTGTCGGTATATGACAATAGTCCATACAACACATATCATATAGATGTGGCAATTTCGGGCCGGCCCGTCTCGATCCGTTTTTACCCATACTTGGACAGGCCCGGCCCGGTTTGATGTCGGAAAACAATTAAATTCAAATATTAAAGATAGAAATGAAAATTGAACACATGACATACAACTAACAACACAAAAACTAACTATTATACTACTCTTTTATTTTTTCTATATATTTATTTAAATAAATATATTTATAAAAGTATATATTTGAAAATTTATTTATTCTATTAAACAGGCGGGGCCAGGCATGGCCCAACCATCCAAGGTCCGAGCACGGCCCGGTTTCTCGTTGTGCCCTATTGGGCATGGCCCGAAAAACTTTCGAGCCTATTTTTTAGGTCCAAATACGACTTTTTCGTGTCGGGTTCGAATTTTCGGATGCACCTATTTTTGCCACCTTTAATATCACATGACAAAACAACACTGTATGTAATATATATATATATATCAGATGTTTTCGGACTCACTCCTCTGGATCGAAGTTCTCGACTCCCAAATCTTCATCCCAAATGAATATATAATCGTACGGCGCCACAATGTCCGGGTGTAGAAATCGCTTAGCGTACCACCTACAAAAGTCGAGAGGGTTTACGCCTCATTACATTGAAACATTTGGACAACAATCTATCATAGTTACCATTTGGTTTGCTTCCGAGCGCTCACATGGATCGCTTGTTTCGACCACTCGAATTCGTCCCATTCGCTCGTCCGACCATCGTAGTGAAACAACAAGATTGTAAAATTCTCCGAGAACTATAAATCGCCACAAAAATCACCAAAAACATATATATATGTACATAATACTAACCAAGCATGGAAAATGTTAGTTACCTTTTTTACTGCAGCATCGATGTTGTTCTTCTGATCGTAGCCAACCGTAAATGTAACAAGATATCGCGGTTTCCTCGCTACATCCTGCAAAGTTTCGACACACTATGGTAATATGAAACCTTAAAAAGGTTACAAGATGTAAGAGTTAAGACACTAGCCAAGATACGAAAAAAAACTTTGAAATGTCGAAATGCATACCTCCTTGGGATGACCCCATCTTCTCCTAATGTACATATCGGACTCGGCTGCGATTATGCCCGGCGGAAGCCTTTCAGCTCCCCGAGGATTAGTCGGGATCCAAACCTTTTTACGACCAGATAAAAAAGTAATGTTCTAGAGCTTGAGAGGTAGTAAAAAAAATTGAGTATGCGATGCTATTCTTTTTTTTATTATTAATTAGTGAAAGTGTGAAAAAAGTTTTTGACATTTTTACCCTTTGACTTTAGGTAGAAAGTAATTGTATGTGTAATAGTACGTTTGTAATTTAAGTAAAAATTAATGATATTTTGGTATTAGTGTAAGATTACTTTTTCTAAAATAAAAAATGAATACTTTGAAATGCGACAGACGAAAATGGTAAAAATAATACTTTGAAGTGGGATAAACGAAAATGGTAAAAATGATACTTTGAATTAGGACAGAGGAAGTAATAAATGCCGATGGATAGTGTCAAAAATTTTAAAATCAACATAAACATTTTTATTGGGAGAAAATGTTTACCTTAGCTTTGTTGAAATTTAGCAAAGTGCCTCTATGAGTTTTCAAGGAGAACCACAAGTTCAATAATGCTTGAGTCGGGAGAGTCGAGTATTTTTCCTCGACATAAGTAAGATCTATCGGCGAAAATACGCTCGAAGGAAAATTAACCTAGAGAATTCACATTGGCAACATAAGTGTTCTTATAAATCTTCTTGCAAACCAAATTGTAAGAGAATATAATTTTAGTTTCCGCATTATATATATATATTCATACAAAATTGGTCTCATTTTAAATGAGTTTGCACAAATTCAAAATATTTTAGCGCGGCCGTTATAAGAGCCTATATAGTATGAAATAAATGCCCGTGCATCTTAGGAATGCAGTTATGTTGCTCATTACAAGTTGTACGTTGATATGTCAGGTGTAATGAACAATACGACTGTATTCTTAAAATATACGAATATGTTTTATGTCACATAGGTTTTCATAACAGCCACATCAGCAAAATTCGTCAAAATTGTACTAACAAGGTTAAATTTAATCGACATTGATTTAAAATGAGATTAATTTTGCAGGAAATTTGAATTCACTTGTATTGCGACTAGAATATATATATATATATTTCGAGAATTGATAAAGATGTAAGAAATTGAACAATATATATATAACCTGCCTTTGTGAGTGAAATAACAGGAAAGGAAACCCCCAAATAGAAACCGAAGAGAATGGCTACAAAAGCCATTATTATTAGCCTCATCATCCCATTTGTTCTTCTTACATTCAAGCTGTCATCACATATATATATATATATATTTGTACGTATGTATACATCAATATCAGTACAGAAAATGGTGTTATATATATATATATACTATCTCCGTCCGTCTCTAAGGTTCCGTTTACTTTTTGCGTGTAGATATTTGAATATTAATTATTATATCAAAACGTAATATAAATTAAAAAAAAAATGCAAAAATACTATTAGTATCTTATAATACCAAGAACATTTATATAAAAAAAAAAATATATTTTTAATCTTAAATATAATGACGACAAAGAACTTAGAGGCGGACCGATGAAATATATAATTTGAGATTAAAAAAGATTTGGAACTTACATTGAAGTGGAGGATCTTCTTACAGGCGTGCCCATCTTTAATTAATTAATAACCTCGACTTTCACTGCAAATAAAATTAAAATAAATAAATCAATCAAATAGATTCGATTCTCGAATCCACGACAGTGTCTGAAGGCATCATATTGATTGATTGAAATGATCAAATACGTATTTGAAAAAAAGGAAATTACAATTTGCATGCACAATATTAATTAGGGTTACGAAAATCATTGGCTTCGGAAATTCCTATGAATAATTGATACTTAATTAATCCGAACAAGACATGAAAGATAAATGAAACCTGGATTCGATGGGTTCTTGATTCGAAAATTTTTGTCTGTCTGTCTTTGTAGAGAGAGAGAGACAGATCGATCGATCTGTTGTATGAAAAATATGATAATAAGATTTCATTTTATTATTATTATTACTATTTTATTTTATTTTTTGTGGTGTTTGCATTGTTGAAAATGAAGAAAATTGAAAAGTAAAAATTAAAAATTAAATTAGTGTTGTGTAATATATATGACAAAATTAGATATAAATATATAAGTATGTAATGTATTACTCCCTCCGTCACATATCTATAAATATGATTTGCTTTCTGCATAAAATTTTAGAAATATTAGTATTATATCGAGATAAAGTAAAAATAAAGATAATTTAGTTATCGAGATAAAGTAAAAATAAAGATAAAAAGACTAAATTAACCTATGATATAAAGATAATGATATTGTAATATATTGTAAATTCGAAGATCTTTTACATATAGAGTTTGATTATGTAATTGGGTGTAAACTTTTATTTTATTTTTAAGTATGTGCTTAAAATTATCTTTGATTATACCAACTTCATTGATATAGTGAATATTTACTTTTTGTGAGGCCGACATAAATAAACACTATAATCATATGATAATTATTATATATATATGTATAATTATCAAAATAATAATATAATCATATGATAATTATTATATTATATATATAATTAATTTTCTTTTATATTTGATCTTTATTATAACAAACATCAATTTCCCAAATTAAATCTACCATATAAATTTCAAATTTCATAAAAATCTCAACAAAACCTAACCCTTCACATATTTATCTCACTTTATAAATATGATCAAAATAAACATCTTTAAACACAAATAAACAAAAAAGAAGAGAAAAGAAAAACTCATTGGCCAACAGGAATGATCATAAAGGTAAGTAAATATACTTTTAGTTAATTGGTTTGTGTTATTTTAATTTAAAGTTTGTATTTGTTTCATATAATTCAAGTGTCTAATTTAATTTCTATTACCATGAATTGAACATATGTGTTAATCCATCTTATTTATTTAGATGTTATATTAGAAATTATGTATATGAAAAATATAAATATGGCGAAAAATTATCAATTAAAAGTTCAAATAACGCACTGCAGAACATATATTACATTTAAAATACGTGTTTTTTAAGTTCCCAATAAAAATAGATTCTTAAACCTGTAGTAATTCCGAATATAAAGGGTTTGTCTGTTTGTTTTGTTTTTGTACGTTAGGTACGAGAAATATAAAATAATATAAAAATAATAATAATATGTTGTATTGAATTTTTAATTTTTTTTTAATGAATTGAGTAATATATATTGTATATATATATATTATATTCTTTATAATATTAATCTAGGTCCAAATTTTTTTGATAGAAGAATAAAATAAGCAGAAGATTATGGGCCATCTTTTGGACAAACCCATATGCTTTATTATGCATTGGGCCACAACATCGGCCCATTCTTGGAGTTGGGCTTTCAAGAGAGAATCAGATTGTGTTTGTATTGTGAAATTATTTAAATTATATTTTTTATGCAATAGAAAATTATATATTTAATATAAAAATAATAAATATATAAGATATATTAATTAATTTATTTTTTTTAAAAAAAATGTATTATTTTTATAAATAGAACGCACCTTCAATCTCTTACTCTAGCAATTATTTATTTATTTGTAATTTTTAGAGATTTTTTTTTTTTTTTTTTTCTTAAGATTCATATTCAACGAGCAGCATACTAATCATCTCATCGAATACCTTCAACTGTACAGCAACTGCATGTGCTGCTGCACCTCTCTTCTTGCCCAACAATCGTATCTTTATGACAATATAACCAACTAAGAATTAATTAACAAAGTGTCTTAATTAGACAATCACCAAATTAAAAATCTTAAATCAAGCATATTGTGTGCCATTCTTCTTTTTGCAGCCCAGAAATTCCTTTTTTTAATTTTTTTCACGAGTTATTGATGAGTGCTCGCAACAACTAAAAGAAAAAGTCCCTTTTTCAATGAAGAAAATTAAAGCTACAGCCCTTTTTCTTGCCCTTTATAGTTTATCCCATCTTTTTATTTTTATTTAATTTAAAATTTTGATTCCTTCTTTTTTATTTCTTTAGATTTCTGAAACTTCTTCGACTGTTCGTCCCTCTTCCCCAATCCCCCAAAAAAATAAATAAATAAAAATAGAATCTTGCAATTTGGGTCTTTCTAATTTGCAATCTGTTGCGTGTCTTTTTCTTTCGACAAATTATATGAATGGAGTTGTTGGTGATGATCAACTACGTGGTGATTATCTAAATTTCAAGAAATGCAATTTGTCAGCACGACTTTTTTTTCATTATTAATTTGGGTCTTTCTTTAATCTTTACACGTTTACTTATCACCCTTCTTTTTTGTACTTCAAAAAATATTCGATTCATTTTTTTGCTAATCATTTTGAGGGCTCCCCTCAATTGTCTGTTCTCCGGCAAGATCGATTCTTTTAACGTTCGTCGAGCTTGATGGGAAGCAAAATCTCGTGCCTAAGGAACGGGAGAAGTTCCGAGCCGGCGGTGCAGTCGAGTAAGCCGGCCGGATGGCATCTTCATCATAAGCAAGCTTCGTTTTCCCGATACGCTCAAAATTACCCGGTGCCGGGTCCTTATTCTCCGAATCGATCGTATACTCCTACATGCGACGACCCGACTCCATCGCCGCATGCACCTCTACGATACGACATGACGGATGCTCAAATGGTCGCGCCGCAGAAGAAGCTCGACAAGAGGTATTCGAGGATCGCCAACGAGTACAATTCGTTAGAGGAGGTAAGTTAATAAGCTTATGCTTGTGCTTAGTATTTGATGGGATATAAATGGATATTCTAACATCTATCGACTTTCATACCTTTTTTTGTCGTAGGTGAGTCAGGCGCTCGCGCACGCCGGTCTTGCATCGTCAAATCTAATTATAGGGATCGATTTCACGAAGAGCAACGAGTGGACCGGTTCGTTTTCTCGACTACTATAACATATACTTGCATAACAATGCAGGTGTTGGAATATCGCTAAATTCGAGTCCTGTCTCAGGCAAGAATTCGTGCAACGGTCGAAGCTTACATCACGTCGGGGATGGCTTAAATCCTTACGAGCAAGCGATTACGGTGATCGGTAAAACCTTGATGGCCTTCGGCGATGACAATTTCATCCCCTGTTTTGGATTCGGAGATGGTACTGCTGTTTTTTCTGATACTTATAATCGATTTCGCCTTCGAATCATAATCGACTTCCTTCGTTTAACCTAATCTTCGCAGCATCGACTCAAGATCGAGACGTATTCAGTTTCTACCCCGATGGCGCACATTGTAACGGATTCGAAGAAGTCTTGCATCGATATAGAGAGCTCGTCCCCAACCTAAAACTCGCAGGTTTGTACCTATGGCGCGTACCTGTATCATTCATCGAACTCAACTCATCTCTTGATCATTTTGCTGTAGGACCAACGTCGTTTGCGCCAATAATCGAGATGGCCATGACTCTTGTTGAGCAGAAAGCAGGCCAGTTTCATGTTTTACTCATCATCGCCGATGGACAGGTAAGCATTTAACTCGATGTTTTCTCTCATTCCGATTCATTACATCGTAGTAATCGTTACCATCATCCACCTAGGTAACTCGAAGTGTCGAAACTGAATTAGGCGAGATGAGCCTGCAAGAGCAGGAGACAGTCGACGCCATCGTCGAAGCTAGTAAGTTGCCGCTATCCATCGTTCTAGTCGGGGTCGGAGATGGCCCTTGGGACACGATGAAGGAATTTGACGACAACATCCCTGCACGAAGCTTTGATAATTTCCAGGTCAGTCTCATCTAACCGTATACGATACCGTAAAACATACTTCTGTAACTTAAGCGTTCCTGTTGCTGCAGTTCGTCGATTTCACGCGGATTATGAGTAAGTACGCGAGCCAAACCCGAAAAGAAACAGAGTTTGCGCTTTCTGCACTGATGGAAATCCCGTCGCAATATAAAGCAGCGGTAGAGCTTAACTTGCTCGGGTAATCTCCGCTTCCCTTGTCGCTTTCGCTATCTGTCAAATAGTTTATTTACGATTTTCTGGTGGGGTAGTGGATGGAAAGGAGAGAGGGTAGCTCTTCCTCCTCCATTCTCCGGGAGTGTCCCGAAATTGTCGACTGCCAGCTCCAGTTCATATTACGAAAACAGAAACCATGTCCACACTGATGCAATTCCTTCGTCTCTGATATCTGTATACGAGCGACAGGCAAGTATATACATACATATATATATATGCATATTCCTTCGGGTACTTAGCTGACATGATTGTAAACTGTTGTTGCAGATTTGTCCCATTTGTCTCTGTAATCTGAAGGATTTGGCTTTCGGCTGCGGCCACCAGGTAATGAGTTCGTTGCACATGTTCATAACTGTGTATAGAGATTCATCTGCTGATACTCGTCCGTGTACATTTTATGACAGACATGTAGAGAGTGCGGAAAAGATCTTCGCCTATGTCCAGTCTGTCGAAGCCGGATCGAGACCAAGATACAGCTCTACTGACCCTCCAAATCCATCTCCTGTACAGACGAAGCCATTAAAACAGAGACAAATACACATGTACATTGTACATACACACAATGTAGGAATTCTATTGAATTTCAGCAGGTAGATCTACACTTACTGATGAGATGATCGGCCAGCGGGGTGGGTGGGTGGGTGGTGCATAACTTCGATCTCATCTTCTTCAATGAGATCAAACCAGTCATTACAGGACTCTTTTAATGTCCTGCCAAACATTCCTTTATTTTTCCTGTGAAGCATTGGCTGTCCTGTTCTGTCATCAATTAGAATGCTAGCTAGCAACTACACTTCATTCATTCGTATTTTTTTTCTTCGAGTAAAAACAAGTTATTTTATCGAATGGGACAATCGACAGCCAACCAACCAACCAACTACCTAGCCTGGCCCTGGTAAAGGCAATCAATCCTGTCCATAAATCGACAGATCTAATAACCACTTAGATCTCCAAATAATGGATGTGCATATATAAACAGTAGCCAGGCAGGCCCCTATCCTTCTTTCTTGGATGCATTCATTTTCCCAGCTTCTCTCCATCACTGGAGCAATGGCTAAACCACTATCCTACCAGAGGTTGGAGCGGGAGATGTGTTCCGATGATGACAATGTCCGGGAACATGTCATCAGCGGATTAAGGAACTCCACCCCAAGATTCAGAAAAGTGCATATGAAGAGGAAGTTGAGGATAAAGCAGTTTCCAGGCAGATCGACAAGAAAGCCGAGCTTCCTAAAGATGGCATGGAGTAAGTTGTGCATAAGATTTAAGGAATGTCAATCCCATTTCGGAGAGCTTTTTGGGGGGAATTATCTCTTCTTACGTGTCACTCCAACTATGCCGGATTCTAAGAGTGCTGATAATGGTAGACTTTTCGTCAAGAATGTCTAGACCTTTCTTTTCATGTAGGGTTCTAGGCATACATTCTATTTCCAAGGATACTTCTGCTTATTCAATTTCGCTTTTTAAGAAGTACGAAGTACGTGTTTTACATTTGCGAATGAATAATTAAGAGCATTATGGTTTTATCCCTATAAGCTAAACTCTTAAGGGGTGGTTGGATCTGCCGCTACTTGTGAATTTATCTACCAACATACATCATTCTCTTCACAGTCACTAAAAGATTGGGTAAAACTAACTTTAACAATAAATCAGATCAGAGGACTGCAAATTATAATGTCATATTCACATAGTGCCAACTGCTATCAAGAGTAAATGTTAGAACATCTAAATACAAAGTTGTGCAATGATCTCTACAAGGCCATGATCATACGGGACCAATACAATATGTAGCAGATGACTTACTGAAGAGTTATTTTTTTCAATCTTCCATCTACATGTGACCAAAGCTCCATTGTAGTTCTTCGAAACGAATTGTTATGTGGTAAGAAGTATAATAACTGTGCACAAGAAGGAAAAGGATAGTGAGTACAACCAAAGATGAGTCCCAACTTTTAAAATTGACAGTCAAGACAAGCCAACAACTTACCATGAAAGAACTGACTGTACAAGAGTTATTGGTCCTTCCTCACCATTCATCCCACTTATTCATGAAGTCATTCCACATAGCTTGAGCAATCGAGTCCCTTCGTGAGGCTGCCATCTGCTCATTTATTGAGAAAGGTGGTTGCAGATCAGGTGGGTCATCGAAACCTGGAGACTCGGTCAGCGTCCTATTTTCAATGCTATTGAACAACCAATCATTCCTCTCCTCACGTCGAATGTAATTATGTAATACACAAGCAGCTATAACAATATCCCTCTGTGTGTGAAATGCGTATTGAGGAGCCAGTTTGAGGATTGGAAACCTCTCCTTCAGAACACTACAGGATTTCTGGATGGCATTGTATAAAGAAGAATGTCGGTGATTAAACAATTCTTTTGCATTCCGAGGCAAAAGATTAGCACCTCGAAATTCATGGAGATGATACCGCACCCCTTCGTAAGGAGCAACAAATCCAATCATATTATCATAACTGAGGTCGACAATATAATATTTACCTGTATGTTTAATTGGTATGAATGGTCAGAGTTAAGTGAAATAATAAAAGAAAATTGATTAATCAATAGTTAATGGATCAACCTTCAGGAACAGGAGGGAAGTTCTGATCTGGGTCGCTGAGAACAGCTCTCAAAACACGTGAATCTGCAGCTGAGCCTTCCCAGCCTGGATATACAAATATGAATTGGAGATCAAAAGTGCAGGCCACCAATACATTTTGTGATAGAAAACCTTTTCTGTTACGAAATTTCGATTGATCCTTCGCTGGAACGTGTGCTGGGATGTGCATTCCATCTAAAACCCCAATACAGTCCTAAAAATACAAAGAAAATGTAAATAATATTGCAAGCTCTAAATAAAAAGTATTAGAGTTCCAAAGTTTACCTCGAAGTATGGGTGAAACCTATTACTTTTGAGGATCTCTGCTGGAGTTGCAGAAGATGGTGGCTGAAGAAATTCACGTGACAGAGATTTGAGTGCCTTCAAAACATTATTAAAATGTCTACTTATTGTTTCACCAGAATGCTGAAATCGTTCCTGTATCACTCTGTTACGCTCATTGTGACCGACAACATTTAAGAAAATAGCCAATTGCTCCTCTATCATGACACCTGGTGTGTCTCGCAACATGGCTCTGTGTCGAAGAGTGTTGCCCAGCTTTTGAAATACATGTTTGTCCATTCTAAACATTTCACGGAAAAAATCATCGGGACCATTGAGCACTTCAGTCATGAATCCAGAGCCTTTTGGTGATGAGGCATTAGCCGTGCGCCTTGTAATGCTATTGTAAAGGTGGTAACCAGCAGCTGCTGCAATTAATTCCATCTTGTCCAGTTCAATGTCAATGTCCTCCATACCGGTTGATGAATCTGCACAATTAGATTCCACAGCGCGGGCATTGGCAGAAACATCTGTTTCAGATCGAATATGCTGCAGAGAGAAAGACCAGGAATCCATTAATCTATTATTTACAAAAAGAAATTTTTATCCTTAATTCATGTACAAGGCTCATTTCCAAATTAATGTATGCACAAGAATATTTTTAAGGGTGTGTTTGTTTGGGGGATTGGATTAGATTTTCACTATTCATCCCATTTTTTCCCCCCAAAAACATCAAATCAGACATCTATTTTTCATTTTTTATATTATACTAAAAATAAATTTTACATTCAAAACATCACATCAACACCTATTTATATCACATCATACAACTATTCAAATTTAAAATTTTTACTATTCAAATCCCAACTTAAAATCCAAACCCCCAAACAAACACTTTAATCAACTACACATACACTCTTGACTTTGTATAACTAGTGATATTGTGAAATATGAGCTCAAATAGCAGGTTAACAATACAAGTATACAACGGGAAACAATAAGCTTTAATTAGTCAAATGAGTTTAGATAACATCAGAAGAAAGCAAAAAATCACTAGAGCATGATTGAATAAAATTAATATTGCAAGCACCAACAATTCAATGGACGGCAGAAAAATATTAAGATGGAGCCGATGATAGCATCTCACAGAATCAGCTGAAGAAAATGCTCTACCTCATTGGGTGCAGCAAGGGCTCCCTCTTGCATTTTCTGAATTATCTTGGTGGCAGTTTTTGTGAATGAGAAACAATAGCTTTTATTAGTCAAATGAGTTTGGATTACACCGCAGATAAAAGCAAAAAATCACCAGGGCATCATTGAATAAAGTTGATATTGCAAGCATCAACAATTCAACGGATGGCAGAGAAATTATAAGATGGGAAATGATAGCATCTAACAGAATCAGCTAAAAGAAAATGCTCTACCTCATTGGGTACGGCAAGGGCTTCTTCTTGCATTTTCTGAATTATCTTGGTGGCAGTTTTTGTGAATGCCTGCAGACAAATTAAGCTAAAAATAGGGTAACATAGCAACATTATGAAAGTAAAACCTGTTTTATTAGAATATCTCTTCAAAACAGTACCTCCTCAACATTATGGCCTGTGCTAGCTGATGCTTCCAAGAACATGAGTTCATGTTTTCTTGCAAAATATTCACCCTCATCTCGGCTTACAGCTCTTTGATGAGCAAGATCACTTTTGTTTCCTATGAGCATGATTGTCAAATTCGGGTTCGCATGGTGCCTGGCATCCTCCAGCCAGCTTGTAAGCTGATTAAAGGTCTCTCTCCTTGAAAATATATATCAGTGTCTCAATATACAAAATGTCATTCATATCACCAAAGAATCTTATTAGGCATTATTTAATGGATTATTCAATTTGTATGTTTATTTTTTCCAAATGATCTGTTGAAGCTAGTTGTGGGGATATTCCTGTAAATATTTTAAGCAAAACAATGTACGCAATTCTCCATTTCCTGGTCAGGATGTTGTTATGCTGATATTTCAGTAGACCAAGTACACCCCTAACACATAGGAATTGAGTTTAGGATTCACACTTAGGGGTAAAAAGAGACATCTACGAATGTAAAAGTAGAGTTACTCTATAGAGCAACATGCTATAAGCAGGCGAAAAGATTCAATACTGACCTTAAATCAGGTATAACACTGTTCCCACCAACATTGCAATATATAATTTTTGCTCACAAAATGAGCATGTACATAAGAGGTCAAGACATTGAGTATTTTAAACGTGATCCTAGTAATACTGGATAAATATGTGATGAAAATAAGACATTCTGATACCTTGAGATGTCATAGACAAGAAATGCTCCAGCTGCCCCACGGTAGTATGTAGTTGTGGACATATAGGGAACTTGACCAGCCTAAAAGGAAGAAAACAAATATTACGTACAAGTCGCACAAAATAGTCATCTAGAATATTAAGCTAAAAAAGTTTCAAAGCCTACAAAGCGTACACATGAATGAAAATGCTAGATACTTTTAGTGAAAATGAGAAAAAGATCAAACATCCAAAATATCTCACTCTCTAACTGAGACCAGAGCAAACAAGTGAAATTACTTGCATAAGTAATGCTTCCGGAAAGCACGCATGTTACTGCCAATAACCTGTCTCCAGCAAACAGGTGCCTCAGGCTTTGCTGGAAAACTTTTATTCAGGGCTAACAAATGATTGAATTGATTAATTTTCTCGTTCAATTATATCTTTTTATATTATGCATATCGGTCAAGAATACTACAAAATGATTGCACGTAGAGAAAATACATACTTGTAATCATTAGAATTAGGATATACATTTATATGTTTACACACACTACTCAAATTACTGATTAGGACAAAAAAAACTTTGAATAAAAAAAAATTGTTGAATGTTAGTATCAAAATAAATAAGAGAGAGGAAGAATGATTTCAATAAATTGATTACTGCCATCTTTAAGGAAGAATGGTTGGAAACAGTCTCCAACTAAAGCCTAGGATCTTGTTAAAAAAACCATACATTGATTGACAGGAAGAACATTAAAAGAACAGAACTCCTACATAAATAATATATAATCAAAGAAAGTTCAGTGCAGTTTGATGCAGAGTTTTGGCAATTCAATCGCAATCTCAAACCAGTTTTCAAAAAATTTGAATTCTTGATCCATCACTGTTTCAACTAACCTTCTTGTAGACATAATTGCGATCAATTTCGAATAGTTAATCACAATCATCATAAACGAATATAAAGAAACATTTTAGACAAAGAAAGGGAGTAAATTTTCATCGCTTTACAGTATCCCAAATCTGGAGATGAATCTGCCTGCCATCGATGGAAACAACCGCAGCACCAAACTCAACTCCGAAAGTAGGATCACGCATCGGCAGGAACCTCTTCTCCGTAAACTGCATGAGCAGAGAGGATTTCCCCACACCTGTAAGCAATATAGCAGAGGATTAACTGACACCAGCTAGGGTTTGGAGAAGTGAAAGGCGGAAAGAGGAGTTTCCCCACCTGAATCTCCGATGATTACGCATTTGAACAAGTCCTCGTAAGGCATTCTTCCCGCACGGCGTCGACGGCGGAGTTGCAAGCGACGGCAGACAGCAAAAGAAGACAACGGAAAGGGTTTTACGTATCAGAGTCTGTCCAGGGGTCGTATAAGAATTATAGTAAATAGTGTCCGTAATTTGTAAATATCAAAATTTAGAGGGGCAATTTGCAATATATAATTATAGTTTAAAAACCCTATCTGACCAATCTATCGCCGTGTGATCAGATCGGCAGTTTTCCGTTAAAAATGGCGTCTTCATCCCTACCGAAGCTCCTCAGAAACCGTTCTGAATCCGCATCTAAGTTTTTTGTCCATTTCTGTCGATCACGCCCTGAAAATTCCCAGTTTTTGTTCACTCATTTCCCTCAAATCGTCAATGCTGTCGATGGTTTGGGTTTAGGGGTTCAGCCTGAACGAAATTTTCGTCAATCAGATACTCACCTGAGTGAATGCATCTACCCGAGCTTTTCTTTGGGGTTTTTTCTCAGACCGACTTCTCCGATCGCGCCAATTCAATCTGATCTTCATGCGGGAGCGATTGAGGATGAATCTCGTACAATTAGGGCAGACAGTGTGAAGAAGAAGAGAAAGAAGAAAATGAACAAACACAAGTTGAACAAGCTGAGAAAGCGTCTCCGGAAAAGAACTTAGTTTCGTTTGTTATTTCTATTTTCCTTTTTTTGCTTGAAACTGGAGAATGATTTTCAACTGAAGAATGTCAATAATCGTTGTGTGATGGAAGATTGTATTGATCATTGGCATTTCTGATAGAATGGATGGTGCCCTTTATGGTATAAAGCTTATTCCATTGTTGCTTTTCAAATGTGAACTGTGAAGCCAAATCTATTGTTTTAGTTGCTGCAGTATGGACTTTGGTAGATTGTTTTTTATTGGGAACTAATGGCCCAAATCCATCTGCGCTTAGATGTGTGCTTCCTGCTTGGTTATGGTTATGAACTATGATTCAATTGGTCTTAATGGAGATAGGTCAATTGATTGGGCCCAAGAAGAGGGAAGGGTTTTGGACACATTAATTATTCAAAGTGATTGAAGAACAGCATGTTGCCAAAACAGAACACAGATTAAGTTCCCTAAGCATGCTAGCATCAAACTATGGAGTATATTAGTTTTCTGTTATGGATTTGATCTACTGTGAATGACTTATGAGCTATTTGCATTGGTAATGAACTTAGTAGTTTCACATTTACTAACAGATCCTGGTTAAGGCAGTTCGCAATATGTGTTGACGAAAATCATGTAGCTTTTCATTTGATCACAACGGCCTTTGGAAAGAAACTGTATTGCCTAATATATATGTCGATTCTATATGTATGAATATTTTACTGAGGTGTAAATCAGTTGGATGGCTTGCTACTGCGTTTGGTTCTTGTCACGGCGACATTTCCTCAAATATAACATACATAGAATTATCATTAGTTATACTCTAGAGGTAGATGTTATACATAGAATTATCGTAAGTTATACTCTAGGGGTAGAGAATCTTCGACAAAACTCTTTTCTTCTTTAGCAAGATCTGTGATGCTGCACTGCATTATTGGTTAACTGCAATGTTTAATATGAGGACCTCCACATTTCAGACCTTTATGACTGTTCTGTTATCTTTATAGTCCTCTTTTAATGCGACTTATTAAAGCTTCATAAATAAACTCAACAGTGGTTAGATCATTTGTCAGATATGTTTACTTTTGCTAAACTATGAGACACCCTTTACTGTGAGTCAAGATTCAATATGTACAGCTGTCTAACCTGTTTTTGCTAGAATAATCATGTAGGCTTTAAAGAAATCATATTTGCAATGTGTGGCAATGAGTGTTTCTGAATGCTACTTAATTTCTTGCTTTTGGGAATTTATGGCTTGCATTTATGCTGGACTGTCATGCCCCACGTAGAGATACATAATTATACATACAACTATACAAGTCTAACATCCATGGAAACAGGAAAACACTCAAACTGGAAGGAATTTTCTAGGATCTGCTGCTGCTTTTGACCGTTTGTTTATAATCCTATTGAATATCTATTTACTCTGAATTTACCACTAGCTGTTGAGCATTTATTGGACATGTTAGTAGGTAAATGAAAGAATAGAATGATCTCTTGAAGCAGCACACTGATCTCCCCATTGCTGGTAAAATCGTTGGCCCATGATCAGAAATATTCTTGTCCACTAATTCCAGGTAGCACGAGCCATCATCACATCACTTGGACACAAGAATATTGGGCATTGCACATGCTTTGTATCCCTTTTTCTCCTTTTGTTGAAGTTTCACCATCTACACCTACTTTTTGTCCATCCAATGATTGTGCAGATAAAAGGGAGAAAAACAGGAAAAAAAAAACAGAAACAGGGACTCGGCCCACTTTTAGGTAATTTGAATTTCTTCCATTGCTGCTAATTTTTTAAAAATTCTAAATGATCCTCTTCCCTTTTGCAGATTGCATAATTAAAAAAGGTGGATTCTTGATTGCTTCCCTCATTAATTATCTTCCAAGAATGGGTCAAGGAATATCTGTAGATTTGCAGACAGATAGAGAGAGATGAAAGATTGAGAAGAAAGTGAAAGGGAAGGGAGTCGGCAAACAGGGCCACGTGGGCACGCCGGCCCGGCCCGGCCCGCCACCGGTGTCATCTTCCGACCGGAACAAAAAGCGACAGAAAATGCAACAGAATTGAAAATGGGCAGTAGCAGAAATTCGGGGGGAGGCAAGGCCACTCATGTCCCTTTCAGTGGGGTGGGGGCAATAATTCAAAACACTTCCCATGCGCCATCAAGAACACTCGGAAGATAAACTCAAGAAAATCAAGATTTCATTCCATTCCCTCTCTTTCTTTCTTACCTTAGTTAGCCTAGTTTTTGGGAAATTCCCTTTTCCACCTCACTCCCTACCCCCTCCTAGACTTTAGTTTGCTTCTTTCCCACTCTTGATTTCAATCATTCATTTATTGCCCTCTCACTGTCGCCCCTTTTCCGCTTTCATAATTCCATTACCTCCTCGACACCATGGATGACGCTGAGCGTTGAATATTCTTCTTCATCACAGTTCAGATTGAGCGTCCAGGTTTGGATCTTTGACCCTTTTTGATTGCGGGGTAAGTTTTTTTTTTTTCAATTCCATGACTCCATGTATGGATAATTCGTGGTTTATAGTGTGGTTGAAGATAGGGTTTTGATAGACGCAACAGATGGGTGGGGTGACGTCATCAATGGCGGCCAAGTTCGCGTTCTTTCCACCGAGTCCTCCGTCGTATAGATTGGTGCACGATGAAGTTACAGGGCTGCTGTTACTGAGCCAATTCCCCCACCGCGAAAACGTGGAGATCACAAAGCTGCCGACGCGGCGGGGGTCGGAGATAGTGGCTATGTACGTCCGCCATCCGATGGCGACTTCAACTGTCCTTTACTCGCACGGGAACGCCACCGATTTGGGGCAGATGTACGAGCTTTTCATCGAACTCAGCATCCATTTGCGCGTCAATCTCCTCGGGTAATTTTTAGCCTTTGTTCTTCGACTTCTCAGAATTATCTTTTCCTAAAACATCGATGATGACTTTGAAATGGTAGATAGGATAAAAGAATGAACTTTTTGATTTTGCAATTTAGTAAAGTTATATGCTTTCTTGTTCTCTGTTCTCTGTTTTTATCTTGTGGTGATGATCATTGGGAGATTTGATTTTGAATTGATGGATTGATTTTGTTTGGAATTGAAACATCTTGTTAGCTTCTGTATGAAATCAATTCCATTCTACATTCAATTGTTTGGAATTTGATTTTGTATCAGTCTTTGCATATATTTCGACCATGATCGGAAGCTCGAAATGCCGGCTCACTAAGTCGAAATGGCATGAAGTTTCTTAAGTTTTTAGTTTGGTTGATAAGCCCATGATTTGCTCGGTAGTTCTTGCTTTCGTTTGATGTGAAATAGCTGATAGTTTGAATAGGCATTGACTATCAACTCTATGCAATGTTAAATTGTAGCGAATTTTCCCAATTAGATTTCTTCTGAGCGATTCGTTGGATTAATATGAATGAATATATAATGATGATGCTTGAAACTCATTCAGGTATGATTACAGTGGATATGGGCAGTCATCTGGGAAGGTTAGTGTTAATCCCGGCATTTCTTTTCATCCCCATAAAAACGTGCTCGCCTGTGGTGTAATGCGGTGTTTCTTTTTTTTTTTTGTAGCCGAGCGAGCAGAACACTTATGCAGACATCGAAGCTGCTTTTAAGTGTCTTGAGGAGAATTATGGTACAAAGCAGGAAGATGTGATTCTGTATGGGCAATCGGTCGGGAGCGGGCCGACTTTGGATCTAGCTGCTCGTCTACCACGCTTACGTGCCGTCGTTTTACATAGCCCGATACTTTCGGGTGTGAGAGTAATGTATGCTGTTAAGCGCACGTATTGGTTCGACATCTACAAGGTTGAATTCCTCTCACTTTGTCGCATTTTTACGCTCATTTTTTTTCGTGATTTAAATTTATTGTCGTTCTGCAGAACATCGAGAAAATCCCGCTCGTCAACTCTCCCGTCCTCATCATCCATGTAAGCGAGCGTGCGCCATTGACGTCTGTCTTGCGAGTAACGTCCCGGCATTAATTATCAACGGCGCGTTTTCTTTGTTTCAGGGAACTGCTGACGAGGTCGTGGATTTTTCGCACGGGAAGCAGCTGTGGGAACTTTGTAAGGAGAAATATGAGCCGTTATGGATAAAGGGCGGGAGTCACTGCGACCTCGAGCTCTACCCGGAGTACGTCCGACATCTGCGGAAATTTGTGTCGACTGTGGAGCGGTCGCCGTCGCACAGATTCAGCAGTCGGAAGAGCACCGATCATCAATTCGATCATGCTCCCGCTCGGAAGAGCACCGACATGTTCGATCATGCGGCGGCTCCGCCGAGGAAGAGCACGGACCGGCGGGAGAAGCCGAGGCGGAGCACGGACAAGCACTTGCTCCAAACGGCGGCGGCGGCGGCAGCACAGCAGCAGAGTGTGGATAAGTTAAGGGTGTCGTTTGATCAAATCGAAAGGTCGAGGAGGAGCGTCGACGGGATGGAGAAGTCGTGGAAGATCGCTGCGGGGATGGAACATCATCAGTTCGAAAGAGCTCGGAAAAGCGTGGATACGATCGACAGGGGTAAATTTTTGTAAAGCTTTTTGTTTTGGTTTGGTTTGGTTTGGTTTGTTGAGTTGATATGTTTATGGTATAATGATGGTACGGACAATGACGGACAGTATGGGAATGAAGGGTATATACATTTCATTACGTACTTTCGAGAGCTCTCTCTTTGTCTGAATTGTTGTTGTTCTGTAAAAGCCAAAGTATTATTCATGGAATTGGTTAGGGTGTCTTTCTTATACTCCTTCAGTTCCGGTAGAGAATGTAAAATTACTCATAATTCAACTTAAAATTTTTGTATACTTTCAAATTGCATGTCATTCAAGTCTAATGTACAAGGGGTCGTATACAATTTTTAAAATATTTATTTAAAAATTTTTATTTTCAATATTCTTTTATACTAAAAAGAATTAAATAATATTTTTTACTTAAAAAAATAGAAATATTTTTTGATAATAATAATAATAAATTTAAACGAGAGAAAAAATTATGTAAAAGTAAACAATAGTGTAATGTTCTTGAGAAAACTCGATTCATATTGCTTCCAGAATACCAATAAGCAGATCGGTTTTAATTTTTCCTTTAAGAGAAAATATAGAGCTAATCATTTATATAATTATATAATATATAATATATTATAATTTAATTATTAATATGGGGCCGCGCGGCTAACAGCGAGATCCCTTCCGGCAACTGAGCACGCCGGCGGTGGTAGTGATGGAGCCAACTAAAGAAGACGGCCGGGCATTCAAACTCGACGCCTTGGCGTACGCCGCTCCGGCGCCGCCGCCGCCGGACTGCCGGAAATAGGCTCCGTTGAGCATAAGATCTCCTTCGGACCTCCAATTCCAGTGCCGCCACTCGCTCTCCGGCGCGTTCTCGTGCTTCGTAACCTCCTTCCTCTGCCGCGGATTCGGCGCCAGAAATCTGTTCCCCTGGCTGTAGATCGTCGGCGATGCGCTCCCGCCGATCGCATACATTTCCCAGTGCGTGTAGTCATTGTTCACCACGTGGAAAACGCCGTGCCTGCACCTGCACATGTTCATCGATTTTCAGAGATTAACCGTCGCTCGAAGGTACTTCCATGGCGGCCGAGGTTAGTTCAGTTCAATTCAGTTTCAATTCGGTTTGATTCGATTAATCGTCGCTCGATTCGATTTGAATTTATTTGATTATTGGTCGCTCGAAGGTCCTCCCATGGCGGCCGACGGTTAGTTCAATTCAATTCGAATTGACTTGATTAATCGTAGCTCGATGGTCCTCCCATGGCGGCCGACGGTTAGTTCAATTCAATTCGAATTGACTTGATTAATCGTAGCTCGAAGGTCCTCCCATGGAGGACGACGGTTTCATTCAATTCAATTCGATTAATCGTCTCTCGAAGGTCCTCCCATGGCGGCCGACGGTTAATTCAATTCAATTCAATTCAATTCGAATTGATTCAATTAACCGAGCTCCAAGGTCCTCCCATGGCGGCCAACGGTAAATTCAATTAAATCCAATCCAATTCAATTTACCTGGGCATTCTCTGCACCAATCCTTCCCCAAAATGATTGAACGCGATGGTGACGCGCATGTTCTTATCTTCCACAAACGAATCGCTGTGGCCCAAGAGCATAACCTTGTCATGGTGGGTGAAGTAGCTATTCGAAATCGTAACTCCGGTGGATCCATGGATGACGTCGATGAGGCCGTCGCGGCAGCTGGAGAGCGAGCAGTGATCGATCCAAATATCCCTGGAAGCGAATATTCCGATGCCGTCGCCGTCGGAAACCTCCCACCAGCCGGCGTGGCGGGGGGAGTCGCGGATGTCGGCGTTTCCCGACGCCGTACAGTCGTGGATATGGACGCCGTGGATTATAATATTGGCGGCGTAGTGGATGGTGATGCACGGCCCGTCGCCGATGTGGACGGCGGCGCCGCGGCCGTCGATGGTTTTCCGGGAGTTCATGACGAGCTCCTGCTTGAGGCGGATGACCATGTCTCGCTGGAAAATGATCCAGAGGGGCTCGTCTTGGATGACAGCGTGCCGGAGAGTGCCCGGCCGGGGATTCAGGGGGTCGTCGTCGCTGGCGTCGGTGACAACGTAGTAACGGCCCCCTTTGCCGCCGACGGCGTTCTTGCCGAAGCCAATGGCGCAGTCGGCTAGGCGCTGGCGGTTGCGCTCCCAGTTGGGGTCGCACCGCCAGCAGTCGTCGATGGGGTTGCCGGTGGCGCACGACCGGTAAGCTAAGCCTCGTCGTGATGATGACGACAATGATGCATTATAAATTTGCCTGAAAAAAATTAATAAATAAATAAATGGGATTGTTATTTAACTGTATTAGTATATCTTAAATTTAAATAAATTTTAGTAAATAATATACTTTTTTATTAATGTATCATTATTTCTTTTAGAAAAGATGTAAAATTGATATTTTAATATAGTAAAATGAATATTTTAAATTGAGAAAAAAAAAATAATTCGTCACGAAAACTAATAAATATTAATGATATTTTAATTTAAAATAGGTAGGTAAAAAGTAATTCGGAGTACTTGATGCAATAAATAAAAAAATAAAATAGTGTGATAATGGTGTTATTACTTGTTATGTATGAATAAATATAAAAAATATAAAAAATAATATTTTATATTGGATTTTTAATTTTTTATAAATAAATAAAGTATATGAAGTATGCTGTTTTCATAAGTATATTGTAATTTTAAAATAATATTTCTGAAAATTTGTTATATTCAAAAATCAAAATTGAATTTGTTCAAGGTGTGTTTGTTTTGGGGATTGGATTAGATTTACACTGTTTATTCAATTTTTTTTCTCTAAAAATATCAAATCAAACACCTATTTTTCATTTTTTATATTATACTAAAAAAACAATTTTACATTCAAAACATCACATCAACCTATTTTTCATTTTTTATATTATACTAAAAAAACAATTTTACATTCAAAACATCACATCAACATCTATTTATATCACATCATACAACTATTCAAATTCAAAATTTTTACTATTCAAATTTTAGCTCAAAATCCAAACCCTCAAGCAAACACATAATTAGTTTTAATTTAACACTGAAAAATAAATCTAAATAAAATTTTATAAAAAAATTAATACATTTTCATTGAAAACATACAAATAAATAATTTTTTTTATTAGAGATTAAAAATAATAATAAAAAAATTACACAACCAAAGGCAACATAATACATCCTAAGTTACAGAAATGTTTCTAAAAATTAACTTTAGTATATAAAAAGTGTTTCTAGAGAGAAAATTGTGTGCATTTTCCTAACAAATTGTATATATATATATATATATTTATATATAATCCTTTTATTAATTTTTTATTTTCAAATTAGATTTTACATTGTTCAGTTTGTGTAGTTTTCAATAACTTTCAAAATTATGTCATTAAAAATTAAAAAATAAAAATAAAAAATCATCAAAAAGTAAAACTGAAGAAAAACCATTGCAGTGTCAGTGTGTTTCTTTGGAGATTCTTTTGAGTTTGAATGTTTAGTTTTGATTTAAATAATGATTCAATGTAATAGCTTGTTAAAGAAAAATATATATATATATATATTTATTAATATTGAACAACATAGAGATTTAATAGTATAAAACAAAAATCTCAATGACATCCCTCGCTAGACAACGAAATCCCGAATTCGATTTCGACACGGTATATTGTGTGGGGTAAAAAAATAAATTTCGGGGCAGTATTATTTTATTTAGTACTTACTGATTTACATCTTCTATGACAGTGTCGGGATCTTGAAACGACCGGGAAGAATCGACGAGGATTGGAGTTATAACGACGATGAAGAAGAAGAAGAAGAATGTTGTAGTAACTTGAGTAGGAAACATTGTTATTGTTGTGTATATTTTTTTAGGAGATTCTTGAAATTCAATAAATTTATATAGAGTCGGAAATCCGTGATAAAAGGCGTGATTTAACTAGTAAGGGGTGGGATGGGGTGGGGTGGGGTGGGGTAGGGTAGGGTAGGGTGTATCTAGTAGCCGTTAGTGTCTGAATTTACTCACCAGAGTTCACACTCATTATTCCTACTTAATTTCAAACTAATTTCGTCGTTAGTTAAGTTAGTTTCACATGTTAAAATCCACATGGGCTTTTGATTATAGTAATAATAAGACATCCGATTATAAAAACACATACTAATACAAAAATACAAGATTTTCACGGCACGTAATATTTTATTGTTCAAGTCATATGTATTCATTTGTTTTTTATACATGCATTATAGTATATTAGTATTTAATAGATAATAATACAGTAAAAATATAAAAATATTACTTTTAGATTCATTTACTTTTTAATGGTATTTTTGATAATATTGTATAAAATATAATGGAATTATTTTATTAAAGTAAAAATATATTTTTGTTACTTTCTCACAATTGACCATATTACCTTTAATATCTTTAGATGAGACTATGTTCAAATGCCTTCTCACCAAGGGAGACAATTTATGTACTAAACAAAATTATTCAGCATGGTGCAAAATAAGATTTTAAATATTAATAGACTATCAATAAATGAATAATATAAGTTGTGTTCTTTTGTGGGTTTTATGACGGTTTTTATTATTCAAAATTTTTTTTTTTTCAAAAATATCATATCAAATAATTAATTTTTTTAATATTATATTATAAATTTATTTTACATTCAAAACATTACATCTACCCTCTATTTATATCATATCAAACAACTATTCAAATTCAATATTTTACTATTCAAAAATCCAAATTCAAAAACTAAAACCCACAACCAAACACACCTATAAAATTTGTATTGATATAATATAAATACAATATATAAAATGGTAAAAATATAACAAGAATTCATATAATATACTCCCTTCGTCCACTTAGAAGGTTGACATTTACTTTTGGCGCGGTATTTAAGAAATAATAGTATTTTAATTATACTGAGTAGTTAAAAGTAGTGTAATGACATTTTTGCCTTTACTTTTTTTTGTGTAAAAGTAATGATGTGATGTAAAGTAAGAGTATTTGTGGAAAAAAAAATAAGGTATTTAATGAAATGTTAACTTTATAATTGGACGTCCCAAAATAGAAATATGTAAACATTGTAAGTGGATGGAGGTAGTATATTATTATTGATTTCAATATAAAATATATAATTACTACAACACATTCAAATAATACAGTACATGTCCCATTAAAAAGTGTCTAATAATTTGAAGTTAGACTCGTAACTATAAGACCATAATTCAAACTCCTTACACTAACAAAATACAAAAAATAATAAGATATTCTTAGTTAATAGCGTATATTATATAACACCTAAAAATGCACAAAACACTTTGTATTTTATTTATTATGTGAAACTTCCTTATAATAATGTAAAGTTTGCACAAACACCCTCATTGTAAAAAACTCATATTTGATTATAAATAAATACTTAAATTATGCAAATTTAATATAAATGAAAAACACCCAAAATAATTGATTAATCCTTTATTTTATATCTTTTGAAAAAAAATGTTATTTTATTTTTATACAAACTATAAAAGTATGACTGATCAATTATTTATTTATTTCATTCAAAAAAATTATTTAAAATATTTCACGTATTTTATTTGTATAAAACTTGCGTAATTTAAATATTTGTTTAGAACCAAATATTAATTTTGGACAAAGAGGACGTTTCATACAAATTTTACATTAACACATGAGTTTTCACGCAATAAATAAAATACAGAGTATATATATAATTTTATATTTTAAAAATTTGTATGTAATTTTACTTTTTTAAAAAATAATGTATAATTATTTTTTTTTAAGTGATATAATTTTATTTTTAGAAAATAATATATATATTTAAAAATAATGTATAATTTTATTTGTAATAATTATTAATTATATATGTTAATTTTCATATATGTAATTTTTAAATAAAATATAAATTATATTTATATGGATCTAATGTAAAAATAAATTAAAATTAGAGTGTAATTTATAAATATAAAAAATTATATAAAATAATATAAAAATATATATAAAAAATATATTTTTAGAAAAAAAAATAAAATTTATGATTAAAATAAAATTATTATAGATCAATTGCATTTACAGCAACTATAAAAATGGAGTAAATAATTGGAAATAATCAGTAGTTAGGTTGACAACACCTATCCAGACGATTTATTAATTCGTATAATTATGCCTTATTTTATTATAAAAATAATGTTTTAAAATTTAAATTCTACACAATGAATTAAAATAATAATATTACGTAGTAGTAGAACGTATTTGACGGCGGGATTTTATTATGCCTCTAAATGCGGAAATATATATATAGTATTATTATATAATATATATATACTCTTTATTGACTTTTGTTGTCAAGGTCATAATTACATTGTGCTACGTTAATCTCAATCACCACTAACGACCATGGCCCCGATAAATGGGCGACTATATTGTACTAATTGAAAAAAAAATCAAAATACTCCCTCCGTCCTCCGATGAATCTCTTTTTTTAAAAAAAAAATCAAAATATTCCCTCTATTCCGCAATGAATTCTGTTTTTTTTTAATAGTATAAATTAATAAGTTATTAATAATAAATTATGATATTAGTCTATTATTTTTTATATAAATAATATTATTAGTATTTTAAAAAAATTTAAGATTATATCTCGAAAAAATATATACAATATAGATATCATTTTGTAGATAATTAAATTTTATATAAAATAAATAAATAATTTTTAATTATTTATCATTACTATAAATTAATTTTATAAAAAACGAAAGTTTTAAATGTAGATAAAAAATTATGTTAATTGAAGATAGGGATAGAAATAAAGGGGTTTTGAATGGGTCCTACGGATAAGATGTTATAAATTTAATTAAATTGATTTATATATTTAAATTAAGTATATTTAAAATTGATAAAATTATCAAAAAAATAAAAAAGATCATCTTTTATGAGACGTATTAAAAAAAAAATGAATCATCTACGGCGGAACTTAGAGAATACTATTTTTGAGTACATAGCAAAAGTACATCACGTCATTCTTTATTGAATAAATTGGCTTAAATTAATTACTAATTTTTAATTTAATATAAAAAAATCAATTAAACCTAAAAACACAACCAAAATATTTAACATAATATTTTAAAAAATATTATTGTTAATATATAATGTCAAAAAATAATATATATATATATATATATTTATGTGTGTGGGTGAAAATATGGCCAAAATCTTGAAATTAAACTAGTTTAAATACAAATTGGAATTGCTTTAGAGTTTTGTAATATTTTTGATAATGATAAAATGTCTAGAAAAAGATAAATATTTGATATAATATGTATATGTTGAATATAATATTTTTATAAAAATAAATTTGATATTTGATATTTTAAAAAATAATTATTGTTATAACATATTTTGAAGAGATGAATATAACACTAAATAAGTTTAAAAATATATTTTAATTGAATCTAACTTATGGCCCAGCTCTAGAAACAAATAATCTGGGCTGCTCAATCAATTATTCAAGTATGCTCTGGCCCATTAAATATATTACACTTTTTTGTTAACATTAATGATTATTGTATTTTTTATGTTGATTTGAAGTTTTGTTTAGATAATATAATTTAATTTGATATTTTGTTAAAGAAAATGTATTTTTAATTGGATAAAAATTAATTTCAATTCAAAAGCTTGGATAACATTAGCACACATATATTTTTAAAATATTATATTATATATATATATTTATTTTACAATATATTACATTAAATACTATTTTTTTTTATTTGAAATTAATTTAAAATTTTGTAACTAATATTTTAATTTAATATTTAAAATAATATATTTTTATTGAAAATTATCCAAATAAATCATATTAATTTGCATTTGAAATAATGATAGAACAAAACTTAGTGTCTTTTACTTGTGAGGTTTTGGTTTTGGGTTTTGATTTTGAATAGTAAAATTTTGAATTGAAATAGTTGTTTGATGTGATACAAATATGTATTTGATGTAATTTTTGAATTTAAAATAGATTTTAGTATAATAAAATGAATAAAAATTGGATGTTTAATTTGTTGTTTTTAAGGAAAAAGAAAATTAGAATAGTAAAATCTAAAATCTTACAAGTAAACATAGTTTAGTTTTTATCATTTCTAAAATTCTAAAAACTAAGATTTTACTATTACCAATTAATTTTTCCTCATTAATTAAATAAAATGTCTATTTTTATTATTTATATTATATTTTAAAAAAATTATATTCAAAATATCACACACACATTTATATTACATTATATAATTATTCCAATTCAAAATTTTACTATTCAAATTCTAAACACAAAATTCAAACCCTAAAAAGAACACACAATAAATTATTTAATATGAGCGTATTAAAATTAATCAACAAAAAATATCAAATCAAACATCTATTTTTCATTTTTTACGAATATTATACTAAAAATTAATTTTACATTCAAAATATCACATGAACACATATTTATATCACATCATACAACTATTCAAATTCAAAATTTTTCAAATCCCAACTCAAAATCCAAACCCTCAAATTGTACAATATAGAATAAACTTATTGCTAATGAGGCGTAGAAGGGAAAATAACAATAAAGGCAAAATAATGAAGCAAGCAAGTGATCATCATCATTGTATGTACACATGCAACCCTTTAATCACACTCACTTTGCTATGTTTAGATATAATTAAAAATAAAATTATTTTTTTAAAAAAAATAAAATTAAGGAATATTAAACATTTTGGTGTTATGTTTTGTTTTTTTAAAAAATATAGGATAGATATATAGTATCAAAATTAGTTTTTTTAAATGTACAAAGTCCAAACATTTTTAAAATAAAAAATAAGTATATGGTATACTATATTAAATGATAAATAAGTTTAAAATGTATAATAGTTGTAAAGAAAAGTGAAAGAATCTTGCTTCGAATTAGCAAACATTAAGGGTGTTGTGTTTGGTTTTATATTTTATTTTTGAGATATTTTAATAAAAGATCATAAAAATTATTCTCTCTATCTCATTTAAATATATATATATATATTCAGAATAGTATCATGCTATACATAAACTCAATAGTATTATTGATGTTTTTATCTTACATAAACTCATTCGTTAGTACAATAATATTAATTTCTAATATATTATAAAGATTATAAGGGCAACTCCAAACTAGTGGGTTGTGCAAAATTGGGGGAGGGGCTTCAACCCACTCCAAAATTTCCTCCATTTTTTGGGCCGCTACAGTGTTACTCAATTTTCAAATTGAGTGGAGTTTATGTGGTGTTTTGTGGTATTTGTGTATTTTTGTGGGATATACTGTGTAATTTTATTTTTTTTAGAAAATGATATGTAATTTTATTTTTTAAAAAAGTGATATAATTTTATTTTTTAAAAATAATGTATAATTTTACCTTTCGAAAAGTGATATATAATTATATAGTTTCTTAAAAATAATGTGTAATTATATATATTTGGGCTATATTGTAAAAATAAATTTAAGTTGGAGTATAATTTATAAATATATAAAGTTATATAAAATAATATAAAAGATGAATATATAGATAATATACTTTTTAGAGTAAAAAATTAAAATTTATGATTAAAGTAAAATTACGTGTGCTAATCAGGTCAAAGTACCTTAATAGAACATATGCTGATTATATTTAAGATTACAAAGATGGCAAAGTGGCCAAACAAACAAATTAAAGGGTCTATTTCTTAATTTCCAAAAACAAAGAAAAGTAGCCCCCCTACTCCACCCACCTAACATACATACATACATACATTACATACATTTGTAATTTAATTAAACTAGCGACCTAAACCGGCCGGTTGATCCCCAACCGGCCGACCACCCGACAACTCCTTTGTTGTCTCCATCATTTCAAAATACATTTCAATATATATATATATATATTTTTTAAAAAAGTCTGGAAAGTTCCTACCATCCCTCATAATTTAGCTGCAATAATATTTTTTAAAACACAAAAATATATATATGCAATTTCTAAACCATTAAAAAAAAAAAAAAGGTAATTAATTAGTAAATGTAAATTAAACTGCAATCTGCAATGCATCAAACCCTAATTGTACGGCAGTAATGGAAGGCGGTTGCGGCGGTTTTGTGAGAGTAATCTTCTAGAAGCAGCAGTTTATCGCCGTCTCTTACTCCCACCATATGCAGGTGCTCGTCGTCTTCCCTTTCCTTCCCTCTGAACACCATCCGCTGCGCCGCCGGCTCCATTTTTGTAAGTATCGACATCAAAACCTTCAATTCTCCTAAACACAATCAATTACCGATTAGATTATATTTGTGTGCAATAATTATGTGCAATCAATAATATATATGTTTACTTACGGAAGGTGGAGGTTGGGAGAACAGAGATTTGATGGCAGAATTGAGAAGACGAAACCGTCGAAACCCTAATTGTGATGTATAATTGCTCCTCCTCGTTTTTCTGAATCTCTCTTTTCTGCACGAGCATTCCCCCCGGCCTTAATTCCCACTCGATCGCGTCGCCGGCGCCGGCACCGGCGACTTCTTCCCGGCGGGCGATTTTGGAAGCGGTTCTGCTCCGGCTCCAGCTCCAACTTCGGGAGAACCTCTTCCGCACCAGGTTTATCATTTTTCTTTTTTTAATTAATTAATTAATTGTAGAGTTTTTGTTCTGTTGGTAGCAACAGGTTTGGGAGAGATATATATAATGGCTATGGAACGGATATTATAATTATCAGTGGGGTTGAGAGCCAATGGGATGGTGACACGCGTCCAATTGGCACATGGAGGGTGGGTGTTAATTAGTTTTAATTAATTGGTTTTGTTACACGGTTTTGAATTATTTTAAATAGAAGTTTGGACACATATTTTAATATGCTTATCTAAACCGGGCAAACCACCCTAATGTCTAAAGAATTAGTTATACTCTATCCATAATAAAATATCTATTTTTATTTTACCTAACGTTACAAACACCCTTACAACATAAATCACTATTATATTTTACATTTTTATTAACCCAAAAAAATAATATTATTTAATTTATAAAAAAAAAACCCAAAAAAATAATATTATTTAATTTATAAAAAAAAACAAAGAATATATTGAATTGAGACTAAAAAATTGGAGTATAAGTTATTAACATAATATTTTTTTAAAAAAATGATTATTAGATATAATACCTTTTACTATTAATTAATGACAACATATAAGATCATAATTTTGATATTTTTTATTTTGCGAGTAAAAAAAAATATTTTTGTAAAAATCAATAATATTTTGGTATTTATTATAATATGAATTATTTTACTATAATTAAAAAATTTTGATATTTTTTATTGAAAGATAAAAATAGTAAAATAAATAAATAAATAAATATTGAGTTAAAACATAAAAAAAATATATTTCATTCGTCCGTCAATATATTTACAAATAAAATGTGAAAGAAATATTTCTTTATTCAAAATAATACAAATTTGCATGAAGACTAAAAGAACAAATTCTTTAATGGCTCATCAATCTTAATTTTAAATGATTACACTGCAGCTTCATTGTTACATCCATATGTAGTTATATATACATTTATATGTTATATTTATTATTATTTTTTTTCCTTAATATATATATATCACCCAAAAATTAAATTAATTAATTAGTTTATTGTGGTTGGGTGACTCAGAGCAAAGGGCATCTAACCATGTGCAAATTTCAATTTAATATATAATCAATATTAATTAATAATTAGTTAATTATAAATAATCGGATGGCTGTTGTGTCGTATATGTACGACTTTGGATCTGCTGCTGATATCGAATATAGAGCAGTATTTTTGTGATTTTATTTTTTATATTTATTAATTAACTAGTCAATTATTATTTTTTATTTATTTATTTTTTATTCTAAAATTTGCATATAATTTTTATTTAGAAAACTGAATTCGAAGATTCGTAGAAATATTTATCAAGAAAGAATTTGTTCGACTGTTTATGATTCGATTTGCTTTGATATCACATCTGCTAGCTGATTGCTATTCATAAGTTCTCAATCAAAAGATGTTATTCATTTTATGCATATTTTATGTGTAATTTTTTAGTTTTATTTTTTATTTTTTATTTTTTAAAAATAATTTAGATGTATTATTTTGTCGAAACTATAATGTATTTTTATAATAATAGTATTCTCTCAATCTCATAATAAATTATTCTATTGATTTGAGGTACAATATTTAAGATAATAAATATTAATTAATTAATAAAAATTAATTATAATATTATATTTATGTAAGTGATATTATTAATATTTTAAAATTATATATCACTAAAATATAATATGTAATATGCATATAATTTTATACAATGCCAATAAATAAGAAAATACATTTATAAATTAATTTTATAAAATATGCCATGTCAATCTTTTTTTTTTTTATTTTCAAATACAAAGCCTAATAGTATTTTAATATAAATATAGGATTAAGTAAAAAATAAAATAAGGATATTACGATAAATTTATTTAAAATTGGTGGGATAAATAGAAAATTTGTTATAAATGAGTTATTACTATTTGTTAAAATATAAGTAATAAAACTATAAATTAATAAAATTACTTAATATAAATAGATTATGATAAATTTAGTGTATAGAAAAAAAAAATTAAATAAACTGATATAATTATGTCCAACAAACAAAGATATTGCTCGGTAATTAAGTTAGGATATTATTGAATCATAGGCAGTATAGTGCATTTTATTCACAATCATATCATTTTTTATAAAAAATGTGTGACAACAATCTATGTTCTTCTAATATATTTTTTAATTGCGATTCTAATAAATAATAATAATTAATACAAAAAAACCTTTTACAAATTCAAATATTAAAAAAAAAATTAAATATTTATTACAAAAACTCAAAAATCAAATATTCAATTTAAATTAATATATTTTATACTTTTGATATAATTCTTTATAATACATTTAAAAAATTAATTCATCTAAAAATATTTCATGAATAAAGCTCATATGTATACAATATGGTAGATACAAATATGAACAATAAATTTAACAAGTACTATATATATTATTATATATATATTTTTTGATATGAAATCGAAAAGAATGTATAATAGTAATTATATATAATGGTTAAATTACATTATATTTTTTGTTTTAATAAAAATGTATAAAATATTATGTATTTTTTTTTTATTGCGTAAAATATCTTTATATTAAATCAAAATATGTATAAAATACTATATTAGTCTAAAATACATGTTTGTTTGTAAATACACATTTAATTATACAAGTTTTATATAAATAAAAGTGGTCAAATATCTTAAATGCTTTATTTGAATTGAATTAGAAATAATAAATAATAAATCGACTATTCATTTTATAGTTTCATATTATTTAAGATATTTTTAATATATACATGTGTTTACAATTAAATATCAACTTTAATATAAATAAACTGGAGGATATTTTTATGTAATTTTTTACTAAAATAGTACAATAATATATTACTACTATATAATTGACCTAATAATAATAAAATAAAATAAAAATATCATAAAAGGTCGAGCGAGAAAGTTACGGAAATTGGGGAATGGATTGGCGTGGTATGCATGCAAAACCAGGCGTGCTAATTAAATATAGAAATAAATTTATTGTAACGATAAAAGTGAAAGTGAATTAAAAGATGAAAATGTGCAGCAACTTGCATGCGTATAATCATATTAATTAATTAATTAATTATTGCATTCCTACACTTATTACATCTATTAACTAAAGTCTAAAACTAATAAATCAAATAAGAGGTAGATCCATCTTTTCACGCTTTCCCTTGTCACCTCGTATTTGTATTTTTAAGGCTGTCATACTCTCTCTTCTACGTAACTTGGGTGTATTATTGTAGATTCTCCGATGTAATTTGGGTGTATTATTGTAGATACGATAATTTATGTGAAATATAATTAGTGAGTAATTAAAAAATGTATTACTAAAAATAATTATTGTATAATAAAAATAATTATAGATTAAGATAACTAGATAGTTTAATTAAAATTTAAAAAATTATAAAATTTAAAATATGATTAAAATTTTTATTATATTTTGAAAAATAAAAAGAACAAATTATATGAGGCGGACGAAAATAAAAAAAATATGAACAAATTATACGAGACAAAAAGAGTATAATTTTGAAAATTTCATTTGTAATCAATGTTAACAAAGTACTCCATGCAGTCTCAAACACCCTGCAACATTTTCTTTTTGGTACGCCTAAACACCGCCTAAACACCATGCAATATTTCTAAAATAGGAAATAATTAATTATATTTAATCTCTACTCCACACTTTATCCCCTCACATCATCCAAATAAAAAAATAAAATATATATTTCTCTCTCAATCACATCACCTAATTTCTAAATTATTCTACTTAATACTATCCACCTAAAGACTCGTGTCAAAAGTAAATATTGCACCTTGTTTGGGATGGAGGAAGTACTATTTTTTTTTATGTAAATATTAAAATATTAATATTCTATAGAGAATAATACTATAGAAGATAAATATATATATATATATTTTGTCCTTAAGCTTATTTATTTTTTAATGATATTTATTGTAATATTGTGTAATTTTTAAAATAATTTTTATTAAAATAAAAATAAAATTAGTAAAAAAGAAAACAAATACAATAAGAGTTAACATGCTAAAATAACAAGATGAATACATTCGAAAAAAAAAAAAAACGAAAAAAGTATAAAATTTTCAAATATTTATAATTTTATACATGTAAAAATGAATTTATTTGGTGGATCAAAATTTGGTTTCGTTTAAATAGACTTTTGAGTTTTTAAAAAAAATTAAAATTAATAAAAGTATAAATATTGAACGTAAATTTTTGTAAGAAATAATAAATATTTGATTAGATATATATTTTTATAGCAAAAAGTTACAAAATGTTTGTGTAACCTTTACTGTTTTTATAATTCAAAGTATGATCGAACCACTACACGCCCGGCCGGCCGGTCCGGTCCAACCGGTTCGGGCAGCATTCCACACTTGTGCCTAATGTTTTTCATGTGTTTCAGATTAAACTGACTTCAGATGTCCATGCATACGAGCATACATGGTGATGATACGATTGCATTTGAATTAAAGATCAAGAGAACCAACAAATCAATCGAAACTGGATCATATTCTGCTTAATTTGCTCGAGATCAGCTGATAGAAAGCCCAACGAAGAAGAAGACTGACCAGATTGGGATTGAATCATCAATCAGAACTGCAAAATTAGGGCACCAAAGATCGATTTGATTTGCTTGAAAACCGATCGATTGATCCATCCATCGTTCGATTAGATGGAAGAATTGAAAGGTTTGAGCATCAATTAGGTTGGGAAATGGATCTGTGCAGTCAAATTGAACAAATTTTGAGTGGAAATTAGGGATGGAACCCCCAAGTGGTTTTTGGGCATCTCTATGGCATTTCATACTGTTCTTGCCCTTTTTCATCGGTCTTCTAATCCTTGGCTTCATTAAAGGTCCAACTCTACTCTTTACATCAATCACTGTAAAAATTCTTCTGCTACTTCGATACATAGTGATGAATTTGATGCTAACAGGTATCATAATGTTGCCAGTAATTTTTATCATAATGTCGGTTGGAATTTCAGTGATAATTCTTGGTCTTTGGCCTGTTCACTGTTACTACACTTATTATTGCATTTGGAGGTAAGCCTTTTTTGTTTTTTATCGAGATATTTCAGATTTTGGATTGGATTTGTTGTATTAAGTTTTTTATTATGTTATCTTCTCGTTTTGTGATTTAGATTATATTTCTGTTATCTTAGATTATGTTGTTAATAGATATACAAAATTGACAGTTTTTTAGGATTTTTACTTCTGTTAATTTACTTATACTATTGCATTCTGCAATTCATCAATGGCAGAACAGAGCAGTTTGGTCCTTCCCTGAAGATGATACTCTGTATTTTTGTTCTTCCTGTCATCTTGTTATTGTGGCCGCTTGTCGGAATTGCTGCTGGACTTCTAGCCGGAGCGGCCTACGGCTTGCTAGCACCGATGTTCGCAACTTTTCAGGCTGTTGAGGAAGGGAAGATCGACAAATTCCATCACTGTATTTGTGTAATCAAAATCTAATTAATGATGAATTAGTCCATTGAAATCAAACATTTCTGTTTTCTTGATTTTCTCTCAGTTACACAAAACTTTGCTGCTTGCAGGATGGAATTTGGAGTTCTTTGCAAGGGAGTTTCACCATAGTTAGGGACTTCTTAGATGTTTGTTACTATTCTTATTTCTCAATCATGACTGATCTGCAGAATCAAGGGCCTCAAGAGGGAAAATATTATGAGATTAGGTCTGTATTTACCTATCAATCAAATCGTTTGTAATAAAAAAGAGTTTATAATCGACGAATTTGATTCATTTTACTGCAGGTTGGTGTATGTTCCATTAGCTTTAGTTGCAGGAATATGTGGTGCAGTGATTGATCTTGTGGTGATTTCCTCCATTGCTGTCTGCAAGAGTCCTTATATGCTGGTTAAGGGCTGGCATCGATTGTTCCACGACTGTATCGGTCGGGAAGGCCCTTTTTTGGAGACGATCTGCGTCCCATTTGCCGGGCTCGCGATTTTACTTTGGCCATTATCTGTTATAGCCGCTGTGTTGGGGTCTGTGGTTTCCAGCATCTTCTTGGGGGGTTATGCAGCAGCTGTTGTGTATCAGGTTTGAATGCTTGTCTATCTTCGGATTCGGGTTTAAGGTTTAGGATTTAGCGCGAAAACGTGAATTTTGTGTCTTGTTGGATAGATATATGTTCTTACATTCTTTGAATGCTTGTCTATCTTCGGAGTCGAGTTTAAGGTTTAGGATTTAGCTCGAAAATGTGAATTTTGTGTCTTGTTGGATAGATATATGTTCTTACATTATTGTTGTTGTTTCGATTCAGGAGGGATCTTTCTGGTTTGGCCTCTGCTATGTTGTTGCTTCGTTGTCGATTTACGATGATTACAGCAACGATATTCTCGGCATGCCCGAAGGATCCTGCTTTCCGAGGTTTCGATTCATTACATCTATCATTCATATATCTTCACGCGATTTTAAGGACTAAAAACGACGTTTGTTTGTCTGCGCAGACCGCGTTATAGGAAGAGTTCATTCCAAGCTTCGTCTTTGTCGAAGCAAAACTCTTCGAAGAATGCATCGTCGTGTAGAAGTCCGATTAACGCTTCGATACTCGAGTTGAAGCCGATGGAGGTTTGTGTATTTCGGTTTCGTGAATTTATGTACGCGCGATTTTGACGGATTCCTCATCGTCGTTCTTCATTGTCTAGTTGTCCGAAGCCTTGTTCGACGAATGCCAGCGGCGGGGCGAAATTCTGGCATCGAAGGGTATAATAACGGTAGCGGATGTCGAAGATGCGAAGAATAATAACAAAGATGCCAGCAGAGCGATCGCGATTGGATTACCGGCGTATTGTATTTTCCAAGCGCTACTGCGTTCGACTAAGGCGAATTCGACAGGCATCTTGCTAAGTGAGTAGGCGACTGACTGACTGACCGTGTCTCGATCTTCCTCTATGTGTCTTGCTCGAGTACTGTCAAGAAATTGATTGGTGGTGCAGGTGACGGCGTAACCGAAATAACTTCCTCGAATAGGCCGAGGGATAAGTTCTTCGACTTGTTCCTCACTCCGCTTCTGATCGTTAAGGAGCAGATGAGAGCAGACGATCTTTCGGAGGCGGAGGAGGAGTATCTTGGCGGGTTGATTTTGACGGGTGGCGATACAGCAAGATTGGAGAATTCGAGCGCGCGATCGGGTCCTGAATCCGAGCTTAGACGAGCAGAACTCGATGCATTAGCTCGAAGGTAAAGATAACACTTTCTTAAATCTAAATTTTTAAGTGAGATGATCGTTCATGATACTTTTATTATTTTTATTTTCTTAGCAGACTTCAAGGAATAACAAAGTCTATATCGAGATTCCCGACATTCAGACGCCGTTTCGAGAGCAGCATATCGAACATTCTCGAAGAGTTAGCTAAGAAGAGAGATTTGAGCATCGACTCTAGCAGCAATGGCTCGGAAACTGTTCTGAGATCACGAGGTTTGTTCGAAAAAATTGTTACCACGAGCTTTCCCGATCGAGAGGCTGAAAGAGACGTCGAAATCGGACAAACAGGTAAGGGATCATCAAAATTTTCAATGTGTTGTCTGTTTTATATCATGCATTGTTGGTAAATATATATATATATATATATTTATATTATGTTAATATAATTCATGCATTCCTTATCTTTCTATCAAGTGTTGTCAGCAACAGCTGACAATTCTCATATCATCAAAAATAGAAAAAGGTGTAAACAATGAATAGAGCAACACAGGGGCGTGTTGAATTTTTGAAACAAGAATCATAGGCCATACATATAGAGATTTTTTTTTTTTTTTTATATAACCGAAAGTACGCACTGAGTAGACCTTCGGTCAAACCTAATAGAATCTAATAGAAATTCTATTCTTGCTTCTTGGCAGTGTCTTTCATGAGTCCCTTTTTTCTAATTTTCAGGCAGAAGTTGAGACGCCAAGAATCGACAATCGACTCCGGCATCAAGTGCAAGAGAGCCCATAGAAGTGAGTGAGGCCAATACGGCGTGCAGCGAGGCTCGTATCCGATCCAACGGACAGCGGCGCGAGCGTAGCCATCCGTCGATGGAACTAACAAGGAAGACGTTCTAACGGAGGCCATCTTTGTTGCAACATATAAAGGTACCTGAAAATCCAATCCGATCCTCTATTCAATACTTTAAAAAAAAAGAAAAAAGAAAAAAAAGCTAATAATAGTGGAAATTTGTGCAAAATTTAAATTATGAGATAATTAAAAGTTGCGAATAGTAAATTATTGATAATATTATGTCATAATTTTTTGCTAGGATTGTTCCGTATATAATTTTGCAGAAAACTTTACAAAGAACATTATGCAAATATATAACCTAATTTGGATAAGTAATAAAAACGTGTCTACTCTATTTCTATTAAAAGGCATGGCTAACTTGGTATGGTAAGCGACTAGCGATTATAAGGTTATTGCTTCGGCAGCGCTATGCAATGATTGTAAAAAGTTGTGATTTATTATTATTATTATCAGTAGAGTCACAAAATTGCAGTTCTTTATATTACCAAAATCCCAAAAAGTTGGACATAGAGGGTTAGACGTGTGAGATCATGTTCAAACCCCCGACGCTTCAGGTCATTTGTTACATATGATTCGCCTAGTGTAATTTGTTTGTCAGATCTAGTTTGTAGGGTATTAGGTTTGATCGAAAATTTATCCAGCGTGCACCTTCGGATAGCAGCTGCGCTTTCCCTAGCTATTAAAAAAAAATCCCAAAATAGTTGTTTAGTAATTCCTTTATCCATCAAATCTACGTTGTTGTTTTTTTTCTTCTAAAAAAAATATGCATATCTTTTATTAATAAGAAATAACTTTTACATTATTTAATTTATATTTTTTAATATTGTATTTATATTAATAGTTACTGTGCTAATTTAGTTTATTTAGAAAATTTAGCTATATATACAAATAACACATATTCTTGTTACGTATTATACATGTGTGTAATAAATGTATGAATTATTTGTTCATAATTAAATGTGTTATATTCTCTTCGTCTCATATCTATATATTAATTTGCTTTTTACGAGAAATTTTAGAAATATTAGTATTATATTAAAATTAGTAGAAATAAAAGTAAAAAGACTAAACCAACATGATATAAAAGTAATGACATTTACGTAATATATTATAAATTGAAAGAATATTTGTAATGTTAGATAGACAGTATAATTACTAAAATGAAATAGATACTTTGTCGACCAAAATGAAAAAATAGATATATTATTAAGGGACCGAGAAAGTATAAAAAATATGTTATGTGCTGAAATAAACTATAATATGTTATACAACTATAACACATGCTGTTAGTTTATATATTATATTTGTATTATATTAACTTAATATACAATATATTGTTTATAATAGTCTCTCAGTCCAGTTAGAAGTATAATTACAAAGTAAACATTTCATTAAATACCTCACATTTTTTTCAAAAATACTTCTACTTTACATCACATTATTACTTTTACACAAAAAAATATGAACAAAAATATCATTATATTATTTTTAAATACCTACTAACGCCAAAAATAATTGTTTGCTTTATGTGTGGGCGGGAGAGTAATACTCAGGGCTGCCAAAAGCACACAATGTATTTTTCCAGAATTCGGATTGTAGCCGTAGCCAATATTTATTTATAAATATGGCGCAGCTATTTACAAAATTTATTTAAAAAGTTTCTCACTTCGTTAAATAACTCTTATACTTTTGACAATACTATTATTTCATTGCATTTAATCAAGATAATATATTTGTATTTATGAAAATTAATATCCAATTCAACTTGACATATTTTGTTAATTTTTTAACAGCAAAACTATAAGTTTATTTTTTGGTATTGTAGAACACAAAAAACTACACCTGACACTGCACATCAATTCCGCTCTTCTTGTATTCAACATACAGACATCTCGAAAATTGGTCGACGAATCTGCAGAAAGCATCCAATTCCAAGTTCACAACAATCATCAATGGCGGAAATTAATTTTCAAACCTGGAACTGGAAATCAATTAAACGAAGTACTCACGCTTTCGAAGCAGCGTAAACAGAGTAGAGAGGATCCGAGGGGATAACAATGGCGGAACCCGACCCGATGTTCACAATAGCTCCTCGTTTCCTCTCCAACATTCCAGCCAAAACAGCCTGTGTAACCATGGTCGTCGCCTCCACATTAACCCTAATTAAATCGCCCAAAAGCTTCTCATCCACTTCGTGGAAGAATCTCGCGTAAGGATACGAAATTCCGACGTTATTAATCAGCACTCCGACGTCCAGTCCTTGAATAGCCTCCTTAATCCTCGAAACGCCTCCGGATAAGTCGCCGGCGGCGAAGTCCACCACCACGGTCTTAATCTGGACCCTACCCGACCCGAATCCGGATAAAATCGAATCGGATACCTGTCTGAGCTTCTCCGGATTGCGACCGACGAGAACAAGGTTGAGACCGTCGTTTGCGAGCTGGATTGCGAAGGATTTTCCGATTCCGTCGGTCGGTCCGGTGACTAAAGCCCAGGCGCCGTAGCGTTTTTTCAGATCCTTCCGCGGTCGCAGGAAATTGAGGTAGATCCAGTTGAGAGTGGAGAGTGTGAGGTTGAAGAGGGAGAGGAAACCGATGGATTCGACGAGGAGAAGCCATGGCGGTTGCGATTTGAGGTGCTCGGAGATGCAGTCCGCCATTGATTGACGGTTTCGAACTTTCAGTGGCTTTGAGGAGAAGGGTAAGTTTTAGGCTGAATTATTTAAACATTATTAATTTTAATAAAAATTAATATAAATAATACTACTAAAAAAATTTAAAAATTATTGTTCATATTAAATTGCCAATTTAAATAATTTTGTAATGTTATTTTGTTAGCATTATTTCTATAGGTTTTTTTTTTTTTTTATTAAAATTAATACTAGGAGTAATATTTAAAATAATTCAATAGGAGATTTAATGGGAAAGTACGGCACAGTGACATGGGAGGAAGTTGGTTGAAACCGTTTAACAGAAATTAGGCAGTATTAATTTATTAATTTTTTATTTATTAGGTCGCCAATAAAAGTTCGCCCTTTTCTCAATTAATTGATTCGAATGTGAACTGCTTTTTTGGTTTTTACCTATTTTTCGTCAATTTTCAGACTACGTGAAAATAACAATTATTATTATTATTATTATTATTATTATTCGAATGTGAACTGCTTTTTTGGTTTTTACCTATTTTTCGTCAATTTTCAGACTACGTGAAAATAACAATTATTATTATTATTATTATTATTATTATTATTATTATTATTATTGTTATTACAATGTCTTTACTTTAGAGAATAGATTATATTCCCTTATTATTCAAAATACAAAAAAATTGATTTCTATTTTAATATTTATGAATTTCTTGTTGAAATTAATTTAAAAAGTGTAGTTAAAATAGTAAATGAGGAGAAACTATCTTGTTTTATAATTTCAAATAAAAAATATTATTCTCTTCGTCCCATGCAAATATTATCATTTTCTATTTTCGTCCGTTTCAAAATAAGATTATTATTTCCTAATTTAGCAATTATATTATCTACTTAACATAATAAATACCTTTTCAACTTACAATATATTACACAAATGTTGTTACTTTTATATTACACCAAGATATTTTTGTCTTTTTTACTATAATCCAATATAATACTAATATTAAAAAATTTACTTGAAAAAGTACCACATTTCCAATGAGACGAAGAGAATGCATCAAAATATAACAATTTATTGCAAATTAATTTTAAACCATGATCAAACAAATTAAAAATAAAAAATTGCAAAAGTTTTTGAATATCTAATAATAGCAAAACAATTGAGTGGGAGACTATTTTGGAATTTATGAATTAAACCTTATCTTCTAAAGACTGATCCTCTGTGGCTTGGCCACAGGAAAACAACAGATCCATTTTTTCTGCAACAAAAACTAATTTAATTAATTAATATACCATCAATCACATCTACAATATATATATATATATATTAAATTAAATATATTTATTATTGACGAGATTAATTTAATTTAATTTAATTTGGCTACTTGTCTGAATTGAACTGGGGAGAGGAGACGTCGATGACAGCGGCGGTCGAGGCTGCGCCATTGGGGCCTTAGCCTTCGCTTTCTTTTTGTCCCGGGCCTTGGCGAAAATGACCGAAAACCCATCTACCGACGCCGGATTATTTACGTCCCATTCCCCGAATTTCGGGAGCGGCCGCCCCCTTTTTCCTTGCTTGCAATGAGCGCCATAAAGATTCATCTTTAAGTCGTACAAAAAATTAATAATTAAAAAAAAAGAATTTATAATAGGAGATTGTAAAAGGGAATTACCGTCGTTATGGAAGATTATAATTTGAAGAATGTCGTCTTGATCGTATGCATGCGTGTGTGTATATATATATTTGTATGTATATGTATATGTATATGTATATGTATATGGAATCGAATATGATTAGAACTTGTTTGAGTCCCATGCACACATATGGATAATAATATCGTGTGTAGAGGTCGACAATAATAGCGTGTATATATAAATATGAATATATATATATATATACTTATTTAATGAGGATAAATTTAGTTATGGTCCAAATTTAAAATTGAAAGTTTAGAATAATTAAAGGCAAAAAATTATATGAAAAAAAAAATTGTAACAAATTTGATCCCAAATATTATATGAAAAAGAAAAAGGTTAATCGAAATAAAATTCCTGCGTTGACTGTTGACCTCCCAATGTCGGTGCTGTCTTTTAATCCTCACCGCTGATCTCTGCCACGTCAACAATAACGGTTTTACTAAACAACCCCTCTCCGACCTCCGTTAATGGTGAACCTTGGGATAAGATTTACCTACAGGGCTATTTTTGTAATTTCATATCTCTTGCAAACGCAGACAAAGGATTGGCCATTCACAGTCCACACGCCCCCCCCCCCCACTTCATTAAAGATTCCTCTTTCGTCTCCATTAGTCTCTTCGATCTCTTTTCAGTCAATGGCGTCTGGGTTGATCCGGCGAGCCATTTCTAGAGTGCCTGCCGCTTCTCCGGTGGCCAGAGCTGTCGTTTTCCGATCGCACGCTTCGGAGGCGGAGCCCGAAGCGAAATCCGCCTCCCTTTCCAAGACCTTCCAAATCTACCGGTGGAATCCGGACTCCCCGAAGAAGCCAGAGCTGCAGGACTACGAGATTAATCTCAAGGAATGCGGTCCAATGGTCCTGGACGCCCTAATCAAGATAAAAAACGAGATCGATCCAACCCTAACATTCCGCCGATCCTGCCGTGAAGGAATTTGCGGTTCCTGCGCTATGAATATCGACGGCAGGAACGGTCTAGCCTGCTTGACGAAAATTTCGTCGGAAGGGCCAACGATGATCACACCTCTGCCGCATATGTTCGTGATTAAGGATTTGGTGGTGGATATGACGAACTTTTACAATCAGTACAAGTCGATTGAGCCATGGCTGAAGAGGAAGAGTCCGCCGGAGACTCCGGGGAAGGAGGTTCTGCAAAGCAAGGAAGATCGGAAGAAGCTTGATGGGATGTATGAGTGCATTTTGTGCGCGTGCTGTAGCACTTCCTGTCCGAGCTATTGGTGGAATCCCGAGTCATATTTGGGTCCCGCCGCCCTCCTGCACGCCAATAGGTAAATCAATTTGTTCCTAGGCCTGGCAAATGATATAGTATATTATTCTTTTAGGAATTTGTCTTTTTTGTATAATTTGCCTGAACGTTTGTGGATCAGGATAATTGTGTTATTAGTGTGATCAGTTCATTTTCCCAGTGACTGGTTTTGTTATTTGCTCCTAGTTTTTGGGAGTAGCCATCAGATACATAAAGATGCTCTGGGTTCAGTGACTTTCAGTTTGAAGTGGAAACATTTGCTTGGATTTTGTTGTTTTTAAAAAATGTTGGAAATGAGAGAAGAGGAACGGAATAAAAATCCACCCTATGATCCAAGCCAAGCAGTAATATGGATGATTATTAGTTAAGCATCATGGTTAATGGAACTCAATTAGATTGGGAAACTTCAACACTTGCAGATATGGTATTTTTATCTATTATACTATAAAATAAATTGGCATAAATATGAACTTAGAGAAGATTCAAGCTCAAGTTGAGTAATTTGATATATGATGAAATGAACCCCACTTAGCTTACAAGGGGTTCTACTTTAGGTTGCTGCTCAATAGTGTTGTTTGGATTGCAGAATTTATGATAATTATTGTGTCGATAAACTGATCACCTTACGCCATAATCAACTTATAGCTAGCATGCATATTGCTTGTGTATGATTAAATCTTGAACTAAGGTTTAGCTCACAATGATGGTTAAAAGCTATAAGTTCCTGCATTCATCTGTTATTTGGTTTCTATAGTTGTGCTGGAATAAGGTCTGTATTTCTTGGATTGATGCAGGTGGATCATGGACAGTCGCGATGAATACACAAAAGAGCGCCTGGAGGCCATCAATGATGAGTTCAAATTATATCGGTGCCACACCATTTTGAACTGCGCTAAAGCGTGCCCGAAGGGTCTCAACCCCGGCATGCAAATCCAGAATATCAAGAAACTTGAGCAAAAATTCCCTTGAATGAATTCCTTTGAATGTCAATGAGGTTGAATTGCTTTTGGGACTTCCTCCTATCCATGAATGTTCTTGCCTGTGGAACATTTTGAGAAATGATTGTAATTTTTCAGCTTTAAGCATATTTGTATTTGTACCTAACTGGTGCAACATTTTCTCCATTTTATTTGGAGAACAAGAATCAAGATTAGTCTTTTGGAACCTGAACAATAAAGGGGCTTTGTTTTCTTTGTATTGGTTTGCCTATATTGGAAAATGAATATGTGTATTTGTGGTTGATCTTACTGTAAAAGTTCCATTACTATATTCCTTGTATCTTATCTGAAACAGAGCCTTGGAATCCTCAAAATCTGGAAACTTGGATCCGTACGCAAGTCAATTCATTCAGTCTACAGTGTCAGAGATCGTTGAGGGCCTGACACGGAATCTAGACGCCATTCCAGGCATGTTCGTCGAGGGGCCCCACAGGTTCGTTTCATTTCGTCATCTTCCTCTTTCTGCGCACATTATGGACACACAGCAGGGTTTTTTAATTAGATTGGTGTCGACGGCGACAGTAGCGGCGGCGGCGGCGGTTCTAATTTATATTCGAAGGGGTATAGCATCGAAGTGGAGGTGCAAGTTATGGCGTCGTGGAACTCAGTTCAGTTAGAGGTTTTGTACCATGTTTTGGGATGGATTGCGTTCGTGTCATGGTCGATCAGTTTCTACCCTCAAGTCGTCTTAAATTTCCGAAGGAAAAGGTTTCGATTCTTCCCCTTTTTATATGCTTTTAATTTTGAATATCTTCCTTGTTCTGTGGTGATTTTTGTTTTTGTTTCTGCTGGCAGCGTGGTGGGATTGAATTTCGATTTTGTGCTGTTGAATTTGACGAAGCACTCGTCGTATCTCATATACAACGCTTCCCTCTTCTTCAGTTCCACTGTTCAGAGACAGTATCGAGAGAAATTTGGCTTTAATGAGGTACTGTTTTGTTTAATGATCAAGAAGATAGCCATTTCTGGTTTTCTTGTTCTTTCTATTTCCAAGTTTCTTGAAGTATGTTTTGCATTTGTTGAGTGGCTCAGATGATTCCCGTTGCTGCTAATGATGTGGCTTTCTCGACTCATGCTGTGTTATTGACTGCTTTCACTTTGTTTCAGATTGCCATTTATGAGGTAAGTAGGATATGATTGATTTCGATACTCTGTAGCATTTTAAGAAATGAAAGTTTTGATGATTGTCAATTTGGAAATTGTGGATTGCTTAATGGCATGATTGAAAAACCCTTTGTTTGATATGAAGAATAAACTATACAACTTCCCAAGATTCATGATTCTGTCTTTGTATCTTCAACATTTATTGATGTGAAGATCCTTAGAATCCCTAAGATTTATGATTCTGTCTTTGTCTCATCAACATTTGGATATTATGGATTGCTTAGAGGAATGATTTAAAAATCTTTAGAATCCCTAAGATTCATGTTATGTCTTTGCATCTTCAACCTTTGGATATTGTGGATTGCTTAGAGGGATGATTTGAAAATCTTTAAAATCCCTAAGATTCATAATAACGCCATTGTATCATCAACAGCGTGGAAACCAGAAAGTGTCCAGAATTGCCATTGGAATTGTATCTGTGGCCTGGTTGTCTGCAGCAGTTTGTGTCTTCGTTGCTATACCGCGGCATTCCTGGTTTTGGCTGGTTGCCATCTTCAAGTAAAAGGACTGCTCTCGAATTCTTCATTTAGTTTTATCTTATTCTTGCATCTGTAATCACTTCGGTGCCTATGCATCTTGATTGCTCTGTTTTTAACTCCTGAATCAAATGTCTGATTGCAGCAACATTCAGGTTGTCATGACAGTCATCAAATACATTCCTCAGGTATGTCCAAATTTATATCTTCGATCAATCGTAATGACTTTTAGCAATCTATTGAATATTTATAAAAAATCCAGGCCATCTCAAACTTCCGGAGAAAAAGTACAGTTGGGTTTAGCATAGGCAACATCTTGCTTGATTTCCTTGGAGGAGTGACAAACTACTGTCAGATGGCCGTCCAGTCCATTGACCAACGTAAGTTGTTGCTCGCCGAATGCTATGCTAATGATAGTGGAAGTGTCTGAAGCTAAATTTGTTTTGCATTGACAGATTCCTGGGTTAACTTCTACGGAAATATTGGGAAGACAATGATATCTTTGGTAAAGAATTGCTCAACTCGGCTTTAATCCATTGCTTCTCTCATTGTTACCCTCTTGCTTTCAACTCTGTTGGTATAATTTGCAGGTGTCGATCTTCTTCGACATACTATTTATCATACAACACTACATACTATATCCATCCAAGAAGGTGGCTGTGGCGCAGCCGTTAGTTGAACCTTCTTCTGATATCCCTCAATCAGAGAGTATGTAATGTGGTAATATAAATGAAACATAAGTAGTGGATAAAAAGGGAAGTATGTTTTAGATGTTTCAAATCGAACCCTTTGTTACTAAACTTGTGTTGTAATCATTTCAATGATCTAATTAACATATCCCTCTCTACATCTCTCCATGGTTTTAAGTGATTTTTTTGAATTGCATATATTATCCATGTAAACAGCAGAAGTGAAGGAATGTGCGATTGATTTGATGCATTATAGGGGAATGCACACAACTTGAAACATTTGTCGAAGAAAAGATGTACACATGAAAAATGGCTGTGAACAACAGAAACAGCCAGCAGCAGCAAATGGAAGCAGAATTCATGAATCCATGGGCGGCCTCGGCGCAGATAGGGCCTACATCAATGCTGAATATTTGGAGATCGGTTCTCAAGCGCTGTCCTCAAAGAAAGAACTCTGTTCGGATTTGGATTGATTCTTTTTAACATACTACTCTCTGAAACACCACCACCACCACTGTTCTTGGCTAAAGATGATGGAAATGGAGGAGCAGATGGTGGCACTGAGGTGGCGCTGCCTTGCTTCTTGTTCGAGATTGTTTTTCCTAGCACTGTTGGTTGAGGCCGGCGTCCGGCTGCTGGTGCAGGAGCCTGCAAACCATAGAAGAAAATGGTTTTTAGAATGTCTGAGAACAGAAGAACAGAACATAACAGGGAAGTTGATTTTGGAATCAAACATTTAACCTTTTTCATCTGATTAATTATTGACATTTCCCTTTCTTTGTAGAAATCAGGCAAGGGGCGAGCTTTGAAGCAAAATGTACAGCTCAGTTTTCGGAATTCATCGCCGGCTTTTTCCTACAAAACCAAGTAAAATTGCAACCATAACCTTTCAGCTATATATGCTCCCTAAGCAAAAGTCAGTATAGACGTATTTAAGATGACCTTTAATGTCTTCTGTTGCACTTGCTGCTTTTGCTGTTGCTGGACCTTCTGCATTTCGTTTTCGTTGAATTTTTCTTCGAGTTTCTGAAATAATGTAGGAAAGGCAGCATAGAAACATCAGCTAATGAAATTCCATAAGATGTCGACTTAGTTTTGTTCATCAGGGATGAAACTTGCCTGTTTTCTTTTTGCAGCTCTTTCTTCTGTTCTCAGAACAAAAGGAGTGGATAATGTCGGCGACTGTAGCTTGTTCCGGCAAGCAGTCAGTGACTTTGTGCAACTGAAAGATCAAACAATAACAAACCCAAGGTAAACTCTCTCTCTATATTCTTTTGGATTCGATTACTATTTCCAGCAGTGATATTTCTGCACATTCCTTATGTGATCTTGATATTGTTCATGACAGTAAGGGCTTTCGAATATTTTAACTTACACAGCAGACAAAATGTGCCATTTGGGTCCATTTGTTTTGCTTCCACGGGCTGAAGAATCGACCGGCGTTTTCATCCTGTGCACACACAGAGGATTGTCAAACAATGCCATTAACTTCTACATACAAGATCAGTTTAAATTAAATCACCTTGTGTTCTCTGATATAGGAGTGGCAGTAGAAGAATATTTCGACACCCCATTAACGGTTGCCTGCAGTCAAAATTCTAACATAAATTATTCCCTTCCTTAGAGAGTCCAAGAAAATATGGCAACATGGGCTATGAGGAGTTCTACCTTAACTGGAGTCCTCCATGGAGTTCTGCAATTCTTCGGTGTTCTTGAAGAACTAGGAACAACAAGCCCTGCAGTCTCCTTGACAGGTTCTTTATCGGGCTCTCTTAAGGGCGTCGAGTTAATCAATCTTTGCAGGGACTTGGGGGAGGATCTGTTCTTATCCATGGAGTTCTTGAAAGGAGGAGAAATTGGATTGGTATTTGCAGGTGTGGATGGCACTTTCCATGTCTTGCGCTGGATGGACGATTTGAGCGAAGAAAGTCCCGACTTTTTCTTGCTCGTCGCGGCTGATTGGACATCCTCACTCGAAGCGCAATTCTGCACAATTTAAATCGAAGAAGTGATGACAGGCGCCGCGCCAAGAATCAAACCATTTGAAAAAATGGCGAAACGGTTACCTTCAGCAGTGGCCTCTCCTCCAGTTTTGGAGTTGCAGCTCCATCAGATCCAGAAATTGTCTCATGATTTTCAAGACTCTCTGGCAGGTTATGTTCGATCGACTCTTCTTTCTTTACGACTAAATTATTATTTCCCCTCTCTGCAGCTGAATTTGAATCTTCTTTCCCTTCAACAATGTCCTGTTCTTTCAACACTTTGTCCTCATCTTTTTCAGCTGGATTCAACAAGGCGCCGACACTCAGATCATCATCATCATCATCATTAGCAGCTGCAGCATTTTGCTGTTCGAGCAAAGCTGCAGCTCTTTGGGCAGCAATCTTTTTGTAATGAGCTTCAAAGAAGGCTTTCTTCTGCGCAACCGATCCCGGCTGCGCAAACCTCTGAGCCTCCTCGACGTACTTCTTGTGCGACGAAAATGCCGACCATCTATCCCAGGACAAGGGCTCGGTCGCGAACCTCCCGAACGAAATCGACTCCCCAAGAACATGCATTGGATTCCCCTGGTGAAGATATTCAAATCTCAGAATCCATAGCCAGCAATTTGCAGGTAAGTTTGACAGGTAAGTGATGAAAAAATTTAAATCATAGCTTTGTTATTTATTAGTTATTATTACCTTCTTCGACTCATTGGGTATGGCGGAAGCGTAAGAGAAGCCATGCATCAAGCAAGTCGAATCTCCCATTAATAATAATTGTTATAAATATTATTGTTTTTCTGGTAAGAGTGGCAGAGGGGGGAAGAGGAAGAGGGGAAAGAACAAATGATGAAATCAATCTTTGTTATGTTGTGTTTTTGTATAATGCAGGTATTGGGGGTGGGGTGGGGGTTGGGGGGATGTTAAATTTGAAATTCAAATGGAAAAGGCAACTGCTGTGGTGTAGTGTAGTGTGCAGAGAGAGCACTGAGTCGAGTTGACTCAGTGAGTCAGTCTCACTCGCTCCTGACCCAGTGCTTCTATTTTGAATTATTTTTTATCCTTTTTGAATTAATTTTTTTTTTCCTCGTTATAGGCTCCCTTTTTAGTCTTTAGTGTGGACCCCACTTTACCACATGTTTTGAATTTCAATTTGTTTAATCACTCGCCCAATCCCTACCCAACGGTCATTTCTTATTATGCTTATTTATTTATTTATTTATTTTATGAATTGGCACGGTTGACTATTTAAACTCAATAAGTGTGTTTGGTTGATATTTTAAAAAAATTGAAAATAAGTGAGCATATCATTGACATTGCCATCAAATTTGTGATTTTTTTTTGGGGAGATTTTTTTTTGGGGGAGATTTTTTTTTGGGAGTTTTTTTTTCTTTATATGGAATTTTATAAAATTATTTCGACATACAAAAGGAAATATTTATTAAAATTATAATATTACCTAAAAAATTGTGTCAAAAAAGGATGAATGGATTACAAGATATCTGGCAACAGACCATGTATCGAATTGTTTAGTTGAAAATATATGTAAATATCAAATATGATATTAGAAAATGGACGGAGGGAGTATTAAATTTGTAGATCATATTATTCACCCTTTGTAAGTTATTTCTACTAAATGATTATAGAGTGTTTGGTTATAGTATGAAATTTTGCAAGAATGTTTGATTTAAATTTTTGTTTGATTTAAAATGAATAGTGTTGATTTTAATTTAAAATTATGTCATATTCAATCGAAAAAAAAAAAATACTATATTCATTAAAATTCATGTTTTATTCAATTTATATATATAATCTATAGACATAGAAATATACTTTATTAAAGTGTAATTTTAAAATCTTCTAAATATATATATATATATTCCACCATAACACAAATTTCCGTTTATATCTTATTACTAAAACCGAACTTTCTTAAACCTAATGTATCAATGAATTTTTCTTTTTTCACATTGTATAGAGATCAGATCAATTGTGTGTAACTTGTTTGCTTACATTGATATATAGAAACATGGATGAACGTAGTATCAGTTTAACTATGTATTCAAATACAACATCCATTCAACAAAAATGTATCCATTTCATTTTTAATTATTTTATTTTAATTTGAGTTTGATTTTTTTTTTATTATTTAAATTTGAAATTTAAATGATCTTTTGATATAAAATTTTATATATATAAAAGTAATCATGTTAAATAAAAACGATGGAGATATATATTTTTTTTCTCTTATGCTTGTTTAAAATTTTATTGAGTAATATTATTCTAAATATATTGAATTATAAGGATATCATTTAAATATATATATATATATAATATAGAAAATAAGACAAAATGAATATATTGTGTTTGTAGGGATGTATTTAATATATATTTTTAAGAAAATATTATTTGCAAGACATTTCTTTTAGAGTGTGATTATTATTTTGGATACTTGAATTTTTATTACTTTAGGTGCAATAATTATTATATGTAATATTTTAGGTAGAAATCATTTATTTTATTTCGGGAAGAGGTGAGGTTGAATAATAAAAAAAATTAAAAAAAATAGAACTTTTAGAGTGTAGCATCTATTTTAATTTAAAAACATTACACTTTTTTTTTTAAAAAAAAAAAAATTTCAAAAATTTAAAAATACAACATACCAAATTAATTTTAAAATACAACTACGCAAACCTATTTCATTTGTCAAAATTCTTTATTTTTATTTTTTAAACTACTTACAATTTTTAAAACCTAAATAAGCAATTTTCTCAAATATTTTTACTATTATATATATATATATTTAAAATAGGATATCAAATAAGTATTTTTTTTTTAAAAAAAAACACCAATAAAATAAAATAAAATAAATAAAAACCCTTCATTAAGCCTATCCTTACGAACCAATTAACCAAGCTCTTAACTTAATACATCCAACCAAAACCAATATTCATTAATTGATAGGAAAGCCGGCCGGCACCGGCACCGGCACGGCACCGCCGTGTATTTGGAATGAACAAGGAGTGGGACAGGCAGGCCATTCGCAGCAGCGTTTTATGTTCTTCATCTACTGGATGCTTCGTTGCCGCCTTCACTTTCTCATTGACAGTTACAGGTACCTACCTAACCTTTCGCTTTCCATTTTACAATAATTTGCGATTCTCTTAAGCAAAATTTTATGCTATCTAGTTGCTGAGCGATAGAGTATTATTATTATTATTATTCTCCTCGTCCTTGATTGTGTGTGGTGTGTACTGTTTATAATTGGAATATTGGTTGATGGTTAATTCAATTAATTTGGTGGTTTGGTATGCTAATTAAAAAAATTCAGAGTTGCATATGAGGTTGTGTTGCGGTTTCATGTTTCTTGATTGAATTGAAGCCGAATGATTTCACCCTAATCTGAGACTGTATCAGTAGCAAGGCGTATGCTATCGAATGAGGTTATAACTCATTTTCAATTCATTTCTACAATGATATAATTCGATTCTCTTTTGTTTCTATTTGAAATTATCCTAAGGAAAAAGAATTTTGTTTCTTGTTCACTGGCTAGTTTTGCTTCAATTTCTTTGATTAGGAATAGGAAGAAAATAGAAGATTTAGTTACATTCACTTTGACACCAAAGAAGAGTTCGATCTCATGTTTCAGTTCTATCCTATTTATCTCAATTCCACATTGGATGTATATCATGATCTCAACTCAAAGAAAGATTTCAATCCCATGCTTTAGTTCTATCTTAGTTGAGATTCTGATTTGACATTAGAAGCACTTTGATCCTAAGAAAAAAGAATATTGTGTCCACTAGTAAACAATACACAATTGTGAACCGGTTAGTTTGCATCAATATCTTTGTTTGGGAATATATAGAAAGTAGGTGATTTAGTTACATTCAATTTGACACGAAAGAAGAGTTTGATCCCATGTTTTAGTTCTATCCTTATTATCCCAATTCCACATTAGATGTATATCTTGAACTTGACTGGGTGTGTTTGTTTGGGAGATTAAACACTTATGTTTCATTTTTTATACTCCCTCCGTTTCATTGAAAGGTTTTCTATTTTTCATTTCCGTCCGTCCCAAAACAAGATTACTATATAATATCCTTTCAACTTACAATATATTACACAAATGTCATTACTTTTATATTACACCGTACTAATAGGATATTTTTGTCTTTGTTACTACAATCCAATATAATACTAATATTAAAAAATCTACGTGCAAAAAACAAACGCCACCCTTCCAACGGGACGGAGGGAGTATTCTACTAAAAATCAATTTTACATTCAAAACGTCACATCAATACCTATTTATATCACATCATACAACTATTCAAAATTAAAAAATTTTACTATTCAAATTCCTAACTCAAAATCCAAACCCCCAAACAAAGTTCTATCATAGTTGATCCTGTCTCAACATAAGTTAACATTCAATTTGACACCAAAGAAGAATTTTGATCCCATGTTTAGTTCTATCCTACTTGATCCCAATTCCACATTAGATGTATATCTTTATCTTGACTCAAAAAAGTGTCAATCCCATGCTTTAGTTCTATCCTAGTTGATCCTAATTCGACATTAGAAGTATATGTATCCACCTGCAGCCCCTACCTTTATCACTGAAAATTACATTTTTATGTCCTATAAACTCCATTCCACCCTGTGTGAGATACCTTTTTAAGGAACATAAATGCAACAAAAATGCAGGTTCAAAACTAACAGTTAAAAGGAACAATACATATATAACAGCTTAATTTCAACATATTCATCATTCTTTTAGTTTAGGAGATTCCAGGGCAATTCGCCATCAGATTAAACTTCAAACAAAGATTCTAAAACCTCCCTGTAGTTGGCCAACCCAATTCTCTGATTCTCTCCTCTATATACAGTTACTACTGCTTATAATCAAAACAAATTAGGCCCTTTTCCTTTGGTCCTCTATGAGCAAACATCGTTCCTTATCCTTCACTCTCCTCCCAAGCATAAGTAGGGTAAGCAATCAAAGAAATAATATATATGCAGTCCCACTAGAATCTCATCAGTGGTCAGCAATACAATAGCAAGTTGTAAGCAAAAAATACAGAAGCCCTTATCCACCTTCAGCCAGACGGCGTTTTGGTACCTGTCCTGGGGGAAACAAGCACAGGCTCGTTGCTTGCAACTTTCCTTGCGGCTATTTCCTCCAGGCATTTCCATTTCGCTTCCCGTTTCATCTGAATTTCTGCTTCCTGAGCTTCATGTTCTTGGTACTTGATCAAACACTCCTCAAAGAGATCAGGATCTACTTCGGAGAAGATTTTACGAACATTCAGTGTCAAGCTCTGCACTGCTTGATTCCAGTGGCTTCTAGCATTCTTCTCCAAGGCAGGGAAGATGATCGGCAGTATAACTTTACAGTTTTGTTTGATCAAATTCTCAATATGATCGTTGTTCCACAGAAACAGCGCCCTTTCTGCCACCTGTATAAACAGCCACTCGATGATATAGTCACAAAGAGAAGGCATTGCTGTCTTAATTTGGTAAAATTAGAGAAAAATTACTATCACAGCCAGGGTATATATACATGAACTGGCAGGGTAACGATCGAACCTATTGAGAACCATATTACTTCAATACACTGTATAAGTTTCTCATTTAACTACAACTAAGCAGGCGTAGAATAGCAACAACGATGAAATAAGAGTTAGAACAGAGTATTAAATCTGTGCTCCGAAACAATCTTAAAAGAGTATGGGTCGCATCATCAAGATGATCGAAGTGCTATAAAATAAAAGACTACCAAAACTCATATCCCATTGAATGAAATTTAACGAGAATGAGTGTAACCTGAAAATGTGAACTGCTCAAGCAGCGACCAATTTGGCGGAACAAAGGAACCATAGACCTTTGAAACTCAGGAGGCTGAGTTGCTTCCAGCACTTCTTCTAGCTCACCCAAGAACATGACTTCCTTCGAACTATTTGTGACCGGCCAGTACTTGAGTAGCCCTCTAATGACAGTATCAGCGAGTTTGCAGTCCTTCTCGACAAACTGCGCTATGCAATAAGACAGCTGCTGATGATACATAGGAATGCATTTCGGCTTGTGAAGTGGAATGAGTGCTCTAACAAGAAAAAGTTTGTGCTCTTCTTTCAAGGGCAATGCAAATCCATTTATAATGCTTCCCAAGATTTCTAACAGCTCTGCTATCCCATTATGCTTCTCCGTCTCGAAAACAAAGCGGTAGAATATGTTGTTGATAGCTTTCCTAATATACGGCCGATGAACCATGAACTTACCGTATATCCGGTGCAGGACAGTCTTTAAATAGTCCCTCTCTCTAGGATCCTCCGAGTCAAATAGATCCAGTAACCTTAGAACGAATTGGTGGTCAATGTAACGCTTTGCCAGCTTGGCATCCGTCTCCGGCGAAGCCACAAACCGGAGAAAAAATTCATAGACAACTTGCAAATGGGGCCACATTGGATCCATCAATGGCTCCTCTTCTTCCAAATCAAAGGCTTCTAAGGCTTTGTTTTCGCGAGGCTGAGTGCAGAGCGTACGGAATAAGTTTGTTGATACCATTCTTACGATCTCTTGCATGACAGTTTCCGGGAATTTCCCATTTGCCGAAGCAAGATAGTCAACAAGCTCGATTAGCGTCTGCCTCTTGATGTCTTTTTCTTTCAAACTCTTCGTAGGGTCAGTGAAATCAAACATCACACAACATAAATTCAACTTCTTGACAAACAAATTCTGCTTCTCGGCATTAGGAACATCTCTAAAGCTAGGAAGTGCCTCGTATCCATTCAGCTGTGGATTCGCCGAATCGTGCAATCTGTTTCCGTTGCTCGAATTCGCGGGAACAGATGCATAGTTGCTTCTTGCATTTGTCGAAGCATAATTCGAGGACCCTCCGTCCTTTATATCCACAATCTTCGACTGCTTCTTGGGCAGCCGGGTTAGAATGTTCTTTATCATCATCAAAAGCCACAAATAGCAACCTTTGTTTCAAGTTAAGTTAGCCTGTTAACAAACACACTCACAATCACAAATTCACAATGCAACACATAGAAAACCAATCATCAGCCCAACTGATTTAGGGATAATTAAGTGCTGTGATAGCCATTTGTTCATCGGTGATGCCCTGCTGCATACACAAGCTCTTTCTTTCCAGACATGAACTAGAAAGAACTCCCCTTTATCTCCAAGAAGCAGATGCACAAAAGTAAACTAAATTGGCAAAAATCCCAGATGTACAGATCAAGGTAGAACTACAGAACTAGGGTAAAAAAGGGATCCCCAAAAATTAGGGCACAAGCCTGTGGACTCACCGGAGCTATTAATACTTATATGATCAGTTGTTGTTGGGTTGGATCAGAAAGTTTCAAGATCTGGTTGGGATCTGGAAGAATCAGCTAACATTGTTTAGCAAGAATTATCATCTGTAGAAATGGTGAACAGAAACAGAACCCATAGTTGAAATCTTTAGATGTGCAAGTGGGATACATGGACATGGAGATGAGATGAGGAAAAGAAGTGAAGAAATTGGTGAAAGATTTAAAAGGATTGAAGGGCAGCTTTTTTGTTTGCAAGTTCGATGAGGAATCAAAGATAAAGAGAAGCAGGCAGGCAGGAAAGATGAAGGAAGCTTTTTGGGAGTTGAATTGAAATTTTGTTGAACCAAAAATCCAAATAGGAGCTGTGTGTAAGAGAGAGAGAGAGAGAGAGACCGCAAAAGTGGGGTGGGGCCCTGCGCGGATAAAGAAAGAAAATGCTGGTGGGGGTGGGGTGGGGGTTCCTCCCTGATGATGGATGGGCTACGATGCAGCACATATGTGTTGTGTTTTTTGGATTTGCTCAATTATTATGGGTATATTTTTCACATTCTTTCTCCTTCCATCCTTTTCCTTTTATTATTATTATTATTATTATTATTATTATTATTTTATTTTATTTTAGTAAAAAGTAGTGGTCCAATATAAATTTATATAATATTTATATATAGAAAATATTTTTTTCTATCCGAAAAAATTATGTAATTTTAATTAGGTTTCTAAATTAAAACTAATGATATTTAAATATTAAAATAAAAAGTAAAATGGAAGTAGTGGATAAGTAAAAAAAAAAAAAGAAATTGATTATTATTTATAAAAATAAAAATAATAAAATTATGAATGATTAAAATTTTAAGTGAATAAAATTGTTTAATAATAAAGATAAATTTAGTGAACATCTAAAAAAATAGTGGTATGATTTTAACAGAGTGCATAATAAATTTAAATATATATATATAAACTTGTATTTTGAATTAGTGAATATATGTTTGAAAATAAGTTGAAAACAAAATGAACAAAGTCAATACACAACAATTATAAGCAGCAGCAGTTGATCTTTTAATGAAAACAGTGGTTTTGTTTGTTTAGTGTGTGTATATATTTAAAATATTTTTGTTGTTAGGGGCGAGAATTATGACTTTGTAATAGAAATCAGTGTTTCAAACATATTAATTATATTGCTCTTATTGACTTTTATGGAACGGTAAGTATTTGTTGATTAATATTTTTGAAAAAACAAATTATTGTTTGTTTAATTGTAGTTTAAAACGGATTTAAAATAGAATATTAATTTAACTTTTTATTTAAAGTAGTATTTTATAATATATATTATTTAAATAATATATCTCTATAAAAATCAAATAGGTTCAACAGTAGTATTTCTAATACGTATTTCTAGTATGAAAAAACATAAGTCAATAATTCACGCACAAAAGAGCATTAATTCTGGTTCAGCGTTTCATCAAAATTTTGGTTAGTACTTTTCATCTGGTAAATTAAAGCTTTGTTGATTTAGTAATTTTTTCTTTTTCCTATATTTCTAATATATAATCATTGCGAATTCCTTATAAAAATATATTATATACCCATTTACAAAATATAACATTATATCTACAGTTCAAACAAAAAAATCAAAACTAAAAATAAAAAATAAAAAAATTACCAGCAGCATATTATACCAACAAGAGGTTCCTTAGGCTGTGTATGCCTTGAAATGAGCCAACAAGCAAGCACAGAAGAAACTTCCATTGGATAATTCTGACATATAACTCGAAAAATACACAAACTGCAATCACCATTACCGAATTGTTAAGAACTGCATGATTCAAGTCCCGGGATCTTGTTCCCGAGCTGCCCGTTCAGTGTTGCATTACATTCATCCTGCAGTTGAAATTTCTCAAATATATTTTATATGTGAGAGATGATTCATGGGGAAAACAGAGGATCAAGACTACTGTGATATCTTGATCTTGCAAAAGTTGTCAGTCTCGGGTTTCATAAAACATATAGCACACTGCAGAAGAGCATAGCATGATAGCATTTGCAAACAAAAATGATTCGACAAGTATTGTTAAAAGAAACAACTCCCGGCTTATGGACTGGGCGGGCAGAGCGTCGAAGTTCACTTCTTGCTCATACAGCTCATTTTACCAAAGCATTGTTGCAGAAATAAAATACTAAAATTTTCGGAAACACAAACAAACACAGACTGACCACAATGTTCAAAACACCCAACCCTTCAAGACCCTGCCATTTCTCATGTCCTGCAACAATGGGAAACATGAAAGTGGAAAAGAATCAATGACTCTGTTCAATGAAACATGTACTGAAACTTAAGCTTGCGTGTGATATGAATTATATATCGAGTGTTAGAAACATTATCTATCAAACAACAGTGGGTTATGTGGGTTGTTCTCACATCTCCGGCAAAACTAATACATCTAAGTCTGGCATTTGCTAGACTAGGCACCTTCAATTTAATCATTATTACGATATGTAAAAAATTGTCCTAAAGCAAGAATCCAATCGTAAAAGCATTTAAGTTATAGCACAAATGATAAGTCGGGCCAGGCAACTAAATAACAACTCAATTTACCGACCAAGAACATGGTAAACAAGAATGACAAAAAGCACCACTAGTACCTAATGATCAACGGCCAGGATTGACGCCAAGAAGCATATTGTTGGTGCTAGGCAAATAGGCCACATTCCCATTTCGGCACATGCTTGCCGCATTATCTTTAGCTGCCTCAATCTTCCTGAGTTCGATCAATCCCATTCCTGCAGCTGCAGTTGCTTCAGAAATCAGCTTGGCAGATTCACTCTCGCCTTCAGCTCTAATGATAGCTGCTCTCCTCTCTTGCTCGGCTTTCATAACCACAAATTTAGACCGCTCGGCCTCTTGCTGAGCCACTTGCTTCTGCTCCACAGCCTTTGAGAATTCTGCACCATATGACAAATGAGTGATAGCCACATCATCCAGCACAATGTTAAAATCCTTTGCTCTACGTATCAAACTCTCTCGTACAAGGGCAGAAACATGGGGACGATCGGTGAGCAGCTGATCAGCATTGAATTGAGCAACTACAGCCTTCAAAACCTCATTTCCTATTGATGGAAGGACTTTTTCATCATATTCGAGCCCCAGAGTTTTGAAAATGTCCGGTAGGCGACCAACCTCCGGGCGGGAGAGCACACGCAAGGTTAGATTCACCATCTGCAGATCCTTTGTACCTGATAATTAGGAAAATTGAAAATATAACTGCTGCAACATATTCATTCTCTGGGAAATTCTACAGTTAAGATGTTCACGCAGTGATAAAAATCATTAACAGGCTAGTGTTTGGTAGAAAATGAACCGAATTCGTTGTTAAGGTGTCTTACTTCTATGGAGAATGTAAAGACCATTCCTAGGATATACTGCTAGCACCATAGAAAGACAACAATGGTTATGCTAGTTAAATCATAGCTCACAATTGAATCCACATAACTTTAGGCGTCTTATTTTGCAATCATTTTGGAATAATTGACGAAGTTTCTGACTAAATTGTTCAAATGACAGATGATAAACTCACATGAAGCAGCATCCCCAAATTAGATGCAGAAATAGTTTACTTACCTGAGACAGAGGAGAAAGTGTGAGGTCTAGTGCGAATATCGAATATGAAGGGCTTCTGAAGCCATGGAATTAAGAAATGAGTCCCTTCCCCCACGGTATCTTCGATAACGCCGCGGAAACGATCGAATAGAACGGCGCGTTGGCCGCCGTCGACGGTGTAGAGCGATGAATTGATAACAGTAGCTCCGATTCCGACGCTGAAAGCTGCACGAGCTATGTTGGTGAGGAATGAAGCGGCGGCTTGGCTGCTACCCATTCTCGGGATGCGTTAGTTCAACAATGGAGATTGCAGCGAAGCGGTGGAAATGGCAGACAGAAAAGCACTGCAACTGGATTGTCGATCAAGAAACCCAAAACACAGGCGTTAAACCCTAACCTAACCCCATTTCTTAAACGGGCCCCATTTTACTGGGCCTTTTCAATTTAGGCCTCCTTTACTTGATATTTTCTTATTGGACCTATTTTTAATAGAACTTACTTGTTGGGTCTCTTTTATTGGGCCTCATTTTACTGGGCTTCATTTTACTAGGCCTTTTTTGGGTCTCCTTCACTGGATATTTACTTATTGGCCTTATTTTTAATGGAACTTACTTATCGGGTCTCATTTTACTGAGCTTTTTCTTTTGGGCCTCCTTCACTGAAAATATTCTTATTGGGCCTCTTTGTAATGTAACTTACTTGTTGGGCTCTCTTATTGGGCCTATTTGTAATGGAACTTACTTACTGGGCGCTTTTATTGGGCCTCATTTTACTGGGCCTTTTCTTTTTGGACTCCACTGGATATTTTCTTACTGGGCCTATTTTTAATGGAACTTACTTATCGGGTCTCTTTGTATTGGGCCGCATTTTACTGGGCCTTTTCTTTTTGGGTCTACTTCACTGGAAATTTTCTTATTGAGCCTATTTTTAATGGAACTTACTTGTTGGGTCTCTTTTATTCGCCCTTATTTTACTGGGCCTTTTCTTTTTGGGCCTCCTTCACTGGATTTTTCCTTATTGGGCCTATTTTTAATGGAACTTACTTATTTGGTCTCATTCTTTGGGCCATATTTTGCTGGGCCTTTCCTTTTTGGGCCTCCTCACTTGATATTTCTTATTGGGCCTATTTTTAATGGAACTTACTTATCGGGTCTCATTTTATTAGGCCACATTTATTGGGCCGTTTCTTTTTGGGCCTCCTTCACTTATATTTTCTTATTGGGCCTATTTGAATGGAACTTACTTATCGGGTCTTATTTTATTGGGCCTCATTTTACTGGGCCTTTCCTTTTGAGCCTCCACTGAAAATTTTCTTATTGGGCTTATTTGTAATGGAATTTACTTGTGGGGTCCCTTTTATTGGAGAAACTTCGTCAATTAATTTGGGCCTAATTAATTGATCTTTATTTGTTGGGTCCAATTTTATTGGACTTTATTTGAATAATGAGCTATTCACTAATGTGGGCCTATATAAGGTTCAAATTGGCCCAGTTGGATCTGGAAAGTTCGAGGTCAGTGAAGCGAGGGCACTGGAGCGCTTTGCCGCCGTCTTCTCTCCTCTCCGTCGGCAGTTACACAGGTAATGATCCAAGCCATGAATCCTTTCATCTCTGTTGGAATTCTGTGATGTTTTACTTTAATTTAATCTTCAGTTAATTTTTTTTTTGCTTCCTTTTTGTAAGGTTTTGGTCCAGTTTATCGATGTATGCGGAGATATTTTTATCGATGTGTAGTGAATTTGTTCGGTGTTCCGTTGTTTACTTTCATTTGTAGTGAATCATTTGTTGCTCTAAGCGAATCTGGATTTCATCTCAATTTACTGCCAAGCGAGTGAGGATTAATTGCTGTAATAGAAAGTCGCAAATTTTGCTTCATCGACTTGATAATGATGGATAGTGTTCGTAGGAACTAATTGGAGATTCTTGTTATAAATTTTGATGGAATTGTAGCAAATGGCAATAGAGTTAATAAAAAATATATTGGCTTGCTTCCTTGCTTGTTGATACGATACACTCTTTGCTAATCATACATGACACCTCAGGACATCTCTGAAAGGAGTTATGACGCAGGCAGAAATGTAGTTTATGCTTTTTCGGGGTGTATTTTGGTTCAAAAGTTTAGACTTAGCCAGCCTTATTTAGTTAATTACACATCAGTATATGGTTGGATTGGGAAGTTAATTTATTGTGTGGGCACAATCCTTCTTTATTGATTGCATTGTTGACTCTGATAGACTGGCCACTTTCATTTTCCATATTTTGTAGATTAGTGTAACTTTGGAAGTCACCATGGTTATTTCTTCATATTTCATAAGGCAAGGGTGCTGATTCATTCAATTCATCGGAAGAAAGATTGTCCATGTGAACTGGACTAAGCTTTATGTAGTCAGAAGAAGTGTGCTTGTTTGTGTCTAGAGGCGTTTTGAATTTGAACTTTGGAATGAAAAATAAATTTTGGATGCTATTGTTAAAATGAAAATTAGGTGTTGGACGTAATATTTTAATTGGACAATAGGTTTTAGATGTTGAATGGAAAATAAGTGTTGGATGTGCGATATTTTAGAGGAAACGACATTTTACTTCAGATTTTATTGAGTAAAAACAACTGCAAAGGAACATACAAACACTTTTCATCCGTGAAATCCAAGCAACGTGATGGTTAAGGATTATAAGGGATTTTTTTTTTGGTTCTTTATGGGTTGTGAATGTATCTTGAAAGTTTATGAAAAATATGACCCTGAAAGATAGCTATTGGCGAATGTTGTATTGTATTTGTATTTGTGTTTAAAGAAATTGAAAAAAATCTCAAAAAGAACATAGTCCAAGGCTCTCTCATTATTCCTTTCATATGTTGCTGCAGCCTGTCAAAGTCTCTAGTTTCTGTGTGAAACTTACTATAGACAAAAACTGATAAGAAGTTTGACGAATTCGACATTTGAGAGGTGTATTATATGTTTGCATCATGCATTCATGAATATTATGTGTTTTGAACTAACCAAAAGAAACTATATGGCTATTTTCGTTTTCATGACAATTTTATGATTAGAGGTAAATTCTATCTGCACCATTGCATGTGAGAAACTGCAACATACCAAAAAGTTTCAATCTTTTCATTTCTGTTTTAGTTCATTTCCTATAGGATATTACATGCATCCATGAAATGTCGGGAGTCCATTTCTAACAGCGACTCTTGATAATGCCACTGCAGCACAAACATGGCAACCACTCTTGTGAGAAATATTACCGTCCTAAATAAAGTAGTCGGGGCTGCAGGCTGCCATCGGACATTTGCAGCCGGTGGGGCTAAGAAGAAAGCTTCCAAAGGCGCTGCCTCCAACGCTCCAAAAGCATCATTACTGACCAATGAAGTGAAGTCCACTACACTTTTTGGTGGCAACATTCTAAAAGATGGACAAGATCCTAAACTCTTGCTCGATTCTGAATACCCGGATTGGCTGTGGCATTTGGTAGATAAACGCCCGGCGCTGAGCGCGCTGAGGAGAAGTGACCCGGAGACTCTCTCCTACGATGATCTAAAGCGACTAGTTAAGCTGGATAACCGAGCAAGAATCAAGGAGAATAATTCATTGAAGGCCAAAAAATGAAAAGAAAAAAAGATCTCCGTTCGGAAAGAAGTCATTACTTTTGTTCTGCATAAATACCCTTCATAAGCTTAGGGCTTTGTTGAAGTATGTATTTTTGGAACTTAACTTTTAGCATTATTCATCATCAATAGAAATTTTTTAAAAAACATAACATAAAATACTTCTTTCTTTTCTTTCATAACTTTTCATCCGATACATAATAAAGTATCAATTTTTTTTTAATAGTTGTATTGTCTACTTAATATTATAAATATTCGTTTAATTTACAATATATTATACTAATAAGATTAATTTAGTTTTTTTACATTTTTTTATATTTATATTTCAATATAATACTAATATTTTTAAAATTATATGAATAGATAAATATAAGAAGGATGGAGTATTAAATATTTAATTTTTTTTACTGTTAGGGAGGTTTCTTTAGCAACAACTGATTTGGCATTTGTCAAATCCTTACAGGTGAAATGGTGACAAAGGTACTTATAACACAGCACCTGCCTCGGTGCATAGAGAGATGCATGCATAAATATATGAAGTAGAGGTACTTATTATATACAGGGGAGATTAGCCCAAACCAAAGCACATATTACGTGCTGAAGATGGTGTGTGTGTGTGTACTAGTTTGTTACACACACACTACACTCCTAAAGCTCTTTTTAACGACCATACAGACTGACTATATGTATATATATTTGTAGCAGTAGTCAAACCTTATGGGACAAAATATAGCCTTTTTTATTTGGGTGTGCTGCTTGTTTGTTTGTCTTTGCAGCACTGTCTTCTTCGGCAGCCATTCATGCCATCGTTGCATTGCAAACCTAAGTTTTAATTAAGCTGCAACCAGCCATTCATGGCATCGTTACTTATGGTATTTATGTAATCAATACTATGCAAAATAAAAATCGAATCAATATAACAAAACAGTTACTTATGGTATGTTTGTGAGGGTGGGGTCACCCCAAACACCACACTAGGATACATATACAACATGTCTTTTTGTTAGAGTTTGATTTTAGTTTTTCTACCATATACTTATTATGTTTTTTATAAAAATATACAATTATTTTCATGTTAGAATTTGATTTTAGTTTTTCTACCATATATACTATAAGCGATTTTATTTCTTTTGTACTTATTTTACAAAGGAAATAGGAAAGTAAATGGGAACACTTGTCGATTGAGGGAGTATCATTTTCCGTATTAACATTGTTTCTATAGTAATTTGCACGTAAAATACTCCATCCATCTGTTACATTGTTCTCATTTTTCTTTTCTATATGTAATTTTAAAATATATATATTTTTTTTTTGGTAGAAAATTACTTTTTATACTTTCTACTACAAAAAAAATAAATAAATAAATAACAAAAGTACACATTAAAAGTCATGTTAAAAATTTAAGTATATATCTTTAGGTGCCGGAAAAAGTATTTTTTCTTATTGTTCTATTTAAAATATTAAGTACATAACACATATTTTCATTAATAATAATAATAAAAAAAAGATATCTCAAGACACCCAAAATAATCCTAGTGGCAAGTAAAACACCCATATATATATATAAATAAATTATTTTATTTCACAAAACCACTATTTAACTTTTTATAAAATCAAAAATACAAAACAGAATAAAGGCATCTTATTTTTCACTTCAAATATATATATATATATATATATATATATAAACACCAAAATATAAATACACTCACCATGCAAACTAAAAATATGTAATAAAAATATATTTGAGTGTATTTAATAAAAATATATATATAAGTACAAAAGAAATAAATACACTCAAAATATGTAATAAAAATATATTATTTTTTTTTCAAAATTATTATTTGAACAAAAAATTAAAAAAATGAACTTAAACTCAAAACATAACAAAAATAATTTACATTAAAAAATGACATTAATACATATTTATAAAACATCAAATAATTCAATTTAAAATTTAACTATTTCAAACTCCAAACCCTTCGAAACCAAACAAATTTTAACATCATTAAAAAAAAAAAAAAAAAAAAAGAAAGTTAAATATTAGTATGATGCAGAAAAATGATGCATAAAGGAGAATCCATGATATCATTCATTTGGATTTGGTTACGGACTCGATGCTAAGCAAATTTCAAATCAGGAAAATAGTAATAACAATAGCGTAGAGGTCGTCAAGGTATCGTAGGATAATAGAACGTACATAACATATATATGTAAGCATTAAAAAATATATATTTTTATATATAATCAGCAAATTAAAAGAAAAATATATTGAGGATTATATTGCATGCATGTGTACGTACATGAACAGGTGAAACTGAATATACTCCTTAAAATATATACACACACGCGATAAATAACGCAAATATATAAACTAAATGGGTTAATTTTGCCACAAAATATATATACTTATTTATATCTTAATTAACTTGCAAAACGGTACGGAATATATATAACACACAAAATATAAATACACTCACCATGCAAAAATACACCCATGCACGAAGGAATAATTAAATAATTAATTAAAAACTACATGTAATTTCTGTGATTAAATAAACTCATATTGTAATTTTACAAAATGATGATTATTTAATCAAACCAAAATTAAACATATCTCAAAGGTACTGTAAACATTGATAATAATACAGCAAATACAATTATTGTATATATATATACACACATATATATCTCATACGTTATTTGAACATGGATTATTATATAAATTAAAAGTAATAATGTCAATAGATATTACGAGTTAAATTATATCTACAAATTCTATAATGGATCTAAGGATGTAATTTTTAGAGGATTAAGGTGCTTATTTTATTTTTATTTAAACAGTAGTTAAAATTTAATATCATATATATTTATATAAAAAATAATGGTTGTAAAATTAGAGAGGGGGGGGGGGGGGGGGGGTGGGAACACCCCAAAGATGAGCAGTAAAAATCAATAAAAAATGAAATGAGGTAGATCGATTAGTTACCTGGTTGTGGGGATGAAAAATTCTTCATCCGGAATTGAAGGTAATTACGAGATCGATGATGATAAGCAGCAGCAGCAGCAGCAGCAGCGGCAGCAGCTACAGTGAGAGAGTAAGGGCAGTATTGACGTCCAACAATCTCCACGCAAACATGCCTGCGAATGCGCCAACCATTCTCCACACGTCGCATGCGCCTCTCCTATTCATTATATCGTAACTGCTCCCCTCGTGTTCCGTGCAGATCTGCGCCACTACGCGCACCCTGCAGCACCATGCCGCCGACGCACCGCACCCATGCGGCGCCAGCTCGTTCTCCTTAACAACCAGCCCCACCGACACGGCCGTGTCGGTCTCTGTCGCCCCAACCATTTGCTTGTACGCTTCGTTCACCCATATCACGTTGTTGTTCCCATCCGACACCAGCGCAGGACACGTGTCCCGCTCCAGATCCGGAAACCCTAACTCTGCTCCGGTACTACTGCTCCCTCCTTCAAACTTTCCGGTCACGCTTTCCACGATTATCCACGTCTGCACCACGGATCCCGCCGTCCGGCCGTTGACTTCGTCGCCGGCGTGGTCGTCGGTACTGTTCCGACGATTATCGACGCTGTTAATATTCTCACCGTCAGATCTCTCCGGCAAAAGCTGAAGCGTCACAACTTCCTTCTCCGGTGGCGGCGGCGCATCTTCAACTTCCGAATTCTCCGGCGGCGGCGGTATTTTACTTTCAACTTTCTTCTTCTTCCTCACAACACACTGTTTGCTCTTCCGACCGCTTACTCTAACATACTTCCTTTTAGTCCTCCTACCTAACAAGTTCCCCCGCTCGTGGCCTGACGAGCCGGAGGTCGCTTCACTGCCGGCAGGCTTCGGCGCAATCGGACGGAATCTAAGCATTAGCCAGCTTATAACGGCGTGATTATCAGACGACGACGAAGCTCTGGCTACCCAGCGAGGCATGGATGGACGGATCTGAAAGCAGGAAGCTACAAACATAATTCAACAACCACAACCGCCGCCGCCGCCGCCGCCGCCGCCACCAGCACCACCAGGAAACATCATCTGGATCATCATCGGGGTAAATAATTAGACACAAATCTGGGCGAGATCTAGCTAGAAATAGGAAGATATTGCAGTGCAGGTAAAGGAGAGGGACAGATGTCAATAGGTGAGAGGCATTGGCGGAAATAAATACGGAGAGGAGGTGAAAAGGAGGGGGCAATGGGAGGAGGGCGATGTGTCCTTCCAGCAGCAGTAGCACGCACGAAACGAGACGAGGCAGACACTATAAGGAATTAAACAAATGATGGGTGTTGCATGGAAATGTTCTAGAAAATGGACGCGTGTACACCTTAGCGTGGATAATGCTGAAAGTTACGCTCCATATATACATATATATATGTGTATGTATATATATACATACATGTCTCTGTATATATATGTGTATTCGGTAGCTAGATAGCTAGCTCTTCTCCACGCATCTTCAGGGGATATTGCCAACACACGCGCATTTAACTGTTGCCTTCTTATTGGTCACCACGATGGAATTATTAAACCCATGCAGCAAATATTTGAACAGTACTGCATTGCAAGTTCTGTTGTGAGGGCTTTTTGGTTTGTAGTGTTTTTGGCCGTGTAATAATCTGGCCAAGGCAATCCATGCATGCATGGGATCCTATACTGTATATATCATGGAATAGTTAAGAGTACTGATTAGACTTGATCAACCTATGTTGCATAGACTATTATTATGATTTGTCAATTTATTTGTTGTATTTATGTTATATTAGCATGCATCTTGTACTGTGAAAATATATTTTAATATCAGTATACACTTTATGTGTTATTAGTACTAATCAGCTGAGTACTTATTATCCCCCTAATTAACGCCCCGACTGTCGCTTATATACACATTGTGCCATAATGCGATTTCTTGAAGCGCTTGCATTTCTATATTTATATATAATTACATGAGCATCCACGATCAATTATATTATTAAGCAGGGCAAGTGAATATAAATATTTGTTTTACACATAAAACCACGTATAATTTCAATAAATAAATAAATAAATAAAAGTAACCATATTGCCATTTCTCAAACAGTATATACATGCAATGAATATGAAGTCAGACAGTCCCTTGCAGATCCCACGCGTGTGCCTACTTGTTTTTATTTCTATTTTTCTGATAGGATCCTCTGTTCCAAAACAAATCCTATTTGTATTATCCAGCTCTATTATTATTATTATTATTTTGCCAAAAAAAAAAAAACACTAAGTATTGAGCCTGCATCATTGATTCGCTAATTATTTTGAGATGAACATTCGTCTCAATGTTGAATATTGTCCTACATTGGAGTTCATCTTTGGGTTTCCCTATTTTATAAGAGTGAATGGTCACTTCACCTAAGTACCGATTGGTTTTAAATTGAAAGCTCGAATCTCTTTTTTTCATATGGTATTAAAGCCATGTGCCTATATTGGATATTGATTCTGCATAAATTTTCGAGATTGTCATCTCGAAAGGAGAAAATGTTAAATATTGTTCCATATTAGAATTGATGTTAGAGCACCCCTACTTTATAAGAGTGAAGAGTTACTCCACCTAATACCAATTGCTTTTAAATTGGAAGTTCGGATTCCTTTTTAATAGTCAAAATTTTCAAAACCTAAGACATTAAATACAAATTGAATCTGCATCATTGATTCGGTAATTGACTTCAGCCATAAATATATTCACATTGCACAACAACAATGTGCTAGTGAAAAAAAAAAACCAAAACAAATGACCTCGATAGTATTATTTTTTTTCAATTTTTTATTGTACAATTCATCACAATTCTCTATAAAGAAAAATAATATATATATATATTTACAAAATATTACATTCAACTCACTTTAAATAAAAAGTAAAGTTAAAACTACCAAAAAAAGTAGAAAAAAAAAACTCACAAAGTAAAAAAATCCTTAAACTACATCTATTTGAGAGGACCCATATTGTGATAATTAAACCTAAATGTAGATCATAGAAAAATCAATGAGAATGGATGCTTTTATTTATGAGTCGCTTATATACCTACCCACATTGGAATATTGTGCTTTGCCTAACTTAAAATAATTTACTTAGGAAAGCTCCTAGGCAACAATCCGCGACCTAACTAAAACCACATTATTTTCTTTACAAAAAATTAATTTCCCATTCTAACCAATTACTAATATTCAAACCTCAGGTGCTCGTCGTCATCTACACGCGCTGACTAGCTCAACATATAAACGCGCTATAATAAACATATATACACACATACATTACATTATTACATATGTATGCATATATGTTAAATGTATCTACAAATAGGAGTATTATAATATTTCTTAAAAAAAAAAATACCGTACCAATCAATCAAAAGCCTCGACCGGCCAACGCCGTATTATATATTTACATCTAATAATAAATAAATAATTAAGAGAATAAAAAACAAAATATCTACTCTTAAAGTAACAATGTATTAGTAAATATAATAATAATTATTATTATGACTAAATAATTTAATTAAAATTAAAATAATTATAAAATATAAAAATAATTATATTAAAAAAAACAAATTATATAAGACAAATAAAAATAAAAAATAAAAATAAATTAGGCATAAATAACTAAACAATGCAATTATTTTATAATCATGATTTTGACTATCGATCTTCAAAAATTGATAAATTCAGCACTAAATTCAAAACGAATCAATTATGCAGTTTAATTAAAATAATTTTTTTAAAGGATATATTCAGCCAATTATCCAAATTAAAAAAAGCCTGGGTATAGAGTAGAGAGTAGAAAACATTAATGGTGGTGATAGGGATGGGGATGGCGATGGCGACATGCATGGGTGGCAAAGAGATCGTATCTTAGGAAAGGTCGGGCGCTGATTGGCTGGGAGAGTGTCGACCAATGGGAGAGTGGACGAATGGCAAAACCCACTGGGGACAGCTTTTGTTTCTAACTAGACGCGTGGCATCTGCTTTCATAGGGTGTTGGATTCGGGACGCGTGTATGTTTAGATCACCGCTTTTCCTAAGGGCTCTGTCATTGGTCACGTTTTTTGTAATTTTGTCTTCCTAAACCACCACCCAACCCTAATCGCACGATACTTACAGTTACGGTTACAGCTACAGATTCAGATGCGGATGGGGATGGGGATGACAATGGAGAACTCACTAATTGCTATGTGAATTAATCACTGTGGCGATGGGGGGGATGGAAGGGGATGAATTGTTGAGAAATTGCAGGTGCAATCGTGGAGATATATATGGACATTTGCATATATGATATATCAATTTGCGTAGTTAAACAGAGGATGGGAGATGAAACTAACCTGCGTTGCCGGCGGGCGTGCGTGCGTGTACCATCGTCGTCTTCACGACCACCGCCTGCGGCGGCATAATAACCCTGAGGATGATGAATAGTTGAGAAATTGCAGGTGCAATCGTGGTGACATATGGAGATGGACATTTACATATATATATATCATTTGCGTAGTGGAACGGTGGACGGAAGACGAAACTAACCTGCGTTGCCGGCGTGTCTTCGCGACCACCGCTGGCGGCGGCGGAATAGAACTGGAGAGAGAGAGAGATCAGCGCCGGGGAAGAGAAGAAGTGAGATTGGTCGGTCCATATTGTATCTGAAAGGAGGGAACCGAATCAGTTCATGACAGAATTACAGTTTACACCACAGGAAAAACTGAATTAAACACCATCCAAAAGCCATTGAGATATATATATACACGTACATATATACGGATGCATAAAGGATGGGGGAAGGAGTGAGTTGACAGACAGACAACTAAGCATTTTGAACAAAAGGTTGAATGGCAATGGAGGTCCTGAGCAGAGATGTTGTACTCATCATAGTCATAATCAAACCCCACCCTACCATACCCCACCCACCCCATCCCATCCTAGCATAACCCAATGGACCCCTCTATCTCCACCAACATTAGATCAAATTCAGAGAATCCATTAAAGCACTGACAAGCAAGCAACCATAAAAATGGATGATCATAAAACAGACAGAGCTCCCAAGAATAGAATAGTGCAGGACCATGTTTCCTGACAGAAGAACACTAATGCAAGAGCATCAGATCAATTTTTGCAAACTAATTAATGAAAGTAATGGACAAAAGATACCAATCATTTCTTAAGAATGGGATGCATTACTGCAAATCTATAGCACTCTAAATTGGTATGCAAAGTGGATTTCAATGGAAGTGTTCTCAAATATTCAGAAAAGTCCCGTAAGATAAGTAAACATGTTAAAAAAGAAACAGTATACAGGCAGAGAATAACTCACATTACAAGATCATATAAGCTTAGGATCCTGTCATCAAGCCGCGGCTGCAAGAATGTCCACACCATGCTTGGCTTCAGCTGCAGAACTTACACAGCCGAGACATCTGCACCAGAGAGTGTTAAAGCTCCGAATATATAATACATTAAGCACTACATATGAAAGAGTTCAAAAGACAGAGATGGCGCGAAAGGGGAACTCTATATTATTCCTCTCGACCAAAATTCCAAACAAAATCGATGGATATTATTTAACCGGCACATATACAAACAAACTGAGGAAAATTGATTAATTGGCTTTCGTCCTCCTGTCTTTACAGAGGATGTGCCACTCCTGTAAAACAGCTGCTTGAAGCGCTCGATGTTCAACTTCTTCTGCAGTTAATTCGAACAGTGTCGAAGATTCCTTTGTTTTTCCATCTTCTCCACCTTCCTTGTCATCTTTCTTCTCAACCTCAGCCTCATCCTCATCCTTGTCATGTTCCTGTTCTTGTTCCTCTTCCTTTTCCTTTTGTTCATTGTCATGAGAATCAGGGGACTTTGGACGAGGTCGAGCAGCCTTTAACAGTGCCAATCGTTCCATTGAAATTCGGAGCCTTTCTGCTGCAGCCTCTTTGACTTCCTCTTCAGGCACATACTCAACACTTCCATCAGTGAGGTCATCCATCCAACCTTGCAAGTCAGAAGCAATGGCCTTGGTGATAGCTGCGTCTTGAGCTCGTATGATGAATTTGCACATCATGGTGGTGGTTTCGTCCCCCAAGTCTACATTTCTGCTCACTTCACTGGAACCAAAAATCATCATGCCAAGAAAACCTCGATGCCATGTCTTAGCAGCATAGCACAGCTGTTTGAAGACACACTTGTATCAAGATTACAGTTCAACTTGGAAAGAATGGCTGCATTATAATATTCACAACCTCTCAATTGCAGAGGGATATAGTAATTTGTGCTAAATTGCAAGCAGAAATTTGATATATGAAAACCACATTAATTCCTTCGATTTGAGGCAACTTATTATTATCAATAACAATGAAAACAAATGGAATAGCAGTAGAAGTAAGAGGTTACTATGCACCTGAAATCCAGCAACTGTCCGAACAACATGTGAGCAAACTTTAAAGAATGGCTTAGAAGATAGAGATTTCAAGCCACTAAGGAAAGGAGACTCCCCATACTGCTGGGCTGCAGTGGCCTTAATACCACTTCCTTCATATATATATGTGCCCGTAGACTCCACAACAAATGGTAAACCAGGCCATAGCCGGAAATATTCAATAGGAGAAATTCTATGAGGCAAAAGAAGCTCGGTGAGGGGAATTTTGTATGGCTGACATCTCAATATTGCAGGCTCTCCAATTGCAGGCCTACGACTCCTTTTTTGTCTCATAACTTGTTCTTCCTCGAAATAGTCATCTTCATAATCTGCCTGAGCATCACTGCCGTGAAATGGATAATATAGGACTTGGACCCAGAAGGCGCATAGCTCGAACTTAGAGACACCAACAGTTACGCTGCAGAACATTGGTTCCTGGATGAAAAAGAAACACCTAATATGAAAAAAGAAGAAAGTTTTGTGAAAAGAAGATCGATAAAATGTATAGATTAAGATGCTTCCATTCAAAGTGCACACAAGTTATAACAAATAACACTTCTATATCTTCTGTAGCTTAGTATATGTGATAATTTTAGAGCATGCATTACCTCTCCAGTACTTTTAGTTAATGAGGAACATTAAAACTATCTGCCACAAGAAAAAGAATAGTGTCAGGAACCTATAATTCATGTTGCCATGATTTTACTAATCTGAAATTAGCTTAATTTAGATATATGATTTTAGGTTCTTAGGCATAGTCACATAAGCCCTAACCTAAGGAGAAAGAAAGCCTGATTACAGAGTTCAGGAATCGACCACAAAGACTTCTTTATTATTTATTTTAAGGTTCCAAAACTCGCATTTATTCCGAGATCAGCTACCAACTAGCTATGCAAATTCCATATATTGAACGATGTAAGAGCCTGTTGTACTTGTCTAACGAGGTGGATAATTCAACTCAGGGCATTGCTTATTTGCTTCTAATCATGTATTTATGAGTGAACTAGATTGAGAAAGATTTCGTCATTTTGTTTGTTAAAAAATCTGTAACTTTTAATGTCTACTAAGGGTGTGTTCGTTTGATGGATTTGGACAAAATCCCACTATTCATCCAAAATTTTCCCCCCAAAAACATCAAATCAAATACCTATTTTTCATTTTTTATATTATACCAAAAATCAATTTTACATTCAAAACATCACATCATCACCTATTTATATCACATCATACAACTATTCAAATTCAAAATTTTTACTATTCAAATCCCAACTCAAAATCCAAACCCCCAAACAAACACACCCTAAGTATGCGAAGACCAAAGAATAACTTGGAGTTACTTTCACAAATGGAGTTCAACTGACTGCATTTGTAACAAGTTGTGAATCAGTAATATCCATGCTACAACAGGAGGGGAGCATTAGGAATCAGATCAATTTAACTACATGAAGTTAAAATCGGGCATATATTGATTTACTTCCAATTTCAGGTTACTCAAAAACCTATTTATCAGACGTTTATTCAGAGACAGAACTGTAAAATTCACATATATATATACATAACAGGAAGAATATTGTTAACCAGAATAATAAAGACTGTTTCATGTGCATCAGTTTGTGATTATTTTGTGTACATTAGCTGCCTGAACGAGGTTAAGCTAAACAGCACCTGTGAACCAAGGCCACGCAATTGTCTCAATGCTTGAGGAGACCCATCCATGAAGTACAAACCACCAGTGACTCCAACTCGTATGTCTACACGGTTCAATTCAATCTCTGTAAGATTCAGGACCTGAAAAGTTGCCAATCATCCAATCAAACACTAACAAATGGTCTAGAAAGAATTCAAAACCAACTTGTTTGTATATAAGATGAAGAACAAGCTAATGCTGTGATGAACTTAATTTCCAACTCGAAATAGCTAACAAATTTTGCATTACCTAGGAAGTCCAGAAACATTGTGCGTTCCTACGATAAACTGATCCTTAAAGTTTATTGATTTAACCTAAAACTTTATAGAAAGAGGGCAAGTAATGATTGAAAATAAAATTGTGGAAGTAGGAACATAAACACCAGGATAGGAAGAATTGACATAGTTATAAAATGCTAAAGTAAAAGTCTTTTGAAGCATATGTTGTAAAAGAAGATATGGGATCAGTTTTACTCAACAATCTTTTTAGAATAGTAGAATCACCTTCAAATGTAGAGTAATCCTTCCATCATTGGGATCTGACAGATGATACCCTTCAATAAAGCAAGGATCACTACTACCAGATAATGTAAGTGAACTAGGAGGAACTTTTATTAAACTTGAGTCTATCCCCTTTGTCAACAATTGAGTTAATTCATGAGGATTTGGTCTCCAGAGTTCTAAAATAGCCTTATGAACAAATCCTGCAAGTTTTCGGTCTTGCATTGCAGATGCATCATAGTACTGAACAGTTAGTTTGTGGTGGCTAAATGGATAATCTCCACTAGCTTCACTAACACCAGCCCATCTGAAAACAAAAAAGAAAAGAAGATCAAATAACTAAACCAGAAAATAGAGCTACAAACATTTTTGTCCCTATTTAAAGATTGATAGTTCAAACAGTCACATTCTAAGCAGTACTTATTTCATTTATGCATTCATAAACAAGAAGCCGACCAAGAATAAAATGCTCACTTATCATCCGAATGATTTGAAACATATTTAATTCTCTGAAGTATTAATCGGCACTGATGCTTATTAACCGAATTTGAAGAGGGGTTGCTCCTAAATTCTTCAAGCTCTCTAATCAGCAATTGCCCTGCCCTAGCACTTCGTGATCCCAAACGCTGTGCACATTGCAGTACTGCTTGCACATCTTGAACCTGATTAGTTGTACTCGCAGATGAATCTATGTTGAACAAAACATTGTGAATAATTGATGTGATAATGTTCAATGGGTCCTCAGGGTCATCTGCGAGAAGAGGGTCCAAGCCCTGCAAATCAATGTGTTCTGAAATAGCCCAGAGAAACCGAGCACTGATTCTAGGGGTGTTGACCTGACATATACGACAGATAATGTAATGAGATATAATACCTGATGATTGAAATTAAACTCATCAAGCAACAAATAGACCTTGCAAGATCTGTAACAGCAACAGCAGTACAGTAGTCAGAAGCCAATCTGATGCAATTAGCATAACATATAAAAAGAAAATTGTCAAAAACCACAATGCCGGTTTGAAATTATTGCCAAGAAATGTGTTGTGTATCATAATCAATGCTGCATTGAATGTCCCCTCTACTGGCAACAACTAAAAGCAGATATTGAAGTGTTCAATCAGAAGTATGGAAATAATCATATATAAAAAATTAAAGTTCAAATGACCATAATCAATATACTTGATAAAGTATCACAAACCTCAAGAAGATCCCTAACAAGTTCTCGCTGCAAATTCTGCAACCGTGTTTCGTTTAATATCTGATCTTGAGAAGCTCCATCTTTGACTCTTTTGACCCCACCTCGGGTATCATAGATGCAACAGAGCCTAACAAGCAACTTTAGGTAGCAATCAATAGCATATGTGCGACCCTCACAATCCCATTTGACACATGGCCTACACACTTCCACCACTTCCAAAGCTGGCTCTGTCCAATTCAGAGCACCATACCCAGTTCCGTAAGCTAAAGCTCCAATCACCCTGCTCTCCATGCCTGAATTATTTTGTTCAGGCAAGGGCAAGGCCAACTGGAAGCAGCTTTCCACAAGCATGGCCACTAATTCTTCTCTGAACAAGTCCTTACTTGTAATGCTGTTGAGATCATCCTTTATTCTTGCATCTTCAAATAGTGAAGTAACATGTGTTCCAGCAAGTGGCTTTTGACCGCGACGGACGCTCTCCTTTGCAAAGAGATCAACACATAGAGCAGTTCGACAGATGCATGCCAAAGCATACATTCGATCTGATTCAGCTCTCAGGTTCCTCACCATATTAAGCAGTTTATTAAACAATGAAACCTAGACAATGCCACACCAAAATCTAGGTTTATCAAGATAGGAAAACATATAGAATTCCATCAATGACAGCCAGTTAATTTAAACTGGTTAAAGGAACACATCCAACAATGTCAAAACAAACTAAATAAAGAATGTCAACTGCTTAGTTTTAATGATATCCATACGATAGTCCTTTACCAGAAAACATCAACTTTTATGTGAAAAGGCCTTCAGATAGCAAAAGAGTAAAATTAAGATTCATGAATTATATTTGTTACACAGAATGATATCAATAGTACTACTGAAGTACTAATGACAGATTTTTCTCCTGTATTTGCACAAAAAAAAGGCTCATAGACAACACCTAAACTCCATATGCTCATGAGACTCAGCAAACCAGCCTTGCTTTTCCCTCCACATGCTATTTTCAACTCGTGATTAAAACATACACCTATTTTTTAGTACAGATTCTAAATTCACACAAATTTCAGAAGTTTATGTTCGGTTCAAAGCATGTCTAGAATGCAAGAAATAGAGTGTACCTGCATGCTTAGGTTAAGGAGATGCAAATTAGTAACAACAGCTCGAACTATGCTCTCACGCCCAGAGGAATACTCCTGTCTGTCCCAGAGTGTAAGAATGGCAATAATTGATGCCGACGCCAACTCAGGTTTCCCTCCAGGAACATCAGCCAAGTATAACATATTTAAAGCCACCTCAAATATCAAAGAAGGATCCAAAGACGATGCCAAATATGGTGCCAAATGTGATACCACATCAGATACTCCAATAAATTTGTCAGCATTTTCGGAATCTGAAGTCATTCCATGATCGTTTAGTGACCGTGACAACATCTTGATTGCCTCTACTGACCTTGTAGCTACTGCCTTTACAGCATAAACCAAGGGGGAAATGGTAGTTCTGAAAATCTCTACTGGTAGAATTAATGACCGTGACATCAAAGCACTTCTCTTATCCCACACTAAATCGACCATAGATGAAACCCATTTTGATCGAATTGCAACAGAGTGTTCTGTATCTACTAACTTGTCTCCAGCAAGTCGACTCATTTTCTTAGTTTCAAATTCTTGAAACAGTTTACCGATGGATTCAAAAGCGACCTTCGAAACATTATCAGCTCTATCAAGCATATTATTGGCAATCCGATTCCACCAATTGGAAACACGATCGAGCAGCCTAACATTGTTCTCACACAATGTCACGAGATCATCGCGCGCCAGAATGCAGCCTAGAGTTTCAGTGATCGAAAAACGGAGATTGTCGCTAGGCGAATCAAAGCAGGAGGTGATGTCTTCATGGCAGTCGTTAATAAGTTTGGCAAGGCGATGGGAGGGAAGGGCGGCGAGGATTGAGATGGCGGCGGCAGTGACGTCGGGGTCGGGGAAATCGAAATCATTTCGAATGCCCAGGCATACAGTATCCCATGAATCGGCAGTTAGACGCGATGATCGAATGACATCGAACGCGAGTTTTTTGGAGACTGCAGAAGCTGGAGAAGCGACGATCTCTTCAACCGCGGTCTTTGCGATGACGGATATATCTCGCCCGGCGGCGGACTGCTGCAGAGCCTGGAGCAAGGCATTGGACTGACGGAGCGCATCGTTGGATCGGAGGTCCGCCTGAATCTGAGCGAACAGAATATCCATTGAGGGAGGCTATCGTTGAAATTCAGAACATTAATCACAATCGGCAATAACTGACGGACTGACCGAACGAATGGAATCTCAGATGGACTGTGGATAAGAACCAGGAACACAGATGGATATGCACGACGGTGAACGACGCATCCCAACTCGTCGGAGATGCAGCGCCGGCCAATCGACGACAATACAAATACAAAAACAAAAACAAGGACGAACAGGATCTGAAAATTTTTATTCAGACACTCACAAGCCATTCAAATTCACTTGCTTGGGTTCTCTCTGAGTCTCACTCCCTCCGCCAACAACTCCGACTCCGACTCCGACGCCGACGCCGACGCCTACAACTGCGACGGAGACAGAGGCTGTGCTGGGCTATGCTCGGTCTCGTCTTGGGCTGGGTTGGTTATAATAACGGGCCGGGCCATTTATATTGGACAGGTTTAATTATAATACTCCGCTGGGCCACGTGCTGGACTAGGACGGTTACGAAATGGTCACGTGCCAAAGCCGACTGTTATGCTGCCGGCTAAACTTAGGATGTGTTTGTTACTTGTAAAATATTTTTCTATCATTCTCTTATCTTCTATCGCAATTTCATTCTTACACCAAACGCACCCTTAAATGTTAAAACCTTCCAAATAAAAAATAAAATTAAAAACCCTACTTTCAAAAACCCTACTCACTGATTTCGTTCCGTCTGATCAGGAAAATCGGAGCTTTGATTTGCGATCCGGCTATGGCAATCTCCATTAGGCGAGCTCTTACCTCTTCTAGACACCTCTTTTGTGCGCTTCGAGCAGCTTCCGTTTGTTCCCAGCAAAACCTGCACTCGTCGTTTATTAATCATTCCCATGAATCTGCTTTTGTGGATTGGTTTTCAACATCATCAGCGACGATCAGTAATCAGTTCAATGCCAGGAGAAGATACGCCAAAGGAAGGAAACAGCATATCAGTATTTCTTCTTATCCCACACTTCTCTGTTTCTTGAATTGCCAGCCTACTATTTCTATCCGTTTGGGGGGTTCTTGAATTGGCATTTCACCAATCTTGATGAAATGAAACTCGAATATTTGTAAAGTAGTGGTGTTTTTTCCGATCAATGAATGTTTGCATTGCTAAAGACCCCTCCGTCGCCCAGTCGAGTAATTTTTCTCCAGATTCTTGGCTTAAATTGGAAAAAAGGGGCTGTGAAATCTAAGATGCAATTCAAGCTTAATCGAGATTCTTTCATGTATGATCATAGGGTTGATGTGCGAATTGTAATTTTTTGCTTAGGTTTCATTTTTGTTTTCTTTTTGTAAAATGTGTATTATAGGTAAGGTTGAGGAGGCAGAGGAGGATTCAGAATGGGAAGAAGAGGATGAAGATGACGATGACTCTGATGAAGACGACGGTGTTAGTGATTTGGTAAGAAGCGTGAAGGCTACTGCAAATTCTCAGATGGAAGCGGCCATTGAAGCACTATCGCGTGAATTGAGCAAATTGCGTACTGGAAGAGCATCAGCTGGTGCTTTAACTATTTTCCTATTGCATTGTTCTTGATTTTGTGGAGTTATGGATCTTGGGAAATGATCTTTAACTGTCTTGCAGGGATGCTTGACCACATTACTGTTGAACATTATGGTGTTAAGACACCCCTTAACAGGATGGCAGTTGTCTCGGTGTTGGATCCAAAAACCCTGTCAGTTACCCCATATGATCCTAATGTTAGTGATTCCATTTCCTTAAGAACTACGGTTAATTGTCTTTGACCCTCACGTTTGTAAGTGTGCTAAGTATGTTAAGTCTTGTCTGATCTTTTGATTAGATTAAGTTTAGTAATTACAAGTAACAAGATACTATACATTTAGTCTTGAGTTTGTAAATTTTATTTGCTAAATTTGTTGTGTAATGTGGTTTGTAAGTTGTCTTGGAAAAGAATGATCTCAAGAAATCAACTAATTGTTGCAGGATCTGAAGGAATTGGAAAAGGCTATTCTCTCATCTCCACTAGGCTTGAATCCCAAAGCTGACAACCAACGGTTGCTAACACCTATACCTCCGTAAGACAATTTTATTCATTCCCTTTGCTTTAGGATGAGTTTATTCTCTGCCTGGTGATTGGAACCTGGTGTGACAAATGAGTGTTGTCTCTCAATTAGCATGATTCTATTGAATGAAAATATAAATCTATTGAGTGCATGAATCATAAACTTTTATCAAGGAGCTAGGATTTCTGTTTAAATTTTTCATGGATGAAATATTGTATTGGTTTATTATTAATTGATATGTTGTGGTGCTTACAACTTGCAGATTGACCAAGGAACATATGCAAGTAAGTCTAAGTTTTCATTATCCATTAAGTTGGCTTTAATTTGCTCGTCAACAAGAACTAGCATTATTTAAGTTATAACTTTAAAATATATATCCGTCCAGGCTGTGTGTAAGGTGGTTGCAAAATCCTCTGAAGATGTGAAGCAAAGTATAAGGAGAGCACGGCAGAAGGTATTCATTAAAAGATGTGTTTTGTGAGAATTGAAAAAAAAGTGGGGGGGGGGGGGGAGGGGGGGGAGAGGACAATTTTTTCCTTTTGAAAATGTTCAACTAACTGAGAGATGGAGTTTCAATGACAGGCACTTGACAGCATTAAAAAAGCAGCACCAAAAAAGAAGGATAAAGATAAGTCAGGCTCAAGTATTACAGAAGACGATGCAAAACGACTGGAGAAAGAAGTAAGTTACTTGATTGATAATGAAAATACATGGCCTGTGCTGTAATTCAAATTCAACATATTATTTTGTTGCATGGCTGCCAGATTGATGAGTTGACCAAAAAGTTCATCAAGACAGCTGAGGATATATGCAAAGCTAAGGAGAAGGAAATCAGAGCAGGGTGAATGTTCTCATTGCTAGTTGCTCTACTTCAATTGTGGAATTGGGAGGTGATAGTGGCATGTTCCTTTGTGGAATTCAGATTAGTTATGCAAAAATGACTCTTCTTGTTAAATCTAGTGGAAACAGCGACTACTTTCTATGAATCTTGAATTGGTCTGCTGTCTGAATCACATGTCTTGATTAATACCCAAATGCATGATGAAGTCGTCATCTTTGCATGGTAGACACTTCTAGAACCATCCCACCCTGTTCTATGTGCAAGCAGGAGGCATTTTACTAATCCATAATCTTACATCTAACAGAATGGCACCATTGTTTGGTATTTTATGCTAGTTCTACAGTCTCCGTAGACGATATACTACCAAAAGCCAAATGTATGTTACAGTTCACTAACATTGCATGATAATAATATAAACTATTCATTGTTTTGAGCCGGCCTTGTGTCCTAATGGGTTGAATGGAGAGTATCAGGTAATTCTTTTGTAGGCGCGGAGTGATTTTGCAAGTTTGCATTATGACTCGACCGTGATGCACAGGTGAATATTCCATTTTCTTTATTACATAAGATGATGGCCAATGTTATTCATCTTACAGAATAGGAATGTGGATTTTCACCTTCCAACATCCTCAGTATCTCCATCACCTTTGTCGGCTCCTTGTAAATTTTCTTTTATCTCACTGATCCTGCTTAATTTTTCCATAGCTGTATGGTACCCGCTGAATCAAACATCATTCCATCCAATTTGATTGCATATTACAGTTTCAAACACCCTTTTAACTGGAATATTACCATGAGTTTGGCAAGTTTTCTACTACACATTTTCAGAACACTATCTATCTTATGTTTGCATTTTTATCTTTTTGGCCTTCTTACACTACATTCTTGCCAACAAAAATCTCATTCCAAGACCCAATATTATTAACATGTGTTTGATGGATTATGTTGTAGTAGCTAGAAGAAAAGACTGGTTTCACAAATCCTTCGCTGCAGCCGCCCGGACAAGGGGCTTTGTACTGCTCTCTCCAGGGATATAATTGAATTGCTGCTCCTCCTCGTCGGGCAATTCTTCCGCCAACCTAAGCAACTTCTCCACAATTTCTCCGGCCGTAGGCCTCAAGCTCGGGTCGTCCTCCACGCAGGATCTTGCAAGATTCGCCAACTGAACTGCTGCATCAAATGAGTAATTCTCCCCTACTGAGGTATCTATCCATCCTCTCAGTCGTTCTGCATCTCCATCTTCTGGCTGCAGGACATGCTTTATCTCATCAGATAGCTTAACCGTTCCATTCCCGTCTTCCATCTCTTCTATTGGAGGTTTGCCGGACAGGATCTCGAGCAAGACGACGCCATATGCAAATATATCAATGCCTGCGGAGATTGTGCCTCCCTTCAGATACTCCGGTGGTAAGTATCCTGCACATGCAGCATTATGTTGTCCCTCTTGATCCTCTGTTTCGTGCGTAACACACTTGGACATGCCAAAGTTTCCAACTTTTGCACTGAAATCTTCGCTGAGAAATATGTTTCGACTTCTTATGTTTCTATGCACATAACAGGGATTCATGATGTGGTGCATGTATTGCAGGGCTGTGGCTACGTCGAGGCAAATTTTCACCCTCTGATTCCACGTCAAGAAACAGTTGCAAGAAGCAATAAAATGGCTCTTGATTGCCAATCCACCATGGATCCAATCCTTCAAGGAGCCATTGCTTGCGTACTCAAGAACAATGTAAGAATCCGGACCCTCTGTCACACAGGTGCCCAACAGCCTGATTGTATTGGGATGGCGATGCATCCTCTCCTGGAAAATTTGGTAGTCGATCTTCGAGATTGTGTCGGACGTGACACGCTTGATGGCCAAGTTTTTCCCCTTGAGACGGCCGTGGTACACCGATCCCTCGATCAGGTTACTCAAATTGAAGTCTTCTGTTGCCTTTTGGAGCTCCTCAATTGTGTAGTACTCAATCCTCATCTTGTGGGGAGTGGTGGCATCAGTGGTGGTGATTGGATCTTCGAAATTGTATTGAGATCCCTCAAATGAGACTTTGGTGTTTTCACTGGTGGTTCTGATGCTCAAACTCAGTTGCTGCAGCTCCAAATCTCCATTCTTGATCATGGAGCCCTCCTCTCTCTCCCTCTCCCTCTCTCTCTTCCTGTTGGTGTAGATGAAAGCTGCCCCTACTGCTATGCAGGCCAGGAGGCCCCCTATTATACCAAGGGCTACATAAACTCCAACTTTCACCATTTCAGATTCTCTCTCTCTCTCCTCTTTTTCTCAACTTCTAACATGAATGCTTGTTTGTAAGGTTCAGATCTCCACTGTCAGCAATTGGGAGGCTGCTCATTGGAGATTAACAGATCAGCTAGAAAGCCATTAGCAGCTACTGCCAAGAACTCAGGCCAAGTAAGAGGTGAGAGAATGTGACAAGAATAGTGGGATAAGTTTTTTGGGGTTGAGTCAAAAAAGGCAGGTAAGTTTTTTGTTGAAATTACTGCAAGAAAGGTCGAAGCTGAGAAGAGTATATGCATAGATTTATAAAAATTTGGTGATGCAGAAAGGAAGGAAGGAGTAATAAGAGGGGGAGAGTATCCTTTTCCCGAGTAAATAAAATAAGAATGAGATTGGTTGCAGTGATGATGAATGAAATATTCTTGGAATTTTGCAGAGGTTGGGTTGGCTTGGGGATGGATGCCTTGGCCTTGGCGACTTGAAATTGGCGAAGGAATTAGAGTTTTGTTTCTTCCCAGATGCAGATGCACATCAGGTACATGGGAATTTGAATTTGGTACTATCTATCTATCTATCATGGTTCTTGATAAATGTGACTTGTATCTGCTTGCCTGCCTAACTCAGATGTCAAAATTTCTGGATATTTGATGTTAGTTCGTCTATATGATCTTTATCGTAAGAATCATAATGTGTGGTAGTTCATACTGATGAAATATGTATCTTGTATTTTATGTATATGTATATGTGTGTTTATCCCAAATTGATTGCTAGTTTTGGTACTACTATCTGATCTGTGATATAATTTTGATTTTTTTTTTTTAAATAGTGAAATATGAAATTTAGAATATCTCGAAATTAGACATAATAGTACCAGTAGTTAAGAGAATTGATAAAGATGGGGTAGTTTAGATGGTTGGGCGCTTGGTAAAGAGCCGGCATTTTTGGAGGGAGGGATTGATTGATTGATTGATTGATGTTCCGTTTGGGCTGACGCATATATGTAATTGGATTAGAATGTATATATATATATATATACACACTCCTCTCAACTCAAAATATTTTTTTTATAATTTTTGTCTGTGACTCTAAAGTATTTATTTTTTTATTTTAGTAAAAATAACTGTATGTTAATATCAAAATATTTTTAATTTTTATTTAAATTATAAATATACCAATGGTATAATACCATTACATATATAATTATTTTTTATATAGATAAAAATATTATTTCTTGGACTGTTTGAATTAGGACAAAGCAGATATATATATATATCTACATATGTATGCCTTTCTGTGTATTTTGTTTGTTTGTTTGTTTGAATTTTGGGAAATACTTATAATTGGATGGCAAGATATGCGGATGATATGCAGTGGTGGTCGTCGCCAATTGTATGTATTGTCGTATTCAAATTTTAATCAACAATGCCAGATAGGGAGAGTTACATCAATCAAATTAATCAAATATAGTTAGGATAGAATCCGTACGTACATATATAATCCACTCACAGTAATCATACAAACTGACTTGTCAAAACTCTCCTAGATCAAGTGGTGAAATATTTTGTGATGTTGTAAGAACTAAGTTCTGAGTTGGAGTAACCGTACAAATTGACTAGGCAAATCATGTGTGGCAGGTGACTTGAAGCGTGTATCCCTTACGGGACGAGTTAGGAGTAAATTTTCGTCGAGTGAGTGAGTGTGTGCATGTGTGGATAAAAAATAATAGTTACATTTTTACTCTAAATCTATTTATTTTAATGATATTTTTTGTAATATTGAGAGTGTATAAATAAAATGATAAAATAAATACATTGAATGAATGAATGAACATTTATTTTTCATGAACGAAAAGATTATTATTACTATTATAAGTTATTGGTTTTGTTCCTCTAGTGAAAATGAAATCGCATGTAATTAATTAATTATATATATAGAGATTTCTTGAAGGGAGGGGATGCCGATGCATATTCACGTGATAGCACGTGCGCCTTTTAATAGCTGTCACTCACTCACACTCACGGATATCTTCATTATTATATTAATTGTATGATACGAACCGCCATTGAGATCACGCCGTCGCCGGAGCAGGATTGCCGGAATTGTCCACTCACTCGTCGGAAAATATATTCCCACGACTTTGAAAATGTTCACAAACTTTGAAAATAAAAATCACAAGAGTATTTCATTGACTTTCAATTTTAGAAGATTTTAAATACGAGCAAGTAACTAGTAAAGCAAGCTGAATTGTTCCTTCACGCACCACATAGTCATAAAAGAATTACAATTCAACAATCTCAAGACTCCTTATAAAAATACATACTTCACCGTCTTTTAAAAATGTGCCACTGATTATTTTATTTTTTCTCTTAAAAACAAAAAGTATCAATAAAAAACTCACATTAAAATTTGTGTCGAAAAATTTTAAACATATTTTTGTGAAACGGAAAAAATATATATATATTAATTATATAAAAATACACTACTTTATGCTTCTTCTATTCACTTGAAACAATTATAGTGTTATTTTATTTTAATTGTCCACTTTATAAGGATTATATTTTTTATCCAGTAAATATTTATTCTATTATATATTACAAATATCTTTTCAATTATATTTATTGGTATAAATCACTCTATTACAAATAAAATTATAAGGGTAGAATAATTATTTAATATAAACAAACATAAATTGTTATTGAAATATTATGTCTCCATCTCAAGTATGGTGTTTAGAAGTGACATAATTAATAAATAATGCAAAAATATATTTGTAAAAATAATTACAGTACAATACATATAATTATAAATTTAAAAATTTTAAAAAATTGTAGATTAGTAAATTTAAAATTTAATTAAAGTGTGTATTTGAAAAAGAGAAAGAGATATGAGACAAGAGACTAACTAAGACGAAACACGATTATGAGATGTAGAGAGAGTATATTTCTTAATATCAGTAACTCCATTAGTTAGCAAAAACTAGCTCCATTAAAGCGATGCGAAGATTAAAAAAAAGAAAATTTATATGTTGGTTGACTCGTTTATAGATAAATAAATAAATAAATAATATACCATAACAGTTTAACTTTTTAGGTGAGACAAATAATATATATTCCTAACATCTTAAATTCTTAAGTAAGACAATTATTTACATAGAATCAGAATATTAGATTTGTCGTTGTCTACGTGCGAATTTTGTTTAATTTCGGTGAGACAATCATTTACATATTTAGCACCAAATAAGATATGAAATGTAGTGAACAATATATATCTAACTTTTATTTTGAGTACAATAGAAAATTATAGTAAAAAAATAGTATATTTTTAGTTAAGAAAGCAAAAATATTTTTTTTTTCTACGATAAAAAAAAAATAAAAAATTGAATGATGGAGAGAGATTAACTTTAATCAACAACTAACCATTTCCCAAGCACTAATCAATACTAGTCGATCAAGAACATGCGTCAGATGTTCATTTCTGAAAATATCTGTTTTTTTTTTTTTTTTTAGATAAAAAAAGGCCCAGAAAAGCAATCCTTGTTTGTGAATAACAGCCCAAAAAGATGCCCAGTCTGTCTAAATGGCTGACCCAATCATTGCACTCAATTTTATTTATTTATTTAATTTGTCAGACTCACTTGTTCTTCTTCTTCTTCTTCCATCTATGGCTCCTCTCTCGAATTCTCTTGGGATTCCTTAAATTATGACCTCCATTTTCACCAACAGTTTACTACTTATTTTCTGCTTGTCACTGCCACCACCAGTTTTTCCTCTTCAAGATTTTGACGCTCCGGCGGCGGCGGCGCCGGGGATATGCTTCTCCGCAGTGACTATTCACGGCTATGGCTGCCAAGAATTTCAAGTGAGGAAACTCTCATTACTGTCTATTCTATGTACATACGATAGTGCTAAGATTAAATTTATTTATTTTTAAAATTTTAAATTCAGGTCACAACTGATGATGGTTACATACTGAGCGTGCAAAGAATTCCGGCCGGCCGGACCGGAGAGAAGCTTGCCAACCGGCCGCCGGTTTTGCTGCAACATGGAGTTCTTGTGGTAAGTAAGAGAAACTGTCTCAGTTATATATATATATATATATATATATACACACACATATAAATATAGACAATTGATGATTGTGGGTGTACATTTGATCACGGGCTGCCAGAAAACAAATTTTTTTTTTTTTTTTTTTTAAAACATTGGAATATAATGTTTGTTTGAGGTTTTTTATTTTGAATCACAAATAATTTTTTTAATATAATATAAAAACTTCCTAAAATTTTTCAAACAAGTCCAACTTGAATGCCTTTAGTCTTTTGTTTCTTCTTCTTAAATAGTATTTTAATTTAAATTTTTGTGAATAAACGTGTGTTTTGTTGAATAACATATTTTGAATAATTTTAAATTATAATTAGAATTTGATATAATATAAATAACTGTTAAGTTAATATTTTAAATATAATATAAAAGATAAATACTTGGTTTATTCAAACATAAATATAATATAATATACGATAGTATAAAATAAATATTTGACGAGAGACTTACGAATGCAGGATGGGATGACGTGGCTTGTGAACCCGCCGGAGCAATCGCTAGCGATGATTCTTGCGGATGACGGGTTCGACGTGTGGATTTCTAACATCAGAGGTACTCGCTTCAGCAGGGGCCATGTTCGCCTAGATCCCGATGACCCTGTAAGTAGATTGATTTTGCACCCTATAACCATCTCGCATATTGCTGTAACTATTTCTAAGACAAAATATAGTATACCAAACTATAGTCTTGGATATTACCATAGTTGGTGGTCTAGACATAATACAGTCTCGAATATTGTCATAATTGCTCGAAACAAAATATAATTTCAAATATTGTCACGACGGTATAAGACAACATAGAGTTTCAAAAACCGTCATGGCTTTTCAAGACATAATAAAGTTTGTCATGATTTTTTGAGTTCAAGACAATATAATCTCAACAGAATTTGAGTATTTTGGAGACAATTTATTGTCACGACATTCTCGTCAACATGTCATTGACAGTTTGTCTTAACATTCCGTGACTTACCAGAGATTATTCAATTAATTGTCTCGTATCTATATAGGTACAATTTTTCCAATACAATTATATACCCTTGGTATTGCACGTATATGTTGTTAAAAAGGGAAAAAATGTTACCTGTTCATAGGAATACTGGAATTGGAGCTGGGATGATCTTGTGATCCACGACTTGCCATTCATCGTCGACCTAGTTTTCGGACACACCGGGAAGAAACTTCACTACATTGGCCATTCGATGGTAAGTCACTCTGTAAGAATCGACATATCGAATACTTACATGTTGAGTAATTCTATCTTGATCGGGAATCATCGCTGACATTATCGACAGGGGACTTTAATAGCACTGGCGTCGTTCTCAAAAGGGAAACAAGTCGACAAGATTAGATCGGCAGTTCTGTTAAGCCCGATTGCGTACCTTAGTCATATGACGACTGCTCTTGGTGTATTGACTGCCAGAGCCTTTGTTGGCGAAGTACGCAATAAACTTTACTTGACGCTTGTTCGTCATTACAGCTTTGTCAGAACCGGATGTATCCTATTTCTAACATCATATACTCTGCACTCAACAGATAACAACGATGTTTGGTCTCGCCGAATTTAATCCCAAAGGGTAAGATTGCGAATTCTGAACTTATACGGCGTACCTGAAAAGTTAAATGTCATGTTGCATTGCTGTTCGACAGAGAGCCAGTTGCCGATTTCTTAAAAGCCTTGTGTGCGGATTCTGAACTAGACTGCTACGACTTGATCACTGCGCTCACGGGTACTTAATGAATCTCGTCTCTTTCATTATGTTTCTGCGAACGTGGATCGCGTTACCTTAACCTTTGGTAAGAACGTTGCAGGAAAGAACTGCTGTCTCAATTCATCTACGGTCGAATTGTTCCTGAAGAACGAACCACAATCCACGGCAACTAAGAACCTCGTCCATTTAGCTCAAAGTAAGTTAGCTATATATATATATATACCTGAATAACTGGATGCTGATCGAACTTTTGCAGCTGCTCGAGACGGAGTCCTGTCTATGTACGACTATGGCGATCCCGACTTCAATATGGAGCACTATGGGGAATCGAAGCCTCCTGTGTATGATCTATCTAAGATTCCCCGCGATCTTCCCCTCTTTCTATGCTATGGAGGACAAGATGCGCTGTCCGATGACAAGGATGTAGCTACGCTGCTCGACGATCTTAAACTGCACGATGTCGATAAGCTTCATGTCCAGTACATCCAGAGCTATGCTCATGCTGACTTCATTATGGGAGTTACAGCAAAAGACATAGTCTACAATCAAATAATATCCTTTTTCAGAAACCAAAATCAAGATTGATTTGGGATTACCTGATTGAATCGATACTTAGAATCGCAGCCTCGGCAAGGTTAGAACAGACAGTTCCTGTTCCTTCTTCGGCGCAGACTTTGGGTCGACGTTGCTGATAACCTACACCAGAAGGTATTCGAAGAAACAGGCTCTTGTCCAAGTGAAATAGAATTTGCAGTTTCTATTGAAGGAACAGTTTCATTACAACAAACTGATGTACATGTAAATCGCATCGTGGAGCTACTCGCCATTATCATACGGTATATAATCATGAATGCTGCGGAGAAGAATGAATCGTGTAGCTGAGAAACAAGAAATTCTTAAAAGATTGCTTCAAGAATATTTCGAATTATCGACCCATTTTACGCCCGGTGTGTTTGTCCAGTTCGGGGAATGCACTCAATATGTTGTGAGCTCTCAAGTCCTGTCTTGTCAATATTCCGACCACCGGAGGCACCTGCAGGGACAGAAGTGAAATGTAATGAACATCGAACACACACAAATCCACGGTGTTTTAGGATGTAATAAGCTAACAACTTACGCCTGGCGCCTGATACTTCGGGAGAACAAGCATATGGCGTAGCCCAACTTCCCTAAACTGCACCAAGGCTTTCGCCACAGATATGCTTTCGAGCACCGTATGTGGGGTTGTATTCGTCAACGGATGCAAATCAACATACATCTCCATTTCATCATTCGTCACGGTTACCTCTTCGATCTTCCCTCCTCTTTCGGCCAAATCAATCCAGCTAAATTTTTCCTTCACTTCCCATTCCTCCGTTGGTCGCTTTTCTTGCAAGAACCACTTCTTCTTCAGAGCTAAAATGAGATGTTTTCTCAGCACTACACCATGTAATGCCCTTGCAGGCGAGCCGCGAGCCACTTCTGTATCCACAACCGGGAAACCATTGTGCGTCGTATCTTTCAGGGCCTGTACAATACAACGCACCTTTTCGACCCTGTGTAGGCTAACAACAACCGGCTTGGCATCAGCAAGTTCACCTACTGTAATATTCCTCATCCATGGCTCAGGATGTGCATCCAAGAAAGGCAATCCTTTCAGTTCAAGTATTATATCGTATATGCTCGGGTTGAAGCAGTCTCCAACTGTTTTAGCGACCACAACGGCGAGCATCATGATTGGAAGCAAGAGAAGGTTGTTCGTAAGCTCCAGAAATATCGCGCAGAGAGAAATGGTCATTCTCATTGAACCAGCCATAAGAGAGGCTGCCCCAAGAACAGCACAAAGTCCCTGATCCATTTTCGTGTAGGGTCCCATGAGAATGCCGAGAAGGCGACCATAAGCCGAGCCCATGAGAATGATGGGAAGGAAGAGCCCGGACGGGACAGCAATGCCGAAGGTTATTAGTCCCAATATATAATACAGTAGAAAGAAGATGGTAAGGGAGAAATAACCAAACTCCATTGGCGTGTTGATTGAGAAGATGTTCCGGACAGCATCATCGTTCGTTGAGAGGAGAAGAGAAGCCAGATCGTTGTAATAACCTTCCGGGCAGTTGAACTTCTTGAAATTTCCCGCCCTTCCGGTTGTGGGACACACAGCGTCTGTGGTTGTTCCTGAATCACAGGGTCTGCACTCTGCAAGGAATGGAAGTCCATAGAGACATATAGAAGTGAAAATGGATACACTCAGGCTGAGAAGAAGTTTATGCAGCTTCCCCTTCCTGCAACACATTCGATTGTTAGCGAAAGCAGCGACAGATCATCGAAATGCAGTCAAGGGACTAATCAAGAATGATGAAATCTAAAGCTTACTCATTTATGATGTTGTAGACCTTCAAGACCTTGTGCAGCAGATGATTGTAAAGGCTCCCGAGCACCCCGCCGACCACTCCGATCGCAGCAATAGGGATGATATCCACGGCATGGTAATGCACCGAAACCCCACTAACGTCAAAGATGATCAGCCCTCCTTCCCCAAACAATCCACAGTTCCCAAACTTGCAATACTCCATGAAGGTTCTGAGAATTACAACCACAACTGCTGTACAGAAAAAGGATCTCCAGAGAAGTGCACTTCTCCACCATGTTGCGACCTCCTCAAGTGCGAAAAGAACTCCGCCGACTGGAGATCGGAAAGCAGCACAGACTCCAGCTGAAGAGCCACACGTGATTAGATCGCGTCGATCCCTGTCATTGTTGAAGTACCTTAGCCATCGCCATCGAATGCGGTAATTATCAGTCCCTCCTTGCCCTAAAAGGGATGCATAGCAGGCCCCAATGTGCACCAAGGGCCCTTCCTTCCCAAGATCTAATCCTGCAGACACAGCTCCAATACTTCCAATAATCTGCAACAATGGAGCAGCATCATATGACTGGTTAAACTTTTCTAAAAGCAATTCTAGCACAGTAAAGTTTGAAAACGACATGGGAAGCAATGCAACTATGACAAAGCTGTGCACCTTGACAATCAATGCATTTGCACCGAACATATCAGGGGTATCTACTCCATTCAGGTAGGCTTTGATTTCGGGAATTCCGGGGCCTGCAGCTGTAGGTGCAAACCAAACACAGAGGAAAGCTGCTCCAAGCGTCAGTGCAAAATTCACACCAACCATGAACATCAATCCTGCTATGTATCTGCAATCAACAGATTACAGTCGACACCGATTTTAGAATACAATCTGAATCATCTAAACAAGCAACCGAGAGAATAGTAAATGCACCTTTCCTGCTCGATGAAATCCAACGCGAGGAGGATTTTGTATCCTGCAATATTCTCAATCGCGAGATTGATCAAAGTAGCTGTAAGTCCGGTCAGAAGCCCTACAAGGAACGCCAGCAACCATTTCAGGAAGACGTACTGCAACACTTGCTGTTTTGACCTGCTTCTCCAGTCTTGCTTGAACAGATCATTCTCGTTAATCCTGGATGAATCGCAAGTTAACTTCTCGGACTGGCAGAAATCACAGAGGAAACTGTAAATTCGAAGGGGATGGGGGCAGTTTGAAATCAGAGGATATATCATATTACTCGTAATCCAAGCTCTCTATGTGAGAAACCTTTGCTCCAACAACGGCATACGGAATCGAAGACAGCGTCGGCGTTCTTTTCAGCAGCGGCGCGTTGATTTCAGGATCATCATCCTCATCACCACCTTGTCGCCGGATTGTGCTCCCATCGTCTTCCCGATTATCTTCCATCTGCCGACCACTCATAGGAGGATCAAGTTAACGGAATCAAACGACAAACCCTCGATCCTCATCCAGTACACAAAACTGCAGCGTCGCGGAGAGCAGAGATAGCCTTGGAATGGATAATGCTGTATTTGAACAGGCGTCGTACTCACATGGGTTTTTATTATTATATCTTCAATTCATCAGAAGTGACAGCGACAGCGACATCAATAATTGCAGCGTCGAAGCGTACTCCGGATTCCGAACCAGACTCAGAAATTACTTCTCGTCACCCATGGAAGTCGTCTGTATGCTTCAACCCACGTGGAACGAAAGCAGTGGATAGGATCACGAAGCACAAACTCCATAGGGGCAACGTTAATCACGTCGGACCTAAAGAAAAATCCAATCTTGACAAACAACAAAGAAAAATCACAAGTTAGTCTTCCAGAATCTCAATACAGAATCAAAATATAAACAATGAGTATATTCAAGCCACCTGTCCATAATAGGGGATTAAAGAACAATCAATACTAATTACTAACAATAGCAAAAAAAAAATGATCCATGTGACGTCTAGTAGTATTATTTTTTACCTTTGGGACCAATCAATCATTAGTGGTGATACCTCATGTACATTACAGCTGCCTGTTTCTACACACTGACTGGACCACACAGGCTGATGAAGAAAGCAATCAGCCATGGGGGAGGCAATAATTTTGGCTTTGTATTGAATGGTGGGCCAGCTCAGCTCACCTCATTCATACTAGTACAAGATTGTATGAATGTTGTCCGAGAGATCGATGAAGACAACCGAGTCCAAGTCGAAGAAAGGCGTGGCACCTGCATCAACCACAAATTATGATCCACAAGTGTTAGCAAGAATGTGGCTTGTATATGGAGGCGACGGCTATGGCGTCCAGTAACTGATGCCGAATCTCAGTAAGAATCTGGTGTTCTTTTGTCTTGATGTTTCGTGTTGTATCGAACTTTTTGCAGCAATAAGACAATATTTGCAAGATCCCGATGGCCTAAGAGCAATGCTGCGCTTTCCTTCCGAATTCCAAGTTTATATCTCAATAAGAATCAGGGTAGTTATAAACTAACATCTGGATCGGAACTAATCACATATAGCAAACAATTCAGTTCAGCTTTACATTACATATCTCAAGAAGAAGAATCAGAGTATCTCCTACTATAATCTAAACTTCGGCTCAGCCTCAAAACTATTACATACTGCAAATAATCAGAAGGGAACAGATGTCGACATGTGGTATGCATGCAAAATTTCACCAAATTGCGTTCCAACGCCACCCCACATTCCCGGTTATGTACGAGCATGTGATTGATATAAAGGACAAACTTTACTTTATCATGATTTGAATTGAGTTTAGTACGAGCATCAACAAATCAGTCAAATATACTGAATCAGCTGTACTTATCTTTTACAAAAAAAACCCGAGGATTGCGAGAACTTACAATATCAAAAATCCCCAAAAGTAGGGAAACAAACAGCAGTTTTCTTCGGCTAAAACAAAAGGAAGACGGGTGGTTCAAGATAAGTAGGGAAGGTCATCCCCGTCAGGAAGATCCCAGTTATCTTCATCATCATCACCTTTACTGGCCTTTGAAGTCTCTTGTCTATCCTGTGGACTCGGCATTCTTGATTGAGGGCGTCTGTTCAGATAATCAACACATAGCCATATCAGGTAATACAAGTAGAAAAACTTGGAACAGTCATCAATTTGTCACAATTCAGGTATGTTTACTTAGTAGGATGAGACTATAATCCTTAGAGCATCATTTATAACTATTACCTCCACCTCATTTACTTCTTTATCTCTCTCGTTCGTATCAAATCTACTTCGACATTTCAATTTCTTTTAACACACATACTTATATCAATACCTCAACTCATCACCTTTACCAAGTCGATCCCACATCTTTTACACTATTTTTGTTGAAGGATGTAGAAGAAACCCGGAAAGGTAATGGTTTAGATGATGGAGAAGGTGATTGATTGTAAGGAATGATCTTATAATTATTCTAATGGACTATATAATTATGAGAATAATTAATTAACTTTGTTTGATTAAGTAGAGGATAAAATAGACTTTGAGCACAAATATTACTTTATGATAAATTAATCCAGACTTTGACTAATCTGGATTTTAATCGTCCAAAGTAAACAAGCGATTATGTTAAGACTCCAAGTAAACAAACTGTTAATGCATATCATATTAGCCTCTTGACCACCCCGTAGAAGATGTGAAGGAAATTCGAAAAAAAAAAATCTAAGTTGTAGAACTAACAAGCCCTTACAACAGAGAAGCCAAAACATTAAAGGTAAGGTAGAATGGAACCAAGAAGGTTGACAGTTTAGAAGTTTAAATGATGAGGTCTTTCATTCACAGACATTTCGAATGCCACCTTAAAAAGCACAAAAAAATTGAATTGGTACAGCCAGGGAATGAATCCAGCAGGGACTCAATTAAGGTTTGAAATTTGATATAAAACAAGAAGCAGTTCAGCACTAAATTTGTCAATCACATTAAAAACAAGAGAGAATGATTAATCGGGTGAACAAATTAACAATATAACTCTTATAATTGTGAACATTATGTTAGAAAAGCAGATGTTAGGCAAAACGATTCATCCATCCTATAGGAAAGCAAGGAAACCATGTATATATTTCACACAATTTCATTATCAAATAATGCTAGACTGAATTGAGAACTGCGATTCACAACGACGAGCAATTTGCAGGTGACAGTTATTTATAGCTCTAATCTTCAACTTTCACCACGGAACTAAGCCTCATACGCAATCATATCATACAGCAGAAAAGCAGCAGAAAGTAAACCAACAAAAAAACTAAAAGTAGGTGTTAATTTAAGGTTCGAGGCACAACCTGCGACGATTGCGCTTCGCAGCTTCACGCGTCTTGCGCTTCTTCTCATCCTGCTTAGTCTCAAAACACCGGCGGCGCTTGACCTCTTGAATTACTCCAGCTCGCATGACCTCTCTTCTGAAGCGACCGAGAAGCCTCTCCTCCGGCTCCTTATCGTCAACAACCACCTGTACATTGTACGCAGTTCGGAAGAACAAGGTATTAGCGTAGGCTAGCGAAGGGCAAACCACTGAGTCGAGAGCTTCATTGGAGGAACTGCGAGTCCGCACGGGTAGCCTGTCTCGACTGATTTGAGACGAGGAGAGAGACACCTGCGAGGGCGGAGATTTCGGCGGAGGCGACGGTTGAGAATGGCTGAAGAAAGAGAAGAGCGTGGATATGGATGAGGTTGCAGAAGACGCCATGGATGAGATTCTTCCTGCTCTGGACACAAATGATTGAAGCGGATAGGATGATGAAGAGAACTTCTTATTTGGGCCTATAAATACTCTGTTGGGCCTACAAATATCCCATTGGGCGCGGCCCATAAACGATTAGGCCCATATTTTGGAACTTGATATAGGGCCCACAGTCCGCTTTTTCTCAAATCTACAGGGACCACCACCGCCGTCTGCCAGCGCTGATTTCTGTAAACGAAGGGGCAGATTTCTCGCTGTTGCTGAATGCCCGACGAAGGAGATGCGAAGAAACCCGTTCAATCTCTGACGCTTTTCGCCATTTTCTGTAAGATTTTTTTTTCGTGTAGAACGTATTTAATCCTAAATGCTGCATTTAGGCGAAGGAATTTTGCGTAGTTCGTGATTTCGTTGGGATTCTGCACTGTTGATAGATGTAGCCGTTTCGAATTCCAGTTGTGTCGAATTTGGTGTCGTCAAGAAATGATTGCTCATTGTTTTCACATTTGTTCCTGGAATTCAGTGAACAATTGCCTGCATTAAGTTAGAGTTAGGGTTTCGTCCATGGAACTATACAGATAATGCAGAGGAGCAAGGTGAGTAGTAGCTCTTGCTCCTCAGCGCGTGCGTAGGAGGCTTAAGCTGAATTTCAATTTGATTGATTGATGATTTCCTTCTGGTTTATGGATTCCTTGATTGATGATTTCCTTCTGGTTTGTGGATTCCTTGTCTCTCTTTAATTCCAGTAATCGCTGCCGTTGTTGTTGCTCTTGGTTCGGTTTGATTAAGCTGCCAATTTGATTTGATGATACTATTTGCTTTATTGAAACGATTTCTTAATAGGATTATATGTGATCATGTGAATGTCTTTATGGATTCCTTTTTCTTTTCGTTAGTTCTTGAACAGTAAATTCATGGTAATGGCCAGTTAACCACTTCTTTTTTTCTCTTTTTTTTTTTCTTGATCTTCGTGAAAGTTTAGAAATAAGTCATGTCTGCAAATAACAACCTACAGAAGAATTTTGGTGCTTTGTCTCCTTTTGGGAACTCTCTGCCTCTGAATCCATCTGCTCAGCAACAACTAGGGCATGGATTTCCCAGCCAATTTCAGCTTTCCGTCGCACAGGCGCACGCCATTGCTCAGGCTCAGGCACAGTCGAAGGCCCAGGCTCAAGCCGCCCAGGCACATTTCCAAGCTCAAATGCAAGCTCAGGGGCTTTCATTCAACCAGGCTCATGCTAGTGGTTTGTTAAATTTGGGTTCGCCGCCACCGTCGATTTCAGGACCTGGAAGTGCCAGTGCTAGTGCCAGTGCCAGTGCCAAAAGGTTTATGCAGAAACCACCTGTGTGCCCTCCAAGCTTCGCGCCATCAAACTCTCCGTCTTCAATCAGGATGATGGAAGCCTCGGCTGCTGCTCGGAGAAAGAAGCAAAAGCTTCCTGAAAAACAGCTACATGAGAGAGTTGCAGCTATTCTGCCTCAATCTGCTCTTTATACACAGCTCCTCGAGTTTGAATCTCGCGTGGACGCTGCTTTGATGAGGAAAAAGGTTGACATCCAAGAGGCTCTAAAAACCCCATCATCCGTTCAGAAAGTTCTCCGTATCTACATATTCAATACTTGCGCGAATCAGATTTGCGCACTTCCAAAGAAGCCTAATGCCGAGCTACCATCATGGACTCTCAAGATTGTAGGGAGAATTTTGGAGGATCAGACGGAGCCGGATTCTGATCAGGCTACTTTGATGCAGAATTCAAGCTCATACCCCAAATTCTCTCAATTTTTCAAGAGAGTGACGATCACTTTGGACCAGAACTTGTATCCTGATAACCATTTAATTATATGGGACGCCGTTCGATCGCCTGCTCATCATGACGGTTTTGAGGTCAAAAGGAAAGGGGACCAAGAGTTCACTGCAGGTATAAGGCTAGAAATGAATTATACCCCCGAGAAGTTTAAGCTTTCCAGACCTTTGATGGAGATTCTAGGTTTCGAGGTTGATAGTCGTGCAAGAATCATAGCTGCAATATGGAATTACGTTAAGAATCACAAATTGCAGTGCCCGGATGATCCATCTTCTTTCTTTTGCGATGTGGCTCTCCAAAAGATATTTCTTGAAACGAAGGTCAAGTTCACGTCAGTTACGCAAAGAATTACGCCCCACCTCTTCCAACCACAGCCCATACATCTCGAGCACAGGATCAAGCTATCCGGGAATATCCCAGTCGGAACTGCATGCTATGACGTCATGGTGGACGTACCCGTCCTGTTACAGAGGGAATTGAATTCCGTATTGCTAAGCAGTGAAAAAACTAAAGAGATGGAAAGCTGCGACGAAGCGATTTGTGCAGCTATTCGAAAAATCCACGAGCACCAGCAGAGAAGGGCATTCTTTTTGGGATTCAGCCAGAATCCTACGGAGTTCATCGAGACCCTGACGGATTCTCAAGGCAAGGACTTGAAACTTGCAGCCGCTGAAAATGGTCACAATGCCGGAAAAGACCAGAATTATAGCTTGAAGTCTTCGAATTTCTCCGAATTCTACAATCAACCTTGGTATATCTTGAAGTTATCTAATTTTTTGTTCATCGGGTCTTATAAATGAAATTTGCACACCATTTTTTGATGATCTATGTGTTATTGAAATGCATGATTGAATTTACAGGGTTGAAGATGCTGTCATCCGCTATATCAATCGGAAGGTAGCTGGAGATGGCCGGAGGCGTTGAGATGGTCGTATATCAATCGAGAGGTAGCTTGAATTTACAGGGTCAAATTATTTATGATTTTGGTCATGAACGTGCAGTTGTGATGGTATATTTTGGTTAAAAATGAATCAAACTTGTAGCAGTAGAACTTGTAGCCGGCTAGCTATTCTGGCGCTCCCGCCTCTATTGGATGGTCGCATGTGCAATGTAAATCTATCGTGTATCTACCGAGACTGGTATTGAATGGATGAAACTTATCACAGTTTAGCATATATATATATATACTGCCCATTTGAAGCCATGGGCTTCTATGTTTAGTTTTGTTATCTTTGGGTGTTTTGTTTCCATGTGGTTGAAGATGATGTTTGTTAGAAAACAGATTTAGCTGTCAAACTGTGCTGGCAAAGGTAAGCCAAGCCAATCCACACTATAATCACAGATTTAGTTGTATGATGTTTTGTTATCTTTGGGTTTTTTAGGGTATCCGTATTTGTATTATACTGGTAAAGTTATAATTCACAATTTCTGAGCATTTTGGTAGGGTGAGCTATGGAAAGAGTTGACTCTATTTTAAAGAACCCAACCTCCTACTCAACTTATTTTGTTAGTTGGTCAAGATCTTGTTGGTCTAGTTAGTGGAATAAAAACCATTTTTATAGCTCTGGGTAATTATTTTAGATTGTTTACGATTAATATATTTATTGTTAATTTAGTAAATATGATTTTACATATTAAAAAAATATTCTTATATTTTATTTAAAATGACAATGGTACCAATCTTTTGTATTTCTAGGACACATTTATCTTAAAAGGGTTGTATTCAATTGAGTATATATACGATTTTTTATTATTATTATTATTTACTAAAGTATGATCTATTCAATACAAACTTTAAAATATTCAATATGATTTTTAAAAATATATAAATATTAAATAATTTATGAATTTTATGGCGAACGCATCCAGTATAAGTGAATTTTAAAGTGTTTTTTTTTTTTTTTTTTTACAAATTCCAAATTTTTACATTAAAAAATACACTTTTTTTACCAACAAAATATTTTATTTTATATTATTTTAATACAAAAATCAAATCAAAATTTTGTGAACATATCAAATAACACACCCCAAAATCCGTAGCCTTTCAGCCAGCATAGCAGTGGAAAAAAGATGCGGGGGTAGTTTGGTCATTTCAGATCAACTTCCGGAAGAAGTCTATATATGTATATAAAGCATACTGTTGCGTCACTCAATTCTCCTCCCAAGTTCGTCTCCGCAGAACCGTCGAAGTTGCCCTAATTTTTCTGTCGTTCTTCATTTGCAATCCGTTCCAATCCTCCTAATCCAAAGAAAATGTAATGTTGCTCCGCTTATACTGCTCTGAATTCGTACTTTTCGCCTGAACAACTCAAAACATGTGTCGATTTTTGTCGTATTAAGTTATTAATGTTAGCTAGTAAATAACACAATAGGAGCAGAAGGCATTCGGTGAATCGGCCTCCGACGCCGGACGTACGGGACGATGACGATGATGATCGATCCAAGGAGCCTACGCTTCTCGAAATTGTCAATATAAAGGTATACTTGTGTTTTCCTTTTCTGTCCACTTATTTCAGGACTCGCGATGAATTAATAAGTCATTTCATTTTCATGTTGTTTTCTGGATTTATAGTTGATAGAGAGTGGAGAGAAAGAGCGGATGATGGAGCTTGTAAGGGAAAGGCTTGTGGAGTGTGGTTGGAAGGATGAAATGAGAGCTCTCTGCAGGTGTGTGTATACTGTATGTATATCACTTTCGTTGTTGATATTCATTTGCTCGTCGTTATTCTTTGAGTTTGGTTCAATGAGTTGTTGCCTAACTCCAGTTCAGTTTACTGAAGAATTGTTATCTTAAGCCAATTGTGATCACATCGATCTCATTTCTATTGGACAATTGGTTGTATCATAGCTGTAGTTGAGATTTTAACTTCAGTGATGATTACAACTTTGCTGTTCTTAAGAGTTTCTGATATAAATGGTGGAATTTAACTTTTTCCATGTCTGCCTGAAACTTCTAAACCGTTGCATACTGTATTCTTCTGAATTTTGATTTTGATTTTGATTCCGATTTTCTTTTACTAACAATCGTTACGATTCTCTATAAAATTATATTATTTCTCCCTTATAAAACATCACGTTGAAATTGATATTCAAACAAAAAATCAAAACCGAACTCCAAAAGAACGTTTAAACATGAGTAGGCTATCAAGTATGTCCGTGCTGCATTTACGACTTCATTAAAATTGTTCCATTGATGAACCTGTGATTCAACTGTGTATATCTGTAGGGCGTTTATAAAGAAGAACGGGAAGGATAACGTTAATGTCGATGATCTTGTACGTGCAATTACCCCTAAAGGCAGAGGTAAATCTTCTTCTTCCGTCAATTACTCTTTCATCCTTTTTTGCGACATACAAGTTTGTTTGCTGTTTATTTGAAATTTCGTCAATGAAAAACATGCTTTCACATAAAAATATGCTTTCGAAACTATGTTTACTTTATAATGTAATGTTCTACCAATTCATTTGTGAGCAGCATGACATGTTTTCTATCTTCTCCTGTAATGCATTTGTAAATTGCAGCTTCAATACCAGATTCTGTGAAAGCCGAGCTTCTGCAGAAGATTCGAGCATTTTTAGTATCGGTCGCCCATTAATGTAGTGCCAAAGGAGAAAGAAGCATATCCCCTCAAATTTGATTAATATCTGTAATATTTCACCTAGCCATCTTCACTCCAGGTAATATGTCGCCGTGCATGCGCTTCTATACTTCTACAAGCTCGGAAAGTTATCTACACCAACACGGGAATGGCATTAGAAGGATCATTGAAGCGCGGTGCAGGTGTACATACCTGGAGCTGTTTGTGTCCCCCGTAATTAAAGCCATCAATTCCTTGTTGGCGACAAGTTTGTCGTCATGGGTAGTAGTACTAGTCGCTATAAACAACAAACTGAGCCCTATTGCAGATGATAATCCAGAAGGCATATATCATGAGTAGGGTAAGTGTTATATTGAAGATGCGGTTGAATGTGTTGTGTATTTCATTTAGAATCAGCTTTCTAGAGAAAATTGAAGCAGTTCTAACGAAAGCCTGCGGTAATGAACTCAGTTACATAGCAGTATCGTCGTCGTCTTCATCTTCTGCTGCAACCATCCACGCCTGCTTAGGACCCTACCAACATAACCAATAAATTCTCAACTAATAAATAAGCAAAAGCAAGTTCGCACATCGACATGAATTTAAATATATGGATACATTTATTAAATAAAAAAAAAATTAAAACACCAATTAACACTCTTCCAATTTTTGTGGGCCATGGTCCACTTTTTTATTCAATAAATATTAAAAATAATATTTATAATATATACTTTTTTATTTATATTTATAATAATTTATTTTATTAAAATATTAGATTTAAATTTTATTATATGAGTTTTATTTAATATTTATTTTTTTATTAAAATAATATTGTTAATAACTATAATTTTTAATATAATATTTTTATATTTTATGTAACTTTTTAATGCATATTTTTGTAAAATATTTAATTAAATATCTATTAATTCAATTATAACATTTGTTTAATTAAAATTACATGCAATACAAATAATAAATAAAAATACATAAAAATATTCATAAATTTAAAGGGTTCTTTGATGTGAATGTAAAATATAGTTGGAGTTCTTCGTGACGTGGCGGAGAGAGAAACTGACGTGGCACAGGAGAGAGAATGGGAAGAAACCCTGGATGGGTTTCTGTGTTGTGGATGGCCTTATAACCATTTATAATAGACTTGAAATAAGCACATTGTAGAGACATTGACTCTACGGAGAGAGTATTCTCTCTTCTTTTTTTTTCTTTTTTTTTTTTTTTTTTTTTATGACGTGTGGCAAACCATGTGATTATAAAAAAAAAAAAAAAAATTGTTAAAGAAAAAATTGTTGTTGATAAGAAGTATTCTCTGAGTTTAAAGTATCTATTTTATATTATAGTAAAAATAATTATATATTAATATTAAAATATTTTTTTTTAATTTTTTACATAATTTATAAATAGACTAGCAAAGTCTTTACCTTTCCCTGACGTATAATTTTAGGCAGACTTCCGGTGAGATCAACCACCGTTGATGGCTCGGCTACTCTAATACCAGCAGCAACGACAAAATCAAGGCCCTGAATTGTTCAAAAACCAAAGAAACTCACAACCCATCACATGAAATAAAACCAAATTATTATACTATATGCAAATTAGGCAACAAGCCTGGAGTTTACAAGATCTTGCATCATGTTGTTAGAAGCAACAAGAATGAAATGCACAAAAACAAGAGGAAATAGTGAAGCAATACTACTAGGGATAGCAACTGGTAGGTTTAGCCAAACTCAACTAGGATCCGAAACCCTATCCGGACCCGACAATATATATTGAGAAATTTTGAAATCAAAAGTGACAGTATTTCAAAACACAAATATTTTCCCCGATTATTTCATGTTTTTTGCCTGACTCTTACCCACCCAACCCCGATACACAAATAGTAAGACTCTAATCTAACTAAATGAGTCGAGTTCAAGTCGGGTCTTAAGTCTACTCAGTACCATTGTTATCACTAGATATTAGGAGAAAATATAAAATTCCATAAATGTGTTAAGAGTGATGAGAGAAATTACAGTACCTCTGGTCCATATACATCACCTATTACGACGGGATCTAATATCCATTCATCCTCCTTTGGTGACTTAACACTGAGACATGAGAGAATAATTTGCAGTTAGTGGAAGCAGGTTCCCAAAATAGCAAGATCAATTGTCATTCATGAGGCACAAACTTTTCTATAGCATGGATCACCCCTAAACTTCAAATTATGACACAACTCGAATTCAAAAAACCAAAAAACTAACAGGAAAATTGCTATAAAGCAATGTCTACACTAGAGGTGTTTTTACTTTATAACATGTAATTTTTGTACAAAATTACTTAGGTGTGATTAATTATCCTCTTGATTAGCGCACTATTATGGCTCTTTAATTATTCCCGAGCTTTAATAAACTTTGTAAAGTAGTAATTAGGTGGGATAAAATAATATTATTCAACTTAATCACCATAAGTAAACACACCCTACAAGAAACTAATTAGGATAATTTTATCCATACAACAGGTAGAGAGCAGTAATGTACTCTGTTAGATTTGTTAGATTTTCTTGATGTAGTTGAACCACACAATGATCTCTTAAATGTTCTTTTATCATTATCAACCCTTTCTCCGCAATTTCTATTTGGTCTCTAACAACTTGAAATTCGACCATGGTCACTCGGGCACATAGCATATGTAATAAATCTACCTTTAATGCCTACCTGGTGGATATCAAAGGAGCTTCCATCTTCTTCAGTATGGCCTGACACACACTATCATCAGGTATGCGAATGCCGACATTCTTTCTTGATGCATACTTGGAAGATGTAGTCCCGTATCTTATACATTGCTTAGGCAGGGCTTTACTTGCAGTCAAAATGAAAGTATACTGTTACACAAAGTAGTTGAGTTGGTATTATAAACCACCTCAAATAAGATATAAAAAAACAAAATGAACTAAGGTATGTAAAATAAGCAAACTTCAGATTCAAAACAGATAACAAACGAGGGCTTATTAACCATCAATCAGGAAAAGAGAAGAGAAAGTGAAAGCAGAAACATTTAAAAGCAGCAGCAAAAGCCATATCAATAAGATCCACCTTGATGCATACATAGGTGACTTTTAAGTAAAGAAAATTGCATAATGTTTATAAATTTTATCAGTAGCGTAATCATACGAAAACTAAAGCATACAGAGCATACAGAGATCAACGCATTATGCAAACCACTAGTATGAAGAAAAACTATATGAAATTTAGCAATATTTACCGGACCAGGCAAGCAGTGTTTAACAGCTCGAAAAATGTTTGTAAGACCTAGATCATTGCCACGAGGAAATCCTGTGGTGTAAGTGTCGATGTCTTTGAAAGAGTGACACAATATACTAAGGGGCTGCAAAAACAACAGGCGTTAGTTCGAATGCATAAATATGTTTCAAAGCCAAATTTGTAAATGCCCACAGGCCACAACCGCAGGATAGCACTTTCATTGGAGTAGAGAATTTGAAGCCAATATTGTACACAATTAGGTGAGTGACAGAGATTCTCCAGGATGGAAATCAGAGTGTTCTAGCTACTTGCCTTTGAAGGTTCGATATCTTTTATTCTGCAAACAAGACACAAACGCTTGTCACCAAAGTAGCACATTCATAAGAAAACAATTCATCGAAATACAGGCGAGCACTTAATAAACTTCCACATTACATACCTACGCAAACGTTCAATAGCTGAGTTGTTTCTCAAATCACAAGCTATTGCATACCTATTGTCAGATTCAGAGTTTTCATCAGGTCGCCATGGATTCAAAGGATGATAAAGTTAAACAGTATGCAAGATAAAAAGCTCAATCCTATCAGAGGATTTCAACAAAATATCCATCGAAAGCGGTCATGCCTAATCAATTTGATACTGATTCCAAAACTCCAAATCGTAAGACTGCGGTTGCTTTTCAGAAATTTCGTAAAAAACATACACAGTGTCAGTAGGAATTACTCCAACAGCTCCTTGTTTCAATAGCTCGACAATAGGATCCAGTTTCCACGCGTCCGAACCGCTCGGATCAACTTCAACGTACAGCAGTCCATCCTCCTTAGGCCAGACGAGAATATTGAAGGTGAACTATGGAATATCTTCGAATAAAGGCGAGAGAGAGTTGGGCGATATTTAGTTACCTTGGTAAAGCGCGGAGTGGAGTACTTGAGGCGCTTGGGACTCCTCTTAACAACTGCGAATGTTGTGAAGCGACGAGGAGACTTTAACGGAAATTCGGAGGAGAATCGGCGACAGGGACATGCGAAGCCGCCGAGAAAGTTCCTCATCTCCACCGCCATCGGAAAACCTCACCGGAGAGGAGAGGGTATCGCTGAGTAGTGAGTATCCGCCTTTGCCTATCAGCTTCAGCTACTAGCAACGATATTCTGTTGCTTGCGATCATTCCACAACATTATTATCATTATTATTATTATTAAAATATTTTATTTAAAATAAACAGTATAAAGATAATAATAATATAATTAATATTTTTTAAAATTTTATATTCAAATTCTAATTTTGTTCACCAATTATTTCAATCGTATTAATATTTTTCTTTGTTACAATGTAAATTAAAATTATTATTTTTATTTAAAAATTTAAATTAAAAATATATGACAACTTTTCTTTATCGGGATTATAGCACAGTCTTTATTTTCATTTTCGTCTATTTATAAAAATTGACATATTTTTATTTTAAGCTATACAATATTTATTTATTAATTTGCATTATTTATTTATTTATCTTTAACAATAATTGTATGTTAATAAATATTTTAATATAAAATTAATTTTTAATATAATATAAAAAATAAAAAATAAATATTTTATTTGATATTTTTAAATAAAAATATATTAAATAATAAAATTATAAAATCCTTAAAACAAGCAAACCTAAATACATTTCAAACCTTACATTCTTACTATTTTTAATTAAAATATTCCAAAATTTCTACTCCGTTTTTTCTATTTTACACACAACTTAATTTAGTTTCCTTTTTGCATACCATTTTTTACTTCCGTACAAATATTTAGAAAAAAAAATAAATAAATAAATAAATAAAAATAATCTAATTTATGCTGCTGTTTAACTTTTGGAGAGCTAGTGTATGCTGTAATAGCAAGTACCAACGAGAAGCACAAACCCATAACAGCTGCGAAAAATAAAAGAATCAAGAAGAGAAAGAAGAACTAAAAACGTGGTTATGTTAAGAAAGTCGCATTTAAAAAAAAAACGTCTAGTCCATATAAACAAAGGATGTAAAGCTTACCAAGTAACGTTTTCTGAGAGCTGAACATCTGATGTCTGAACTTCTGCTAGCTGATAATTTCTTCTGCTTTTAACCTTCCTATCCGATCTTTCATGTATGTTTTCGGATGGTCCGAGGGATGAACGGCGTCGAGTGAGAGTGGCGGCCGAAACTGATAGAAGATGGAGTGTCCCGAGTGCTCATTTTCGAGACAGCTGACACAAGATTGTCGATGTTTTCGTCATCCACCACCATTGCAGTTGACGAGGAATCATTGTCTTTCTTGCGCATCGCTGCCTGTTTATTTTGAATCTTCTGCCTCTGCCTTTTCGATGGCTTCGCTTGCTTGAAGAACTCGAATGAAGAAGGGAATTTGTGTTTGTCGACCAGGTGTTGTTGCCGGCTCTTGTAGCTCTTAAGCTTCACGTTGCACCCTTCAACGAGGCATTCGAACTAAGACACAAGAAATATAATATAAGTGAACATTACGTCAAATATATAGACGAGCAACACATAACAAAACACAGTCCTCTATCATCCAAATTTATTCTCACTTTCATTTTCTGGTTGTGATCTAAATTTATTTCCGTTTCTTTGTATAGGAAAAAGTATACCATTTTTTCTACTCTTTTTTTACCAGAAAATAAAAATTTCTATTTTTACCTATTTTTCTTAAACTCCATGTCTAGTCAAATGAGCACACAATTGGATGACAAATGGAATAATACAAATGTAACATATAAACTTACAGTGTCACCGATAGTACATGTCACAATTGATATCAACACATATCACATATTAACATGACACACTATATAATAGTATAATACTACCTTCGTCCTATTTCAAAAATACTCCACTTTTTTTTTGCAAATATCCCTATTTTACCATCACAATATTACTTTTATACCAAAACGTAAGGGCAAAATTGTCTTTAAATTACTTTTAACTACCCACTACAATTAAAATACTCTCTCCTACAATTAAAATACTCCCTCCTTCTCGTAAGAAGGATAATATTTTCCATTTTTGTCCGCCACAAAACAAGGGTACTATTTCTTAATTTAGTAATTGTACTACCTACCTAACATAATTAATACCCTTATAACTTCCAATATATTACACAAATGTCATTATTTTTATATCACACAATCTAATAAGGGAATTTTGGTATTTTTTACTATAAACCAATATAATATTAATATTAAAAAATCTACGTGCAAAAAACAAATTGTGCAGTTTTATGACACAGAGGTAGTATCATTATTTCTTAAACTCCTTACCAAAAGTAAATGTATATTTTTTAGTTGAAATGAGAGAGTATGAATCTGACAACACATGCTAATGATATATATAAACATGCTGTCGAAAAAAACACAAAATAACTGAACAAATCTGTCGATGAAATACTTACCATAGTGAATCCACGGGCAACTTTTGCCTGGAAGAAAGAATCATGGGCTTCGGATACATGTATGCTGAGTAGACGTGATGTAGGATATACTCGTGAGCAGACTGAACAAGATGCCATGTGCCGTCCATTGTAGTGATCTTCGAAATCGTCTAGATATTTCAGGCGTGCTCCGCAACCAACAATTGGGCAATATAGTTCACTGATCAAAAACAAGTTTTGGAGGTAAAGAATGCATGCATATATATATATATATGTATATATACACACACATATACACATATATTTCAATTATGAAATAATATACTCCATTGATATTTCTGAACAGCTGATACCTGCTCTTCCAATCTTCCGCGCCTCGTATCTTCTGTTTTTCTTCTTCCGAAATGTCCAATGCTACCTTTAGAACAAACAGTTTCATATGAACAAATAGAAAGAGAAATAGCACAAATCTGTGGATCAACCTACCGAAGGAACATGAAACCATTCTCAAGAAACATTCATACAGTTTACATGGCACCAAACTCTGCATAGTGCATCGAAATTCGAATGGCATGTTACATGTATTACATAAACAAGCTGCTTATCAGAGAGATAATCGAAAAACAAGAGAATCAAGTCATCCAGACACTAAATCCATCGTTCGCAAAATTCATATAAGCTTGTTCACAATCAAAATGGTTCCGCCATGTTACAACTTCAGAATGGTGTTCTTACATATGTCAATCTGCAAGCCTCTTCCAAATTTTGGTTTGAAGGTGATCTTGCAAAGTTCTTCCATGATTGTGACTGGTATAACATCTTAGATGCTAAAACTAAAGCAACACAGCTCTTATTTCATGTTCTTGTGTTTCTAATTTCCTCATTAACTTCAGACTCCTCTCTTCCATGTTAAGATAACTCAAATCTCCTTTTGTGTTCTTCTTAGACTTGACAGCTAAGGTGTACTCTTAAGAACAGGTGATCATCAATTTATACTTCAAAAATACAAAAATGGTATCGAACGAATCTGAACTTGCTCAAGAAGGCAGTAGCAGCAAACTCATCGAAATACGCTTTACTATTTTCAAATTTCTTCGAAGATCAGATACACCCCAAAGCACAATTACTTCAAACAGAAGTAATTTTCATCAAATACACGCATAATCAAACCAACAGCTTCCAGAGATTAGCAAAAACACATATCTACTTGCGGAAAACACACTCGACTCCAGATTACTAAAACTCCATATTCGAAAGTTCATACATATATACACATATGAACCAAATGCTCATAACACATCGACTTGGTGTAAAAACAAGCTCAACGATACGCACTGCGCAGAAAAACGAAATCGAATATAACCTGTTTGGAGAGTAGCTCTCGTTCGATGTTACCAGCAGCAAAGAAATCCGCATCCGGTTCAGGCCTTCGGCGGATAGGCTCCCAACAGGGAAATTTCAATTCGCCTCCACTCTCCTCCACATCCATCGCCATTTGATCTCCAGAATTTTCAAACGAATTCAAGCAAATCAATCGTCTTTTGTTCAAGTTTGCTCTCTCAGAGCAGATCCACCACTACCCAAATCGACCAGTCTGCAATTTTACATATTTAGGCCACCAACACTTTAATGGGCCTGACAATTAATGGGCCCAAAGGCCCAATTATTATATATCATATCACTTGGCCCATATAAATAAATAAATGAAGAATGGCGGTTAGTTGATATGGACGAACTAACGGCTGCATAATAAAAAACTCATCCAATATGTCTCAAAAGTAAAAGTAAATAAAACAATCGAACCTTCGAGTCTCACGTGGCTTTGGACGTGGCATTGCTTACTATGTCTCCACGTACTACATTATTACAAATATTATAATCCCTCCGTCCCACAGGATACTTGGGTGGCTATAGTCACGAAAATTTATGATAAGTATAATTAGTAGATAATTAAGAATATATTAGTGAAAATAATTATCATATAATATAAATAATTATAAATTAAGGTTAAGATAATTAATTATTTTAATTAAAATTAAATTAAAAATTTTTAAAATAAGATTAAAATGTATGATCATTTCTCAAAAAAGAAAAGTTACATGGAATGTAAGACAGATACAAACGGCAATGTAGACATGGTATGTGGGACGGAGGGAGTATCTTAGATATATATTGTATTATATATATATTTACCATCATATATTATACACCTTAAAAAACTCATTAAATTCAATGGTATTTTAAATACAAATTCACTCACCAATATAATATTATTTTTTAAAATATATAACAAAAATATTTTGAGACAATTATTTTCGTATTATTTACATATGATGAATCGTATTGAAGAGGAAAACGGGAAACAATCAATAGCGTGGAGGGATCAACAAAAACATTATTCATTAATTCATAAATATGAAGTATTAATAAGTCGTAGAGGACAAGTTGTCTAAATTTGTTGTAGTATATAACTAAGGTAAGTATGGTGACGAGGTAGTAATAAGTCGTAAGTTATGGGGATTCGTTACCACATCATTTTCATCAATTTTATTTTTTTTTTTCAAATGGGAACAAATCAAAACTCTAATTTTATACTATATATATACCTACTACTAATACTATTCCTATCTCTATCTATATACCAATATATATTTTAGTAAAATACTATAATTAGTCAATATATTTTATATGCAACAATTTTGTTTGGAGGTTTGGATTTGAATAGTAAAATATTTGAATTTGAATAATTGTACGATGAAATATAAATAGGTATTGATGTGATGTTTTGAATGTAAAATTGATTTTTAGAATAATATAAAAAATAAAAAATAAATGTTTGATTTGATGTTTATAGGAAAAAGAAATTTGATAAATAATGTAAGTTTGGGAAAGTCTCCCAAACAAACACACCCTACCCTACGTTTATATATATATATATATATATATATATCAACTACCATATATTAGCATTCTACCATTATATGTAATTCAATAAAATTTATATTGATAGAATATTATATATATATATATAAATATATACACAAAATTGTTAAATAGGGTTTAATAAAACATAATTACTAGAATATATATATATATACACAAAATTGTTGAATAAGGTTTAATTTGCTCACTTTAGTTTTTGGATTGATGTAGTATTTTTTTTTTTATACTAGGGTTTGTTTGTTTGGGGGTTTGGATTTTGAGTTTTGATTTGAATAGTAAAATTTTGAATTTGAATAGTTGTATGACGTAATGTTTTGAATGTAAAATTGATTTTTAGTATAATATAAAAAATGAAAAATAAGTGTTAAATTTGATGTTTTTTGGGGAAAATTTTGAATGAACAGTGTAAATCCAATCCAATCCCCCAAACAAACACACTCTAAGTACAAAAAATTACATTGGTAATATAAAAAAATATTATTTTGTGTTGAATCATTGGTTTTTGTTTTTTTTTTAGTGAATAAAGTATATTATATATATATTATGTTAATGTGTATTTATTTTATATTTTTTTAATAATTTATATATTAGTATATGAGTGAATAAAGTATATTTATATATATATTTTTTGTATAGATTTGATTAGGGCATTCTAGCTTTCTCATGTTGAATTAAAGACAATAAATTATGGCAAATTGTATAGATTTGATTGTATATTTATAGTTCTAAGTTGATCGAGTCATATTATTTGTGCCTCTAATTGAATAGAAATCACACATAACTGTATACCCTAATATAAAATATCATATCATAGACTATATATTACACGGTTTTCATATGACATAATTTTGATAGGTTTTTTTACCCAACATGTATTCAAGAATTAGTAGCTACGGTAAATAAATTTCCAAGTCATAAAATAAATAAATAAATAAATTACCTACTGCTACTTATTCACACAACAAATTGATTTATCTAATAAAACAAGAATCATTCTTCTGCTTCGATGGTTAGTTTTGTCATCAACATCAGTGACGTCATCGGCCTCAATTAATCAATAATTAATAGTACTTATTAATTACCTCCTTAAAAATTAATTTGCTAACGTCTATAAAAAGTCTGTGTGTTAAGGATCCTCCATTGATGATCTGCAGTAGTAATTAATGGATAAGCTCCGCGGCCTCTGCCTCTGCGTCTGCGTCGTACTAATTATCGTATCGGCGGGAGATGCGCAGCTGTCCGAGGATTTTTACGCGTCCACTTGTCCTAATGTTGAGGATATTGTCCGCCAGGCAATCGTCACAAAATTGAGCGAGACCTTCATTACCATCCCCGCTGTTGTTCGACTCTTCTTCCACGATTGCATGGTCGAGGTATGTAATATATATATATATATATATAGCGATTGCAGATATCGATTATTTTAGGTTGAACCAAAAAAAAATTGAAATTTGATAGGATACTGTAATTTTTTATATTATCATTTCACTGTATCTGCTTGTATGATAGGATTATTTTTTTTTTTTTACCCAAAATATCATTTGCAATCTTATTAAAATTTAACTGTGATATTATTATGACATATATTAATTTGATTGGTTTTTTTTATTATTTATTTATAGAATATATTTAATTTTTATATTCAAAATTTACTTTTTAGTAATATATTATATTTTATTCTTATTACTTAATGAATGAGTAATTTAGACCTTTCTTTAAGTATGATAAAATAATATTAGGGGATTGGATTGAATAAATTATTCTTCAAATTGTTATTATTGTATCGAACTTGTAATTATCATGAGCCTGAATATATTGAAATAAATATGAGATTAGACCGAATAAAATAATTTTATTCATCATAATTTCATTGTGTGTTTGTTTGGGAGTTTGGATTTTGAATTGAGATTTGAATAGTAAAAATTTTGAATTTGAATAGTTGTATGATGTGATATAAATAGGTGTTGATGTGATGTTTTGAATGTAAAATTGATTTTTAGTATAAAATAAAAAATAAAAAATAGATATTTGATTTGATGTTTTTGGAAAAAAAAAATTGGATGAATAGTGTAAATGCAATTTAATCCCCAAACAAACACTGTCAGCTTGTCAAAATATGGTCATGTATCTTAGTCGTGTTGCTTTGATGGTGTTAATTCCGTGTGTACTTAACAAAACTGTATATATATATAAACTGAGTTGCATAATTATTTACATACAAAGTTCACTTCATTCGAAAACCTAAAAAAATTTAAATTAATTTTTAAAATGAATAAAAATAAAATTACATTCCATAAAGATTTAAATTAGAATGGATATAAAGAATTTTAATTGTGTGTTTTATTATTATTGTTACAAAATTTAAAACTATAGTATAATACTGTGTTTTTTTATTTGTTAATACAAAGTAATTTGAAATTAAGTAAAACTATATTAATTGCAACTATAAAATAATTATATATTTAGAGTTCAAGTTATTTGGTTAATTAAAAATAATCTTATTTTTACATTTGAAGTGATTTAGGTTAACTCAAAAATACCATTCTTAATTCAGATAAATCCAATTTTTTTTTAAACTCCAAACACCAAAATTCAAAATTGAAAAATGTTCAAGTTGAATGAAGTGGTCGAATTTAATTTTAACACCCCTTGTAATACATGCAGGGATGCGACGCCTCGGTTCTTATCTTTTCACCGAACAATGATGCAGAACGAGATGCACCCGACAATATATCCTTAGCCGGAGACGGGTTCGATGCAATCATCCGGGCCAAGCAAGCCGTCGAGGCCCAATGCCCCGGCGTAGTCTCATGTGCCGACGTTTTAGCCATAGCAGCTAGAGATGTCGTAGTTCTGGTAATTTTCAAACTCCAAATTTAAAATATCGATATTCATCAATTTTTTTTATTTTCAATTTAAAATTTTTACTATTTTACCTGCACATACTTTATATTTACACAAATTTAATACGCATATTCCTGACATTTTAGCCATAGTCACTAGAGATGTTGTAGTTCTAGTAATTCTCAAACTTCAAACCCAAAATCCCTGACATTCATCAATTTTTTATTTTCAATTCAAGATTTTTACCATTTTACATGTGCATGCTTAAAATTTATACTAATTCAATACGCTTATCCCCGACAGTCGGGAGGTCCGGGCTACCCCGTCGAGAAGGGAAGGCGCGACGGAAAAATTTCCCTAGCTTCGCGAGTCGAAGGCCGGCTACCCGAGCCGTCGTTCGACTTAGTTCAACTCAACACGATTTTTGCGAGGAACAACCTAACGCAAACCGACATGATCGCGTTGTCGGGATGCCACACGGTCGGATTCTCCCATTGCAACCGTTTCGCCGATCGAATTTATTCATTCTCGCCGTCCAACCCCGTCGACCCGTCCCTCGACCCGGACTACGCCCAGCAGCTGATGCAAATGTGCCCTCGGGACGTCGACCCGACCATTGCCATCAACATGGATCCCTCGACTCCGCAAACGTTCGACAACGTCTATTATCAGAATCTCGCCAGCGGGAGGGGATTGTTCACTTCCGACCAAATTCTGTTCAACGATCCTCGATCGCAGCCTACGGTTTTGGATTTTGCTCAAAATCCCGGGGACTTTAACGGGGCTTTTATTACGGCGATGATTAAGCTCGGCCGTGTTGGAGTCAAAACGGGAAAAAATGGTGAAATTAGGCGGGATTGTTCTTTTTTTAATTCGTAAATATGTTCGTTAGAAAGTTTACGCGACTGAAAACATATCCAAAATGGACGCGAATAAAACAATTGTACTAAAGTGAATGTGTTTTTAACATAAGTGTCGGAATAATTTTGGAAAGTTATACTTTATTTGTTTTGGCTTTTTGTAAATGTTCTATTCATGCACTTTGTTTTTGGAAAGTTAGATTAAATTATCGACTAAGAGAAGAATTTGTACAACTAAATATGTTTGGTGTGGAAATCAAAAATAGAAATATAATTTTGATTTTGTTTATCCATTTTTTACTATTTAATTTCATAATTTATATTTTTAAAATATATATATTTTTTTTATAAAATAGTACTCTATCCGTGTTTATAGTATATAATTTAATTAATTAATAATATTGAATTATAATATTATTTTATTATATTTTTATAAATAAATTCAAAATATGTATTTAAATATTTTAAATTCATGCAATATGAATATATAGATAAAATTTTAAATAATGCAAATAAATAAAAAATATATATTTATTAATTTATAATTAAGATAAAATTAATTTTATAAAAAATAGAAAATTTAAATGTAAATAAAAATATTTGTTTACTGAATAGCGAAATAAAAATAAGGAAGTTTTGGGTGAATAAATGTATTATTTACACGTTATTAAATTAATTAAATTAATTTAAATTTGTTAAATATATTTAAATTTAATAAATTTTACTAAAAATAAAAATAATTTCAAGTGTGACAAAAAAAAAAAAAAAAAAGACCATTGAAATGGAACGAAATGAGTATTTTAAATTAAAAAATATATTTTTATAAGAAATTGAAGAAACAAAAATCAAAGAAATTGAAGAAACAAAAATCATCCTATTTCGCTAACTTATTTTTTTAAAGATGTCAAACTCTTTACATCAAATGACGAAACATCCTCACTTGAAAGTTAAATCTTTAGAGTGGCCGCATTTTAGACGGCTTCTCAGGTCGACGGCCTCTCTTCTTCCCTAAAAAATTTTCCTCCGCATTGACTTTAATTTTGACTGAAGCAAATCGATTCTCCGTTGCGGCCGCCGGAAATGGCCTTCCTAGCTCTCTCTCCCTCAACACCGCAAATGGGTCCGTCCGCCGCGCATTCAAGATTGTCGCCATCAGCCGAATCGAGTTTTTAAATAACTCAACCCGCAACAAACACGGCCATATTCATAAAAAAAACATGGCCGTATTCCCCATACAAGTGCTAGTTCATAGGCTAAACGAACACAGACGTATACTTGTACCTAGCTAAACAATCATCAATGTCATATCGATACCTCATTCCCGGCTAAACGATCATCACTATCACATCGATAACTCACTCCCGACTAAACGACTATCATGAATGTGCTGAACACTTTCACGAGGAACATACACAGAGCCATTGTGCGTCTTTTTTTAGGCCCCTCGAGCCTGCCTTTGCCACTAAGGAGGAAGAGGAGTGTAGAGACATTTTATATACTTGGCCTTTGTGTGTATATTTCTTTTCTAGTTTTTTCATTCCAAGCTCTGGGCAATGATCATGGAAAAATAAATAAATAAATCTCAGATGGTTAACCTGTTTAACCAACCCCATATGTGTTGGATGATGATCCCTTGTGTCCTCAAATAACCTCCTGTGCCCATATATCTCCCCTGCATTCTACAATATTTTTCAGACCTAGTAGATGACATTGAAAAATTGCCACATCTTTCTGAGCCATGGACCACTTGGAGAATACAATATAATTATATATATATATATATATATTTCAATAAGTAATAACAAAAATTCGACCAAATCAAAATCTTCCCTTCTCTCCTCTTCTTTCCCGCCACAAAAGATCTCAAACAGACAATACTTTCCTCGCCGACCGACGGCGAATATACAAACAAAACTCTACAAGCGATGCATGAAACGGAGCCGTGCAATGCACCGCGCCAGGTGCAGTACACGGCTACAACAACGGTAAGTTGTCGACTATCCTCACGAAGCATAATTACCAACCAGACATAACGGCAACAACAACTTTGCACAAAGACACGACAAACTACTCGCCTTACGTATGAGATCTTCCATAAAGGTTAGCATAAACTCGCTTCGTCCGATAAACCAAAACCATGCTTAAAACAACCGCGACGACGCAAAGTCCACACATGATCATGGAAGTCAAGAAGTAGCAAACCGTACCTTCGCACTGCAGAGAATCGTCGACAGAGAGAAAGCTTAGCTGACCGTGATGACGCTCACGAGCTTGTTTCTCTGCTTCTCTGTCGTAAATACTGCTGGCGATGAGACCTGAGAATACTAACGAACCGGCAGGGTTAGCTAGCGTCAAGAAATTGTACAAAACACCGAACTTTTTTAAACCGAATAGTTCTGAGGCTGCAGCAGGAACAATCGCCCAGTGTGCCCCGTACCCGAGCCCTACGAGAAGGGTTCCTAAATACATTGCCCCGGGCCAACCCATGGCGAATAGAAAATGTCCTACTGTCATGATCGCTTGGGCAGCAGCCATTGCTACCGGCCTCGGATAGGCGTAGTCCCTGTTGAATCAAGGCGTGAAGTGTTACGTATAAGAATGGATTCGATTACAGTAAATCTAGATTCAATTTGGTCATACCTGACGACTCTCTCAGATAAGTAGCCACCGCCGACGCGGCCCAGAAAGTTCCAGATGCTGATCATGGAAACGAAGACATGGGTGTTGTCATACCCCTGCGACTGGCTCATCTGGCCCAAGTTGTCTATCACAGTTAAGCCGGAGCCGGCGCCCAAGAGAAGGGAAAAAAATATAAGCCAAAAATCAGCCTTTATCAATGCCTCCATCAAGGTGAAGTCTTCTCCTCTGTGCGGTCTTCGTTTCTTAATTCTTATAGCTCCTTCAGCTGCGGCTTGCGCTAGTTTTGCCTGAAGTTGAGCAATTCTCTTCTGTCTCTCCAAAGCTGGAAGCGTATCGACATCTTTTGGCTTTTCGTCTTCAATTTCGCTGAATATGATGTCTTGAATGTCGTCTCTAGATTTGCTCGGCCCCTCTTGTTGCGATTCGGGGAGAAGAGCCTCTTCTGCCGATGATCCTCGCTCCTGAGATAAGCTCAATGCGATGGGAATGACGATGGGAAACAACAGAATGACGAACAGAATCACAGTCAAAACTGTGATGATGGTGTGGCTTATGTTGGCTAAGTCTTCGACAAGCATGACTCCCATCAGATACGAAGCCAACACGAGGCAGATGCTATAGGTAACCGAGAAACTGAAGCCATCGGAAGATCTGATTTGCTTGTGGCCTCCAACCGGCCGGACAATAAACATGAGAGCAATTACCACCATTGTCGGCCCTACTGCGATCATGAATATCAGAGAAGCGTGATCCGGAGAATGCATCACCGTATATATCTGAGTCAGGATAGCGCCACTTAGCCCAGCAAACCCCTTGAGTATTCCAACTACCGGGCCACGGCTCTTGGGGAAGTTCTGCACACACGAGACCAGTGCAGCCGTATTGAAGTAGGTCTCACCATTTGTTCCTACGAAGACGAGAACGCACATCTGCATACGTACAGAACTCAGGCATCAGCCAAGATTCATCGATAACAAACACTTACATAAACACTTCCGAAACTTTTGGCCCTACTCATTATCAACAATAACTTTTTTAAAAAAGTTCACGTCAAACAATATTCTCAAAATTTTCCAAAACTCTCGACCCTAAGACTAAAGTAAAATCCATTGAAACATTGCCCCTTAAAGGATTAAAGTGAAGTGATGTGGTATGAGAATAGAATAACTATTTGCAATAAATACACAGAGCAACTTTTCGAACTTTCTGAGAAAAAGAATCAAAGAAAGCAAAGAAGTAGAATAATTCTCCCAACACAACTGCCTGGAACTCAACTTTACCAATAGTTAATTGCAAAGAAAAGTGAAAAACCAATTAAGCAACATATTTGATCTGTAAGAAATCAAAAGAAGGAATTTTATCTACGAAAGAAAAGGGTATCCACTCTATCCCAAAAGAACAATCACGTCAGTACTAAATACAGAAAGATCAATCGAAACAGTTCTAGCCAAGAATAGAGAAGATGCCAAAGAACAAAAGGAAAAATTTTAAATGCAGAAATACCAACTAATACAAGAAAAGGAAGATTTATTTATATATCTAAAATCGATTGCCAAACAAACATATGGTCGTGGAAAATGTAAGATCCATAAATCTCGAAAAGAGTAAATCACATAAACCCCAACAAAGTAATCGGAAGTCAATCAATCACAAGCACAAATCAAAGTCAATCAATCAAGATAGATATCAAAATTTCTAACAAAAATGTGATACTCACAGCCCATAATGGCAAAACAGGGGTTCTTCCAGTGATCACAAGCCAAATCCAACCATATCCGATGAAATTCTGAATTGCACCAATAAGAAGAGCACCCCATAGAGGCAAAAACTCAGACAAGGTACCAGCCAAGAATCCGACACTGTCACCTAAATCCTTGGCCACCCCTAAACTCGCAATCTGCCTTTGGTTGTAACTCAAAGAACTCTTGATCGTCGGTGAAATGCTACCGTACAGATACCCAATTCCAGCACAAGATTGTATCCACATTGCAGCCACAAAAACCAGCCATCTGTTGTTCAAGAATGAAGAAATCCTCTCTCTCACTGTAACACCACTCATCTCTATTCTCTATCCCCTTGGATCAATCGATCGATCAGTCAATCTCAAGTTCAGTGACTCTACCTGGGTTTTTGGAGACTTTTCCTTTTTTTCCCAAGAATCAAATAAGGAAGAAATTGGGATGGGATTTCTGGGCTTCCGTGCTGACTTAGCTTTTCTTGATGTGAAGCTTAATATTAAAATAGTATGTATATAGAAAGCTGGAATTCAGAGCTATGATGAGATTTTAAAGCAATCATAAATTAGGGGAAGACACCCAATCGCCACTTTCGCATTTTTTCACTTTTTTATACACACCCTATAATTTAAAAAACAAGAAAATGATGTAAGATAGGACATGTGTATGAAACTTTGAGCCGGTTTTGGAGGACCTATATGTAATTTACTAATTTTCTAATAAATAAATACTCAGATCATTCCAATTGTATGAATCCTATGTTACGCATATGGAGCTTTTAGGGTTTCTATGTACTGTTCTATACAGCGAAGTTATGGTGAATTTCATCATGTCTCCATGCTTGGTTGTCGGATAATTTTTATCCATTTGTTCTACGAATGAGTTTGTTTAAATGTGATTACAAACTGAAAGATAAAATTGTGATTTATCAAATATTCATGTTAATTATGGAGAGTATAGTTTATGAATTAGTGTGTTTCTGAATTACATATTAGAGAATCACTTTCTGAATTTTAATTCATATTCTTAGAGAAGAGAGTGACAGATCATGGCGGCGGCACCAATTGAAGGTAGAGGAGGAATCCATGGCGACAGAACTTAGCGGATAAAAGATGATGAATCAAAGCAATATGTTCGTAGAAAAGGTGAAGGAAGCACAATTTCATATTAAACCCCAAACAAATTAAATCTCCCCTTTCTAATTTCTTCATTTTTCCCAAAGCTTCGAAAAAAACCTACTTGCAGAAAATGGTAATCAATTAGATCCAACACCCCAAAACATGCTGCAAATTCACATTACAAACTGAATTTTACACCGCATCTCGAGCATACACTTCAAACTGAACAGTAGCAGGCAGCAGACAAGAGGAATTACAGGTTACGTGTTTAGAATCAAGTCAGGCTAAGCATAGAGGTGTATATTGAGAACGACAAGGAAGAGAACCAGAAGCAAACCGTAAACAATAGCGTGTAGCACCATGGAAGCCACACTAGTCTTCATGTTGAGGAATTCGACGGGCCTATGCTTGCCAGGGAGTTGGATCAGCAATCCCGGCGTCAGGAACGCGAAGAGCGCCGTCGCGATCAGCAATCCAGCGTAATCCCTCATTCTGATCGACGATTTCCTCCTCCTCTCTTAACCTCGTCGCCGGCTGCAGCTCTCTGCCTCGGAATTGGGTTATGGGTACACTAAAAATTGAGCATAGTTTAAATCAGTGGGATGGGTGGTGGGGTAGGGTTCATTCATTTTTGGACAACGTGTCATTCCATCATTGGACGACATCAAAGACAGTGTCCGGTCGTTGCGGATGCTTAAGAGAAGTTCCATTGGACGACTTTAACGTCACTCTTTCATTTTCGTTATGGTCGAAATGATCAGAACGTTTTGATTTGTCACCGGTAAAAATGGCAGACCTTCACCGGTTAATCTCCGGCGAACCAACTCCGATCACCATTACTCCGGCGGAGATTAGAATGAAGCAGAAGGATAGTAACTTGTATTTTATGAACAAAAAACTTATGAATTGCTAAGCTACTTCACCTCCTGCTATTCAATTTTCGACTATTACAGAACACGACGAATCCAAGGTCTCGATTGTCCATCCTAACAAACTGTGTCATTGCAAGGTTGTAAGATATTTAAAGACAAAAGCTTGATCAGTACCGTCGCCCACCTGCTGTGGACAAAAGAACTCGGCTCGGCTTCTTACCCTTTTTCCCGGCTCCTTCATTCGGCTTAGACGTACGAGGTTCTTGGACATCTTTTACTCTAGACGTTATATCAGCGAACGAGGTGCCTTCGTTACTACCTGAACGATCCAACAAAACGAACACACTTAAAAAATACGAAAACTATAGATACATCACCATGTTCGATGTTACATACCACTCGCATTAGCAGTGTCAAAAGGGATGTCGATTCTTGGGGTAGTTTTGATCTCATCCGTTTTCAGGGCTGGAGAATCGTGTGCTGCAGCAAAACCTAACCTTGCAACGTTGGAAAACGACAACCTTTCTGTTATGGCAGGAGGGCTCGACGACACCACAGGAGGACTCCCCAAAGCTTATTTGTAGGCATAAAAACAAAAATTAGTCGATAAGTGTGGGTAAAACTCCGACAAACTATCCACAAGTACAAAGGAGATGTGAAATTGTGTAAGCGCAGCTCAAGTAAGAGGTCTTAATTGCCACTTAATCACCAAATGCAGATCTAGGTTACTATGCAAAATCTTAAATAACTAAACAATGGTAACCGCCAGCATACCGATATATATAATGTAAAACAACCCGTTTCACCAATAATAAATACACCCAATTTGATCAAAATGTCGACACGAAGGGTGCCAAGTGCCAATATAATCAATTGCAAGGATGTTGCTTGGATACAAACATCTTGTAAAATTACCTTCGAAGTCATCCATTGAAAAGCTCGGTGTGGCAGCATATGATGAGTAATATGGCACAGGCGCAAACTGACTGTTGGCAGCTTCAGCCTTAATTTTGTCGTTGTGTTCCTGTATTGAACCACCATGTATCATCGCAGGTCAAACAGGAACAAGGCATTTCGGTACAAAATATACAACTGATTATTAACATTACATTTTTCCTAGACAAGGTAGATGCTATTATAGCCGCAAACACATAATCAAGTATGCAAATGATTATATAGAAAAAAAAGCAAGTATTTCCAACTTGAACACAGTGGTAATGGCGCACCATGGTACAAGGTATAAATCGCAAGGAGGGCCTGAGTCACCATTGCTATTATTAATTAAATAAGGATATGAAATTTTTTATCCTATATTTCTTTCCAAATTTATCCGGCTTATAGCCATTGTTTCTGTTTTTTCTCATGAACTATTCTTTTTTCCTAGTGTAGTTTTGAATTACTGTGTATGCATAAACAGTTCTGTTTCCTTTTTTATTCTTATATTTTATAGTGTATATTGAAGTTCAAGCTTGGTTAATATTACATATGTTTGCTCGATATATATGAGTATAGAGTGCATTTGTATGCGTTTTAGGTATATTAAAATTTTAAAATAAATCACTAGTTATTGTATACCATGTCATTTACAACTATGCACTTAAACATCAGCCAAATACATAAAACTCTCGAGGAAATGATAAACAAAAACATTATGCGGGATTATGCTAGTTCTTAGTATAAAATCAATAAGGAGCAGCATTTGAAATTGCTAATCTCTGAAGGCGAAAGTAATGCAAGGTGGACCATTAAATTGAAATGACCGGGTTCACTAAACATTGCATGACAATATAACTGCACCAAGAATCATCAAGAACATTTTTCAAATAAAATTTAGCCGCAAATGATTGTATTAAAGCCGTACCTTTCTAGCAAGTCGCTTTCTTTGCTTTTCTCGACTCTTAATTTCATCCATAAATGGTGAAAGAGATTCAACAGGTAGCAGATCACCCATATCAATTTCACAAAGCTGTGAAATCATACACGAGTAACTTTACCAGTATAAGATGCTTTATTTCAAATTTGATGTCACATCACAATTGATTACCTGAAATGTTGTTGTTAAGGAGAAATGGCTTAAGAAGCGATAGCGCCTCCTTGTAGCTTCTGATTGTGTCACTGTCTCCATTTGTAAGATTTTGCCACTGATTCTGGAATATTCAAATCATCAGGAAAAAGACTAGCATAAATCTGTCTCCAGTTTTTGAGATTTCAAGCATCTAATTTCTCAGATCTAACAGCAAGATTCTTATACTGAATCACAGTAAAGTCGCCAGCTATACAACAACTACTGCTTCTAGGTGCATGGAAAAAACGACAACCAATTGATAATAATGACATTCTATAATTCACTGTGTATAAGATGACATTCTGGAAACATTTGCAATGAAAACAAAAAACATATTAATGCGAACTTGTGATATCTCCACCCAAGAAATCTTCGATGACACAAAATAAGAACTGAATCAATAAATACCAATTCAGATCCCGTACATCAGACACAAAAGTTCATATCATAGGAGCATTCAGCTCCCTGTTGCCTTACTGACTTTCTTGCAGAACAGAATCTATTTAACTTTTACACAGAAACAAAATAAAAACACACACAAATAAAGTAAAATCTGTCTCATACCTGTCGGGCAGTCTTTCATAACTACCATAATGGTGCAGAAGACATTTCATGTTTAATGGGTGGAGAATGATGTGTTGACCATCAATGGCCTGGGCAAATTGCAGCAACACATGGAATTTGATTAGACTGCGATTCCGAGGAAAATCATCAAATTTGAAAAATTTCTTTTCTTTCAAGGGAAATTATTTACCTGGAAGAAATTGTATAAAGCTTCATCTTTCTTAACAGGGGCAGAAGAAGAGGTAGATCTGTCTTCATCTTCCAACAATTCATTCATACCGGAAACTTGTGGAGTAAAAACCTCTTCTACCACCTTCTTCAAGGATGGTTTTCCAAATAAATTTGACTCGTCATCCTTACTATGAGATACTTCTTCGAAAGGAGATTCGCGTGCCCCATAGACCTCTGCAATGTATTCGCTTTGTGGAGATCCATAAGAGCCTGCATTCGCCTTGATACTACTAGAGTTACGCTTATTCCAATATTTCTTTCTATTCTCCAACTGCTCCATCGCAGCACAAACGTAAGGCAATTTTTCAATGTCATCTACTAGGCCCGAATCAGCTCTAGCTATCCAACTATCCAAATCTGACATCGCCTCTCTAACAGACAATTCCACATCCGATGTCAGGGTGAATTTTGAGAAAGAGTCTGAAATCTCAGTCTCAGTATTCATGTTTTCATTCTTTCTAACAGAAGAATTAAAACAGTCCTTTTGACGAGTCAACAGAATAAATTCTATTTCATCACCAATGCGATACTGCTTGACATTCTCAATGTGGATAGTATACAGATCTTTCGAAGAAATCATGGTGAAGCACAATGGGCATTTCTTCCAGGATTCACCTCTAAGATCATCTTCACCAATTGAAAAATATTGTAGAATGCATGGGAAGCAGAAGATATGACCACACGAGGTTATTTGAGGACACAACGGATCATCTAAACATATGGGGCACTGAACGGAAAAAGGAGTGGAGTACTTCAAGAAAATAATATCCTCCCAACATAAACTCCGGTCCGGATCATTAAACTCAGCTGTATAATTCCTGGAATCTAGCACTACAAATTTGTAATTTGCTTGCAAAAATAAGTCCTTATTATAAGGTTTTCTCTTCGGCTGTCTTCGTGGTGGAGGTGCTCTAGGCTGTGAACGAGAAACAGAAATAGGGTTGTATTGAAAATTCAATAAGTGATTTCCGCTAACCATCTGAGATTTTTTCCATGACGATTGCCCAGAGCTTGCTGGGGAACTAGATGACACAGAAGCCTTATGATTGCTTGTGGAACCGGCATATCCATGCGGTTTTTGTGTCTGCTTTGTCGATCCAACTAAGACACGAGTAGCATCCTCATGATCCAAGGCCTTCTTCCCTTGATTAACTGAATTCTTGCCATTGTTCCCCCTCTCATTTACTCTCACCTAGATCGCACGAATATAAACAATCATGGAGCCAATTTGTACTACAGATACAACTACAAAAAAGAAACAAACTTATTCCCACCACCAAAACAGTATAAAGGAAAAAAAGAAAGTAAAAGACCGCATAAATAACCTCTTCCAAGGATTCAACAGATTGTGCACCAGGTGCCATTTGCCCTGAAACAGGAAAAAGAAAAGATGTAACCATTTTCATCCTCAATCAAGAATGCCCATGCACGCAGAAGTTGTCCCACAGATTTAACCTGATAGCTAATATAGCACACATTTGGACTGCCATTGAAACGAAAGAAAATCTTTCCTCAAGATTGGACAGTTAAACATGTTTCAATCAATCTACATCGAACTCCACCCCATATCGACCCAAACTTCACTTCTCGCACAGTAAAAAGTATCACGGCGGAAAAAGATCCAAAAACAATTAAATCAGATAAAGAAATCACCCAACAAGAAAATCTTTACTCAAGATTGGACAGTAAAACACATTTCAACATTACTATATCGAACTTCACTCCATATCAATATACCCAAACTTCACTTCCTACAAAGTAAAAAGTATTACGATAATGGATTACCGCCTCCCCCCGACTCGAAAAGATCCAAAAACAATCAAATCAGATAAAGAAATCAGCCAACAAGTATGAACGTGACTCTACTGATCAAACAAGGTCATGACAGCAACTCCCAAATAAGGGGGAAAACGAAAATTAGGGTTTCTTTAACAATGATAAAGCCCAAAATAAAGAAGCGGAAGCAAGAGAACCTGAGTGATTGCTTGCTGCCGTTGAAGGGCAATCAGAGGTTTGCAGGGGCGGTAAAGGATCGCTGGAGCATACGAATCCATGATTGGAGGGAGGAAATTGAGACGCTGAGAGCGCAGAGGAAGACGACGACTCTGAACCGTTATTCAGGGAGGGCAAGATGGACATGAAATTCTTCGAAAGCTCGAGGTTAGGGTTTGATGGATTGATCGATCGATGATCCGCTTCTTGGTGTGAAGTCTCTACGTCGGCGTTTTATACCATTGGTCTCAAATATGTATTTCCGTACAAGAAAAAAAAAATTAATAATATAAAATAATTAAATATAAATAAAATAATTGTAAACAAAACGATTATTATCTCTAATTCGAATAGTAGAGGATTTTTGATCTTTTAGAATTTAAGTCGGGTTTAAACCGATGACCTCATTGTCACAATTTCAACCTCTACGCCACCAAATTATCTTACGGACAATAGATCTATACTTTTAATTCATCCGCTATTGTTTCTCCCTCCAATATATTGTGATGTCTATTTCCAACCACAAAAAATAAAATACTACTTCCCTCCCAAACACATTTCCTTTTTGGTATGTCTCAAACATTTTGCATTAATCTCTATCCTACACTGTATCCCCTCACACCGTCCAAATAAAAAAATATATATATTTCTCTCTTCATCGCATCACTTTATTTCTAAATTATCATATTTAATATTATCCACCTAAAAAATCCGTACCAAAAGTAAATTCTCTTTCCATCACGTCACCTCATTTCTAAATTATCTTATTTAATATTATCCACATAAAAGAAGGATGCCTTTATTCCTTACTCTCCATTTTTTTCTTTCTTTTTATTCTTTCTTTTTATTGTCCATATTGAAGGCTAATTACAAAGTGAGGTTAATGTTATTTGAGGACAATAGATAGATTTAGTTTGTTAGAATTCAAGAATAATTCTAAAATAATTAGTAAGAAATAAAAATTTGTATATATAGTAATGATCATATTTATATTATTGTTGTATTATTTATTATTATTATTATTATTATTATTATTATATAAGTAATTTATTATATTTACTTATTATTATTATTGTTGTTATATTTTTAGGGATCTCACACTAGTGAACGTGTTTTTAATATGTATATTTAATTTAAACTTTTAAAAATATATCACATTATTATTATTATTATTTTTATTTTAATATAAAGACCATGAATCAATTTTATTGGGCTTACAATTTCTTTTCGGATCTAACAAGGTTGGGCTTCTCATATTAAATCCATTCTGCAAGAAACATATAGATCACACTCCGTATCAAATATATGTATGTTGTGTTTCTGGTATATTTTATAGGTTTTTTTAATATTAAATTAAATATTTATTTTTTATATTTTACATCATACTAAAAATTAGATTTATATCCAAAATATCAAATTAAACAATTTATAATTTTTATATCAGTATCAAACAAATATTTTAATTCAAATTTTATTATTCAAAACTTAAAAGTGTGTCTACCCAATAATTTTTTAGTGACAAAATTTTTTATAAATATTATGTAAAAAATATATATACAAATATTTACACAATATATATATATATTATGTATTCTTTGACGGAAATTGTTACACTAATTTAGAAAATTACGTTGATTTAAAATTCAGTACAGTGGTAACAAAACATAGCAAATAAATAATCGAACACACAGTATAGATACAAATAATACATGTTGTTTTAAATAAAATCACATTGCATTAATTTTTACATTATCAATATATTTTGTTATATTTATCATTTAAAAAACACACACTGAACACATCTTAAATCTCGCATAATTTACACATAATATTTGTATTATTCTTAGATATTGTTGGTTTGGGTTAATTTCTAACAAATTTGAAACAAGAGTTATATTTGTCGTTCGCGTGTTGATATTTAAATATTAATTATTATATCAAAATATAGATAAATCAAAAAACAAATGACAAAAATATTTTTATCAGTGTCTTATAATATTAATATAATAACATTTGTATAAAAAAATATAAAATATAAAAATAATTTTAATGTTAAATATAAACATAAAAGATAATTTTAACTTTTGCAGATGGACTAACGGAGTATTAAATTTCTTACATAAATTTTAGTCTGTTAAATTGTAGTTTGAATATTTGAATATGATATTTTAAAATTTTATTTAAATAGATATTTTGATTTAAAATTTTGTTAGATAAAATAATATATTTTAATTAATAATTATATGATGAATAATACTCTCTTCGTCTCAAACAAGGTGCAACATTTACTTTTGGCACGGGTTTTTAGGTGGCTAAGGGCATCCACAACGGGAGACGCTTGTTGAGAAGCGCCTCCCACATCATCATTTATTAAATAAAAAAAAAATTAAAACACCAATTAACATAAGGAACGGTACATTGCGAGTGTACCGTTTCTTCCAATTTTTGTGGGCCATGGTCCACTTTTTTATTCAATAAATATTAAAAATAATATTTATAATATATACTTTTTTATTTATATTTATAATAATTTATTTTATTTAAAATATTATATTCTAATTTTGTTATATAAAATTTTATTTAATATTTATAATTTGAAATATATTTTTCAAGAAATAAAAAAATTAAATATTTAACTTTAATTATTATGCAAAGTGTTTATTTAATTAATATAAAAAATCTATTAATAATATATAATATATCATATTTTATGTTTTAAAATTTGTTTTATTAAAATATTAGATTTAAATTTTATTATATGAGTTTTATTTAATATTTATTTTTTTATTAAAATAATATTGTTAATAACTATAATTTTTAATATAAAGGGTTCTTTGATGTGAATGTAAAATATAGTTGGAGTTCTTCGTGACGTGGCGGAGAGAGAAACTGACGTGGCACAGGAGAGAGAATGGGAAGAAACCCTGGATGGGTTTCTGTGTTGTGGATGGCCTAATATTAAGTTTTAGAAATTAGGCGATGTGATGGAGAGAGAAATATATTTTTTAATTTTTTATTTGGACGATGCGAGGGAATAAAGTGTGAGGTAGAGATTAAGTATAATTAATTATTTCCTATTTGGTGTTTGGTACCAAAAATGAAATATTTATTTTAGTTTAAAACCATGAAAGAATAAAATTATACCACTGTCTTTTTGAGCATTTACAGCTAAAATTACAAACTAATAGACGTCGGTTTACTTTTAAATTTTTGTATATTAATTCTTTTATTTATGTTTTTTTATAAAGATAATATTAATTGTAGATATAAAAAGTGATTTAAAATAATATATAAAATAGAATCTTTGAAAACTATTCTTTTTGGATTTAAAAAAAAAGGTTGTGGATTTAAGTAAAATATTATAGTAATTATATTTTTTGAGTTAAAACTGCATAAATAAAGTTTCTGGGTAGGAGATGGCATTATGATTTCTTATTTTTATTTTTTATAATTTAATTTTTTATAAAATATTATAAATACTATATATTATTAATTTGAGGTATTATGTCTAATAATTACTTTATATTATATTAAAAAAAATGTTTTTTCCCTTTAATTTTTTTCAAATAATTTTACTGTGTATTTTTACAGATTAATACTTCGCATAATATATTTATATACATAATTATGTAAAACATTACTTTTAATCATTATTCACCTGACATATAATAATAATTTAAATGCAAAAGGAATATATTTATTATATTTTTTATGTCATTTAAAGACATATGGTCATTTTTCTTTATATTATACTCCGTTCGCTCCAAACAAGGTGTAATATTTACTGTTGGCACAGATTTTTAGGTGGGTAGTATTAAGTATGATAATTTAGAAATTAAATGATATGATGGAGATAGAAATATATATTTTATTTGGATGATGTGAGGGGATAAAGTGTGATATAGAGATTAAGCATTATTAATTATTTTCTATTTTGAAAATGTTGTAGGGTGTTTGGGACATACCAAAAAGAAAATATTGCAGGGTGTTTAGGACGGATGGAGTAATATTTTATAAAAATTAATACTAGTTTTTTAATTTTATCATAAATAGTAGAAAAATATAATTTTTTAAAAAAATATATTTCCAAAAAATTTAAACATTCTTTTTTATAATAGAAATAGTATTTTATATTTATTTTAATTTAAAATTTTATTATTTAAAAATAAATAACAAGAACATGGCACATGGATCATACGCAAACAAACTAGTCTAAAACTAAAGATGCACGTGTCTTGCCGGAGCTAATTTGCAGAATATTAGCTTCGATCTAAAATTTATCAAAAATACAATCAACAAATAGTGGTTGCAGTTCCCACATTAAAAAAAGAAAGAAAGAAATGCATGCGTCTTTAGTGTAGGGTTTATAATCTATGTCCCCAATTGCTTTGGTTTATTTATTTTTATTTAAATTATATATATATATATAAGAGTACGAAAAAATGAATTTAAAAGCATAATTTAAACTTTTGTTATTATTTTATTACATATTTTTATTATTTAAATTTATTTTTTTTAACAATATCACATCAAATAATTATTTTTTTTATATATTATACTACAAAATTTATTTTACATTCAAAACATCACGTCAACATCTATTTATATTATATTCTTTTATAAAATATTATATTCAATTATTATTTCATTTAAAATTTTAATAATAATAATAATAATAAAGTATTTAAGTGTGATAGTTTAATGTTTTAATCTGAATGCTTTTTTTTTTTGAAATATATAAAAAAATTATTGATAATATAAAAAATAATAGCATGTTATATTAAATTATTAATTTTTTTGTTAAAAAAATATAAATATTATATATTTAAAATTATATAAAAATAAAAATAAAAGTGGATTGAGTGAACAACTTGTCTGCCTATAGTTGCAATAGAAGTGCATTGTTTGAATACCGTAATGATTTTGGTATGAATATTCCAAGCATTTAACTAAGGGGGTGGAATGGGCCACGTGGCATATGGCGAGCCTTTTGAAGTCCAAACATGAATTTGCCATTACTCCTACAGCCTACATGCATTGCATATGTTTATTTATATTTTAATTTTTTTTTTTTAAGGGCGTAGATCACCCAAATCAATTTTAGATTATGATTCTCCATAAATAATAATAAAAAATATAATATTTTTTATAAAAGTAAAAGAAAAATAAAAAATTTAAATATTTATTTTTTTAAAAAAAATAAATATTCAATTTAAAATAATATA